GTACCTGACAATCGAGCCGAAGCCGGATTCCAAAAAAAAAAAAAAAAAAAAAAAAAGAGGCAAGGGGGAAGGAACAAGGTAACACCGGGAAGAAGCAAAACCCAACCCTAACATAATTCCATACATGTACAAGTAACAGCATCATACAAAGCGGATAACACATCACCCTCGAAACAAAAAGGAGCAGAGTGCTCCGATGCAAACGATGTCATCTAACTTACATTCAGACTGTGGCAGCCCCTGCGCCACTTGACCGGGCTCAGCAATTCTCGCGCGCTTAGCCGCTTTCGGTTTAGTGCATAGCGCTGACTGTAGTTCCGGGAGATGTCGGAGCGCTAGCCCGTGTTTTGTATGGGAACACCGAGAGGCCGAATTGGGTTATGGGTGTGTTTCATTTTATGGAGTGGTTTGGTTGGTCGGTTGGTTTTTTAGTGGTTAATATTAGTGTGGTTAGTGTGGCGGTTAGTGCTGGAGGGGTTTGGAGGGGTTGGAGGGGCATAGAGTTGACATGTGCCTTGTTTTTGAGTGGTTGTACCCGCTACTTGGGTTGAGGGTGTATTCCATGGTTGGGGTTATGTACCTGGTACCTGAATTTCAGAATAATATTATAATAATATTTATTGTTTTATATGTTACCTAATGTTTCATTCTATTCTCTAGGTTTGTCTTTCGTTACTTGCTATTGGGTGAATATCTACGTAGCCCACTTCCTCTTTGCTTTCTGCCTTCTGTGTTGTCCATTGGATTTAATGCCTCATCTTACTCTAGCGAACAGTAGTATGCGCTAACCACGACCAAACTCTGCTAGATGCGTGGTTTTAGTTTTGCCGGTTGAAGTTCGGGTTCTAATACTCTCCGATGCCGAATTCAGATCGGGGATCCCGATTGTTGAGCCGGGAGGAACTTTGGTGGGTTGTATTGGACCGGGTAGTGGTTACTGGCATTGCCAATGGATTGGGATTGGGACTGGTGACGTCTGTTGTCTATACTAGATGCTAGGCAGGCTAGGGATATATTTTAAGTTGGTGCATGTACATTTTAGTATGCATTTGACTGGTAATAAGTTATACTTGTGGTGCATTACATTGCATTGTACATAGACATGACTTCACTAGTCAACGTTATGTAGATATAAAAACGCTGATCAATGCAAGAAACACCTGTACCTACTGTATACTTCGTAAGGGTACGCAAATTTGCAAAGCTCAAAGATCAGCATGTACCGGGTATACATACACGTATCAAGCCACAAATCACCCTAGCAAGGGCAGCAACGCCGTCTAATTGGAGGGAAGGCAAATCAAACGCAAAAGGGCAAGCCTCTGACACGAGGGATCATCGCAAAGAACAGACTACAAACGCCCTGCCCGCCTGCAATATCCCTCAATTCAAAGCGGCTAGGTGCATACATATCGGGATCTTGACCCGAGCATGCGATACGTAGGGGAACCTTCCCAATTTGGAACTATTGGAACTATTGGATGACTAGTCCGAGGAAGGTTACTCGGGCAAACCCCGAAAGTGAAGTTTGAAGTTCGTGCGTAGCGGCACAGACGTCATTCTGCATGGAATCTGCATAAGGCGGCTGGGCCGTGCTACATGATCTTATCTAGATCGAAAGGGGAAGGGGAAGGATTTTCACGAGAATCCAAATGTATTCGAAACGAATGCGTATAGAAGAAAATAACGAAGCAAAACAGGCAATTGGTATCTTAAGGACAAAACCCCCTGCATATATAGAGAGGATCAAGAAAGACGGCGCGCGACAAGATGAAAGTCCCCTATATGAACACCCTCAGGTCAAGATCTTGATCGGACCCGTCGAGCTGTGGGTGTGCACCCTGCGCTGGCCTGGAGTATACTCTTCTCCTTGTTGCTCCGAGTGGGGATACCACTTTGGGCTGGAGCAGGGAGCATGGACGTGGACGTGCTAGGAGACTTGGGCGTCAGCTTGCGGCGACCCTTGGTTGGTGTGGAGGGGCCTGCAGCCACCGGCACCGAGGCTGCGGGAGGCTTGCTTGTGCGACCACCAGTCTTCACTGGAGTACCGGAGCCCATAGCCCCCGAATCGCCTAAACGCCTCACCCGGCGCGAGCGCGGGGTTGCAGTAGCGGGTGCAGTAGCGGGTGCAGTAGGGGCGGTCGGGGCGCTTTCTGGACCACCGTCGACACCCCGGTCTGCCTGTGTTTGGCTACGGCTGCTGCGGTCACTGGCTGCTACTTTCTTTTCCGAACGTTTGCTGCCAGATCGGCGAGGCGTAGCGCCGACGTCACTGGTGCATCTCTCACCCTCCTCCTCTTGATCATCTGTGAAGTCCTTGTATTCTTCATACTCGGCCATGCGCTCCTCATTCCATGACACCTGCTTCCGCTTGGTAGATCGGCTGCTAAGGCCCTTGCGGTCTGAGCGCGCATGCTTGTCATTGGTTTCAGGCTCCTCTGACTGCTGAGCCAGAACCTCAAGAGCGACATTAGGGAATACAGATTTGCCCTTGTTGAGTCGGGTGTTTCGCTTCGTGGCCAAAGCCACCTCCTGGGCCTCGGTGCGCTGCAGGAAAATGAACTCGGTTCCTTTAGCACGGCGGAGCGCGATCGTGTTGCGCACAGCAGGGGCATTTGTGGACGGGGCCTTGGCGCGAGTGCTGCGACGACAGGCAGGGCTTGCAGGTGCAGTCTCTTCCTGGAGGTCCTTGATAACCTCATTCTGGGCTTCAACACGGGCAATGTCGAATTTACTAGGCGAGATTTGCAACTTGATAGGGGACGGAGAATTCGTAGTCAGCTCCTCCAACGCCCGACGCGATCGTGGGGTTGAGCATTCGATCTCAGGGTCCTCCGGGCTGGAAGACTGCTCAGTCGTCTCAGAGTCGGTCTGCGCCGCCTTGGCTGCACGCTTCGCCTTGGCCCTCGACAAGAAGTCATTTAAAAGCTCTGCATCTTCCCCGTCCAAAGAGCTGCGCAATGCCGATCGCACCAATTTGACTTCCTGCTCTTGCGTCAGGTTTTCGACGGTCTCAGCGGGTGCTGCATTGTCGATCACTGCGCCTGCCTCCTGGACCAGTCCAGACTGTAGATCCGCAGGCTTGGGTGACGCTGCACCATCGGGGCCCATGTCCATGGCATCATTGTAAACGGGCGTCTTGGCCGAAAACAGACCGAGTGGCCGCGGTGAGGCGTTGATAGCTGCATCTTGGTGGGTGTCATTGGCAGCTTCGGCCTGAGCAGCGAAATTGAAAACGCCCTGGGAGGTCTCGTCGTGAATGTTGAAATTGAATTCCGGTAATTTGCCTGTGAGACTGTCAGATGAAAGTCTACCAAACGGGGGTCGCAAAAGAGATGTATAAAAACCCTTTGCAAAAAGAATACTCACGTCGCTTGCGTGATGCCTCCATTTCCCACTTGGTCTCCAGGAAAGACCGCCCACGTTGTTCAACGTCAGTTTCGAGGTCCGCCGACTGGGTAGGATCCACACACTGGCGCTTAACGCCGCGCTGATAATCCGAGTTATTCGAGGCGCCGATAGACGTGCCTCGGCTTTCTGTCGCGTTCATGTTGCTAAAAGGGAAGCGAATGCGCTTCCACAACTTCCGAGTCTTGTCGCCCGCACGAATAGGAGTTGAGGGTTTTCGGTCCCACAGACGCGGCAGGGCGCCCAGGGCTTTGATAGGCGTGAAGCTGAAAGAATTCTCGGGGGCAGGCTTGGTAGAGTCGCTATAGAATGCTGTTGTCAGCGCTGGGACTACGCGCCGGTTTGTGTGTGCGATCAAAACAAGGAGGGGACTACCCCTGAATGAGGGGCTTCCCAGGCGCGCTTATTTTTGAAGCAGTAGATACTGTAGGAACGAAAAGTATGGAGGGTAGAAATCACATACCCGGCTTGCGCCCGCGAGGGTGGGATGTTTTCCATTGTTGACGCGTGGAATGTGTCAAAAAACCGTTGGAATTTGGGGGTGGGATGTATATTCAGTAAAGTCGAGTTATCGAGGGCGCATTTATGCGATGTCAATCAAAGGATGCAAGTGGGAATATAACCCCCGATTAAACATATGTCGAATAGTGATGAGTGTGAAAAGTCATAAAACTGGCCGTTGCGGGTTTGCTTTGATGCGTTTGACCCGTTGCCCTGCCAACCGCCTCATGGAGCCCACGTAGCGGTCAAGTCTCGGGTAATTGAAGATCATGAACGTGTACATGCTGTCCATATATCCTTGGCTCTGCTGTTTTAATGTCAGATATCAAGTAGAACTTGTAGTGGTGCATGTATACAACAGTTTACTATGTATAAATTTTGCTAACGGTCATTCCAATGACATCAAATTGAACATTTGGACGACCAAAGCCCTCGACAACCCACTCGACTTGTGATAATGTTAACGGTAACACTGCCGCCTCGGGTCGCGCTCAGCTCTCTGGATATTCTAGCAGACTGTCAAGGTTATAAGGAAAGTTCTGGCGATCTGGTTTCATCCACACCAAGTGTACCCCCTCCTTTTCCTTCTTACCTTAGCACAACCAGCTCAAGGATAGCGGGTAGGAAGTAATCCTCAATATATATCTTGGAACGTAATGCGGAAGGTATTGTCCGTCGGCAGATCATATAGTATTTACAATATTCAACACAGGATGGCCACTACAGGCGCCCTGATCTCATCCGTCTCCCTGTCGACACTAACCGCCGGCCAACGGTGGTGCTATTTAAACGCGTACCATTGACCGTCTCGCACGTCCACTGTGAAAGTATCTCAAGGTTGGTGCAATATCTGTTAGAATAGCTCACATCGATCTCAATTCATTGGATTTACACTTCCATGGGGGAGGGGTATCAGGCAGCACCTCGGTGCATCGTAGGGTGTTGATGTCGATGGGGTCTTTGGCAACATCGGTGTTGATGATATTCGTCAGGTTGGGAACAACTGGGAATAATTTTGCCACGTCGTTGGCTGCTTCGTAGCCTGCCTTGGGCAGTCTAGGAAGGCCCTTCAAGTCCTCAAGTCAGGTGGGCTAGCCATCAGCAAGAGTGAGAGCAATTTGGGCTTCAAACTTGAAATCGTTGGTGTCTAGGCCTGGGGCTCTTTCGGGGAAGAGATTCACAGTGTCAATATCGCCGAGCCACGCAGTGAAGGTTTCGATCACACTGTATAGCTCTTTAATGGTCAGTGCGGTAGCGGACTAAGCGAAAAGCGCGGTGATAGAAACGGTGGCTTTAGACATAAAGACTTCACGACATACCACCGCACTCCGCGCCATACTGGAACGTGTTGGTGCTCGTAATGCACACTTCAAATGCAGCATTTTTCATCTTCAAATTATCTTAAATACCTTATAATCTGAGTCCAGAGAGACATATTTACATCTCACATGATAAAAGGCATCATTCCAGATCATTACGTGTACAGGTGCGACGAACTTGCACAAGGAAAGTCCCATTTGTAGTGTTTTTCTCCTCATGTGGCCGAATATCCGACCGAATAATGCGCCATTAAACTAGTATCAGCTTAAATTGTATTCTCCCTTATACCTGTTGCGTCCAAGAGAATGTGTGTTATATAATTGTCTCAAGAATTGAAGAATCTGAGGTAAATACGAGCCGACCCCAGAGTAGCCTTGATGGCGAGACATGGTGTGAATGAAGCTTACTCGCACTGCGGGCTCCTTCATTGGCGTGGTCGTAGATAGATTCTGGTTGGTTCCTTCTGGTCCCGTCAAAATAGAGAGGAGCTGCTTTACAAGATATCATAAAATGTAAGGCTTGGTTGCTAAGGGTAGCAAATGGGGCATCCGAATCATCATATATACAGGTGTCAAAACGAGCGCTGAAAAAGAGTTTCCTAACTTAGAGTGAAAAGAAGATGACGTTCGTGACAAAACTTTACCCCAACAGGTATTTCTGCCAGCTCTGTTTCCAGGGCTTCCAAGTCCCTCCGAAGCGATGGTTCACGCAGGCTTGGGGACTATTGAATCCTTCCGCTTCGCTGTGTCTTTGTCCATTACCCCACGAGTTCACAGGAAGAACGCACAGACCTCCCAGTTGCTTTCCTAGTTTTGCATCGGACCCTTTGATACAGCGAGGCAATTTAAGCCGGTAGAAAGGTGCCCATGTCACGCGCTGAATAGGAGAAGCCCCCGACGGAGGGACCATATCTCCAAGGCCCGCGTCAGCCTTCACAGATTCTTGGATGAGAGGATGGCTGGCAGGAAGAGTGTCAGAAAGGACATCCAGGACGGCATCTGTGAACACCCCGGGTCCGGTAATTTCTAAAGTAGCCAGCTCATTGTACCTAGCGCCTAAGAAAAAGTTGCTTTGGTCGATGTGACGTCTAGTGTGTGACAGCACCCGGACGATGATCTCCCTAAGAAGTGGGCTGAAGCGCTGTGGCGCATACATGGTGTATTGAACAAAGCCATAACTTCGAACCCAATGCCAATCATGCATCTTTTGGGGTGACGCAAAAGGCTCATCGATCTCCACTCCGACCACTAGTGATATATCTGGGTCTACAGTATCAGCGAATCCCGCATCTCGTAACGCGGGACACGACTTGATGGACCGCGCCGGAAAGATATCCATATCTGAATAGTAGCCACCATAATACCATAGTATAAGATAGCGAAGCAAATCGGCACGAAGTACGTTGTGTGGGTACATTTCGTACAGATAAGCCAGATCTGGAATGGATGCCAGAGTTTCAGTGATAAAACTGTCAGCCCATTCGCTTGTCACGAGCTGTTGATTATAAAGTCAGCATCATATGCACAAGGGTTGCAATAGCTGAGTGCAAAAATCATATATCCATACCATATATTCCCAGTCAGAATTCTTCTCCTGAAAAAGAATGGAATCTTCGCCTCGCTGCTGCGCGCCCGCGGTTTGCCCCAGCATGATCTGCCACAGCGTCTGGGGTGCGGTCGCATTGCCGCGGAGCTGGCCCTCTATCTCCAGCTCGCGCAGCGCCTTGGACAGCTTGGTCTCGTAGCGATGGTCAGGTTCTGCTCGAAATGTTGAGTGATGAAGGTATCGCGGCCGGTCTCCACTGTGCAGCCGCTTATCGCGAGCGTTCAATCCGAACCGGAGCGGGAGAAGTGTTTTCATGAGGACGATGACAATGACGACGGCTAGCACGAAAACACCTTTCTGCTGGCCCAGAGACCTCAGCGAGGTCCGGTATCGCCTCAACATGTTGAAACATGGGCCATGGAGGTGTCAAGACGTCAAAATATAGCATATCAGAATATAACTCAGGGTGAATCAGGGATCCTGCTGTGACTGGTGCGCCGATCGTTGCTTGTTTTTCCCCTCGTGCGGGCTGAGAGGAGCGTTCTAAGTGGTTGCTCGGAACTTATTTGACTAGTGTGGCGTATACCCTAGAATCTCCAAACTACAATGCAGAGAACGTTATGTGTGATGTGCTGTGCATTGCTTCTACTAACTACTATTCAAAAACGCACCATTGGAGAATTATCCCCGTGGAAATGTTCTAATCACATTTTATCGTAAGTACCCAGCCGTCTAGCGCCATGCACAATCCTTTCTCCTCCCTTTAATCACGATAACAGTCTCAGAACCATCTCAATCACATGATGGGCTATATTTGCAAATCAGTTGCAACACAACAGGGAGAATCCTGGGTTGTGCGCGGTTTGAACCCAGGCTGGCGCAGGCGACGTGTGAGCCCAGTGTGTGGTTGGGACAAGAGGAGTGTGAACCTTTCAATTGTTATGTTAGGACAATCCACACCCAGTATGCCAGTCTCCATCTTCCCTACCCAACAGTCGGGGCAGTCACAGTCCGAGCCGGAAGTAGTGGAGACGCCGCCGCAGCAGGTATCGAAGATCGACAGACCATCCGAGATCGAATCAGCTTGACAGTCATTGCCGTCCTGGAAGGTTCCACCCAATGCGTCGCAACAGCTTTGGGTCCTCGGGGTATTCTGCTCGCCGTTTACAATACACTTGCAAGCGTACGTTGGAACCGAGAGGGCAGTAACGGTGACAAGAACAAGATTGACGAACCGCATATTGGGAGATAAGAGGTTGCAAAGATAATGAATCAAAGGGAAAAGGGGCTGAAAGTAGGTAATATAGACTCGCAGATAATGGTGGATACTCAGATAATCAGTCTTTTGGATTCCGGTTCTTCTCCTTTAAATAAGTTACGGATATTGAACATCCTGTCTGTCTAGAAAGGAAGTCTGTAGGTGCAGGTACTAACGCGCCACGGTACACTCCAAATGAGCACAGATTCCACAAAGCTGAAGGATTCACGGCTTTGAAGGAACATCTCCGGCTTACGCTACAACAGAAGCAGGGATCACCCACACGTGCTCTTAAAGATTTTCACAGAAGGATCTAGGATCGAGCCGTCTAATATGGGACCTACCCCGCTGTAAAGAGCAAAGCAGAAGCCAAAACATGAGATATTCATAGATCAGGTAGTAACGGATTGATTCTGCCTCTTTCCGGGAAATAAAGTCCTCCTCACTAGTGGAGTGTAACGAAAGCGATCATCAATGGAGTTGCTCTTCCTAGAGATCTGGAATCATAGTACATCCCGATTCAACTGTTTTAGGACAGCTGGTACTTAATCGTTCGGCTCTACTAATATCAACCAGCGAAAAATCTCTCTATATCGATAATTTCAATAGGGGCATGGAAGAGGCTTCAAAAGACATCAAAAAGACAAGTACAAAGACGTGCAGAAGCATAGGCTGATAATGGAGGAAAGACAGTCGAATGTATCGCGAGACTTTCGAGATCCAATGCAAAATCAACGACCTTGTCAAATTATCGGGTAATCTGAGCCTGATGTTTCAACAAGCGTTAGATTTGACGGAGTGCCAAGCCGTGAGCTGCGCCCCATGCCAAGCAAACCCTCAGATAAACTATATTATGGGGTAACTCCACCCGATACGAGATGAACGATGATAATAGAAACGAATATAGCGTCAGGTCTCCAAGGATTTCTAAGGAATTGTCCGGAACATGATGCTGCCCTCGCAAATTACAGTTGACCGCCGGGGATACCGACAGGTTGCGGCACTGGGTTTGAAGTGCCAGCCCGATGGTGATGGAGTCACGGATACTGGATGACGAAAAGGAAAATAAAATCAATAGCTAGACCTACAAAGGCTATATATCGGCAAGCAGAGTGAGATGTAAAAATATCATAATAAAACAATAACCTCTTAAGTGATACTAGAATATACCTGAAAACCATCATTATAAGACTAAGATTATGGTGACATAACGACGATTTCAAAGCATCATGAACATGGAAATAAAGACAAGCGAGGGTGGTACCAAAGAGACCAGTGGTATTATTCTGGGAAGCGGCTCCCTTATAGATAGAGGCCACCAGCCCAGAGCCAACAAGGGCCTTCCAAGTACAGTGAGCACAACGGCTATTGACGAAAAGCCAGCTCTGGTTTTGATCACGATTGTTCCTTAATAGTAACAGGAATAGTCCCAGACTCATTCCAGTCGCCTATTTCAACCATGTACCTTTCATTGTGGTTGAGCTTTCTGAACCGTTCTCCGGGCTGCGTAGAGGCTCCCCAGGCTAGACTGCAAATCCTCGTATCCTTTACGTCGTCCACAAGATCAACGCTTCCTTCGGACCCGTTTGTAGAGCAGATAGTCCGCATACCACCGTTATGGCGAATCACCATGTCGTCAACATCCTCAGCAGTCAAGATATCACTTCGGTCATCCTCATTGTAAAATTCGCCACTGCGCAGATATCAGAAAACACCGCCTTCACAATTAGGCGAAAGAGAAGATACCTGTGAATGTCCGCGTTTTCGATACGGATATCATACTTCAAGTCATCTTGAATTTGGATTTGGAGGTTTTGATCGGGAAAAGCGGAGGCCATAATTAGTCGATAGGCTGGTTGAATCTGAGGAACTGTTTGACAGAGCAAATGTGGATAACGAATACTGCGTTAACAATTGAAACAGCCGGGGGATAAGCACTATATACCAGTAGGAGAGGTGACGTGGTCTATGACGGTTGCTCGATTTTTCAATCGTGGAAAGGCGCGGCTCCATGTATATTAGGATCTGCTTTGCCAAAATTCATTGGTCACCCGGTGTTGTTTGGAGACGTGTATTTAATTACTGAGTTGTGACTCGCACAACTCGTATGATTTAGACTTTCTCATACAATGGTCTCGAAGTTTGCGACCGACCATCGATTCTCCTCTTCCGAAATAGAACAGTCTGGGGTCTCGTCCATCATCAACAAGTATGAATACCAGACGTATAGTACCTTACTAGTAACTATCTTGATATGGCTTACTCCTTGCCGGTCTAGCCTGTCTAGCCTGTCTTCGCTAAAGTATCGTAGCCGTCCTTTTCAAAATGGGTTTCGAGAGTCTCCCTCCTAATGAGTGTAATGTGCCTTTGAGTAACTGGAAACTGGATTAAACCATTCTTAATACCCTGCAGATATTCAAGTCAATCTAAATCACATTCAAAGCGATTCGCTTGGACAATTCATGCTGTTTTTTGCCAACCGAAAGATGGAAGCGAGCCGCACAAACCCCGCAATCCGGGTGTCATCAATCCCGGTACTGCCGGGCTACCAGGACCGAATCCCATGGTTAGGCCTTTTTGGCCTAATATTAGTGTTTTGCTTTTGATGATTGAGTTCGGTCCATGAGATCATCATGAGTTACAATTGCCTGTCTATTGATCTACCTCAGCAGGCGACGCAGTCAACTGGTTTCCAACCGAATACAATGGGGTTACAAATAGTCATATACATCGTGTTAAGGTTAGAAGAATACGCCTAGCCTCTAATCGACAAAACAACCTTAAGGTTTCGATCCTTCTTAAGTAGGAAAAGCTCCTTAACACATCTATAGCTATTATTCCCGGTATCAGCCTATGAATCAGTGGAGTAGTGCTTGTCGGTGTCCGACTAAGTATCCGATAGGACCACCTTACTAGAGGCTCGGGTATTAGCAAATGCGTAAAGAACACAGGTTAATTTCTCGGCAGGGATATCCTAAGGCTAGAAGTTGCGAGCATAGATGCCCTAATAGTGGTAAGGTAGTTTAATTTAGTGATAGAGTAAATATGGTTCAAACTCATACCTAGTTCACAAAGTATGCCACGGAACGATATCCGTTAACATCACGAGTAGCAATGTTAGTCGTATTAGCCTTAGTCAAGTAGGAAATGTAGGTAGCGTTAGCCAGCCACGCTAAGCCCAGCATATAAGGAAGGACAAAGTGTATCGTGAGACAGTGGCAAGGTTGTATCTAATGATATGGCCCGGCCTAGCGAGCTTTAAGAAGAGGGAACCATCGAGAAGGAAGGAAAAAGGCAGACAATTTGTAGGTGAAAAACAATTCTATGATAATTGTGACCTATAGTGCAACTAGCCCCTTAATAAGATCTCAGACATAACCGCGTAGCGTAAATACAAGCAAAGAACAAAATGATGAAACTAGTTCCGAGCGCGACGGTACTTGGCCTCTCGGTGGAGATAGCTGCATCGATCTAGAATGAAAAAGAAAAACGGAGTCTTGATACATGTAACTAAGAACTGTCAAGTATAGTAAGAGACAAGCAAATTCTAGAAGCTCATCTTGCCTCCTAGACTGAGAGCTTTCTAACCCCTTCATCGTGATTTCGTGGCTTTACTGTAATGAGCCTTGCAGTGTTAGTTTGCAGATTTTGTATGTGGTAAAGAAAGTACTACGCCACTTACCATCAATAAGATAGGAAGTGAACAGATAGCGGCATTGACACAGCGGTCGGTTACTTCGATCTGAAAGGTATCCTCGTAAGGCGTGTTGCAGTTGATATCCGTGCTCAAGGTAATATCGTTGCCGCTGTCGGTAGAGACTATTACCGATGATGTGCTGGCTTCTAGCGTCCGGCACCCAGCTTCGAAGCCTCCAACCTCTTTCCCGGCCCTAGACAATCGCTTGCGGTGTAGTAGGTAACTGACCACAGAGCAGAAGCTGACGTGGCGATCCCAAGTATGAGAGGCAAGTTGAAGTGCATATTTTAGGGTATAGATGAGATGTGGATGTGGTATAGATAGAGCAAACTGGGTAGCAGAATACTGCATGCGAAGGGGCCCTTTGGCATCTGTCTGGATGTGGGCGGAACCCCTGATAATAGCAACTTGGAGTGAGACTGCTTAAGGCCAGCTAATAAGTGACACGCCCTCTACCTTTAACAGCTTGAGGGAGGCCCTTTCTGTTAACCCGGCTACGTCTATGGTGACTGATACATTTCCCGGTCTACGTCGGATAGTGTCAACTAAGCCCTCAAAGATGCTTTTTCCATCCGCCCGAAATTTCAGGCTTTTTTCCCTTGGGGCCTTAGTTGCGGTCGACCCTACACTCGCAAGACAAAAAGCAACGGTATATGATATTTCAGTACCCAAAGCCCCGCTTGGTCCGCTGAATGTTAGCCTAAATTATGCTCTTGCAACGAGTTGGCCGACCCCGCAAGACGTGCACCTGGGCAATGTGAGGCGGAACTGGCATTATAGCAGTCATATCGTGTTCGCGAATCGCGTCGGGGACTCTGATGAAGAGAATCCTGCAATCTCAGGTGGGCAGCTGTGGCAAATCGCTTACGATGCGATCGCTGAAATGAGTAAGGATCGAGAGCAGTATGGCATGTCAGACAGGTCCGAGCCCGGAGCCATGGGAATCATTGCTTAGGGCAATGAAATCATCATATCCTCCTCTATGAAGGGAGCAAGCTCTTTTTCTTATGACTTTAATAATGGCGATACCCATGTTGGCAGAAGTCTAGAGATGTGCCAGATCCTCTTTGGAGATTGGGACCCGGAACGCATGTACCACAATAACAATGGCAATTGCGCAGAGCTGATGGGGTCGCATCTATACTATAAGCAAAACACAGTGAAGATGGCAGAGCAAAAAGCGAGGATTGGTACATTTGTTTACCAGGGAGTCAAGAACGGATGGGCGAAAACGGAACCATGTGGGCCGGACAAGGACCCGAACGCACCCAAGGTAAGGAAGGAATCGGATGTCATAGCGTGTACTTTCCAGGGTCTGACAAGGTTGCAGATTAGGTGGGGGTGCGATGTTTACATTGCTATTGAGGGCGTCAGAGTCCTGGATAATACCACGCCGTCAGCGCCCTACACGCGGGAAAACCTCGCAGGAGGCCCGGTCCAGCAAGATCAGATTCAAACATGCGGGGGGGATCCCATAGTGTTTTGGCGGCGGCCCGGATCTACAGTCCCAGACATAGTTTGATGTTTAATTGTGGCCGGAGAACATACCAGTGGCAGTAAGACAATGATCATAATTTGAGCTAGAATATTGACAGTCAACCGAACACCTCGATATATCCTTTCCCGGTTATTTGAATCTGAACCTCAAACTCCAAAGCTAAGTCTTCCAGTCCGTCTAACATCTCATCTTGCCAATCCTGTTTCTTGTCCTCCCCCGATAGACAAAAACCGCGGAGGCGAGGTGTGAATAGCCTCCAGTCTTGTAGCCATGATCGAACAACCCCCACTAAGTGAGAAGTATCGAGATCCCATTCCCATTCCTCCTGAAAACGTAGATCGTCGGTGATAGTCAGCCATTCAAGGCTTTTTGGGAGTGCTTCCCCGAGGTGCACCGTGTTTGAAGTCGATGGAGAAAACCCAAGCACAAATGGAAGCGGAATTTTGATTCTCTCCAACATATGAAGTGCGCTCAAATTGAACGAACCATTGAAATGGAGCGGTGGCCTGTAGAGATCACCAGGCCACCCACATGATCCTGCCTCAATAGTCAAGTCTGTCAAAGTATCTTGAATGTGATTTAGGTCCCTAGCGATTTGATCCAAATCGATAGTATCAGTGACGAAGTTATCTGCAATATCCGGGCGGTAAATCCAATACCATTTGAGCTTCCGAAGGCCTCGAGTAACTGACAATAGTTGACCGAGATGGCCCTCGCGCACCATGGTCAAGTCGAGCGATGTAAGTTTTGATGGATTTGGTGGACACTTCCCTGTCCACGTGAAGGAAGTGGGATTGTCGATGGAGAGGCTTAGCCGCTCAATTGATGGCAAGTAAAAGAAGGAAAGGACGCCCGCCGTGTTCCTGAAGTCCGTGTACCTACGGATATTAAAATCAAGATCGGGACATTGAGCTGATACGTCTTGAAGATGCGCAAACGATGAAATATGCCTATCCCGGGACTCAGACTCCTTGCAGAGAGCCGAGCAGAACATCATGCTCATCAGGCGACTCTCTCGGGTGAAATTTTTGCCCAGGTGGAGACATTTCAGCTTGGGAAGTTGAGATATTAAAAGCGTTGCAAATGCGTCCATCGACCCGGCTCGCAACTCTTGGATCCATTCTTCGGTATGTAGAACATGGATGCTTTCGATGTATTCCACTAGCTGATTCGTGAGATCTTCGCAGACTTGGAGTTTTGGACTCTTATATTTAGAGTTATGCCATTCGTAATCGTCGAAAGTGTCTCCGCCGAGGATCAGCTCCTGAACGAGACTGGTCACTTCGGGCTTCTGCATAATGCATTGCAAAAACTGGGCAATCGGTGGGGTCTGAGAGACCGTCCATGTCCATTCAATATGGGCGTAGAGAAATGGTTTCGCAAGAGTGCGAAAGTCCCTATTCGTAAGACTCACCGCCCAGAGATCGCTGGGTGATAGGCATGCAAATACCATACGCCAAATCTCTGCCGGGGTGGTGAGAGTAAGGGACGCCATTTAGACCTTCTTTCCCCTGCTGTCTCAAGGAGAATAAATGAGACGTACTGACAGGCGATGCTAAAGACCGGGTACGAGCAGGATGCAAGCTTGTGTGGACCCGAGGCCAGTATAAGTAGCCAGCCTACATCACAGCGAGGTAAGAACGCTTTTTTGCTGGTCTTCACAAAACAGACGAAAGACTGTTATTGAAAAGCCATTGAACCCCAACTTTATTAATTAATCCGTCTAATTTTAGATGACAACAGATGAGACTCAACCGAAAGCACGATAAATATCAAATTTACATGAGACGTTTGCGACATGAGGCTTTTGTTGAAGTTGACAATGTTGGCTAAGAGATGATGGCGCCTCTTTCCCTTTATCACTTCTTCTCTTGACACGAGACTTTAGCGTCCTGCAAGTTCACAACCTGTCCTTGTGCGAAGGACAGCCAAGTCTTTCTGGAGTTGAATCCCAAATCACCGTGGGGACATTCGATGGTACAGGCTGTGTTCTGCTTGAAAGCGACGAGCTGGCCGCTCGTGGCGTAGATTCCCCCGTGTTGGGAGAGTGCGGTGTTGCCCCAGAAAGAGCTGACGGGGTACTTTTTGCCGTCGACCGGGATACACTTGTTGGCGTTGGCTCCAGAATGATCGTTGGCGAGTTGGATGGTCACAGTTTGGACATTCGGGTCCCAATCGCCGAGGGCAGAAGCAATTGGAAGCAAGAACCCAAGGCAGAACAGGCCGGTATATCTCATCTTGAATGGGATATTGAGGAGGGGTTTGAAGATGGAAGTAAAAAGGATTTTTGTTCTGCGGTAGATGCGATTTGAGAGGTAAATTTTAGCCTCTTAAATAATGTCGACAAAAGCCAAGAGCCGCCGGTCTAAACGCACATCAAGGGGTTGCTACCAGGTCTAGACAGGTCTAGGTTGAATTTTCGCTTCATTAGAGCCCTGAAGTAGAGGATATAGAAGATTCTATGACATACATACTATCATGGTAATGGCACGCTGCAATACCACTGGGCATCCCAGATGCGGACTTGATTTTCCGAATAGCATGACCTAGCCTCATAGTTTTCGGATGACTAGATTGAAGACGTTCAGCAACTCATCGAATTCGTGTTCTCTTTATGTGATAACACGATCATTTAGTATGCACGAAGAAAATGTTGGTTGGCGGCGATTTCTGTTATAACGGCATAGTACATGGAAGCCCTATACGGGAGTGTGTTCACCGGTCAACTTCGCATTTGATTAGGCTAGTCTCCAGATCGTCAGTCCATGAGCCATTTCGGTTGAAACGTTTGAATAGTAGGTACAAAAGTATAGGACAACCTCAACAAGAAATTCTTTGTTAATGCGATACCTAACGATGTGACGGTGCCTGCAACGCGCTCCAGAGCGGTCGCTGATTGGCTGGTATTTTACCCGTCCAGACATTTTGGGCAGAACCGTGGGATTGTTCCGCCACCGCCCTGGACTTTCCACTAGACCTGTTCCTGACTTGCTAATGTAGACTCGGAGTCTCCCGTGCAATCTGCTCTGAATGATGAAATGATGTGATGTGCATCACCAGAACAGGTTTAGGTTCTGGCCATCTGCCGCAATGCTGGAGGAGATGAGCTAGGAAGTTTCCGAAAACGGCCGCATCCGTAGTACCGCGGAATACACGCGAGAGAACGATATCGTCCTGGGCGTACGTAGGTAGTATCTGATATAGTTGATCGAGGGAAGCTGTGCTAATTGTAATGGAGCTCTTCTAAGACGTACGTTTTGGCTCCCCTCCGCCTGTATTGGGGGGGGGGCGGGGATAAATACAAGCGGGTAATGGTGTCAATGGAAAACTTTAGATTGACTTCATTAGTGTAAAGTTCTGATGTTTGGTTACATATCAACGATGTATTCCCAGACAGCCATAATGCTAAAGAAAATTCCATGAGCAAAAGTTTCGAGAGTTCACCATTCATCACCTTTTCTATCAAAATGGACTATTCGAGGGTGATTGATCTCCCTTCCTCCGTAATAACTTTTCCCAAATTTCGCTCCATCCCTTTGGAATCCATCGCTTGGGTATTATAGTCAGCCCCGGGATAGAGATTTTCCCTAGGCGGTTAAACTTACTGGGACAAATCTGGACACCATCCATAGACATCCTGTTAGGAGAACAGACAGAGTCCCAAAAAGCATATACCACCTCCAATCTGGATTGTCTTTGAGCAAATCCACGTTCATGCCAAATAGACTCTGTTTACATTCATTAGTCGAGATTATGAAAAAAAATGTTGATCAGGCTTAGCTTCGTGAAACCTGACTCATAGAACATACGGAGGCAAACATCAGAGGAAGGAAAATGAACTAGGGAGGCAAAATGAGTTAGATAACGACATCTTTTATCTTTTCCCTACTGATTTTGATCTCGAACTTACTGTAATCCAACTAAGACGTTTGATACTGGCTGCCTCGTTTCTTGAGACCCAGGCAAGTTCCTGTTTACTTAGATATTGTTGTGGGAAAATGTTATATGCCATTGAACATACCATTTGCAATAGCTCCCGGACGGCCCGTTCCATGTCGTCCAAACTTTTAATGGCAGACGATTCAATGCCGTCAATAATTTCAGTGACCTTGCTTTGCTTTTCTTCCTTGAGATAATGGTCAGACTTGACCTCGCATCAGAGTCTATCAATATGTGATCGTAGACATTTCCGGACCGTCATCCGTATCGATGCATTGTTAGCAAGGTCATCAATAACTTCAGGGTTCCGGCCCTTTTGCGTCACTTGATTCGCTCGCTAGGATGTTCAAAATTTTTTTTGTGTAGCTTTAGCTTGCTTTTGGGAAGACTGAGCATCTCACCAGCCCGTCGATTCTCATGCTCGCAACCGAGCAAGCAGTTTTCCATTCGTTGTTTAGGTGCTTCAAAAATCGTCGAAAATGTCAAAATCCGAGCTAGAAATGCAGCCATCTGGAAGTATGCCGAAAGTTTGCTGAGAAACACATTGACTTTTTCTTTAGACTCCGGTCCTCTGATCCATGCGACACCCCATGGGTCCTGAACTGTTTTGCGGTTTGTAGAAGAGCTTTGGTTTTGGGAAGGGAAAGTAACTGATATGTAGTTTACCACGAGGCCCCGGTAATTCTTGCGGATGTATTGAATATATTCTGATTTGGCCATCTCAGAACTCATATCAACAACAGCATCGAACTGTCTCGGTGCATGAGACCATACTTTTTTTCTGCGCACAAATGCTAGAAGAAAATCAGAATCAGGAATCGAAATGCCAACGTCAAACTTACTATAATGCACGCTGCTCTTCACACGAGAGGAAGTCCCACTCAGGTTTGCGAATCAAGTCCCAGCCAAAGCCATGGCTTTTTGAAAGACTTTAACCCAATATGTATCCTGTTTTCCAACTTCAAACCAGTCACTTGACTGCACGAATTGAAGTTTCGACACTGATCTGAGTAGCCGTTTCGCAATTTCCTCATGCTTTTGTTGCAAAGCATATTGTAGAGGTGCTCTGCCGGTACGGTCCTTTGAGTTCAGACCTACTCTGTTCTCTATCAAGATATCCACAATCTTGTCGTTTCCTTGATAACAGGCAAGGTGTAAAGGCTTCGTTCCTTTGGGGTCGCATCTCTCCGTAATCCAGGAATCACCCGTCTCGCCCTAGGAAAAAGCCGTTTTGACAGTGTTTAACATTCGCTCTTCTCCGAGTTCTCTTTCATAGACTTTTGAATGCCGAATCACGTAGCTCAATGAAAAATCATCCTTCTTCTGATCTATCATCAATCGCACCAAAGATTCGTGGTGCTTCTCCGCTGCCCAGATCAATGGAATTCTTGCAAAAGTCCCCGCGGTTTTATCACACTGATTCGGGTCGACATCCTATTCACGTGCCTGGTGTAAGTACAGTAATGAAATTTGAAGACAAGCAGGCAGGATCCTGATTTATTGCGTCTATCAATGACAGGTCAGATAATAAGTCGGTGGGACTGACGTGGGTTTAAGGCTGCGGCGCTAATACAGTAGCCCGAGGGTTTAGTTCACAGCCAAGGCCAATGCTCTCAAAAGCACCCAGGACGTCTTACTATATTTAACAACCTAAGCCATAATGCGACATACTAAAGGATTTGCCAACCACCATATAGCGAAAACATCAAGTACAAGGAAGCAATAGGGCGATTGGATGGGGATGGGTGGGCCATGAGTCCTTGTTGACGAATGCAGATGTAAAAGTGAAGCATTTGATGAGATCAACGTGATAGAGTGAGCGGGTCCCAAATATTTCAGAATGTGGTTTTGAATTAGAACAGGTTCTCCGGATGGTTTACTTGTTGCAACCAGCAGTCTTTCCCTTGTATTCGCAATGAGCATTCATAGATTAGCGTCGCTTTACGGAGCTCATCAAGGACGAGATATATACCAAAGCAATCTACAGGGTAAACAGAGAGCTTTCTCCCATTCAAAGAATACGAATTCACGTGTAAACAAACAGCTACGTCAGAAAATCAACAATAAACGATAACACTACCATAGAACCCGTAAACTACAGGCTATAGCAATGTCGAGAGACAATAAATAAACCGCATCTCCATGAAGCCGCCCCGTCCGTAAGTACTCTAGACGAGCACAATACAGACACCTCCAAGAAAATAACAAATAAAAGTGGAGTAAGGCGAGGTGATGCAGCCAGAGAAGCTCCCATATCAATCTTGGAATCCAGCAAATGCGCCTATACCACGAATCCTCGCCCCACAAGGAGAGAGGGGCATAGACACTCTTCATGACTTGTCATGAAGTCATGAAGCAAGCCACGAAGCGCGAATTCCGCACAACTACAAGGTGGAAAAGGAAGAGAAAGAAGAAGAAAGGAAGAAGGGGAAGTGAGAGTATTTATAGGAAGAGCGTTTGCTTCGACCCAGTCGTGTCTCCTACCGAAAATGGCGGGAGCCAACGACTGCTGCTCAGCACAAGAAAGGATCAAAAGAAAAGAATTCTCGAGTCGTATCTCATTATTCGTCATATGCTACCGCCAGCAAAAGGCAAAAGTCGACGCAGGTATGCCCCCATCACAGCAACTTCTCTTGCAAGTCGCGCTCATCGAAAGGGTCCCCGAATTCATCTAAGCATCAAAAAGTCAGTACATATACTCCTCAACCTTCGAGGCTTTCAAAAGAAATGAGTCGTGTCCACGCACTTAATGTGAAATCCTTGTCAACAACAAACTCCAAAGCCCGATGGATATCCTCTTGAGCGCGCTTCGACTTCCAAGCCGCAATGCCCGAATCCCAATCCCCAGCCTTATCCGTAACTGAAGATTTGCGCGCCTCAGTTGAAGTCCGTACATCCGCAAGAGGAACGGTTGTGTGCTGTGTCTGCGAGCCGGGAGGGGAGAGCTCCGTTGCGCCGGCCGATGGAGCTTGGGCGATGCCGGTGGGCGTGCGGGCGCCGTTGCCGCCTTCGTGACCGCTGTGGAGGGAGTCGACTGACGATGTCATTTCGGAGTCTCCGTCTAAGTCTTTGGGGTCTGATGGGTGTTAATGATGGGAGGATGAAGGAGACGCGGGTACTGGGTGAAGGTCAAGAGGTAGGTGGGTATGGAGCTTCGCTATCGATATCGGGGCCCACTACGCCCTTCTCCTTTTAGTAGGGAGGAAATGGGGGACTTACCCAAAGCCATGAGGAACAAATAGAGGGAGATATCTAGAGGTGTCGTATGGAGTGTAGTTGGAGATCTGTATGTGGGCGGAGATGTTGAAGACAGGCGGTGGCCCCGAGAGTTGTGAATTTTCTTCTTTCCTTAACATTCTTTATAAACTGAACATACAATTATCGTCGCCTTTGGATATTCACTTGTTTACTCTTTTCATTCAGAATTTCTCTGTGTCATTCTTCGTCTTTTCTACCCTGAGCTTTTCGGCTTAACTGTGCTGTCCGTGTGCAATGAGCGCAAACTCCGGTTATGTTCCCGATGCCTGGGAGGATTCGTGGGAAACCCAAGTCGACGTATGTGATTGTGTGCAACTCACCAGCACTCGCCTGTCGAGGTTCACGACTCGCAATCCAGAAATGACATACTGATGGCTACTCCAACAGAAACTAGACTCGACGTCTACCCCGCCAGAGAAGAAAGTCTCGTCAAAGGTCACCAAGGCGCAACGCAGAGCGCAACAAGCAGAGTTCAATCGCCAACTATGGGCCGAAGCGTATGAACCCCTTACAACCCATTTCTCCACTTCCATCAGCTAACCAAAACCACAGCGAATCCCCCGAAACATTCCACTTCGTCGAAGCTCGCGCCGAGGTACCTCTCAAGCAGGACTTTAAGCCGGCCGTCACACTACTCAGCCGGAAACCACAGCTAGTTACAAGGCAAACATCCTCAAGCGGAGTCAACGCCGCAGCAGCTGGAATCAATCAGCTCGGATTAGACAGCGACGACGACTCCAACGACGAAGCCAGGCCGCCCGAGCCAACACCCGAAGAGCGCCAGGCCATCGCGCTCAAGAACCGGGAAGAGAAGCAACGCAAGTACGAAGAAGTCCGCGAACGGCTCTTTGGAAGTTCCTCTGCTACTGTCTCTGGCAACTCGTCGCCGGGGAGTACGACCCCGCCTCGTCAGAACCATTCCGGCGAGGCGAGAGGGAGGGGCAAGGGGCGTGGTAGTGGGAGGGATCTTCGCGAGAAGAGGGATTCCTCGTCTGCTTCTAGCAAGTCTTCTAGGCATCTCTATGACCCGTCTAGTCCCGGTAAATCTAACGCTTCCTTCTCACGGGGAGGAGGCCGGCCGCAGGTTGAGCGGTCTGGCTCTGATACGCCCCCGCAGCAACCCCTGCGCGCTCCTCGAGGCCCAGATGCTAGTGGAAGGGGTGGATTCAAATTTGGCAACAGAGGTGCTCGAACTGGCTAATGTACTTTTTCGTCACTATTATTGTCTAGTCTTGTTCACACAATGTCTCGGACACATCCCACCCGGACTCAGGGAAGACCTTCTCCTGAGTTGATCGCATTCGCGACCTGTGATGTGTTCGGGCGGTTCTCTGAGGGAGAGTCAGCAAGATGGCAAGGGATGTCAAAGAGGCGCGGGATCTACTCACGGGCATAGCGCTGGTAACTGTCGAGGTACAGCTCATCGGTGCTAGTTGTCGCCTGGACATGCTGATCGTTTTCAATTGCATCCACCCAAGCCGCTAATCTACTTCCCTCTTCGGCATCTGGCCAGTCGCGGTATGGTTTCAGGACTCTTTTCAGCCGGATTATCCATGGCGCAGCTTGGACATCTACAAGATTCATTTGCGCGCCCATGAAAAATGGTCCTTTGGGATGTGCCGCTTCCAGCAACTGGTCGATTGAAGTTCGCAGATCTTGCGCCTTTTGGATCTGTGTCTGCTGGTTCTGCTCCTGCAGAACGCGGTAGAAATTCGCCACAATATGCCGATTGATCTGGGGTTATCAGTAATGGAACCATCGAAACAAATATCCATGGATGGCTGTCTACTCACATGGTCTGCCCACAGTCGGCAGTGAGCACGCAGCTTCGCATCTCGCGGTAGCAATGCAGTTCCAGTGTTCAAATCCTCGAGCTGTGATAATATAATCAGTGAGCTGATTGGTATTACGAGCTTTCAAGGGCTCCTCACATATTCCAACAACACGTTGCTTTCATAGCATCCCCAGTCATCATGTCGCAATGCTGGAACAAGTCCCCTTGGATTCACCTCCAGCAGGGAATCGGGCTTTTGATACGGGTCGACTTCAATATACTGATACGGGATACCTTTCAACTCCAATGCAATCCATACCCGCTGCACAAAGGGGCTTAAAGCAGAGTCAGTTATATCCACAAAGTAGTTGGTGGGAAACCTCACCAGAAACAACTTCCATAAAGCTTGAGTTTGGACTCGGCGGAGTGTTTGTCCACTGTCTCAGCGGCCAGGCCTGTCGCTTTTGTATGGTATGACTTTTGATCCCGGCCTGAGGACATGACGTGTTCCTATTTTATATGGTGTTAGAGCGGAAAACCGAAAGAATAGTCTCAAGATGAATGTTGCAGTGTAATTAATGTGTTACGCTGGTGTGGGGATATCATGGGAAGTCCAAGGCAGTGACGTAGCATGCGGGGAGCTCCAAGTCCCAACAAATCGAACATACCATTTTATTTCTCTTGTCCTTCGTTTCCCTATTCAGATATCGCTGAACACTATTCTTCTTGACGCGGTCGCTCTCCTCTAGTGTATGTCGATGACCACCAGTCACACCATCATTCTTCCCATTTGCGCCGTTACCATTCACTCGTTGGATAGTATAGTATCTCGCCCCTTTAGCACCTGGATGGTTTGGTGGAAGACTGTGACTCGGAGTGATCGTTTGAAATGCTTGACCACTGCTTTTTCTCGTAGATTCCGGGTTATCCAGAGCCCATGTGAATATACCAGGGACGGTGGTTGGAGCTGGAGGAGGTGGAGGAGTCGAGGTTACGGGCATAATATTCGTGTTTGACTCTGCTTGAGGAAAGTATTCCACGACTTTAATTTTGACATGGCAAAGATCTCGCTCTCTGGCCGTGCGTTTACGTTTCTTTTTGTCTGGGTTATCCGATTTGGGAGTACCAGGAGGCCGTCCTCTTAGTCGACAGTCCCAGTAATGAGAGACAAACGGTCTACTTTTGTAGCGTTGCGTTGAGCGATGCGAGTACACATTGTCAACGTGCGGAAAATAAGTCTGGAACCTGTGTAGCGAAATGTAAGTCAGTGATCAGTAGTATCATCCATACATCGCGCGCAGTGAAGACCATACTCCTCCTCGCTCAAGGTGATCATTTCATCAACGTTGAACAGCCTATTCCGCCAATACTCCAAGTTAGGAGGATCCGGGATAATCTTCATACCAGCTTCTTCCGAAGTTGTGCTGAAAGTCACCGGACCAATAGGCTCAGCATCTAGCGCGGTAAATTCCGGTTGAAACGGTTGAGACGGCGACTGGAGCATCGCCAGTCCATTATTCTGGGTCGGGTGCGCGATATTGGGATTCCCAATCGCAAGTCCGCTTTGCGACAGTGTCGTCGGCGGCATCATTTGTCCAGCAGCAGAGCCCTGCAAGACGCCTCGCATATGTGCTAGATGCGCGCTACCATCAATCCCATTGTTGAAGTCTCGCGATTGCTGTAAGCTGATCTGACCTGGGGCTCCGTCTTGTGGTTGCAGGTGTGGAGTAGCGCCGGCGCCGGCTCCATGTCGATCTACATGCGGTTGATGTTGTTGGGCTGACTGGGGTGTGCTTAGGAAATGATTGACCGCGCCGAGTTGCGGGCGGATGAAGGTGTGTTGGGTATGTGTCACGTTGGGATCGACACTGTCGGGTGGGCGGTACTGGAACGGTTCGAAGAGATTGGAGAGGCTCGAGTTGTTCATGGACATTGCCATTCGCGCAGCTATCTCATCCTTTGAGATGTGGAGCGGCATGCTGCTTTTGAGGTTGGAGGTTGCTCAGTTGCTGAGTGTGGGGGAAAAGCTCGGATCATTCCGTGCTGCTATAAGCATAAACACATCCGTATCAATTTCACTGCAACTTGCAACTTTCGACTTAAATACATTATTGCCTATCTGTTTAGTGCTATTCCACGTTCAATGCAAAGCCAAATATAGCCGAGAGCAATAGGTGGCACCAGGTGTCAATCTAAGCCTACAGCCCCTTCTTGCCTGCGTGTTTCTTCGCCGCTTCCGAGTTCTTGAAAGGGAATCCCGTCGTCCTCTTGTCCGCACCCGTTCGTCGACTAATCCTGCCATGACTACTAGCAAAGAGCATACACCACAGCCCAACAGCTGCAAGACCCGAAGACCCAGCCACGGCAACGGCAAAAGTGCCTTGTCCACCAGTAACATACCAAGTATAGGCGTAGAATGCAGACACGGCGTGGTACACAGATGTGACCATCAGAGTGGGCACAGCGTATGGTGCCTTGGGATCACCCTCGTCAGCTGCGACAGGGTCCTTGATATCGGAGGTTAAAGGAACTGAGCCGGTCAACATCACAGTCAAGACGGTAATTGTGAGAAGACTGAAGCCGAGGCACCGGGCGAAGTAGATCTCAATAGCTTATGGCGCAAAAGGTCAGCACGCTTCAAGAATAGCATGAGTGTATGTGACATATCATGGATATGGCTCGGAGAGTTCTGGGTCACGTACAGGAAGCGGGTCGAGTCTCGTCCAGTAGCATAGATACTATCATGCTTGGCCCAGCAATCAAGGGTAGGCTTTGAAGCGACAGCCATGCGGCCGTCGAGTATGTGTAGGCTTGAAACACCTTTTAGTCTTTAGCACCTGTTCATTCAACGACTGTATTGTATAGCCTTTGGGCTCTGGCAGTGGTAACTCACATCCATTTTGCACAGTTCGCTAATAGATTCGAGGGTTTTGAAGCTTAACAAGTTTTGGGTGAATATCAAGAAGAGAAGCTTTGCAAGGCTGAAGCATTATAGGTGAGTGACGTCAGTTCAAATAACCCGTTTAAATAGCCCGTTTGTCCTGTTTGCACACAGTTCGTTCTACCACTTTGAAAACAAGTAGGAAGACCAGGATATTTTTGACTGATGAGATATATAGAAATTGGTTTAAATGCAAGAAAAAGCGCCTCTAAGACCACAACGCCTTAAGACCAAAAGAGTCCATGGAGATCGATAACCCATTAAACATGACTTCTGTTTCGCAGGAGACTTATTGCTCACTGGCCCATTTGGCTCGCGCGCAGATATCTTGTGAAGCTGTTGTCCTGGTTTGAAGGGGCACTCTGTGCACCGGAAAGTGCTTCCTTGTAACGCTGGGAGAGACCCTCATCGTTGCCCGCATCAGCTCCCTCATAGTCTTCATAGTCACTATCAGCCTCGCCATCAGCCAAGCCGCGCTTGATGATATCGTCTTCATCATCTTCGGCCTCACTGACAGTCTCAGGCTCGTGGCTAGGACCTTTCTGTGCCCGTGCGCTAGATCCAGAGACGCTCATATCCTTCATTAGTTTTCCGAGTTCAAGCTCCCGCTGGGATTCTTTCTGCTCTTCCCGCTCCTTCTTCTTGCGCTCCAGCTCGGGTTTGTAATCACGCTCGAACTCCTGTCGCTTGGTTTCCACGGCCTCGAAGAACTCGTCGACACCGTCGCCGGTCATGGAGCTGACACCAACAACGCTCAAGTGGCGGTAGAACTCCTCCAGCATCAGACTCATGCTGTTCAGCAGAGATCCCATATATCCACTGCCAGAGCCGAAACCACCAGCACCACCTTCGGTTCCGAAGGCGCCTGCTTCTTCTTCCTGTCGCAAAGCCTGCTGGAATGCATCGAAGTCGGTCATCCATTCCTTGGCAAATTCAGCGTCCTTGACATCGGTCTTGTTGAAAACCAGGATCATGGGTAGCTTGGTCTTGTACAAGATACTGCATGCGTAAAGCATGTTGCTCATAAAGGTACTGGTAGAGCTGGCACGGGGTGTGTCGATGATATATGCGATGACTGTCGGGAATGATGATGCGAGAGTCTCGAGAAGAATACTACCCGAGGCACTCCAGACGAAAACTTCAATTTGGCCAGGGGTGTCGACCAGAATGTGTTCGATGGGCTTTGCGGAAGGGTTTTCGGGATTCGGAGCGGTGCGCTTTTCCAGGAGAGAGATGATTTGGTCGACCTTGGTGGCGAACAGGTTGAGGGAGGTCAAGATGCCTCCATTGGGGCCAAGGTTGTACTGTTTCATCACTTCCTTGTAGTTGATCGAATCCCGGATATCAATGTTGCTATCGAACGGCACTGAATGCACCGCGGGGTCGAGGTTGAGGACATATGGCACCGTATTCTTTTCGTGAAGATGGGAGTTAATTCTCTGCATAAAAGTCGTCTTTCCTGAGCCTGTTGCATCAAAAATGGTTAGAACTCTGCCGGTAAGTTGGTGATAAACGATTGCATCTAACCTGCCATGCCCACGCAGACCACGGACACCGGAGACGGCATGATGATGGTTTTAACGTAGAAAGACCTGATAAAAACTGTCAAGCTACAAAGTCTGTTGAAATGCAGGCCTGTGGTGGAAGTGTCGGAGATGCGCAAGTGAAGAACGATAAGCTCTTTTTTTTTGGCTGAAATCTTTTTGTCGCGGGGAAGATCTGCGCCTGGACCGCCCGGCACTTTAAACGTCATTCCAACTCAGCTTTTTGCTCAGGCTCCATCCCCTTTCCACACCACCACGATGACCTTGGAAGACTTTGAGAAGTCATTGGCCGAGGGGAAAGACCGGCAACACGAAAGAGTCGATCGAGAGCGACGCCATCGAGACGACCGCGATCGCGATCGCGACCGCAGCAAAGACCGCTCGAGGCACCACCGCTCTCACCGTTCAACCCATCACCGGCGGCATTCTTCAAGATCCCGGGAACGTGGCAGCGAGCGAGACCGTGAGTCGCGCCACCGCGACGATGATGGCCATCGGCACAAGCGTTCGCGTCACTCTACCGACCAAGGCGAGGAGCACGATCACAAACGTCGACACCGACACGAGGAAGGAGAGCCTTCCGCTGCCAAATCGGTGATCCAAGAGGAGCCTACTAGCTTAAAGCGAGATTCCTGGATGGAAGCTCCTTCCTCCCTTGACGTTGAATACGTCCATCGACCCGACCATACGCAGAAGGAGGAGGACAAACCGAAAATGCTCGCGGCAGACTATGAGTTGAAGATCCACAACAAAGAGCTCAATCATCATCTACGAGATCTCAGGGATGGAAAAACGGTTGAGGATATAGAGGACGAGCCTGCCCAGCATGAGGTCGACTACACTTTTGGAGACTCGGGCTCCCAATGGAGGATGATGAAGCTTAAAGGAGTGTACAGAGAGGCCGAGGAAAGCGGCCGGTCTGTGGATGAGATTGCTGCCGAGCGATTTGGGGATCTCAGGTCATTCGACGACGCCCGTGAAGAGGAAACCGAGATTGAACGTCGAAAAACATACGGCAATTCTTACGTGGGCAAGGAGAAGCCTAGCGGGGAGCTTTTCCAAGAGAGGAAACTTCAAAATGATGTCAAACGAGGCCCGCTTGAGCATGTACGTGATCCTGAGCAAGAATTCCAAGCCGAGGGCCAAGGCAAGAAAATGGATACTGTGCCTCCTCCAAATACCACCAGGCCCCTTGATATGACAGCATTGAACCGCATGAAAGCTCAGATGATGAAGGCGAAGCTCAAGGGTGGTTCAGATGCCGCTGAGCTTGAAGAAAAATACAATGCTGCGGCGGCGGCGATGTCGAATCGCAAAGAATCTGATGTTGTGGTTCTTGGTGTTATGGAGAACCGAATGCTGGCGGGCTCAAGGAATGAGGTCAAGTCTATCGATACCAAGAGAGGCCGCGAAAGAGGCCAGGTGGAAGCAAATGAAGACATGAGTATCGAAGATATGGTTCGTGAAGAGCGCAAGACCCGTGGTCAACCCGGCGGAGAGGGACAACGGTTGGCAGAGCGAATCGGCCGTGATGCTAAGTTCGAGGTATGTCTTACTCCTTCTCTTTGCGCCTATCATAACTAACACAACTGTAGAATGACTTAGAGTACATGGACGACAATGCGTCCAAGCTCGCCAAACGAATGCATCGATCTGAAATCGATCTCAAAAACACGACGATTAATGATTTCCACAAGATGAACCGGATCTTGGATAACTGCCCACTTTGTCACAATGAAGATAAGGGCACACCCCCCGTTGCCCCAGTGGTGTCCCTTGCGACAAGAGTGTTCCTCACACTCCCCACTGAACCCGAGATCAGCGAAGGCGGTGCTACCATCGTGCCAATTCAGCATCGCACTAACTTAATGGAGTGTGATGACGACGAGTGGGAAGAAATTCGCAACTTCATGAAGAGTCTCACGCGCATGTACCACGACCAAGGGCGAGATGTGATTTTCTACGAGAACGCAGCCCAGCCGCAACGCAAACGACACGCATCTATGGAAGTGGTGCCATTGCCCTACAGCCTTGGAGAGACATCTCCCGCGTTCTTCAAAGAGGCAATCCTCAGCGCAGAGTCAGAGTGGTCGCAGCATCGCAAGCTCATTGATACTCTGGCCAAATCAAAGCAAGGATTAGGTCGGTCCGCCTTTCGCCGAACCTTGGTTAAGGAGATGCCATATTTCCACGTCTGGTTCGAACTCGATGGTGGCCTGGGTCATATTGTGGAGGACGATTCTCGCTGGCCTCGTGGTGATCTCTTTGCTCGTGAGATTATCGGTGGTATGTTAGATGTTGCGCCGGACGTCATCAAGCGGCAGGGACGCTGGAACCGCGGTGACCGCCGAGTTGATGGGTTCAGGAAGCGATGGAGGAAGTTTGACTGGACTCGTGTTCTGGTTGAAGGGTCTTGAAGTTGTTTGGCTCTATCTGTATACCATTTCATTCAAATCTATATCTAGCCCTACTGAGCCCCCAAAGCGCTCTCAAATTGGATTCACAATATACTCTGCATGACACCCTACAGAACTTCTTTAGAAATTCCTTGGTTCTTCGGGCGACTTTCCGAAATCTTCTCTTGAGGTTCGGCGGGGAAAGCCGATAAGTCTGGCGGGGGACGCTTCTCGGCCGATGTTACAATATGACTCTTATCTATGCTTCCTTCGCGTTCTATGACTATTTCCTCGGAGTGAATTTCATCTCTCGTACATTGGGATTTATCCCCTCAACAACACAGTTGGCTGGCCAAACGAGCATCACTTGCATAATCTCCCGGTGAGTTCGAACATGTCAACGGAAGGCGCCTCGGCGTAGCTCCATCCGAAGTTGTGTTATTGGATAGTTGGGAAGCAGGCTGGATAACAGTGAAACGGAAATAACTTATATCATCCCAAATCTTCGATTGACTGATCACCTTCTTGGATACAGAACCAAGCATAATCAAAATGAGCCCAACCAGTGCTAAGCCCAAGGTCCTCCTCCTTGGAAGTATTAGCCAGTATGTCTGCCCCTGTCTCGCCTGAGATTGCCAATTCACTGCTAACCCGGGAACAGTGCTTCAACAGCCTGGAGCGCATTGGGTGAACTAGCAGAGCTAATCGAGCCAACAGCAACCAACCGAGCGGAGTTCATCCAAGAATGCAAAGACGGAAAACTAGACGGTGTTGTCGCGATCTATCGGACAATCTTCTCTACAAGCATTACAGGGCTTGTTGATGAAGAACTTGTGAATATAATGCCAAGCTCGCTCAAATATATTGCGCACTGTGGTACGTCTTCCCTATGCGAATATTGAAGGACAATCCGGGCTGATCTCTCTATAGGAGCGGGATATGACCAGATCGATGTCCATGCATGCAGCGCACGCAGCCCTCAAATCCGGGTTTCCAACGTCCCAACCGCAGTGGATGATGCCACCGCCGATGTAAACATGTTTTTGATCCTGGGCGCACTACGCAACTTCAACACGGGTATGAATGCTCTTCGCCAGGGTAAATGGCGTGGTCACCCTGCACCACCCTCGGCCATGATCCCAAAGGCAAAGTCCTTGGCATTTTGGGAATGGGTGGCATTGGACGTAACCTGAAGAAGAAGGCCGAGGCATTCGGGATGAAGGTTATTTATCACAATCGCCGCAAATTGAGCGACGAATTGTCTGGTGGGGCTGAGTATGTGCCGTTTAATGTGCTCTTATCTACCAGTGACGTGATCAGTTTGAATCTGCCATTGAACGTAAGTTGTTGTCGAAGTGACTCAGATGCATGGTGCTGACGACCCGAAGAAAAACACACGCCATATTATCAGCAAAGCCGAATTTGCCAAGATGAAAGACGGTGTTGTTGTTGTTAACACTGCTCGTGGAGCTGTCATGGATGAAGCTGCTCTGGTTGAATCCCTTGATAGTGGCAAGGTGTTTTCAGCTGGTCTCGATGTCTTCGAAGAGGAGCCCACGATTCATCCCGGCTTGCTTAGCAACCAGAATGTGATGCTGGTGCCTCATATGGGTACTTGGACTAGTGAGGTGAGTTTTGAATGTTTCGGTGATATTGTCATAAAGCTAACTATGTCAGACTATCCTCGCTATGGAAGAGTGGGCTATTGAAAATATCAGCATGGCTCTTCAGGTTGGAAAGCTGAAGAGCCCGGTTCCAGAACAAGCTGATCTATAGATACTATGGCGGTGCGAAAGGTCAGATATTTCAATGTTTATTCGTTCAAGACATAGATACAGTAAGAGACAAGCAATAAGGGTACCGTCAGCAGAAATGCTCCCTCTTTTTTTGGTACTAAAAGCTAGAGTCAACCCAGGAATCTTGCCCGGAAAATGGTTGTGTATGGAAATATGACTCTGTTCCAGTTAGATTAAAGGAAGCAATGCGACAAAAGAAGAGAATTTGTGTTGAGCTTTTGTAGAGGTTTAGGGCTAACGTAATTCACTACCGAGCTGGACACACTACCGAGCTGGACACCCCACCCAAAACGCGTCAATTAATTAGACCTTCCTTCTTTAACCACCTACCATGCCACCAATTCGTACTCAATCCTCTCAAAAACGAGAAGAGCAAGAGGGTAGGATCTTACTAGCTATCTAGGCTATTAAGAATCAAACTATCTCGTCTGTTCGTGAAGCAGCGCGCCAATTTAACGTACCGAATTCAACTCTCGCTACACGCCTTAATGGGGTTCAAAACCGCGCGATTTATCGCGCTAATTCCTATAAATTGACCGAAATTGAAGAGGAATCACTTCAAAAATGGATTCTCTCTATGGATTCTCGCGGTGCAGCCCCTAGACCTTCTACCGTACGAGAAATAGCGGATCTATTACTCGCGGCGCGTGGATCTACCCCCGTTCTTTCGGTCGGCGAGAATTGGGTTACAAAATTCGTTAAAAGGCATCCTCTCCTTTCCTCCCGATTCTCAAAACGGTACAATTTCGAGCGTGCGTAATACGAAGACCCGAAGACTATTACAGATTGGTTTTCTCTCGTCTAAAAGACTATACTTCAATATAGTATCGACCCCGACGATATCTATAACTTCGACGAGACTAGTTTCGTAATAGGCTTAGTTACAACCGCGAAGGTGATCATAAGAAGGGAATACTACGGTCGGCGAGCACTTTTGTAACCTAGAAATCGCGAGTGGGTTACCGCAATTAAGTGTATAAATTCCTCGGGATACGCGCTTCCTCCGTGCGTGATCTTTAAGGGCAAAGTCTACGTCGAATCTTAGTTCGATAGCCTTCCGGACGACTAGCGCTTCGAGGTTAGTCCGAAAGGGTGGACTTCTAATGAAATTAGCCTTCGTTAGCTCGAAAAGCTCTTTATTCCGTCTACTTCTTCGCGTACGAAGGGGAAGTATAGACTTTTGATACTCGACGGCCACGGAAGTCATTTAACCGCGGAGTTCGATCAAATTTGCGAAAAGAACGATATTATCGCAATTTGTATGCCTCCGCATTCGTCTTACCTTTTATAGCCTCTCGATATCGGCTGTTTTGCGGTCTTAAAGCGCTCTTATAGTCGGCTTATCAAGACAAAAATGCGTGTTAGAATCAACTATATTGATAAGCTAGACTTCCTCGAAGCCTACCCGTCCGCGCGAACTGAGGCATTTAAATCGGAGACTATTAAGAATAGCTTCGCCGCCGCCGGTTTAATACCTTTTAATCCCGATCGAGTGACCTTAAAGCTTAATATTTGCCTTCGAACCCCGACACCCCCTCGAGCCGAGGAAGCGCGTAGGAGCCAAAAACGCCTTCGAACGACGTCTAATTACAAAAACAAGCTTCCCCAATTAAAGCTTTACTAAGACAGCGCTCAAAAAGCCCACCGAGCCCGCTTAACTCCGCGATAAATCAGGTTTTAAAGGCCTACCAAATCACAATACATTCGATAGCTTTGCTCGAGAGAGAAGTTAGCGAATTGCGCGCTGAAAACGAGAAGAAGAAGCGAAAAAGAACTCGGTCTACAAGGCAAATACCTCTCGAAGAAGGCCTCTCAGTTTTAGAGGCCTCTACATTAACAATGCAGCCGGAGCAAGCAATTATAGCACCAATACCACGCTAGGCAAGACCGCCTCCGGCACCTTTACAGCCGCGTACGAGGGCCTTACCGAAGTGTGGAGCATGTGGAAATAAAGGTCATAAGAGAAATGCATGTCCTAATAGACCTCGAGTTTAGCTAATTGAATTTAATGGCGTTTTGGTTAAGATAAATGCATTTAAAATTGATAGGTTAGGTGGGGTGTCCAGCTCGGTAGTGTGTCCAGCTCGGTAGTGAATTACGTTAGTTAGTACACCTCGGGAGCTAGAAGAGAGATATACATAGCGTGATATGATCACTAGATGGGTGCCTCTCGCGCATCATAGAGATTCTAAAAGCCAACTAGCTCTCACGCGAGCTTTAACAACCTAAAATAAGTGATAGGAGGTGGAAACGTTGTAGTTAAATAGTCCAAGGACTTGATGGCCTAAGTAGGCACGAAATTCCCTTTTTGAGACTAGACCGAGAACTTCCCATCTTATCAGACGTCACTCCAACTTCTCTCTTCACCTTCCCCAACATTCCGCCATGGCTGAACATTGGAAATCAGCAGTGAGTTTAATTCCCTAACTGTCTCATTGACCTTTGCTAATCAGTCCGCAGCCGCGCTACTGGTGCAAGCAGTGTAAGATCTTCATTCGCGACACACCCTTCGAAAAGACCCAACACGAAGCAAGCCCCAAACATCAAGGCAGCCTCAAGCGCTTCCTCAGACAAATCCACAAAGACAATGAACAACAACAGAGAGATTCACAACGCGCGAAAAGCGAGGTTGAGCGATTACGACAGGCCGTCGGCGGCGGGTCCGTGTCGGACAAGGACGCCGCACCGCCATGGAAACGAAACACGCAGCCAGCCCCAAAGCCCGCAGAACGCCCCGCTACATTAGAAGAGCGAAAGAAACAGATTGCACAGCTTGCAGAAATGGGAGTTGCTGTTCCTGAAGAATTCCGCCGTGATATGGCCTTGGCCGGAGATTGGCAGACCATATCCGAGACAAAGATCGAAGCCACGCAGGGAATCGATGGCCCCACAAAGTCAGTTGGAGTGCGGAAGCGCAAACACGAAGGTGAGGAAGAGGAGGACGACGAACATGCCCCAGAACCAATCGTGAACAAGGGCTGGGGCTCGAGGATGAAGCAATACCCCGGCGCGAAGGATGACGAGGACCTGGACGACCTGCTCGCATCCACTAAAGACATCAGGAGAACGAAAACTTTTACGCCAAAAGTTGAACTCGAAGGACAGGAAACTACCACCGAGGAAGCCGATGCTACTGCTAAGTCTACCGCTAAGAAGGAAGACGAGCCTATCAAGCCGGAGACTCAAGAGACCACCACAACCGAGGTCAAGACCGAAGAACCTGCGCAGGTTGCAGAGCCGGCCGAAGAGAAACCACAGAACGAAGACGCTACACCCGGAGTTGTTTTCAAGAAGCGCAAGCCTAAAACAATGAGAAAATGATGGCCTCTGAAGAGGATGAGATTTTCGAAAATCACACTTGTCAAGTTTACAAGCCCGTGTATGCCCACGCCCTTGATCATCAAAACCATGGAGTTTGGATCATGTACATTGATTTATAACCCCGCAGTTCTGCAACTGGTTTCAAGCACCAGACAAAGCAGGACTGACGAATGAGTCGTTGCTGCTAGCAGATTGGAATGAAGCCACAGAATGATTGAGATGGCACCCCTGGCAGCAATCTTATGATCTACAGCCTAAACGATCGCTCGGGGTCATCCTTCAAGACCATCTGTTGTAGCCGGTGTGAATCTGGTTTGAACAACACTTTCTTCTAGCGAAGAAGAGATTACCTGAACGAATGAACCATTGATTCTGTGACATTGTATCAACATCGTGATCTTGAGGTACAATACACAGCTTCCATAGATCAAACGGACAGCAGAATAGCAGGGCAATACTTTAAAATGCTAGCTGAAACCAAAGATGATTAAAATAAGAATATAAGAATTCAGCATGAAACATAAATGCACCAAAAATAGAGTAAATAATAAACATTGCATGAAGTTGGGGTAAAAGCGGTGTTGCCACTATAATTTTTTTTCTCGATCGCAAGAGCGGAGAGTTTCATCGCCGGAAAGGAAAGCTCCTTTAGCCTCTTTCGCGCTTTTCCTGACCTCCAACCACCAGATCAGCACTGTTTGCCACTAGTGCTTGGTTTGTTCTTATAATATTAATATATTGCCCTGGTAAGTCTTTGCAATTCACTATCATTATCCCCGCAGTCCTGCCAATCCGCCTGGTTCTCGTCGACATGCGCATCCATTCTCTCGCGCCGGAGCCTCACGCCACCCTGTCCCACATCCTGTTCGGTATTCCTGCTATCGAAAGAGGCCATTGGGGTCTAAAATCTGCCTCGCGATGTTTACCGACACTCTGCGGGGGCTGTGAGCAGAAGCGGTTGGATTTGAGGCAGACTGGGTCTCGAATGCGAAGTACAAAACCTCGATCGACTAGCATGATATTGGAACATGTGGCCCAGGAGGGTGTCGTATCGCCATTCTTGTGGTCAATATCGCTGAGCCTTCACACTTGCGCTTATGACTGTGTCCTAGATATGGTCTGCATGTTTGATTGGGCTTTATTGCATCTCTACAACACAAGGCACGGCGCGAGAGAAATTCTACACAAAAGAATTGCTCTCAAGTTATGCTCAGATGATTGACACGGCTTCTTTTCTTACCGGAAACTATTGTTCTTCGCTGCGGGACTTGACTCTGGGATCGTTGACCAACTGAACATTGGCTAACCAATGCTGTACCCCACAGATTCGAGTGAATAAATGATTTCCAACTCTCAATCCGACCGATCTGGTTTGAATTTCTCGCTCAGCGACAAACCAGACGACCTTTGACCTCGAAATCTCGACCTTTCTTCGAGTCGTTACCCTCGAGTCTACTTGCGAAATTTGATCCGACTATTTCTTCCGATCGTAACTACGAAATTATATTCTTCATTGAGAGGCTGCGAAGCTCAACATGGCGGAGCCGACGGACTCAAGTGTCCCTCCTGGTGAATCGGCCAACACCGCGACCGAACCGAATGCGCCAGCGGAGACAGCCCAACCACCAGCGCAGAACGAGCCGCCTTCGGCGGCACCGAATCAATATGCCGAACCAGGTCAAGAGCTAGCATCGTCATACGAACAACCTGCAGAACCACGCCCATCCACGGGCCCACCCCACACTGTGAATACAGACCAACCTTCGGAAGAAGCCAGCCAGCCAGCGCAAGCGCAAGCGTCCGATGTCACGTTACCATCGATTGAATCATCGCTTCCTGCGATGGATTCGTCCCTCCCAGCTCTGGATACATCGCATGGGTTTGACGATGCGGACTTGCACTCCTTCGATGAATTACCTACAATCGGCTCATCTGCGGCGCAAGACCTATCACTACCGGCAATCGATACAACTCTGCCCTCGCTCGACCACTCCTTACCAGCAATTGGAACCGACATCCCAACCATGGATGGAGACCATTCCTTTGACAACAGCCATCTGGACCACCACGATTCCCATTCCGGTCTCCCGGACACTGGACACGAGACGAGTCAGCACGAGACAAATGGCGGTCATTACCAGCCGCCCAATGGTACATATCAATATGCGCACAGTCCCGCTCAGCCTCAAGGACAGCAGCCATCGCAGGCGCATTCCCAGCATCAGTTCCAGGCGCAGCCTCAGCATTACCAGAATACCGACATGTATCATAACGCTGGCCAGGGACAGGTTCCTCAAGCACCTATTGGATCACCACTCCCCAACAACATGCCTCCTATGACTTCCATGGGCTACATGACTGGATATCCCTCCAACATGGGACAAGGGAATGCGCAGATGCGGTATCAGCTGCCCGGAGACCCCAACAAGATGCTATCGGGCAATAGACACAAGAAAGAAGTCAAGCGACGCACCAAAACGGGTTGTTTAACTTGTCGCAAACGAAGAATCAAGGTGAGTCGCAAGTTCGCAAGTTTGCAGTTCGCGGGGCGGAGTCTCGCTTGTGCCCGCACCCCGCCCTCGATTTTGTCAAATCCACCTCAACTCGCCTTTTTGCGCCTTTCATTTTTTTACTTTGACCAAGTCGCTAATTTCAATTCTGCTTAGTGTGACGAAGCCCATCCCGTGTGCAGAAATTGCGTCAAAAGCAAACGCGAGTGTTTGGGCTACGATCCTGTGTTTAGGACCCAAGCATCAACTCCTTCGGCTATCCAGCCAGCTCCTAATCCCCCTCCTTCGCTTGTTGTCAACCCTCAGGGCCCTTCTACTATACCAACGACACCTTCCTATCCTTCCGCACCCCCAGGGTACATGCCCGCTTCTTCTCAACCATTTGCGCCCTCTCTCCATTCCGAGTCACCATCCACCTCTAACGATCACCACGAGCACGGAGCTACCCTTGATCCTTCGTTGGACCATACAAATCATACAGACATGCAGAACGCCGTGCAACGCCCACAGGGCGAGCCCTCATACAAAGGTAAGTTCAAACTGGCACTGTGCAGGTTGGGTTTGAGCTAACGGTGTATTCTAGCCAAAAACCTCCATATCAACGACCTCTTCTCACTCAGAGGAATTGCCCCTCCTCCCCCTCATCCTGTCGCAACTCTACCCCCTGGTCGTCTCGAAGAAATCCAGGCGGTCTTCCTGGCTACATACGCACCTGCCATCGACAAACTTCTCGAAATTCGTTGGTATTCAGAAAAGGCACTCTCGTTCCTCATGGCCGACTCCCAGCTCATGGCTGATTATTCAGCTTTGATTGATGCTTTCAACGAATGGAATCTCCAAGATGGCGAAACACTTGCTCGTCTAGAAAGCTTCGAGGCATCGATCATCTGGAAGAGTATGGCGCTGTGTCGCCAGGTTCCCGATGCAGAAAGTGGACAACAAGGGCGTGACTGGAACCTATGTGTAGCATGCGCTCGGTTGAACGTTGTCGAGGCATTGCTCACATGGAACCACCTGGACTCGAACCCCCTATCACGGGAGCTCGTCATGGATGCCGCCAACCCCCCAAACACCCCGGATCAGTTCCAGAGCCGCCAATTGGATTTCTGGGACCAGGTCGGAGAATTCCTCACACTTTACGACAATGAAGCAAGCTCGGCCAAGCAGATCGATGACACGCTGAGCCGGTGCCGGCAATTGCTGGATACATACGAAAACCGCGACATCATCTACTCCATCACCGTCGCACGCCATCTGGGACAGCGCTGGGCCGATTTCCCCAACAGCTTGCCCAAGGTGGGTTACACCACCGAGAAAGAGGCAGGAACCAAGCTTTTCGTTGCGCAAAAGTTCCTCGAAGAAGAAGCCGAGGGCAAAGGCACAACGCAAATTTACAAGCGGGTTTGCTGTATGGCAGTTCGCTCGTGGTGGGTTGCCCGTGGGTAATCCATTACCTGCCTCGCCATTCTTCTTATTCCCTTTTGCATACGTGTTTCCCCCCACGGCTATTACACATTCGATCCTGCCTCGCAGAGGCTCACATCTTGTTCTTTTGCGAAAAAAAAGCATCATGGTTCAGGCGTTACGTTTCTTTTTCTACTGAATGATACGGTTCAATCTCCGTTTCCGATTTTGCTTTGCTTCTATCGGGGTTAGGGGGACTGGGCAGCGAGTAAAGCACCTTGGCGTTTCCGGCCTTTTCTTCCACCTGCTTGTGTGAATATTTTCTGTATCTAGCCTGAGTTCCATACCCTGTAACAGGTCTAGGCTACGGCTAGATGTGTTACTTCGAACAGCAAAAAAAGTCAAAAATTCTAATCCTGTGCATTTATTTGCTGTAAATGTAGATGTAGATGCAGAGAATACCCCATCCTATATTCAAGAAGTAGCGTCCAAGGGCACTTCAACCCGAATCCTGACTTCTCCTTCACCCTGAAACAAGAATCCAACATCCCTCGTCGAATCAACCAATTCAACTTCCCGGCGTACAAACCCACTATCTGAGCCATCGTGCTTCTGAAGCACTGTGTCCTGATCTGCCAGAGCCTCATCCTCACTATCATCCCAATCAACAGCTTCAACATTCTCCTTCTCCACAGGATCCCACTCATCCGTCTCCCAAACAAGCTTGAACCCAAATGCTGGGAGCCCAAAGAGCCGCGAGACAAGCGCTTTGACTTGGTATGTATCGAATGAACCCGGAATCTCCTTTGTGCGGACTTCCGATACATACTCGCTGTTTTGGGATAGACGGAATGCCATTTTCACTAGTCGTGCTGCTACGGACCGCGGCTGAATGACCCTTGAACCGGAAATAGATATGACAGCTCTGGTGATGGTGGGCTCGGTGTATAATTCGCATAACTCGCTGTATCGCGGGTGTGTGGCTAGGATGGCGGGTTCTTCGGCTTCGGCTGTTGCGGAGAGTTCTCTCCCGATGAGGGAGAGGTAGTACATCTCTGCGTTTGAACGGTCTGTTGGTTTGATGGTGCTGTAGTTTAGGGTTGTGAGGGAGGACGGGAAGCGGGAGAGGGTTAGCATGAAGGCTTCATCGACGGTCATTGGTTTTGAGGGTTCCGTTGTAGCTGTGACGGATAGTGGGAGGGGTGGTTGGTCGTAGAGGGGGTTGTCGGAGATGCGGAGGGTTGTTAGACCTGGAAAGAGGGTGGGGAGTCTGTTGAGGAAGGCCCATGAGGCGATTTTGTTGCGGGAGAGGTCGAGGGACTGGAGGGTTTGGGAGAATTGGAAGTCCATGGTGGTTGTGTCATTGTTCACGGTGTCGATGGCATTGCCTCGGACAGAGAGATGCTGCAGGTTTGGGAGGGCAGCGAGATGCCGGAGGTTTGATATTGAGGTGAATTCGTTGTACTCGAGGGTTAATGTGGTGATGGTGTTGGGGAGTGGACAGGATATCTCAGAGAGCTGGTTGGCTGATGCCGTGAGAGATGCTAAGCCAAGGAATTGGGATGTGACAGCAGCAATCTATGATGGTCAGCTCATATTTCATGCAGATGAGTGTAGTGAATACTTCATCCCAACTTAGCAGCGTGTCTTCTAGATGCAGTTCAGTGATCCCCTCAAAGATCAGATCATCTAAAGCTTGGAATCGGTTTCCACTATCGTCTGGTTAGACACATCCTGGAATCATATGACAGAGGCTTTAATTACTTCAACTTCAACCGTTTCAGGTGCTTAAGTTGGTTGCAAATGTCCCAAACGTCGCGCCACCTGCTCAATAAACTTCGACTGAGATCCAATTCGATGATCTTGGGACAAGTTTCAGCAATCTTTTGAGCTGCATCTTCATCTTGTACCTGGTCATAGGACGAAAGCACGCCAACAACTAGGAGGCCATCTAGCAAGACAATCCGCAGCTCTTTGAGTTCCGCGAGTTGCTTTCGGATCTTGTCAAAGCCAACTTCTTCAACGACTTTGCCGCTGATTTTGATTGCCTTCTTGCGAGATGATTCGCTAACAGCCAGGCATGAAAGATCTTCAAACTCAGAAGCGTACTTCTCTCGCAAGGCTTCGAGGAAGCTCCGGGGTTGATCTGATGGCCTGGAGGGGCGAACGAAAGACCCCGCCACAGGCTGTTTGCTCTTGCCTAAAACCGAGTTAGCCAAATAGCCTTGTATACAGTTATACCAACTCACATGAGAAATATCTGATCCCTTTATGCTCTCCTGAATGCTTGCCCCGGGTTGCGTCGTCCCACTCGACGCCCAACCAGTCGCCTGTGGTCCCTTGAACAATGCCCACGTAGCGAATGGTGCATAAATGACCATCGAAAGACCGACGTTGGCCTATAACTGAGGTGCTCATAGCTCCAACAGACCTGAGGTCTCCTTTGTTTAAGAGAGTCCGCTTTCTACTGTGATATCCATGGATGGAAAAGACCCGCTTACCTAATCTCCAGGCCTTTCGAAGCTGGGCCGATTTGATCTTCATCAACTTTCTTAAAGCGACTGCGCCGACATCATGGATTACCAGGTATGTCACCCTTTATAACCCGGAGCAGTGAAATGAATCCACCATATCAGCTCAGTAAATTTGATGCTAACACGCGGCCCAGAACCGCGCAGGCTCCAAATTCGGCGGCGGCGGCGTCGCCTCCCAATCCGCAACCAACGCCGACCGTCGCGAGCGACTGCGCAAGCTCGCGCTCGAATCAATCGATCTCGACAAAGACCCCTACTTCTTCAAGAACCACGTCGGTAGCTTTGAGTGCCGACTTTGCCTAACAGTCCACCAAAATGACGGCTCCTACCTAGCCCATACGCAAGGCAAAAAGCACCAAACGAACCTCGCCCGCCGAGCGGCGCGCGAGCAGCGTGAAGGCCGGAACCAGGACCCTTCATCTTTGCCTGGCGTTATGGGCGTGCAGGTCAAGAAGCAGATGATCAAGATTGGCCGGCCCGGATACAAAATCACCAAGATTCAGGATCCCCTGACTCGCCAGCTTGGTTTGCTATTCCAGTTGCAATACCAGGAGATCACGCCTGGTGTTGTGCCCCGCGTCCGTATCATGTCGGCTTTTGAGCAGAAAATCGAGGAGCCTGATAGTCATTATCAGTATCTGGTTGTTGCTGCGGAGCCGTACCAGAGCTGTGGGTTTAAGTTGCAGGCTAAGGAGATTGATCGTCGGGAGGATCGGTATTGGACTTGGTTCGATGAGGATAGCAAGGAATTCTGGGTGCAGATTATGTTCAAGACTGAGCGTGAGGAGCGGTTCAGTGGTGTGCCTGGTTTGGCGCCTATGCGGGATTGATTGATATTTTCTCTTCGCTATCTACTCTGTCTTTCGGATGACAAAATATCGTTGTCTCTTGTCTCTATGGTGGGAATTGGGACCAGGCGTTTGGGGGTTCCATGTGCATAATTTGTTTACCTCGAGCGATTGGCTTTATGGCAATTGACGTTCTACTTATGATGGCAATACCATCTACAATACTTTCAAGATATTTCTTGTAGACATTCTGTACAGCAAGGTTTTGAAAAGTCATGTTCCTATCCTTGACTCTACAGCTTTGCTTATAGTACATGCATGCGTAGTCTGATCGTTGTAGGAAAGTTACAGTCACTACAATACCGATATATCGCCTAAAAATAGAGTCCATTTGTTCTCTCGGGGGACCCTATCCTAGTAGACCAAGGCTAACTAGGAACTGCTCTTAACAGGATACCCCCGAAAAATAGTATGCGTGCCTCGGAAGAAAATGCAGGGCGTTAGATATCAACAAGTGAAACCAAAGGTGGGTCATGATTCAGGAAAACATCGCGCTGATATGCTCAATGATAATGTGTAGAGATGAAAACAAAACCGAGTGTTGTCTGGTCGACAAAACAGGATGCTTAAAAAACGGATGCAAGCCCAGCCTGCTTCCTAGAATCTTCCAGCGTCAATCGATCAGTCTCGGATTACGTGCAAGCCTAGTTACTCTGGAAGGCGTTGAAGGCCTTGTAGGTGTAACCGATGAATGGCAGACTCATCTCGGCTTCCTGTGAGTCCGGCATGGCACGAGCCTGGGCACGGTGGATGGCGCTGGTATCCTCCTGTGGGATCTCATCAATGGGGAAGTATGACACATCGATGTTGGAGCTGAGGCGTGGCTCGAAGGGAGCGCGAATGCTCCGCAATTGATCCCAGACAACTCCTCTGAAGAAGGGATGGTTCTTGATCTGTGACGCGCCTCCATGTTGGCCACCATCGCTGCCGATACGGTGGTCGGGGTCACAAAGGAAACTAGAAGAGTTAGCAGATATTCCCTTTTTACCTTGGGAGAAAAAGCTTACCTCCGGATCAGGGACTCGGAATCACGCGAGAGAACCAGCTCATCAGGGAAGTACAAGCACTCTCTCCAGTTGACGATCTTCCGGTAGGTATCGGTTGTGTCCTCCGCACAGAAAGGAGGCCAGCCAACCAGACATTCGAACATGATAGCACCAACAGACCACCAATCGCAAAGGTAGGTATATCCTTGGCCGTTGAAGATTTCAGGCGCAATATAATCCGGAGTTCCAACAGTCGAGTAGGCCATGGCACGACGGGACTTTCGCCAGGTGTTGATTTGTCCACGGTTGGATACCGTGAGGTTAATCGCATCATTAAAGTAACCAGAGTTGCGGTTCCGGTCCTTGGAAGTAGAGTTTTTGAGAAGGTTCTGGTAATAAGCGTTATCGTGGGTCTTTTTGCCTCCGGTCGAAAGACCAAAATCGGTAAGCTTGACGTGACCACCGCGGTCAAGCAAGATGTTGTCGGGTTTGATGTCACTGTCCGTTTGTCAGTATTCAGTTGAACAAGTTGCGCATTGGGTCACTTAGGTCACCTACCGGTGAAGGAAGCCAAGCTTGTGCACAGCCTCTATTGCCATCACAACTTCGGCCATGTAGAAGCGGGTGATATCCTCGGAGAAGATCTCGTATTTGATCAACATGGTCATCAAATCACCACCAGGCAAGAACTCCATCAGCAGGTAAAGATACGCAGTGTCCTGGAACGAAGCATGTAGCTTGACCAGCCAAGGGTTGTCCTTTGAGTCCGCCAAAATATCACGCTCAGCACGGACGTGGGCGAGTTGATCCTTCTTGAACATTTCCGTCTTGATCAAAGACTTGAGAGCGTAGATTTTGCCATCGGTCTTGCGCTGCACGAGCTTGACCTCACCAAAAGCACCCTTTCCAATAATCTTGATAGTCTGGAAGTTGTTCGGAGTCTCCTTGGTGCGTAGGAATCGAAGGAAGTCGGATTCTCTTTTTGAGATGACATCGGCATCCTGGCGCTTCTTCTCAATGGGGAGGTTGGGGTCACGAATTGTTTTGTCGAGTTCCGCCGAGCTGCAAAAAAAAAAAAAAAAAAAAGGTTAGAGCAAAGCAAAGCTTCAGGCGTGTGTACACTTACCGCATGTTACGGTCACGGGCCCGCTCAATGTTCTCGTGGAAAAACACAGTCACAAGCTCCTTCGCGGCCTTGCCCCGCTTGTGCACATTCTCTGAGTACCGGTCGGGGAAACGTTGCAATTCCTCATTCTCAGAGGGGGGTCGAGGGCTACGGGGCACTGGGGGAATCAGGTGTGAAGCCTGGGCCGGGGCCTGGGCCGGAGAACCACCAGCGGTGCGAGGCCGCTGGGCTGGCGATGCAGCCCGATTGAAGAAGCCTGCTCGGTTCGCATTGAGGTCCTGGTTAGAAAATTGCTGGATCAAGCCGTTGGTACCGTCATTGGCGTAGCCCATGCGCTGTTGGTAGGCGGGTTGGGGCGATTGCAAGGCTTGCTGCTGAGCGTACTGCTGCTGTTGCTGCTGTTGCTGGGCATACTGCGCCTGCACCTGAGGTGGGTAGGGCTGAGGCATGAAGTAACCCGGTGCATACGCTGGGTTGGAGGGATCGACATAGTCCTGAGCCCCCTGAGTCTGATAGATGGGCTGGGGAAACGCGGAGGGAGTGGTGGGATAGGCACGGTTGTTGGCATTGCCATTGTAGTTACGGTCATTGTACCCGTAGTTCATGTTGTTCCTGTTATTCGGATCCATCTTGACAGGACGGGGAAGAAAGGTGGATGAGAAAGAAAGAAAGAGGGCGGGGAGTAAAGAAGCGGTGGCTCAGGAGGCAATCTAGCCCCTCCAATCAAGGTGACGGGTTTACTTGATTTGTTCGATTTGACCTGAAACACGATGTGCTGCGAGTTTGTGATGCTTCGAAGTGTTTCTAGGACGCACGAGCAGGTGGCTAAACAGTTCTAGTGAATATACACTGCCAATATTGAAGGTCTTAAGGGCTACGGGTAGCTATACCCCAATCTAGTGTGATTGTGGCATATATCTACACATTCTATATCACAACAAACACCCCTCCGAATACAGAGTACTAACACAAAGGATGACACAATCCAGGGGGAGGGGTATGTACTGTGCACAGGAATGTCAGGCTCCATGCGAGTTCGAAGCGTCGTATTGCATGCCGTAAGGATTTCAGTCTGGACCGGGCAGATCTCACATAACTTGCCCCAAGAACCTACAAACAGATAAGTATTGGCCAGGGGTCCGAAGCAAACCTGATCGACACCAAGAGCATCATGCATCGGCCAAGATGAAGTCGACGCGAGTTTGTCCAGTGCTTGATCACGTGAACGGACTAACATAACCCCGAGGGCGACTTTTTCCCCGAACGAGTATGCCCCGGGTGTACTCCGTGTCTTGAGCGTACCTTCAATCTCTCCAATATCCAGCTCCAATGGCGGATTCATCAAGTGCTGCTGCGGCCACAGGCGCCAGCAAGCCCACCGCGGCTCCGAAGCCGCCAAACCCAGTGTTCGCAATGATGGGTGCGGCTCTATTCCCAAGATTTTGTCCGCCAAAGATGCTAACGCTCGTGATAACAGGCATGCCCAACTTTCGCTTCAAATTGCCCTCCCGCAACTGGATGATCTTTCTCACAATCACTGGATCATTCACGGGTGCCCTCATCTATGACCGTCGCCAGAAACGCCGTGCGCAACAAAAATGGTCGGAGCTCGTGGCTCACCTTGCGAACGATCCCCTACCCATTGACCAGATGCGCCGCAAGATGACTGTCTACCTAGCTGCACCACCTGGGGATGGCCTGCGCGTGGCCCGGGACCATTTCAAGGAATATGTCAAGCCGATCCTGGTCGCCGCCGCGTTGGACTACACGGTGATCGAAGGACGGCGAGAGGGAGACGTGCGAGCCAGCATGGCGGAGAACATTCGCAAGCAGCGCCGCAAGGCCGGTGAACCAAGCTCAGCTGCCGAGGAAACTGGTGTCGAGGCAATTGTTGCCGAGACGCGCGAACGCATCGGTATCTCCGATGAACCCGGCCCCAAGGGTGATCTCGTGATTGGCAGACATACCTGGAAGGAATACATCCGCGGATTGCACGAGGGCTGGCTTGGACCGCTGGACGCACCACCTCCACCCCCTGCCCCGGCTCCCGACGAGATCCCGGAGACAGTTGAGGGCATCGACGCGGACGTTCCCGCCGAGACTGCCGAGGCCGACAAGGAGAGCTCCGAAACCAAGACGGATGCCGAGAAGGAAGAAAAACCCAAGCCCGCCGGTCCTACGCCCGCATACATCGCTCCCACCGACTACTCGTCCGCTAGCCTACCCCCTACCCTCCCCCACTCCTTCGACAGCTCCATTCCCGTCGAATTCCCTCACATTCTCGGCTTCCTCAAGACCCCAATCCGAATCTACCGCTTCCTCACACAGCGGCACCTCGCCGATAGCGTCGGCCGCGACGTTGCTGCAATTGTTCTCGCAGCAAATGCCCGGCCATACAGCGACGATGTTCTCAACCCAGACTCCGAGACCACCGGTGCAAGCGTTGACCCTACCCCCACTCCCGACAGCTCATTCGCCGACCTCCCATCTCGCAATTTCGAGCAACAGACCGTCCTAGAGGCCGCTGAGAAGGAGTGGCACAAATCCGTGCACAAGCACGAAGAAGGCGAGGGGGAGCGCGTCTGGCTGAACGACATCGTTCTCGATCCCCGCATTGCCTCGCGCATGCAGCGTGCCGTTCTCTCACCGGAGGATGAGGCCCGTTCCCAGCGTATCGCCGAGCAGCAGGAGTACATCCTTGGCGAAGAACGTCCCGCTCCTGTTCCTTTCTGGAAGCGCATGTGGATCGACCATGGCTACGGCGAGAGCGAGGAGGCCCTGAAGCGCAAGCCGATTTTGGGTAACATTGACGGAGAGGATGGACAGTGAGAAAAGAACAAAAGCAGATGTTCAAACATATATTTCGCCTTGATCTTGATGGTTTGAACTTTGTTTCATTTAATAGAACGGTTTATGGGATCCACGGATGGGGTTCTTTTTCGCTGGCATTTTGAGCACGGCTTGTGTGTTGTCTTTGTTTTTGCATATCCTGACTCCCCCTCGGCTTGTACATTAAAGGCGCTTTTATGTTTGTGTTAATGTCGATTTAGAGATGTACATTGTCAAGGAAACATTGTTTGATTTGGGTAGATTGGTGTCTACCTTGAGCCATATCACTGGCAATAGATACTGATACATTGGATCCTCTCTGTATTTGTATACTTTCCAGACATTGAATCATGTCGGAATATATTCTCTCTCCCGTCTTTCTCTATGTTCGCCCCTTTTTTTCTCATTCCACATTCCAATTTTCACTTCTTCTCGCAAGTGCATACATCGCTACGTAGCTGATCCTCGAAGCGGGGATGTCACTTGCGGAAGATGAATGCCGCGTGTCGGTCCAATTGTATCAGTTCAGTTCAACTGGAAAACGGAAGACTCGGGCCACTTCTTGCTCGCCTTCTCGGCGTAAGCGGTCTTGTCACTGCCCCACTTGTCCAACAACTCAAGAGCGATAGCAGCCTCGTCGATGGTGATCTCAGGAGCATCAAGGGTGGCAAGGAGCTCTTTCTCGCACTGCGACTTGGACTCTGGCTTCAAGAGCTGGCGTCCAGACAGAGCGGCCTGTACGTGAGCGACACTACCCTTGTTGGACAGAAGGTAGGACTCGTTCCATTCCTCAAGCTTCTGGGATTTGGAGAGGAGCTTCTCGAATTCGGCGTTGACAGCCTCAGCGGCCTGCTCGGGTAGAGGCTCGGAAATGGCGTCCAGGGCCTTGCGGAAGCGAAGCAATTGAAGGTGAAGAGTGGGGTTTGAGGGGTCGATAGCGTGAGCAGCCGAGAGGCACTTGACGGCAAGGAGGTGCTTGTCTGTGAGTGTGTTAATATTCAAGTCCAGTCTAGATCATATTGGATAAAACTGACTCTTTCGGAGGTAAACCTCGAAGCCAAGACATTGAGCCTCAATGTTCTTAGTGCCGAATTCGAGCAATGGGGACAGGAACTTCATCACGTCCTTCAGGGGGTCCTGGGTCTGGACCAATGTGTTGCCCAGAGGGTCCGGGTCCTCCTTCTTTGTTTCTCCGTCAACGCTCTTGGCATTAGCAGCGGCGGCCTTTCTTGCCTCACGCTTGTCAGCTTCGATCTTCTCCAAACGCTGCTGTTCCTTCTTGGCCTTCTTGAGAGCCTTCTTTCTCTCATTCTCATCGGTAGAATCAAGTCCATTGGCTCCGCTGGGCATGGGTCCGTGAACAAGATCGGGCTGATCGTGAAGAAGCAAATAGGCCTTGACAGCACCGAGAGCCATTCTTGTGTAGAAGGGGTGCTCGCGCAGGCGGTCTTCCCAGCGAACCATGTCCACGTAGGCCCTGATCATACCCTTGCGGAGAGAGAAGCTGTGGAAGTCGAACTGATCCTCCTGCCAGGTATCGAAGATGTTATAAACCGAGTGGAAGCGCTTCAGAGCAAGACCAAGCTTCTTCTGTCGGAGGAATGCCTCGGCGTCCTCGGTCAAGAACCAGGTGCATTGCATCTCATGGAGATCGCCCAATGCGCCACCGACGGTCTCATTGCGAGTGAATTTGCTCATGAGATCCAGTCCCTTTTCGTTTTCGTTGTTGCGGAGCGCATACTTGGCCGCCTTGGTGTTGATGTGGCGATCCTTCTCGTCTAGTAGGCGAGCCTTCTCCATCTCTTCTGCTGCTCTGGCCGAATTACCATAGTGCTTCCAGATGCGCGCCTTGGTCATCTGGTACTCCACGGCCTTGGGTGACTGTTCAATGGCCTTGTCGACATTCTCCATCGCCTTGGCGAGGTTGCGGCTGAGGTGGTAGTTGTAGTGTTGAGCCAGGAAGTAGTATGTGCATGACAAGAACTCATTCTCGCCCTTCGACTCGGCGGAGCCATTTGGCTTGGAGCTTGCCTCAGACACATAACTTTCCACTAATCCCTGTACCACGTCACGCTTGGCAGGGTTGGTGTAGAGGTGCTTGATGTTGACGAATAATGAAGGAACGCCCTTCTTCAGCATGCGCTGCAGGTAGGCATCGGCGGTCTGCTTGAATTCGTCGCCTTCTAGGAAATCGAGGGGGATGCGACGAGCAGCATCACAACGGGGGTTCTTCTGTACCCACTCATCGTATAGAGCCTTCAATGCTTTGTGGTCGGTTTCTGGGATAGCCTTGGCCAGGATCAAACCATTATAATAGATCGAGTTGTCCGGGTTCCGCTCCAGGAGTGCTGTATAGGCCGCCTCGGCTTCCGCCTTGCGGTCCAGTCGCAAAAGATAATCCGCCTTCATCTCCATGACTGCGAGCACATCGGTACACCGGTATCCAACGGCCTCAAGGTGTTCCAAAGCTCTCTCAAGGTTTCCAGACTCCGCGATGATCGAGTTCTTGTACAGAATAGCCTCGGAGTTTTCCATATCGGCGACGGGCGGTGTGGTGCCCTTTAATGTGTCCTCGTAAGTGGTTAAAACTTTTTCGGCTTCCTCGAGATCTCCGGCCAAGTGATGGGCAATCGCGAGAGCGGTCCAGTTCTGGCGGAATCCGGGGCGAGCTTGCAGCATCGCACTACGGCTCTGGATGTATCCCTGGTAGTCCCGCATCTGCATCTGGAGCAGCGCGAGATCACGCTGAATGGGTTGCGATTCGGGCTCAAGGCGCAGAGCAAATCGGTAGGCCTTGATGGCCTCCTCGTAGTTCTTTTCTTGGCGGTACAGCAATCCATAGACGTGCCAGGTGATATGCGACTTCATGTCATTCCGAAGAGCCTCCTTGGCGAGTGCAAAGGCCTCCTCCGATTGCCCAATCTGGCTCATGTTGAGAGCCTTCATCGCCTGGGTGTCGCCATGGGTAGGGTTCTTGCGAAGAACCTGTTCTGCCGTCTTGATACCTATTGAAGAGCAACGTGGTTAGACAGCAGTAGATTTGGGGAGGGAGGGACGCACCTTTCTTGTACTGCTTCATCTCAAAGTGGCGAACCACTTGACGAAACAAGGACTGGTCCTTGGAGTTCAATGGTTGCGGCATGGTGGGCGATGCTGATGGAGAACCTGTGTGCGAGGGAGGAAACGATGTGTGCGGGGGACGAGACCTCCGAGTCCGACCTTGGCAGAATGAACAGGCCGATAAGAGATAGCCCTGCGTTTCTTCACCTACGTCTTTATAGAAGGACAAGAATTTAAAGTTTGATAGAGATTTGATGATGTATACCTTTCTTTTGCTTGCTTATTTTATTTCAATCAGTGACAGTGAGTAGGTCGTCATAAATTCTACGCCTATAGCCTTAAAGCATCATCTAAAATATCTATCACTTGGTAGTATATGCTTGATGAAGTTTATTTGGAAAAGTTTTTATATGCATTATTCGGTATCGAAATCCATGCCATATGATACTTAGCCCGGTATAGGACCTGATAGGCTTTCACTACAGAGTACCGCCAGGATAATCCATCAACCTTGAGCTGTACGTGTTATACATGAGTTGGACGGCGGAAGCCATGAAATTATAGCTATGCAGTAATGTACAAGTGGAGATGAAACATAGATCTGCGGCGAGAGTTGAGCAGACCGATTCGAGTGCAGCGAGGCATGGGCCCTGCCATATCTACTTCTGACGATCATGGCGCCAGCTGTCAAGAGCATCCTGCCACGACGTAGAACTACTGCATTTCTCTGAAACCATTCCCCATGTCCGAGCTCGAATGATGTCTTCAATGGTGCGCTCATTGCGAACCAAATTTGCCAACGACTCGGTCCTCGCTTCGCGAGGGAAGAACCGAGCAGAGTATGGGTCTAATCGCTCATCAACCACTCGTTCTCGGTCTCTGGCGGATTCTGTCTCTCGAAGGATCAAATCCGGGTCATCAGGGTCGGGACTCGTAGCCACACCGGCGCAGTAGTTTAGAACATCTGATCTTGTCTGCCATGACGGAAATAGCACATTTTCCTTGAAGCCCTGGCAGGCGGCGGGGTGGATATTCCTCCGGGATCGAGAGTCGGTCTGTCGCACTGCGGTTGATGCTGGGTCAAAGCCCTCCTTAGCCGGTGTGATCAACGCATTGAGGTTCTGTGTTATCGAATCGTCGATTGTCGATCTCGAAAGTCGGAGAAAATCTGAATAGAGACGGAGATGTTAATCGATGTTGAGCGCGGGGGTATCACTTCTAACAAACCTCTGAGTAGTCTCTCGTCAAAACAAAACCGAGGAGTGAGCGCCGGGGCCTCCGTTGATGAGACCTGTGACATTCTGCTGCGAGCTTCCTCCCCAAATTCTCGATTTGACTTGATCCAAAACCACTCCAGTTTGAAGACGATATTTGTTGATATATATCAGAGTCACTTGTATGGTCACAGGTTTAGTGTGTAGTTATTTCATGGAGCGTAGTTCGATGTGATAGAAGTAATGGATTGGCGACCTGTGACGGAGAGCATCGTCAGCCCAAGCTCACCGAGGTCCACCGCATTAGACCGTATTAGGCCTAGCGTACTCGAAGTTGATGCCTCAGGATCGAAAGCACAGCATATTTATATGCAGTTGATTTGAATGGAGCAATTCAGTTGAATTATAATTAAAGAAAAACTTGTGACCGCGTCCAATAAGTATATAGCTTTAAGAGCAGATATTATTTTCTTATGAGCGCTATACTACATCTATATCTAGACTAGATTCCTGCTTTTACAACCTACTTATTTTATAGCCACATTCATACTACATAGGTGGTGCCTCGCATGCCAAGCACATCCTGAGGAGGGATTTGATCTTGTTTAGAATGAAAATGCCGGTGATGACTAGCAAGTTTGTTAGACTTCGATCTAGATTATTAGGAATCAGGGCAAAGAAGCAAAGGACAAGAACAAATCCCCTACTGAGCAAGGAACCAACTACTGTTAAGAATTTAATCACCTGACTACCTAAATGCAAATACTTGGCCTATCTTCGGGGCTTCGGGATCATTCATGGGAAGTCGGCGTCACAATCGGCATGCCGACACTGCGCAGGAAGAGTCAATCGTACGAAAACCAACCAAAGGTCACAATAAAACGCTGTTTGGTATTGGCAAAATAAATCACCGAACACCGACTCCCAGACCTTTAAAGAACAATTACGTACTTGGAGACTGCAGGCCCTCGAGAGATTACTAAGCATGTGACCAAGACGCGTGGACTCGCGCCCTATCAATTAGACGCGACCCTTCCGACATCACATTCTGACCACTGCATTAATTGCTTACGCCATAACTCCTTTGAACAAAAACATCTGTACATGCAATTTATTTCAGCTTTCTCATCTTCGTCACCTGAAATTCCACCCCAAGATGCCTGAGCTCGCGGAAGTCCACCGCATCGTGCATTTCATTCGCCAACACTTGGTTGGGAAGACGTTGTCCAAAGTCCAAGCGCAAGATGACGCGGTTGTATTCGGAAAAGTAGGAACCAGTGCCTCTGAGTTTCAGCAAGCAATGCAGGGGAAGAAAATCGTGGGAGCCGGTCAGCAAGGGAAATATTTCTGGATTACAATGTCTTCACCACCACATGCTGTGATGCACTTTGGAATGACTGGGTGGTTCAAGATCAAAGATGCCGACACATACTACTACCAAAGTGACAAGCCCGCTGATAAGGAATGGCCTCCTAAGTACTGGAAGTTCTTGATGGAGACAAGTGATGAGGCCAAAACTGAGGCTGCATTCGTGGATGCCCGCAGGCTTGGTCGTATAAGGCTTGTTGATTGTCCGGCCGATGAGATTCGAAACCACACTCCACTGAAAGAGAACGGACCTGATCCAGTCACCGATAAAGACATTGTCAATGAAGCTTGGTTGATAGAGAAGCTGAGGAAGAAGAAAGTGCCTATCAAAGCTCTTCTGCTGGATCAGGCTAACATAAGTGGAATTGGGAATTGGATGGGGTAAGTTATTCGGCTAAATGTCTCTTTGACCATAGTCGGGCTAACCCTCTTCAGCGATGAGATTCTCTACCATGCCAAGATACACCCAGAGCAATACAGCAATACTTTGAATGACGATCAGATCAAGGAGCTACACTCCTCTATCCACTATGTTTGCTCGACCTCAATTGGTGTACTGGCAGACTCAGAGAAGTTCCCTGAGCACTGGCTTTTCAAACACCGCTGGGGCAAGGGAAAGAAGAACCAACCAGCGGTCCTTCCAAACGGAGATAAGATCACTTTCCTTACGGTTGGAGGTCGGACAAGTGCCGTTGTTGCAGCTGTCCAGAAGAAGACCGGTGCCGTCGCCAAGGAAGTTGATGAGGATGCCACAAACGGGACGCCAGCTAGCTCTGGACGTAAGCGTGCCGCCCCGAAAACGGAAGAGGATTCAGAAACAGAAGAAGTACCGAAAGCCAAGAAGCGAGGGTCACCTAAACAAAAGCAAGCAATTGTGAAGAATGAGGAGCCTGAAGAGGAGAAGGCCAAGCCAGCCACTACGGGTAGAAGACGATCTACTCGTGCAAAGTAAGGGAGTTTACTTGTGTTATACATGTACTTGTTAACTCTCGGTTTTTCTAAGTTGTTTATGAAATCTGATACACCTTGCCATCTTGAACCTTATTTAGAAGAAAATCCACTCTCTTCTTGTTCTATAGAAATGGTATAGATCATAACCTCTAACCCTTTCATCAGCTGCGGAGGAGCGCCAAATTTATAAGAAAAGATTGTCCTCTGTGGTTCAAGGCCGCATGCGCTGCGAACATTGAGGACCTCTTCTGGCGGCAAGGCAGTAGGGACGAGGTAGACAGTGAATCTCTAAATTACAAGAGTATAAGAGAGCTAGGCTCCCCGGGCCCGAGCTATGTGAGTGTTGGGTATCGGACTTTGATCCGGCAGCAAGATGATCTAGCTAGGAACTATGACGAAGAAGCGTTCCTTTACGGAATCAAACAATTCCCTACACTCAAGAAAGTGACGGTCACGCCTGCCGCCCATGGTATTCTTTACACTCCACTTTACCAAAACTCCAATGATCCGATCATCCCCACTAGGATTCAATTATCCTGTCCCCGCGGATGGCCAATTCCCGTCCACGACCAACCAGAAGAAGTGTTTGCGTTTCCTTGGCAGAGCTTCGATGAGAAGCATAAAGGAAACTATCACGGATTCCGTATTGTGACACGCGCGCTCGCTCAACAAAGTTATGGCGTGATCGAGCTTAGTCTAGATGCCCACTAACTTCGTACGGGGATCAATTGTACAATCCTCGATGATCCCTCCGCGGAGTACGATCACTTAGTCACGGTGGTTAGGCAACTGGGCTTCCATCACCTCGATGTTTCCTTTACTATCGGCGGAATAGAGCGCAGACCGAACTAGCGATCATTTCCCCATGGTAGGCTTTACCAGGCTTTGAGCGAAGCCGGCGATATGGAGGAGATCAGCCTCTCTACCACGGGGATAGATGCTGAAAACGAGGGCAAGGATATGCAAAATACCACGTCTGTGCCCTTAAGGAGCATATTCCCTGTTGATAAAGGGCTCAAATCCGACACTTTGAATTATCACGTTTCATAGTCAGCCAACCCGACGTCGTGTCATTTCTTTCAGGACTACCGGGTACTCTCCGGTCCGTGAACTTGAGCTTTCTGGTATTCGTCGATAACGGCAATTGTTAGCGTACTTTCATCGCGGAGATGCGCGAAAAGACTCGTGAGAAACGTCTCTGGCCAGACCAAGGACTAAATGTCACCATCGGCTACGAGCAAAAGATCAGTCTCCCGGGGCGTGCAAATGGCTTAGAATGGAGATAGATGAATTCTTATACGAAGCCGGAGAAAACCCATTCCTCTGCCCTCCACACAATATGGCAAGGCTGGAATTTGGAACAGAGAAAGATGCATTGGTTCACAATAACTAGTCCCCTCCTGTTCATTTCAACACTCATAACAGAGATATGGGCCCTTCCGAATACATGAAATACTCTCCTTGACCTCAATAGAAATGTACGTCGGAAAGATGCAAGTCTGATTAAAGCGCCAGTAAAATGCAGGCATATTCCTCCGAGGAGAGACTGCCATGCACCCGAAACCATATCTTGTGCCCAAAAGGCAAAACTAACTTGAAAAGGCAATTCATAGCTCCGCCGTTTATAAAAAAGTCATAATATGAAGCAATCCGCGTAAGTACTCATATATGCTCTTCCACAAAAGTGGAAGCAAAAATCAATTTACAACTAAAGAAACGCATAAAGAATTGACTTACTCGATATTTTCGTAATCAGTTTCCACATCTTCATGCAAAGTGGCATGGAAGATTTTATAGTTACCCTCATTGCTTGCATCATAGATGGCAAAAACAATCAGATCAAAGAAGCCCTGGAACTCTACCTCATTGAGTACCTCTTTCCAGCAATCAGCCACCTCCTGAACCGGATGACCAATCATGCCACAGCCAAGGGCGCCTAGAATTAGGCGTTGGTGACGATTGTGTCCTGCCGTGCGTAGGATCATTCGCATCTTATCTTTCGTAAGTTTATGATCAGTGTCATTCAGATACTTGTTGGCTTCGGTCGTAGGTGGGTGCCTTTGCGCAGCCATGCTGATGACACTGACTTGTGGGAGCGGGTCTCGCTTGTTCGACCACATGTAGCTATACCCTCGCTTCTCATTCTCACGGAAAATTATCACATGGGGTGAGTAAATACATTCCTTGTCGCCCATAGGGTAAAGTCGGGGCAAGAGAGTCTCACTGAGGGTGCTTCGGTAGCAAAGTTGTTCCTCCTGAGCAGAGGCACCACGAAGCCAACCACCCCCGATAGTCTCGGCATTTGCAAAATTGAGAACACAGACTGGCATTGGATCAGCATGATCCATGAGATCGCGGGCGTTATGAAGGGCGACGGCGACATCATATGTATCTCCCTGCACGACTATTACCCGAGTGGACAGATCCTGACATTCTTCCATTTTAGAGTTCAGAGGGCCAACATTGTCCTTGGTAACTTTGTAACCCAGCCGAGATCCAGCGTCTGCCGAGCGCAAAATGGTTGGAATATGAGCTATTGTCTCTTGGGCTACCTGCTTTCTGCCTGCAGGGCTTAGACGTACTGCCTTTGCCGGCTTGGTTATACGGGAATTAGCTCCTTTGACTTTGTGAACAGTCGCAGGTCCCTTCTTACTGGGGGCGGCTCCTCTGGGGCCGGCCTGGAAGTAGGAACTGAGTTTCCGCATTTCAATATTTGGTAGGGTGGCGGGGTCGGCTGTTAGATCAAGGGGACCTCGAGCTGCAGTGTACGCATCTGAAATTGTGGATCTTGAAAGGTAGTCAGAAAGACGTCTGAGATGGGGTGAATTTTGGATTGAGACATCCCGTGGATCTTCCATTGGGTGATCTCGGGAGAAGAGTGGTCCCTTTTGACCGTGATCTCGACCTCGGCCTCGGTAGCCATAAGGTCGGTAGCTCGGTGCGTGTGCCATTGGGTGATCTCTCTGTCCACTCTCGGATTTTTGCCTGAGGTTGAATTTCTGTATGTGGTTCCCGCCACCTCGACCTCGCCGGCCATTATACCTACTGGTATTGGTGCTCGACCTTGGTTGTGTTCGGTTGCTACTAAAGGAATAACCGTACTTGAGCTGGGGACCTCGCTGCTGGTTGTTTGCGTCGTCCATGTTTGATAAAGTAAAACCTAGATGAATGTAAAAGTATAGTAGAAAATTGAGAAGTTGAAGACGAGGTCGGAGACCGCTTTATGAAGGATTACAACCATGTTATCGATAGAACAAGTAGACTTGAACAATGGTAGACACGAACAATGAGTTCAAAGAGTTAAAAAGAAGACGTATACTTCGGGAACAATCAATGGCAGAATCTCAGCGGTGAGGTTCCAACGTTATCTCCGATCTCGCCACCGATGACAAAGCGCGTAACGCCGTTGGCCCAAAGTTCCAAGGTTGGTTAATAATACGATCTATTCTAATTTTCCAGATCTCTCAGTCTTTGATCTTTCACAAAGCTATACATACTTAAAATATCACAGTTCCTCCTTTGTTTCGTTCAGCGAGATCTATCTTGCTAAAAGCGGTACCCCGCCACAATGAGCGCGATCCTTTCGGCAGACGATCTGAATGATTTCATTTCGCCGGGGGTCGCGTGTATCAAGCCAGTTGAATCACTTCCGCAAAAAGATACGAAAGACTCGGAGGTAAGCCTTCTTTCGCGCTGGTCGAACGCTTTCCCGGTGCATATTGAGGATATTCTGGCTAATTTTGAACCATAGAACTCCTATGAAGTGACTACCGAAGACAAAGTTCAACCAGAAGAACTACCGCCCGCGCAGATCTCTCTGACTGACTGCCTTGCTTGCTCTGGCTGTGTTACATCCGCGGAAGCAGTCCTTATTTCCCTTCAGTCCCATACCGAGGTTCTCAGCACACTTGATGCATACCCGGAAATACCTTTGGCGCATGGGCACAATGGGACGGTGGCGAACAATGCCGACGACTCTGGAGAGAGCAAGATTTTCGTGGCCAGTGTGAGCCCGCAGGTTAGAGCAAGCCTGGCAACAACGTATGGTATCTCGGAGAAAGAAGCGGGGCACATGATCGATCAATTGCTCAGTGGCCCGCAGGGCCTGCGGGGAGGAGGCAAGAATGGCAGCGGCTTTACATGGGTGGTAGACACAAATATCATGCGGGAGGCCGTCCTGGTTCTCACCGCAGATGAGGTTTCGGACTCGCTTAACTCGGGAGACTCGGCCGGCCAGTCTGATAACTCTCTTCCCAAACGGCCCATCTTATCTTCTGCATGTCCCGGATGGATTTGCTACGCCGAGAAGACACATCCATTTATCCTTCCGCATCTTTCCCGACTTAAGTCCCCGCAGGCTCTGGCGGGAACGTTCCTCAAGACCGTTCTGAGCAAGTCTCTCGGGATCCACCCCTCTCGGATTTGGCATTTGGCAGTTATGCCTTGCTTTGATAAGAAGTTGGAAGCCAGCCGAGAGGAGCTCACAGATGTGTCGTGGCGCCACGGAGATGAGATGGGTTCTGACGCACAGCCTGTTCGCGACGTAGACTGTGTCATCACTGCACGTGAGCTCCTGTCTCTAGCCTCCGCTCGAGGATTTTCCCTGCCAACCCTGCCATTGCAAGCTTTGCCTTCGTCCTTTACTCCGCCATTCCCCGAGAAAACACTCGAATCCTTCCTTTCATTCAAACGCTCTCGAACCGAACAATCTCTCGCCACGGGCACCTCTGGAGGCTACCTTCACCATGTCCTCACGAATTTCCAATCCCGCAATCCCGGCAGTGAACTCGTGGTCAACCGTGGGCGCAATGTCGACGTCGTAGAGTACGTTCTCATGTCTCAAGAAGGCCAGCCGATCTTGAAAGCTGCTCGTTATTACGGTTTCCGGAATATCCAAAACCTTGTCCGGAAGCTCAAACCCGCGCGGATGTCGAGACTCCCTGGTGCAAGGCCCGCCGCAAAGCTCGCCGCTGGTCGGCGCCAGCCAATGTCACGCAATGCTGCATCCACCGGCAGCTCAGGATCAGATTATGCCTACGTGGAAGTCATGGCTTGCCCAGGTGGTTGCACGAACGGCGGTGGTCAGATCCGAGTGGAGGACGCTAGAGAAGCCGTCGCCCCGGCTCAAGATGAGGAAGTAGGCGCACCTGTCAAGGCATCACCCCACGAGCAACGCGCATGGCTCGCTCGCGTTGATGAGGCCTACTACTCTATGGAATCTGACTCTGACCCTGAGCTCGAACCCCAGTCTCAGCAGGTTTCAGTCGCTGAAAAGGAAGCTAAGATTCATGAAGGCTTGCGTCGCTGGTCGCAATTTATGGATATTCCACTCCCTAAGCTTGTCTACACAACATACCGCGAGGTTGAAAGTGACGTTGGCAAAGATCAAACTCCAGCCAATGATACAACTCGTGTTGTTGAACTAGCCGGGAAGATTGGTGGTGGTTGGTAAAACCTTTTGTTTGCATTTTCTTGTACAGCCAGGGGGTCATTTTGTCTATTATTACTTTATTTGCATGGCGCTGGGATTCCCTTTCGATCATGATTGCATATGCCCACGGAAGATACCAGATTCTCAATTTGAGGGTCAAGGGCGACGATATATGAGCCTGGCTTTTGGAGTTTTGGCGGTTTATACCTGACAACTAGTCTTAATAGCTATACAGATGCTCAATACTATGTTTCAGCAATAAGCATTCCGGAGAGGCACATTTAAATCCATTAAGAACAAGGGGGCAAAAACTACGAATATCCAAAGTGAAGCTATACTTCGCGGCTGCATGTCGTGCACGGGCCACACCGATGACTCATCGATTTGGTTTTATATCTGACTAAGCACCTAAAATCCCGCTTCGAAAAGAAAAAGCATCCAACTCTCACGTCCAGCAGCCAATACTACCGCACCACATCCTACCTCCTACGGGATCATCAAATCGCACCACCTAGACATATCTTCACGCAGCCCAACACATTCACCAACGATGTCTCGCGAAGCGTACCAGGTCCCCTCGATGGGTGCGCAGACCGCCTTCGACACCCAAGGCGGATACGGCAGCGCCATGAACGTCGACAGCCCCTCGGTCGTTTACCTCTGCGGCGAGTGCTCTGCCCGCGTTCCTCTCAAGCGCGGTGACCAGATCCGCTGCAAGGACTGTGGTCACCGTGTGCTGTACAAAGAGCGGACGAAGCGGTAAGCCTTTTCTTTTCTGGGGTTCTTGCTCGCAGTGCCTGTGCTGACGCTCCTTCCTTTTTGATAGTATGGTCCAGTTCCAGGCTCGGTAAATGCTATGCCTACGTTTGGTTTGAGCCGGGTGGCCGTGGTTGGGGGTGTGAAGTTTCAGGGACTGGTGCGGAGTTGGAGGAATCGGCCCGAGGATATCTTTGGTTTTGATGAATTATGCATTTGAATGGCGCTTTGGAGTCTATTTACACATACGGTTTTTTTTTTACTCTTTTCTCTGCTCTCGGTTTGCGAGGACGCATTGCTGAGGCCGTATTCTCCAGCCCAGGCATGGACTCGTTAATAAAATCGATCTAGGCTTTGTTGTCTGAAATAGAACAATGATCACAGCTTTCGGAGAAGAAAAATAAGTCTTTTTTTCCCTATTAAGTACCCCGAACAAAATAAAAACAGTTTTTAATACCCGCGAAAATGGGGTATAAGTTGGATGCACACAATGCACAGCTGAACGAAATATGTGAAACCTGACCTGAAAGCTCCCCTGAAAATAATCAAAACACTAAGTCCATAATTTATGTAACATGAGTGGAAAGTTTTCAAAGCAGGTTGCTAACCTCAATGAACTGCTCTAGGCACTTCAGAGATTCGCCGCTCTCGATTGCCCAGCGTGCACGGCGGACACCTTCTTTCCAGCGTCCACCACCAGGGCCACGCTCGGTGATGACCTTGCCATCGTCGCCAGGTCCCATGTTGCTAGTATCAGCTTCACACACACCTGCGGTAACCAGGAGAGCTGCAACGTTCATGAAAACGAACTCCAGAATGGGATCGTCCCGCGGAAGCTCGTTGCGGAGGATGCTCATGAGCTTTGCGGCGTTATCCTTGGGCATCTTGCGTCCGTATACAGAGGACAGTGGGTGGCTGGGGAGACCGAAATCTGACGGATGAAGCTGGAAGGTATCAAGCTTCACCAGTGTACGAGGGTTCTGGTCCTCCTCATCACTTGAGTCATCTCCGTCATCTGACGCCCTGTAGGCAGGATTCGGGTATTCAGAGAGTCTCCAGCAGTTGGTGGGTCCGGCACAGCTAATCTCGTCCATGTCCTCTTGGCCACAAACAACAAGAGCCTTCTTCGCCCCAGTTTGTCTGAGAGCTTCGGCAAAGACAGGACCAAGGCTCTGGTAAGCTACGCCGACGACGCGAGCTTCTAATGCCCAGTCGACGGGGTTTGCCAAGGGTCCCATAAGGTTGAAGATGGTTCGGAGACCAAGACCGCGACGAACTGGGTTGGCATGCATCATTCCGGGGTGGAAGTTAGGGGCGAAAAGGAACGCATAGTTCGTCTTCTCATAGACCTTGTGGAGGTTCTCGGCATTGACAGCATCGATGTTGGGTGCAATAGGCACAATGGACTGTAGAACGTCCGCAGACCCAGAGAACGAAGTCTGGGCACGGTTTCCGTGTTTGGCAGTCATCAAGAGTGGCGATGCAACAATTGAGGAGGTTGTAGAAATGTTGAAAGTAGAGTGAGAATCTCCGCCAGTTCCGACAATATCACACTAGACGTCAAGTGATGTTAGTTATTGCCGTCGGGTCAATAGTAGCGAGGAGCAAGTACCAAGCCACCCTGATAGTTTCCTTCCTTCCTCCCACGAGCCTTGATAATCTTCTTCATTGAACCCTTGTCAACCCGGCAAGCAGCGTCTCGCATGCCCTGAGAACATTTCGCAATCACAGCAGGATCCCTGTCCTTGCCGGTTGAGTGGAGCAAGGTCAAGAGTGCAGCGGTCTGAACATGGGACAATCGATCCTCAAAGATCAATGCAAAAGCTGCAGCAATCTCATCCGCGCTCACCTCCGCAATCTTTTCTGCACTGACTTGAATGCCTGCTGTGGGGGGGTAGGCCAGACGCTGAAGGAGCGGGGAGATAGAGATGGGATCGGGGCGCTTAGGCGGCGGTGTTGTAGGAGTCTCCATGATCAAAGCGTGCAATTAAACAGATGTCTCCAAGGACTTAACAGAAGTCCCAATGACCGTTGACAAAAAGAAGCATTCTAATGAGTCAACTCCCCCACCAAGAGCTGGATACATGCACCAGGCAGAATAGCTTACCGCCATTATTCACGCTTTACCTTTTTGGGATTCGAAAAATATCACTGCGCTTTACAGTTCCCGGAGGCTGTTTCGACCAACATCACCATTTTTTGACAACTGTTCCGGCATTGGGTGGTTCAATCGCCATTCAAATCCAATATATTCACAATGCCCCCAAGATTAAGGCTCTCATCGGTCCGACGCCAATTCCCTGTTTGCCAATATGAACTCCAAATTGCCAGGAGCGCAAGCACCGCGGCCCCAGCTGTTACGCCAGCAGCTCCCATTGAGCAGATGAGACACTCGCCAGCTCCCGTATCCAGATTTCCTCCTACCCAGCCACCTTCCCATCGCAATCCCGAATACCGCCGGTCGCAGCTCCTGCGGTCGTACACTTCCCTCCTCCGCACATCTCCTCTCATCGTGCTATTCCAACACAACAACCTGAAGTCCATGGAATGGGCTGCAATTCGACGAGAACTCACCAATGCCTTGAAAAAAGTGGATGACAAGATCGCCGCCGAGGGCCGAACAGCTCCTCCGCTCGCTCCTTACATTAAAATCCAGACCATCCAGACCAGCATCTTCGAGGTGGCTCTACGTATTGTCGATTATTTCAAGCCTAGCGAGTCCTCCCTTGCCTTAGGACGCCCCCCGAGTGCCATTGACCCCGTCACGCAAACTTCCGCCGAGCTCCCTGCCGTTTCCGGCTCTAAGGATGACCCGGCCCTGACACACGATCTGTCTCGCACTGCCCACGCCGCAGTGAAGAACCTGAAGGGCAAGCACGACCTTTCGACCCTCCTTGTCGGTCCTGTTGCTGTTCTTTCCATCCCCAATGTCTCGCCTGAGCACATGAAGGCCGCGCTGTCGATCCTCACCCCCAAGGAAGCCGGCTTCCCTGCTCCTACCCGCAAGGCGAACCCGGATTACCACGACCCTATCGTCCAGAACGGTCTCCGTAAGATCAACTTGCTCGCTGCTCGTGTTGACAACCAGGTCTTCGATATCGACCAGACCAAGTGGGTTGGCAGCATCGAGGGTGGCATGGACGGCCTCCGCTCCCAGCTTGTTACTGCCTTGCAGAGCATGAGCTCCAGCATCGCCTCCACCCTGGAGGGAGCTGGAAAGAGCCTCTACTTCACCATGGAGAGCCGCCGCAGCGTTCTGGAAGAAGAGGAGAAGGGACCGGAGGGCGACAAGAGCCAGTCGTCTTAATTTGGTCATGATTACCTTTGTGTCATTTCTGTATAATAGATCATATTTCTGCGTTTCATCAAGACCCCATTTCCTGCTCTTGGATGAATGTATACTTGCGAGAAATTATTTTGGAGAAATCATATTTTATGTTCAAACTACAATAACCTATTTTTCCATCGAATCCCAATATATGAAAGACCAAACCAAGCATAAAAGGAACGAACCCTCCCAATGTATGTCCATAATCTACTTCTGTCTCAAGCGCAGCTTGGCATTCATACCTACAATGCAACGCACAAGGTCCCAATTCCCATCCAGACCAACCCAGTCTGTCACAAGAATACCAGTCGAGCAATCCGCATCCCCATCCCGCTTCCGCCGACAGAGATAATCCACAATAGCAGGATTAACCTTGGCAGCGATCTTCTCAGGCCAAGTATTGGTCTTCCAGAAGTTACTAGCACTCAAGAAATTGATGTAAAGGGGAACGCGCGCGTCGCCTGCGCATCAGGCTGAACCCCAAATGGATAGCAACAACCACTCGCCCGATCAATATGTTCCGAGACATACTTGATCTTCTGCTCGATACTCGGCTTCTCCATCACCTCGTAGAAATCCTGAATGCACAGCTGGCCACTAGGACACATTGCGTGCGCGGTGTTGTCTGCCCACGCCGCGGCATCAATTCCCCATCCATTACCGCCATGCTCGCCCTTCAGATTCTCCTGCAGGTTGAAACGGCGCACGAGGATGACCTTGCCGCGCGCTTCGCCTAGGGTCGGGATCTTGGGCCGCACCCACCACCGACTGTCAGGGCGGGCGTAGTGGTCGTGCAAGATGCGCGAGAGTTGCTCGTCCGTTGCGTTGCCGGGTCCTTCGCGCTTCACGGAGACGATGAGAGTCTCGGATGGGTTGCGTTCGAGGAATTCATTCACTTCGCGCATCAGGTCGCGGAAGTACTTGTTTCCTGTCAGCGAGATGGGGAATACGCTGTGTACGAGGACGAGCTCGTCGCGTGCTGCGTCTTCTGGGTACTGGGGCTGCACGCGGATATCGAAGAAGCGCACGCCGTTCTCGAGCTGCTCGCGCGGGCTGACGGCTTGGCAGCGTACTGAGGGTGGTGCGATGTGGCAGGTTGGGGAGTTGTGCGTGCCTGGGATTGAGAGGGCTGAGACGAGGGTGTCGTCGCGGAGCTCGTGCATCCAAGTGTTTAAGTTTGCTGAGGAGTAGATTGCCAGGAATGATTCTGGGGTTACGTAGACGCCTGTGAATTGAAATTGGGGGTTCTCGCTTAGGGCTTTCATGGTTGCTGATTCCTCTGTTGGGACTGGGGTTTGAATTTGATATTTTTGGCCTTCGACTTCGAAGATCAGACGCATGCGCTCCTTTTCCGAGTCGATGAAGGAGCGGAGCTCCGTCTTCTTCGTTTCGAAGGGCTCCAGGTGGATGTCCACATGGTTTTCCTCGAAGGGGCGGCTGTCATGGTGGATGATGGCAACGGATGCGCTGCGGGTTTGGTTGGTCAGGACCTGGGTGAAGTTGGAAGCCAGTGTGTTGAAGGCGCTGGCACCGAATGACTTTTCCTCCGCCTGGAAGCGCTCAATGCGCTTCAGGACAATTGGAGTGGAGGTATTGTTGCGGAGGGTAAGGTGCTCGGCAACCATGTTGAACGCTGAATGATGTCAAGATCTCTCAGTGAAGATCGGAGTAAGAGAGGTGCTTTTCGACAATTGAATGGTTGCCTGGAGAGAGATCGAAGTGGATTACCCCTCCATTTGCGATCAGCGGGCCATCTCCGACAGGAGAACTGTTGATCTTGGCAAACAACGCTGATTCGCGAGGAAGTCCAGAGGGCAGGGCGGAGATTATCCAGCCACACGTCTGTTTGAAATAATTGGTGCCTGGCGTGCTTTAGTTCAGCCCTGTTACCTCTAATGACCTGCCATGGCTTTAATGCTGTAACCGAAAAATTAAGGGTCTGGCTTAATGATTGCTATCAATTGAGTGTTTTGCTATTTATCTAGAATTGGTGAAGTCATCATCAACTTAGATTAGGTTCTTGCCCGGAATCTGTACCAGAGATCGTACATAGTTGTTATGACGACACTGGACTATATATAGGAACCAGATGTATATACAGCGAGGAACCCTATGTGTACGAAGTTGGTTGGCTTCTCGACCAATCCTAAAAGGCCAAACCAAGTTCCTCTAATAGGGAGTTTGCTGGTGGAAGTAGTCCATGAGAAGCTCTACCTGCTGAGGCTTAGCAATGGGCACATTCTTGAACTGATTACCAAGTTCCATAACAACCTGAGTGCCATTAGCACTGTTAGGAGTCCAGCGGGGCAAAGAGCGACTTCCAGTGTAGGAACCGCCCTTGTTAGGGTTGAGCGTCTTCGCAAAGTTCGCCCAGTAAGCAGACATCCTCTCTTGAATCTCATAATCGATCTTGGTGAAGGGGTATGTCTCGTCATTGGCGTAGAGAGCGTTGAGGGCATACATGATCTCAGACTGGTGGAAAGCACCCTGGCTCTGGCCCGGGGGTGCGTGGGTCCAGTAGTAAGTGTAAAAGTCCGAGGATGCAGCCTTGTACCAGTCCGTAGCGTAGGCCCATGAGCCGACGAGGGAAGTATCGCGAGCAGCAGCATTCCAGGCCTGAGAGGCGATGGTTTCGTTGTTGTAGCTTGGGTAGAGCTTGAAGTAACGTTCTGAGAGGTTGCCGTACTTCAGGGTGCAGTAGTACTTGTATTCCTCGGGGGTGTAGTCGGTTGTGGTAGAAGCACCCGATTCATCTTTGGTGTTGCCCGTGATGACGGGGACATCATTGGCGGGGCCATTCTTCAACGTCTCGAGGTACGTAGAGGGAAGGACGTAGCCGTCGAGGACTGGCTTGAAGATTAGAGGGTAGCCGGCCGAGAGCGCAGTAACCCACCAGATAGAACTATTGCCAACGCGGTCGGAAGCGCCAACGATCAGCTCATCCATTGAGAGGGTGCGCATCTGCTCGATGGTCGAAACGTTATGGGCCTTGATATAGCTTGCACCGTTGGTGATGGCAGTAGACATGTTCACATAAGAGGTGGCGAGACCAGCCAGAAGGGTATCGTAAGGATATCTGATGCCAGACTGAGAGATACCGCCGTGGAAGTAGCCGGTGAAGAGAGGACTGTTGACAGCATGATAGACCTGAGAAGAACCGAAAGACTGACCAGCAACGACAACACGGTCTGGATCACCACCAAACTTGGCAATATTCTTCTGCACCCACTTCAAAACCTCGAGTTGGTCGAGAATACCATAGTTGCCGGAGGTTTTGTGACCGAAGGTTTCGTATCCTTCCTCGTTGAGCTCGGGAGAAGCAAGGTAGCCGAATGCATCATCTCGGCGGTTGAAGGTGATGAGAATGACATCCTTCAGAGCCATACCACCACCGTACCACCAGGTGTTGTTGCTGGTCTCATCAGAACCCTGGTTCCAAACCATGACAGGAAGCTTGTCACTGGCAGATTTGGCATTGGTCCAGATGTTGAGACTGAGACAATCCTCGCTGATATCGGAAGACGAGCTGGTAGGACAGGCAGGGCCAAAGTTCTTGGCCTGCAGAGTTTCATTCCAAGGCTCTCGCGGCTGTGGTGCCTTCCAGCGATTTTGATATCCCGTATCAGCAGCAAATGGGATACCCAGGAAGGCAGCCACATTGGACTCGGCGCCGTTGAAGTATTTGTCGAGAGTAGTCTGGTTGAAATACTTAAATCCCTCGACCGGACCATAGCTGGTTTGAATGACAGTGTCCCAGAGTTGGGCCTGGGCGAAAGTAGCGCCCAGAGCCAGGGATACAAGAGCCTTGGGAAGGAGTGGCGCCATTGTGAATCACAAAGGCAGGGGAAAATGGAGTAAAAGGCCTGGAGAACAATAGCGGGTATTGAGGAATGATCTCTTTATATAATCCTTATGTGCTACCTTATGCATAGTACAAGCACGGTGGAAACATCAAACCACACTGAACTATACGCCTCGGGGCTTGCATGGTCGGCTTCGGTCTCTAAATCGGGTAAGTCGGCGATGATCTTCGGTTTAAACTCAAGCCCCACCGGACACGCGGTCAGGTACTGGATATTCCCGCGACTCCCTGCAAGGCACCTCCTTTTTTTGCAACGAAGTGGACCTTGGATTGAAAGATACCCCAGCTTACGTGGTTTAATTGAGCCCGAGTTTGAGATTATAGCCTGTCATTCGTTCGGATTTAACTGATACAGGAACAAGTCGCATCTGATAATCGTTGTCCTATTGCGCATATTCCATGACGGTCCACTCTCGCCAGTGCTCGCTTGGTGTATGTCCAGCTTTCTGCCCCATAATGGACAGTAGAGGGGTGGGTGTGGTGCAAATATGTAATGGCCACTCGAGGATTCTTGTCTTACTAATCTAGTGATTGACCTACATATATGAGATAAAATAGAATAGCAGAAGGTTTCTCTAGTGTATTTCTTGACCCACCAAAGCCAGAATACACGCCATGACAGCGTTGGTAAGAGGAATACTGCCATTTCCCGCACTGACATTAAAGAGCAGGTACATAGGAAATACAAACAGTTGATGCCCTAAAAGACTTAGTGGATGTGTGCTAGATGGAGATTGAGAAAAAGAGGAATTGACATCATTATAGGAAGACTAAAACAAGAGGCGCATTATTCAAGTCTATCTTTTCTTTAACGGAATGTGTGTGCGTTAGAAGAATTAACGTATTTCACATACGAGCTGGACACCCAAGCGAGCTGGACACCCCAAAACACCATAGTAAATGCGATTTAGCCCGGAACTTGTGTTACCTAAGATAAGAAGAAGCTTTAGATGCACAACCTACATCACACTATTAGCATAGATACCTTACTAGTATGATCGAAGTAGATCGTCAATTTAGGCATTAGCGTGAGCCACGTGAATCACCGCTAAGGAAGCGGTCCGTTATCTGTTTATTCATTGATGTCACTATGGTAGGGTAGATAAGACTGTGCAGCAATTCGTATCTTGAATTCTATTGGATCGGAACATTTAGCTGCATCATAACCTATGAGGTAACAGGAAGATTCGAGCCATGGCTGCCGAAGAGTACGAGGTAAGAGCAGGAAGCCCATGATGCTGCCGATGCCCACGATTGCTGTGCTGCTGGACTTGAAAAATACGGAGAACAAGGTGAGGCCTAAGACGTAAGGCACTGGTCTGTTGCTTTATGAACACCAACGCTGCATGTCCTGACATCTACACATGCAGTGCTAGACCTATATCTATATGACACCCACAATGGTACACCCATCATAAGCATAAAAATTTATTGGCAACGAGCCTAATTAAGAAGGGAATTCCACGCGAGGAATAGGTTTGATGAGAAAATTTCAATAAATATGTCGCACCTACTTATGCCTTAACAGATAATAATGAAAACCAATGGTGGATAGACGTGAGAATGAGCTACCAAGGGTAACATCCATCTTTGTGAACAAATTTGCCGGCATCTTTATCTCTCCTTCCAACTATAATGTTCAAGAGCGCGTTCGCTGATTCCATCGGGTCGCCAGCATTACCTTGAGCAGTGACTGCTTCTTCAGAAACACCCCTCAGGTTGGATCGCACAAGACCAGGACAAAAGGCAAAAACGCGGACATTCTGGTTTCTGAGTCGCTTGTGCATTTGAATTGTCATCATGTTCAATGCGGCTTTGCTCATGCGGTATTCATCCCACGTCTCGGAACTTTTCGCATTGTTGGCATCCGATGCAAGTACTAGCGAGCCCAACGCACTTGATATTTGAATAAGACACGGGCGAGTGGACTTCAGCAGGAGGGGGATGAAAGCCTCTGTAGCAAGCATTGCACCAAAGACGTTCGTTGAGAATATCTTTCCGAGCTTATCACGTCCAGTCGAACCAGGCGAAAGTGTGCCTGCATTACTGATAAAAACGTCAATTCGCCCGAACTCGTTGGAAACACTGTCGACGGCCTTCGAGATCGAAATGTCATCTTCGACATCCAGCTGGACAACGGAAAGTGTTCCTTTAATACCGGCAGTTTCGAGCCGGGAACATGCCTCGTGTCCCTTGGAAAGATTTCGGCAGGCCATTATTACATGATAGTTTGGATGGGATGCAATTGTTTTAACTGTTGCATAGCCAATACCCTGATTGGCACCTATATAAGGTGAGAACTATGGAATTATTTGACGCAAATGAAATCTTACCAGTAATGAGGACAATGGTTGATTCAGACATTGTAATGCAAAGAAATAGAACCTGTTGTGGGAATTCACGACTTGAGTGATTTGCAATTATTGTATGGCTCTGACCTCAATTTATTGAAGTAGAAAAGTCCACCGTGTTTATGATTGTGTCATATGGTCTGGCCAAGCTTTTCTTTCCCGCTCCAAAACAACGGGACGCACGGAGATAACCGGTTTTGCATATTCGGTTTTAGTTCGGAGTCCGGCAAAGAGCTATGTAAGCTAGAGTAACATTTTATGTCGGAAATAAAGGCAAATCCGAAATCACTTTTTGTGACAGGGTACTTGCTTATCTACCCTCGATCTCCGGTGAAGCCCACCTTTCACCGATCTCGTGCATTCATATATACGTGCTTTTGAAGCGGAACTAATAGCAAATCCGAAGCTTCGATCTCCGGCTCTGGCGTTCCCGAAGCTCGGGGATCCACCGCCAATGCCCTTCACCAAGTGTTCAAATAAGGACCAATTCCTGTATCGTTCACTATTTCCCCTCAATCTCCTCAACCCCATACTAAAAATAATCCTTTTGAAAAAGAGGATGTCACCCACAATCAAGAATGTGGCTCTTGCCGGGGTAAGAGTCAAATAAAAACTCTACATTGTCCAAGTTAACAAGCTGTTAGGCTAGTGGAAACGTCGGATCTCGCGTACTCGACGCATTACTCGATCTCAAGTTCAATGTAACGGTGCTTGCTCGGAGTTCCAAGCCTTTCCCAGCCGCTGCTAGCATGAAAATTGTTGACTTCACCTCGGTGGAGTCATTGTCTGCTGCTTTGGCCGGACAGGACGCAGTCATCGATACTACTTTCTCGCCCGAAATTGACACACCACTCCGACTTATTGATGCGGCGGTCAAGGCTGGAGTTTATCGCTTGTTCGTTGGCCGATCTATCTTATAGCAAATGATCATTGACTAATACTCTGTTCAGTATTACGAGCGACTTTGGTCTCGATCCTGAAATCCCAGGTGTTCACAATATGCCTGTTTTCGGTCGAAAGAAGGTTTCTTATGAGGCCGTCAAGAAACAAGCTGCTGAGAACCGCTTGACCTACACCCTGGTATCCAATGGTGCTTTCCTTGACTGGGGTCTCACCACTGGCTTCTCCGGTCTGAACTTCAAAGAAAAGACCGCTTGGATCTTTGGTGATGGAAACAACGTCGTTCCATGGACGACGTTGGAGGATGTTGGCAAAGCAACTGCGAATGTGCTTTTGCATCCGGAGGAGACTCTGAACCGCCCGGTCTATGTTCACTCCGTGTTCATGTCGCATAATCAGCTGTTCGACGCAGCAAAAGAGGCTTTGGGAAGTGAGGGGTGGACTGTCACATATAACGACATGGAACCTCTTTTGCAAAAGGCGTTGTCGGATCTCCAGACCGGCAACATTAGTGATGCTACTTTTGTAGTACAGATCCAGTACTGTCTGGCTACCAAAGCGCTTGCACACCCTTGGGAACGGGATGATAATTCCCTCGTGGGACTGGAAGAATGGAGCGTGGAAAAGGTGAAAGAGCTGATTAAAACGATCGCCCAAAAAGCATAGTGAGGTTGAGTCGTCTTGTCAATTGAATGATATAGAGGTAATATCTTATGTTGTGCACAGTCCAATGGACTATTAAACATATATCAAAAAAACCGCGGCAGGATGCCAATTAACTCTAAATTACCTTAAATTATGTGTACGCTCCCTCGAGAGGACAGACTCTTCGATAGGATTTGCAGAGGGATGATAGATATTATCTGTGGATGGGCATGTTTGACGACCATAGTGTTGACTTGCACCCAATATCTCTCTCGCTTAGCTGTTCCATGCCTGCATTCCCGGGATGTAAGGCGTCCCCGAAGCTCGGGGAACCACCATCGGGAACCTTGCCCCACGAGGAGCAAATGGAGCAAGGTCGGGGACCGTAAATCGGATCGCACGAGACATCGTTGATCGCATGACAAAAGTGACATTGTGGTATTCCAGTACACTCGTCACCGCGCATGGGCTCTATATATAGAGCAATAGCGGTCATCTAAACGCTTCTTTTTCCTGTAAAATAGCTGTGATATTGCTGACCCGCCGAAATCATGGATATCATTATCGTAGGTGCCGGCATCGCCGGTCTCAGCGCTGGGATTGGTCTTCGCAGGGCAGGCCACAAAGTGACGGTTGGCATTCCCCAGTAACTCGTTCCCTTCTGGGCTGCACAATGTCTGACATCTCACACAAATAAGATCCTGGAACAATCCTCGTTGCTGCACGAAGTCGGAGCAGCAATCACTATTAAGCCTAATGCCTCGCGCGTCCTCAAGTCCTGGGACTTTGTCCCCGAGCAGTCTGGCATGGTGGCTCTACGCGGAATGAGCCTGATCGACGGTACCAACATGGAGACATTGGTGCCCACCTACTACAAGGACTGCGAATCCACGTGGGGCCTTCCCATGTACGCCGTACACCGTGTTGATCTACACAGCCAGCTGAGACAGCTTGCCACTCAAGCGGAAGGGCCTGGGAGGGCCTGCGACGTCCGCGTGCTGGCCAAGGTGGTTGACTACGATGCCGAAAACGGCAGGGTAACGACCGAAGATGGCGTGGTCTTGCAGGGTGATCTCGTTGTTGCCGCTGATGGGGTGCACTCCACGGCCGTAAAGCATGTTCTGGACGAAGAGATCGTCCAGGCCGGAGATACTGGTTGGGCATGTATGCGGTGGCTGGTGCCGAGGGATGATATCCTCTCGGATCCGGAGACGGCGGACATGATTCAAGACTCTGCCACGAGGTACTTCACGGCTGCCAATGGAGCTGCTGGTTTGGTGTGGTATCCATGTCGAAAGTGCGTACCACAGAGATTTCCCTTCACGAAAGTGTTTGAAAAACTCTGCTGACATATGTTTTGGGGAAACTCTAGCAATGAGGTCCAGAACTTCCTTTACCTCTCGCGGGAATTCGATACCTCCCACGTCGGAGAAGGTGAGAAACTAGCCCATCCCCTGTAAGCCACCAAGCTACACAACTCACTAATGCCAAATTTTAGATTTCAGAGCTATGGTTGACCCAAGCATGCCCCTAGAATATGCAAAAACGCATTTTGCCCCGGCCCTACACACCGTGATCAAGTGAGTTCTGAGTCGTGTTGACTGGACAACAACATTACGTCCCACAGTGTACTTACAAACCCGACGCAGGAAAGCCAGGGACGTCAAGTTCTGGAAGCTCGTGGCTAGAGGGCCTATTCCCAAGTGGCACAAGAACCGACTCGTCCTGATCGGCGACGCAGCCCATCCCATGCTCACCTGTAAGTCTAAGCTTTGCTTCTCCCATGCTCACCCGTGTGGCAGTTCCGAAATTTGCATAGCCTGTTGATTCTGATTCTGGTGTTAACAAACCCATACATAGTCCAGGGCCAAGGTGGCGGACAGGCCATTGAGGACGGTGCCGCCCTCGGTATTTTGCTTGACCAAGTTCGTAATCTAGGGGATATCGAGGAGCGACTGCAACTATTTGAGCAGGTCCGCCGGAATAGAGGCTCGGCATTGCAGATTCTCTCTAACACGAACCCGCCGGCGTCGCAGAGCGTTCGCGATGCCGCCGCCGCGTACCTTCCTAGTGGCACGAGGCTCGATTCTACCGACGACATCAACGACTATGTCTTTTCCTTCGATGTGATTAAAGAATGCAAGATGGCACTTGCTGCAGCGTAGAGCTTTATATTGAAAGGGAAAGTGTGAAGTGGGAGACGAAAAGCAGAATGATACCTGTGGCTGGCGCTCGCAGAATTAGCTCAACTGAACGAATATATGTATGGAACTCACAGCTTCAGCCAAAGTAAACCCCATAAAGTACACTACAAATCATACAGTTCTTTGAGACTCTGTAATAACCGCAATATTTAGAGCTACCACTTTGTCCGACTTACGCAGCCTTACAGCATTTGATTTTGGCTACAGCGTTGTGACGAATCTCACTAAGCATATACATAGAAAGGTAGTCGTGTACGTACAATTGAGCCTCTCTTTGTCTTTCTAGATAGATGCCATTCAGGCCTTTCTGAATCTCTTCCTGACCTCTTCATTGAGAGATCCATGAGGCTAAAACGATACCAAACGGTTCTATAACTTATGAGTTCAAACTACCAACAAAGGTCGCAAACATGATCTATATCAATTCCTATGTTTCAATCTGTTAACTACTCAATACAAAGGTTATTTACACTCGCCGATCCGAAGAGAAATAGGCCAAGGCATTTTCCATCTCAGCCTGGAGAAGCCGGACGTGGCTTGGCATGGGCAGTTCAAAATGATCACCATTGACAGAAAGGACCATGACGTCTCCGCCCGTGAACCTTTCCCACCCATTGGAACGCAGGCTCTCTTTGCCCTTATTCGGGACATTGCATGCAAAAGTACTGAGTTTAGGATCTTCCATGAAGCCCGGATACGACTTGGTAGGCACGCCCTGGCCCTCCAGCTTCTGCATGCGGGTAGGGTCATCCGATACGCGGTTGACCAAACCACGCTCTGCCCAGATGACAGCCGTCTTAGCGGGCTTCTCGGCTGCCGTCATTGGTGCTGGCGTGTACTCATTCATGGCGAGGAAGAACTGACGCATGTGGTTGCGGCTAGATTCGAGCGCACTCCATTGTCCGTCCCGATTGACAATTTCCTCTAAGACTGCCTCGCTGGCATCGGCCTCGGCGAGAAGATTGTTCCGTCCCATTATTCGCGACCGGGGGCAGGGCATGTCGATTAGAAGGAGTCCCTTGACCGTGCGTCCGGCGCGAGCCAGCTGACGTGACATCTCGAAGGCGACGAAGCAACCGACAGAATAACCTCCTATCATGAAGGGACCAGTGGGGTGTGCCTTGAACAGCGCGTCGACGACTAGCGTAGCTACGCCCTCAATACCGACTTTGCTGTTCATACGCGAGGGACAGCGGAGGTATGGTGAGTCGATGCCGTAGATAACCTGGTTGGACTTGAAAGGCCGCAGGTGGATAAACGACGCCACGCTACCAGTACCATCGGGCATCAAGTATAGCGGAGTATCACCGGCCTCAGGGCGGCCCTGCAGCAGTGTGATCCTGACACTGGGAGGTGGCGACGTGTCGTCGTTCATAAGCCCCGGTGCTAGAGTCGACGGGTCCTCCTTCTCGACATTGGCCAAGCTTAACGCCGGAGAGATGGGGGTGAAGCGGTCGTCTGGAGTCGGAGAAGACAGAGCGTCTTCATCGTCGCTGGAAGGCATCGCGCTGGTATCATTGCTATTCGCGCTTTCCTGCCCTCCACTACCAAACGCACGACGGAGATCGCCTATTGTGACATAATCAAAGACAAAGGAGGCGGGAAGGTTGATGCCCTTCTCGTTGACAACGGCAACCACCTCTATGGCCATGATTGAATCAACGCCAACATCGGCTATCTCCGTTTCATCTGTGAACTCGGAAGGGTCACTGCCGGTTGCAGCGATGAGGCTATCTAGAATAACCTGGAATTCTCCCGTATTTGCAATCTCATCTTTCTTGTCATCCTGGGCTTTGTTCGCCCGCTCTTGTTTTATCGGCACCGTAGGCATAGCAGCAGGCGGATTGTCATGGATCATCTTGGTTTCCTTGGCACTGGGCAAGGAAGCTGACTTGGAAATCGGACCTTGGTGTCCTGCAGCACCAATAGGGTGTGGCCTCATGCCAAGAATATGGCGCCAGGTGGCCCTCTTAAACTGCTGGTAGCGCAGGTCAACGGCCTGCATAACGATTGTCCAAGTCTGCGGGTCGAAGACATAGGCGGTGCAGAAGGCCGTGGTGCCTTCCCATCGCGAGATGCGCGTGTACGTCATGTACTCCTTGTTAGGCTCGATAGGGGCCAGTTGCTCGATGATGTCGTAGCCCATGAGGGCATAAGTCAACTGCGACGGCGTGTTCGGGTTCCCGTTCACCATGAAGCCCGCCAGGTGCAGCAGGGCCTCGCTCCAGTATGGCGACGCGGTGTATCGTGTGCCCTCCGGATCAGGTCGGATTTTGATGGTCGCGGCGGCTTCTTGGTAGTCGCCGGCTACGTAAGCCTCCTGGACACCACGGAAGTCGGGCGAGAACTCAACTGCATTGGCGAAGAGAGCGAAGAAGACGTCGGGCAGCATCCGGTGACCTGAGCCCTCCTTGGAAAGCCGGATCCGATCGTCCATCTTGGCTTTGATGAAGAAAGACACCCGGTCCAAGTCGGCCTGGGCCTTATCTGGGCTGCGATATTTGACTGTTACTGAGCCGAGATCGTAGGATTCGCCGCTCTTAGAAGTGGCCTTGAAAGTGGCCAGGACGACGTCGGCAGACGCGCTTTCCATCGTGGCTGTGGTCAGCAGTTCGCCATCAACGCCGACAAGATCCCGAGTTAGCGGGGCAAGCAGCTTGGGGTCGTGGAAGGTAAGATGGCAGGCTGTCACATCCGTCTTGCCGCCGCTGTGTTCAAGCGCATACTTGGCCACTGTCGCAGCTGCGTCGCAGAAGACAGTCCCCGAAGCAAGCCCGATCTGCTGCATCTTGTGGCCATCAATCACGCCCAGGAAGCCATGATCGGAAATGCCAGCTCGGAAAGTGATTTGAACCTGGCCCTCAGGTGTCAGGGCCTTATGAACGAGGTACTGCGCCGTTGTGGTAAGGAAAGGCTCGGACGCAACTGTCTTTGCAGCTGCAGCTGCAGGAACTAGCGAGCCGCTGTTCCTGTCGGTATGCGTGATCCAGTAGTCCTTAACGTCCCACGCATAAGTCGGGAGTGCCAAAAACTCGAGGCTGCTCTCGTACGGCGCGTGCAGTGCGAGCCAGTCCACATCAACACCGCTCGTGTAGGCCGCCACGAGGGACTTGGAAACAGCCACCCAGTTGCTGTTGTTTGCATCAATCGTGTAGTTAATCCTGGCGGCTGGCGGCGAGAGCGTGGCCCGTACAAACGAGCTGCATACCGGGCCGGGTCCGATCTCGAGCCAGAAAAGGTCGTCACTCTTAAATGCGGCCTTGACGGCATTGAGGCCACCGTAGAAGTCTACAGCTTGCCGCGTCTGTCGCACCAGGTAGTCCTCGTCAAAGACGCCCGGAATATCGACCACGGACGCAAGTAGTGTCGACGCCACTGGGATCTTAGGTGGTAGATAAGTCACGCCGCTCGCGATGGCCTTGTAGTCCGGCAAGATGGTGTCCATCTGGAAGGAGTGGAACGCAAATGGCATAGAGAGTATCTTGGTGCGCGTACTAGCGTCCTGGGTGGTTATGTTTGTTTGGATATGTGCCAGGTCCGCGGCCGTCCCGCTGATGACGGTGGCGCTGGGGCTGTTTATACATGCCACTCCACAGGATGAGCCCTTAAGACGGGCGAGGTGGTCTCGCACTACCGCCGCGGACGCCGACACCGAGAGCATGGCGCATGAGTTGGGCTCGCATCGCTCCAGGAGCAGAAGGGCACGCTGGCCAACGAGATACAGCGTGTCAGTCAGCGAGAGGACCCCGGCCGCGTGCAACGCGGCATACTCGCCCAGACTGTGGCCAATGACCATGGCAGCCTCAATACCTGTCGATCGCCAGAAGGTCGTGAGAGCAATCTCTAGCGTGACGACGGCAAGTTGGACCTGCGCGGCATTCTTGGTGGACACGTCGACGGAGCCGGTGGTGATGATATCCAAAAATGGTGGGAACTGGTGTGAAGCGCTGATGGCTGCGCAAAGGTCGGCCACCTTGCGGAAGACGGGGCTCGTCCGATACAGCTCGCTGCCCATGCCCGCGTAGTGGGAGCCCTGGCCAGTGAAGACGAAGACAACGGGAGGAGGAACTGACTTTTTGGTCGAACTGGCGCGCTGGATCTCGGCCTCGAGCTTGGAAATACCCTCTTGTAGCGTCGTAGCAGCGAGCGCAAACCTGATCGGGTGATGTACTTTACGGGCTGTCGTCGAGTAAGCTACGTCCTGGATCCGAGCGTTGGGATTTGCGTGAAGCCACGCGGCGAGTCGACGCATGTTGGCGAGGTGCGATGAGGGTGTCCTGGCTGAGCTTGCGATAACCTGGCTGGATCGGGTGTCAAGTTCCCTTTGTCTGGCGAGCCTGGCCGGGTCTTTCTTATACTCTTCAATGAGAACACTTGCATTACCTCCCTGCAAATATGAGATGTCAAAGGTTAGATTTTTTGTCTTCTCAAAAAGGCACCGTTTGTACACGATTACTTACCGCTGCGTCGAAGTTGTTAATAAGAATGCGTTTCGGCTTATCATCCAGTGATTTAAACTCAGTTGGCCTGGTGGCAATCACAACGCTGCTCTCCTTCCCCAGAATCTCCAGCACGTTTGGGTTCATGGCGTGTGGCATGCCGGCCTGAGGAGGGATGATGCCTTTTTGAAGCATGAGAACGCTTTTCAGCAGCGAGGAAAGTCCGGCAGCCTAACATAACATAACACAGGTCAGCGCCTCTCACCAGTTTCTCCTCAACTACCGGGCCTTCTTCAGTTGCTCAGTTTGAAAGACTCACCGCTTCGCTGTGGCCAATATTTGCTTTGATTGCTCCCACCGGCAAAGGATTCCCGGCCGGTCTCGGCAAGAAGACCTTTGAAACCGCACCCATTTCTGCCTTGTCTCCAACTTGGGTCCCTGTTCCGTGCATCTCAATATATGAGACATCATCAGGGTCTAGTCTCGCATTCCGGAGGACCTTTTTAAAGAGACTCTCCTGGGCATTTGCGTCGGACGTTGTGATAGATGTCGCGTTGCCAGAGTGGTTTCTGGCTGACGAGGCGATGACCGCAAGGATATTGTCGTTGTGGGCGACAGCATCCTCGAGACGCTTCAGGATGAGAGCGCCGCTGAAGTCGGCGCGGCAGTACCCGTCGGCGTCGTCACGGTAGGTCTTACAGTTGCCTGTTTCGGATAACACACCGGCCTTGCTCAGAAATGTGAATGAGTGCGGGTCAGACAAGATGGTGGTGGCGCCCGCAACGGCCATATCGACATCCTTTGATAACAGACTCATGCAGGCGAGGTGGATTGCCGACGTGGAGCCCGCGCAGGCCGAGTCCAGCGCGTAGGTTGGCCCCTCCCACTTCATCTGGAAGGCCAGCCGGCCCGGGCCAAAGGCGCGTTGGACGCCCTGAAGCGTGTACGCATCGCACCCCAACGCGTGGTGGCTGACCTTGAGCCAGTCGTCGAAACTCTGCGCGAAGAAGACGGCCGTCTTGTTGGGGTCCGTTGTTCTTGTCTGGCCCGCCGAGTAGCCGGCCGTTTCGAGGGCCTCGTACGCGCTCATAAGGAAATGTCGGTGTACCGGTTCCATCAGCAGGGCCTCGCGCGGCGAGATGTGGAAGAATTTAGCATCGAAGTGACCGGGATGCTTCATAAAACACCCATGTCTGCATGTCATGGTGCATTTGCCCGGGCTGTGCTTGGTACAGAAGTACTCATCCACGTCCATTCGGTCGGCGGGGATTTCTTGGTGGCAGTCTTGACCTGTCGCGATGACGTTCCAAAACTCGTCCAGGTCCTCGCTGCCTGGCCCTTTTCCAGACATTCCAACTATAGCAATAGCGCCTTCTCGAACACTCTCACCTTTACTTGACGACGTCTGCAGGTCATCGTCAACCGACAACTGTCTTGTTGCTTTGAGTACACCAAGAATATATGCCGCATGGCCACTGGGGCCCATCATCTTGACGTCGACATTTTTATACGATGTCCCGAGGCAGGCGTTGAGATTGCTCACGATCTTCACAAGATCCAAGCGTTGTGACAGGGTCTGTAACGCGGCAGCCCTCAGCATATCACCCCAGTTGGAGTAAGATGTGTTGGCGTCATCACCGGTAATTCCCCAGACTTTTAGTCCGGGGCGAAGTTGCGTTTCTAAGAGGGTGGAATTTCCAACGACATAATCCATGTCGGCCGCAGAAACGTCAAGTGTGTGCTGCAAACCGCGAATACCGGGCAGCTCATTATTGGGGCGCTTCTTCAACTCGGGGCACTTGGTAAAGATAAGCTCTAAGACGGAAGGTGGTCCTATGATGGTGTTCCAACGATCTCCTGTAAAGCCAATCTTGGCTCTTTTGGAAGAGGGGACGCCCTAATCATGCGTTGTTTCAGATTAGTATGTTATGATCATCAGGTCGTTCGATTGTTCCAGAACTCGCATACCATGCCATGTTGAAATTTCTCAAGTATAATTTCAAGCTCATTTGGAGCGATACCCAAGACAGCCCGGCCCCAGACTCCTGGACGGTCCTCCCTAGCTCTTGACCGCGAAAATATGACGTTGCATAGTCGAACCCAGACCCGACCGGCTTCGATGGAGGAATCGTACAGAGTGTTGAAGTTCTTCGAGATAGGCACGGCAACAGCGTTCCATAGACCGGCAGATATGCCGACCAAGTGCGTGTCGGGCCTGCCGTTCTCACCTGAATGGAGCAACACTGGCTCGCGGTTCGTAGTCCTTTAGTTTTGGACGAAGAAGTCAGCCAACGATCAAAGTTTATGTTACATGGGGAGAACACACTCCAATAATAGGACCGCTCTCACAGTGTAGAGAAGCATGGCGTGGACCAGGCCAACCTGGTCCCTCGAACGGCGATATTTCTGGGCGAGCTCTTTGAAGTTGGAACAAGCCCCGAAGCTTTCCTTTAAGAAGCTGTCCATGCCTATTACCTCAGCCTTGAAGGCAGAGAACAAGTCGTCCAAGAAGGATTGGAGCCATGGTGTCGTTGAGGCTTGGCCAAAGACATAGTCCATGCCACCAACCCATGCGTCTGTGAGGTCCCCAAAAGAAGGACAATGGGATGAGTTGAGCCCATGATAAGTGTATGGTTCTGGCTTCTGAGCGAGGTAGATGGGTGTCGAGGCGATGATGAATCGCTAGGACAGTATAACAGACAATCTAGGGCACGAAGGGTGCTTAATGTCTATAGAAGAACCCTTCTCTCCCTCCAAGTCTCAAGTTGCTTCAGCCGTAATGTAACTGTTCCAGGTCAACACCGAGCCCGTAATTATTAACATGATCTTATTCCCGATCATATTGCTTTTATGACGCCCCGGCCGTACCCGAAGCGTCTCCTTTGACATTGTTGATTTCCCGATCTCACCTCTAGGGCTTCCAAAAAGGCCGCATCCCCGATGAATTATGTCAGCTCGCCACATCGTGCGAATCCATTCCCGCCGGGAATGTCGTATTGCACTTTGCAGGAATTGTTCCCCACTCAGCGCGACAGGGGGCATCAGACCGAGGTACTTTTGCGTCTTGTTGATTGCGCTTTGGTCGCCATTTGCCGTCTCAGTATTATTTCAATCTCAGAGATAGGCTTACTCAGCCTAATTGGCTGGTCGTCCTAGACCCAATTCAGCTCCCCGGTCACGAGTTGAAAACTCTAGCAGACAGACGACTTGAAATCCAGGGGTGGAGGGCGCATCGTAGTGAGTTTTTAAAAGCATTACCAACTCTAGGCAATCAAGGTAGTCAATGAAGGGCTCAGCAAAACTTGCGGGGGTACTTTCTAGTTATGGCTGCCACCAGTTAGGCAGTTGGTTGGTGTCACCTGCAAGCATAATGGATTGAGAAAAATAGGATTCCGGTAGAGCTGGAATGGCTTCCATAGCCTCATCTTGCCGGATAAAGCACTAGAATGGCTTTAAGCCACTGCAGCGAGGCCAGAGCTCCCTGCAAGCGCGTTACAAGGCTGGAGGTCTTCGGGTGGTGCTTGTCTAGATAAGCTGCAATCAGGCTGAGGTTTTCCTTTTTGGGGCTCTAGTAGCAGTAATAGGACGTAAACAAAAATTCCAGCATTTAAACCGACAATCGTGCTATAATCGTCGAAAGAGCTTTTACAGCGAATGTGTGATGTGGGATGGAAGGTTGTGAAGTTAAAGTTCCTCACATGCGCGGGAACACCCGGCGCTTGTAAAAGCTTTGACCTCTACGGTTCGCAGCTTTCTCCAAGTCTTGTGTAACAGATCACGAGTCTATATTTTCTGTTGTGGGCTATATAAAGAAGGAAAGTCAACTAGGATGTAAAAGCAGCAAACTGCGATTACACCTAGGACAGTTATTTACATAGCAGGGATCATACCGGTAAACATCCAACACAGCACAGATAGCGTGGGAACACCCTAGATACCCGCATCGGCCTGCGGGAAGGGCATAGTCGGCTCCCACGCATCCCACGCGTCACATACAGGGTCAAGCTGTTTGGTCCAGTCACCTCCTACCACCCCGGGAATTAGGGCGGGCGACTCGACAACCGTCGCCCCGAAGCCCTGGCTGCTATGCCAGGCAATGTGGCAGTGGAAGGCCCAGACACCCGGGTTGTCGAGGGGCCAGGCAATAGCCAGGTATCCGTTGGCAGGCAAGGTGGCAGTGTCCCGACGTGGCGGGTTCTTCAGCTGCCACCCGTACGTTGACCCAGACCACTGCTCGTAGCCGGCAGCGAGGATGAGGAAGTCATGCCCGTGGAGGTGCATGGGATGGGAGATGCCCTGGATGGGTCCATGGTCCTCGATGACGAGGATGGCCCATTCCGTCTCGTCACTTTGCGATGCGGCCGATGACGTGTTGGCGCCAACCTGGAATACGTTGTCCGACAGGGGAATGGCGTCCAAGTTTCCAGATATGACATCTCCCAGAGCCGGGTTAGACCAGTTCACCCACATAAACGAACCCCCGTTGATGGACCATCTGAGATGCGTGTGGTTGTCAAGCCACTCTGGCTTGAACGTCTCGGTCTGAACGCCATCCTTTACGGACGACATTTCTAAGTCGATTGGAACCCAGGGCTCCAAATTTGTGGGCTGTTCATCTAAACAGAAAGCTAGACCTATCACCACAGTGTTCACGCTCGAGTTTGTCGGCATGGCGGTGCTTTCATTGTTATACCTCACAATGGCGGTGATGTTATCGGCCCCTGCGCCGTTGAGGATACAATTCTGCTCGAATCCGCTGCGCATCCAGTAGTCCCCCGGCGGCGCGTTTGCCTCAATAATGACGTCGTACCGCTGCCCCATACCAACAAATATGTTTGTTGTCTGGTACGGCACGATCGGCACAAAGTCGGTCGCAATCACCGTCATGGTGTGATTGTCGATGCTGAACTGAACCCAATCCTCTTCCGCCACATTGAGGAGCCGAAGGCGGTACTTCTTGCCTTCCTCAAAGAGGAGCTCGAACTTCTTGCCCTCGCCGAGGCATCTCGGGTCCAGGTTCGTCGCATTGTTTGCCACGCAATCGCCCGTGTTCATGCCGTTGAATAGCCCCGTGTCGGAGCCATAATATGTGACATTGCCGTCGGCGAGTGTGGCCCAAATGTAGTCCGTTGTTTCGTGGTCCCAGTCTGTGATAAAAACGGCCCCGAGGTCCTCGTCATAGTCGGCCGTGGCCGGGCCGTTGATGATCAGCGCCCCGTACAGCCCATTGCTATACTGCATGCTAAAGTGACTGTGGTACCAGCTGGTACCGTACTGGTCGGCATGGAACTTGTACGTCTGGGTTTTTCCGGGTGCGATTGGACATTGTGTGACCCCGGGTGTCCCGTCGGCTATGTTGTTGTTGAGCAGCCGCGCACCATGCCAGTGCAGGGACGAGCCGTTGGTTGCAATGTTATTGGTCACATGCACGACGATGTCGTCGCCCCAGTCGGCTACGATTGGTGGGCCAGGTATGGTCCCGTTGGCCATCACGCATTTCCGCTGGTATCCGTCCGGTGCGCAGTCGGTCTCCTCGAGAGTCAACCAATACTCGACTGCGCGGTTCGTGTAGGGGATAGTGTCGTAGTAGTTGGTATTGATGTCGTACTCCCCCCAGCATTGGCGGGATGTTGGGCCGTTCTCGCATCCCTTTGTCAGGCTGCCAGTGTCACGGACTGAAATAGGCGGAGATTGAATAGCTGAGCTGGGGATGGAGATAGCCGAGGTCCCTGCTACTGCGAGGGCGAGCAGGCAGAGGAAAGAACGTGCCATGGTGACGAACAGCGAGTGACTTTTTTGCTCGGAGAAAATGCGATTTTCGAGAAAGATTGTAGCCTTTTGAAAGTAGCCATAATGACCATAGCAACTTATTAGATTGCGGCTCAGAAGACCACATGGTGTTCCTGAATTCCCCTGGTGTTCTTGGCACAGGCCATTGCCTTTTCCAAGCTCAGGACATCATGTTGCCCGACAAGATGAACTCGGGAATATAAATCGGGGATATAGTTCGGGGATCAGCTGACACGAGCAATATTCATTTACCTATTCGGGAAAGAATCATCGATGTTGTAGTAGCCCTGAAGTATATGCAAGATATAGTATAAATCTCTCTTTATCACCAATTGGAAATATGTAAGCGACAGAGGGGGCTATGGGGAATGTCTTAAAATTGCTGAACTGTATGTAAATAATAAATTACAGCTAGTGCTCGGTCTACGGGCCGCATAGTGGATTATCTCCGGACCCACGTTGCCACTGCAGGTACAATAAAGCCGAAACCCCGAGATCCTGATGCTTACAAGGAACGTTACAGCTCTCAGCTGTGCATGTTGGCAAGATTGAAGCTTCCGATTATTATTATTGTAAAAAAAAATTCCACGTATCATTCTATTTGATTATCCATGATTTATATCACCGTCTTACACATCAACTACCAATTCTGAGATGGCAACAGTGCCAAAGAAGACCGTCTTGATCACGGGCTGCAGCACGGGTGGCATCGGCTGGGCCTTAGCCAAGAACTTTCACCAGCGAGGGTTCTACGTCTTTGCCACGGCGCGTAATCCCTCTAAGGCCGCCGATCTGGCTGAGTTAAGCGACATCGAGATTCTCGCGCTGGACGTGACTGATCCAAAGACTATCGCGGAGTGTAAGGAGATAATCGTGAACCGTACGAATGGGAAGCTTGATGTTCTAGTTAATAACGCTGGCGTCGAATTCAACTGCCCACTGCTAGACACCGACGTCGACGAAGCGAGGAGGCTATTCGATATCAACGTCTGGGGCCCTCTTGTTATGGTCCAGGCGTTTGCTCCCTTGCTTATCGAAGCCAAGGGAACTGTCTTCAATCAGAGCTCTATTGACGGGGCGCTAAATATGGTATGGGCTGGTAAGTTTCCATTAGCTAGCGCTTGCAGCTCTCTCTTTCCCTTCCCCTCGGAAGTCAGGCTAATGTCACGCTCTTGATCAGGTATTTTCGCCAGTTCAAAGTCCGCCATGGCGCGCATGTCTGAGACCCTGCGTTTTGAGCTGGAGCCACTGGGCGTGCGCGTCGTGACGTCCATATGCGGGTCTGCCGATACGCCTATGTTCGCGAAGCCCGGTGGTCCGATGAACCTGCCAGAGATGTCGCACTACCACGGAGTCCAGGACGCGGCATGGAAGGAGCGGATGGACCACCAGCGCCAGGCCACGCAAGTTGATGTGCTCGCCGGGAAGCTGGTCAAGGACATCCTCGGCGGGAATAGAGGCGTCATTTGGCACGGGGCGTTCGCTCCATCAGTTCATTGGGCTAGCTGGTTGAATCTTACGTGGCTTTTGGATAGGTTGATTAACTCGGCACGAGGCTTGAGTCAGGTCAAACTCAAACAGTCCTAGGGCCACGGTCCTGCATGAAATATACATTTGATCATGTCAGATGTCAACGACATTTAACTCAGAAAGTGTGAATGAAAGAGTTAATTGCCACCATATTCGGTCTGCTGTAAACGACCGATATCGTCAGCTTAAGGGGAATTCCACAGCTAGATCACAGTAAACGCATTGGGCCAGGCCACGTGCGTACTTGTTGAACTATTACGGATGATCCCTTTCAAATGACATCCTTTTAGTTCAAGCCAGTGGGGAAACAAACTGTTGAAGCTGAGTGTCTGCACATACAAATATATGTATTAATCTAGGTATCACATCAGATTCCCATTGTGTCCGTGATAAGATATATTTGTCTGCTGGAGGATGGAGAAGACATAGATTCATAAGATTCAATGAGAAAGCGAGAGAATAGGGCATAGAGGAAAGAAAAAGAGAGAGGAGCAGAAACTATCTACTACGCAAACATCTCCAACATCTTGGCATGCGGCAAGCGGGCCCGCGAGCTACCTCTCTTATACTCTGGCTCATTTCCTCAGCACAACTTCCAACAGAGCCGACTGCCCCTGTCCATGCACCTTCTTCAGCTCGAGTCTCTCATCAGCCGCCTGGAACAGGTCCTCCCATTCGGCTCGAGTGCGCTCCTTGGCACCCAGTCCCACCAGCATCATGATGTCCTGCCGACGCATCGCACGCTCCTCATGCAGCGGCGTCCCGTCGCCCAGGCAAGGCAGCACTCTGTCGCTGATCAGCATAGGTGTTCCCGCAGGTGATGCTTCAAGACCGGGCACTAGCGCGCGGAGGATAGCTATCGAGTCGGCATCGGCCCAGTTATGGAAGACGTGGCGGAGGAAGAAGGCTGCGACAGCGTTGCCTGGCTGCTGCGGCTGGAAGAAATCATGCTGCTCCATCTCAATGCGGCTGGCCAGAGCCGGGTCTTCCTTGCTGAGGACGCGTCGGCCTTCGTCGAGCATCTTCTCGCTATCCTGGACGCGGAATGAGAGATGCGGGAAGCGTCGTGCCAGCGCCATTGAGACGTGTCCGCTGCCGCCACCTACATCAACCACTGTGCCTTTGAGAGTGTCCCATGGGAATATGTCACCAAGTGTATTAGGTTTGCGGTCGACTGGGGGAGCAGATTTGTTAGCCATTGCCATTGTTAAAGAATAAGAATATCCCGGGCTTACTTGTTGTGACACCCGCCATGGCCTTAGCAAACCGAGCAGCGTACTCTGGGTTTTTCTCATAGTAGTCAAACATGGTCTCGCCCAGACGTGTCGTAAAGGGCGAATGGACGAGGTCCGACACTTGAGGGGAGGCCTTGATGCAATCGGCCGTCGAAGATGCGGACTTAAACATATCATCCATCCTGCGTGCCAACAGACATAAGTTCTTGCATTTGGGTGTGCAAGAGGGGGAAGGAAGCTCACGAATATTGTCCGAGCCCTATCAAGTTCTCGTCTCGCCCGAAGGCCACGCTGCATGCCGTGTGTGCAAACCAGCCCTCCTTGACCTCGCGAAAGATGCGATGCGTGCATAAGAACCTCAGTACCTGCCGTGTCCGGCCTACGTCTATGCCCGCCTGTCGGGCGATTGCTTCCACGGCAATGCCCTCTTCTTCCGCCACAGGCACAATAGTGAAGAAGCCAAACTCAAAGGCAACCTGGAGGGCGGCCAGGTCATTGCTCGAGCCCATCAGGCCGCGCATTGTGGTCCGTGGGCCGACGACGAGCAGACGTAGATCGTCGAGCGAGGCCACAAGTTTGCTGCGCAGCGCAACATACTCGGGTGTATCAGGCAGCTCCGTCGAGTTAGATAAAAAGTCTGGAGCGGGAAGGTTCTGGGAGCCGAGCAGCGTCTTGATGTTGGCCGCGTGGTTTACAATGTCCAGAGCAAGAGCGAGAATATCGGTGGAAGCATTCATGTTGCCGTTGGAGACGCCGATAATTGCGCCGGTGTGCTAATTGCTAAATTGGGTGACATTATTAAGTCTGCAATGAACTTAATAAAACCTCAAAGAGTTTGTAGAGTACGCAGCCCCCGCTGTGAAGCTGATGCCCGAGGAAAGGTGATTACTAACACGGGAACCGTGGTGTAGGGGGATCCCAGGCCGCCCTCGGGAATCCACCTGCCGGGGAACATCCATGGTTGGTATCCGGTGACGAAAGAGGCTAAGTTTGATGTGATCGTATCTATTTTCGGTCATTCGTCTGCTATGTACATACTAACGTGTTCCAAGGGCCACACCCCTGCAATTGAGGCCAAACCATTAAGCAAAACGAATAGTTGATATTCCTATCTATAATTGTTCTTACAGTATAGTACGTATGGCTAAGCCCTAAATTTCCCGCAATTTGAACCCTTACAGTAGCGGGTGCGCGTCTCCGGAGCAGAAGTCCCAAACCTGATTGGTCAATTGGCTAGTACTCCACGAGGTCATCAAGCCCAATAATGACAAGCATACCGACGAGCAGGCCAGTTTTCTCAGCAACTCCAGCCAAGACAGATCAGAACCCCTGGAATATGTTTCAACAATGGTATGACCCCACCTCCTCAAATAAAAAACCGAAAAAAATTGCTATTCTAAACGCCCATCACACATGCTATGCAAGCACTGAATCCATGGTCTCATCTCTGCTAGGAACCGAAAACATCCTCTTGACGTCGCCGGCCTTCCGTTCAAGCCACAACCGCGTATAATCGCACGCAATCACAAACGCCATATGCCGCGATGGATCTGGGAGGCTGGAAAGCTCAGTGTGCAGGTCCCGAAGATACACTGTAAGCTGTGACAGAAGCCTCTCCAGCTTGCGAAATGACAGCTGGTACAGCCTCTGCCGGAGGTCTATCTCGTCATCTTCTTCCAATTCTAGCACACCCAACGATAGCCGGGGCTCCATAAGATCTCTCGGGGATATGTTGCTATTACTTGGAGTGGCGATCCCGGACTTGCTCTCCCTCTCAATGTTTCCCAATGTCACCATCTCGGCTGCCGACTGTGACGACAATGACCTGCGCAGCGAGGAATCACTGGCGAGCATTTTGAAGTTGTCAATAGCGTAGCCTATGAGCATAGCAACGGCCATGATGTGAATTGGCTCGGTGTCCTCGCGGGGGTGCGTGCACCCCATCGACATCTCGGATGATACAATACACTGCTTGAGCCTGGCGAGTTGTGCGTCGAGCGATAGCCGCTGGTCGTTACCGGCACCACGCATCGATGCCAGCAGCTCCGTGACGCCTGCGTGGCAAGTGCATTCGCTCTCGCCATTGAGCGCCTGATACGTCCCCATCTCAGTGTCATCGCTATTGAGGTTGGCACCGAAGAGGGAGTCCAGATAGGGTGAGGGGTCTGGTGTTGGGAAGTACCCAGGCACCATGGTGCTGCCGGTGGCTAGGCTGTTGAAGTCCAACAGCTGCGTGAAGCCGTACATTGAATTGGTTTCGATTGGCGTCGGAAACATGTAGTCGTCGGGAAGATTTGTATTATCATTGTGCGCCTCGTCCGGCTTGTCCAGCATTGCAGAACTGTTGGACCGGGACGCAGTTTTACTCGGACTGTTGCTCTTGGGACTGGTACTGGTACGAGTATCGGAACCGCACTGGGGCCGCGGAGCCCTCCTTCCCCGCTGCGACGGAGGGATAGAGATAGGCGGCGCGTCCTTGTGTGTCCTCCGCGACAGACCGTAGATACACTCAATTTGGTTGCGCTCGCACCTCGTGCAACTCGGCTTTCGCTGGCTGCACCGCACTTTCGACTCGTTGCAGGCGTTGCAAGAGGCTCGTAGTCGAACTTTGTTTTCTTCTACCATTGCTGGCCAACTTAGCCCTGTTGTCATGTTCGATGAAATATATAGCAGGCACCTTACACCCAACTATATATTGAAGTGGTAGTGTCGAATGAAGCGGCTTCTGCGGAGCTTGGTGTTTCTTATGTATGTTGAGATAACTGTGCTGATGTACAGCACAATTACCCGTGTCACGCCTTGCATTTTTCTGTGGCCACATAGGACCACCAATTCAACTTAGTGCTGACGAAAAAGTGCACAAACAATCAAACACCCCACTTGAAGGACTGTACTCAGTTCGTATCCGTCCGAATTGAGTACATCGTACGTTGCTTTCGTGTAGATCCTGGTCTTCATCTCCGACGTGGCTGACTCGAAGGATTTCCTGTACTCATCCTGTACTCATTGTCGATTGGTTGGCGGATCTCTTGGCATCTGCAACTAAGTGTTCATGATCAGTAAAAATGCTTATTCATGGGCGCGGTCGAGTAGATAATGATAGCAATTTCTAGGCGGCTCTCCAAAGGGTATTTCTAGTATCTTAATCAATGCATATGGCTAGTTTCATGCACCAAAAGGAAGATTAGCGATGCGTGATAGAATACAAGGATGCATTCACTTGGAACTAAGCCGCCCAATACCTTTTGTAACTTGCAGATACCGCAACGCCACCGAATATAGGCAGCATTTCGAGATTTGCAATGCACGTTACAATCGTCAGCACTGCCATTCGGCCCCTCCGCCGCATCCGCTTTTGTTTCACTTATAATTGGGGGCGGAGAATGCTGGCTTGCCTCCACGGCTTTCGGGGCGTCAGAGCACTGGAAAGTTTGAGAACACCCAGTGGACCCCTAACAGATGAAATTATTTGCTGCTTACGGTTGTTACTTTTTAGTATCCATAGATATCCAATACCTACCTGCATATGGTTACATCTGCTCTTATGCAGGCTATCCCGTATCTTTGAGTATCTAATAGCGACCACGCATTTTAGATAGTCCATATTGAAAGATGTCCATGTATTTGTAAAAGTATCTAGTTTAGGACAGGGAAAAGTAGGATGTATCAGCTCTGGCAATCCTCCTACATGAGAGAGTCATAGAGACGATCTTTGTATTTCCAGTCCAACAGCCTAATACACCATTAGAATTGATCAATTTGAATCATACTTAGGTCCAATATTACGACGACCGAATAAACATGTTTTTGGCGATGAGACTTATGGCTTACTCTACGTACTGAGTTGCCACTGTGATGTAGAGAGTAAGCGTGTAGTGGGGCCGAGATAGGCGGGCCGTCAGTGCTCTGACCCCCGGATGTGCCGCGCGCGGCCCGTTTAAACTTTAGGCCGAAGCAGGCGGATAATATGACAGCTTTGGCAGCCCTACTATAAGAGAGTAGTACAAACGACCTCTCATCCTCAGAGGTCCGGTTCTTGTAGCGCAACAATCTAGATGGGGAATTGCTCCCTTCTACTTATTCGGATCGTGAGCGAGGCTGAGACATCGGAACCTGTCGGGGGAGGCTCCAACTTGTTGCAGACCAACGGCGCTAACACGAGCCTAGACCTCTGAATGACGTGGGTCAGGGTCCAAAAAGTGGGAACCTAATCCTCATCCGCGAATTTCCTTATCAGACCCTGATTTCCAAGAACTCCGCCAAGTGAGGGGCTGAACTGCACTGTCTACACACAGACCCTGACCACATGTTTCACTTTGTCAGGACGATCAAGCTTTAGGTTGGTTTAGCCAAGTTCTAAGCCAAGTTCGGAGCCAAGTCTTTCTGTAGATCAAACTTATGATAACGCTAAAGCTAACTACTAACTTGGTCCTGTTAGAGGAAATAGGTACGAGATATACCATCAAATTCAATAGTTGTCCCATGTTCCTAATCTGACAGCAATTGAGGGCCCCACAATTGTCATATCGATCTTGCAGGAACTACGAGACCCCGCCGTCATGTGCAATTCCCATACCCTGGTATCCCCCAGACCTTCAACCGAAAATTATTTCGTCTACTTGTTGAACAGGGGGGTGAGCAAGGGGCAATTCCCCCGGGTGTTCTATCACCAGCATCCGGAATCTCCCTTCGTCCCTTTGCAGATTGGCGCCAAGGCTTCCTCCGTTCAAGCTCGGAATAATACGTGACATGATACTTGGCGAATCTTCATTGATAGCCCTTGCCCTTAGCTTAGTAGCTACCTCTATCTACACCTTCTCTTTTCCTCCTCGGGATTCTCCACTCGGTAGTTTAATCAATATCCATCAGTATTACTGCTTCCTTCATTGATTCCGACCAAGTCGTTGAGCCCGGAGGCTAGTAGAGGTGTCCAATAAGAAATCCATTTTGGATTGCCTTTCAAAAATATGATCAGGACCTCAATTAACGAAAATGACGAACAAGGGAAAGAGCAGCAAGCGAATGAAGAAACAAACGAAGGAATCCGGACACGATATATAAGGGACTCCGTAAAACGGCAACCCGTCTTCTAAGAAAAGGCCTAGTATCATCTTTAGCCAGTGCGTGTTTTGTAATCATCCCCATACACTACAATCAAGACGAAATCCAGAATCCCCTTGCTAAGTTGAACAATCTCCACCAAATAAGCCAGACTCCGGTTTCCTCCACAATGCTAGCTGGAACTGAAGTGCTAAGCTAGATCCAAGTATTCCTCTTTGAATAAGCGCTTCGCAGTTTTCCCTCTCTTTTGCAGATTCGTTTGGGATGTACTCTGCCTTCAATGCCGACTCCTTTGGTCTCTTCCTGAAGGTATATACCGGAAGGGCCACTGTAGGATAGACGTTACGCCAACAGCTGAAATGAGATTATCAAAAAGTTCGTGTCGGTTGAGTTCAGGTGGGGTCTTCATCCTCCAAATCGATATCATCATATGGTTAGTGGCCGTATACCACGTAGTAAAGAAGAGTCCCGACTGCGTGCGGGTCAGTTCTGGTATAACAGAGATCAAAAGCATCCTTCAACAGTCCAGCGGGTAGTTTCTTGACCCATGGCGCATAAAAATATTCAAGGAATTCCCCATGGCCTTAGCTTGATCAGAATCTGCCAGTTTCAAATTGAGATTATTATCAAGAAGACAGGTGTAAGAAGCCCATTTTCTCCACATATTCGAGAGCGGAATTAATTTGTCGGATCCACCGAGCAATGAGAGCGTTATCCTCATACTTGATCACACTGGTAAGACGCGGCCAGCCATTGAAGTTCTTCTTGGGTCTGATTTCGAGAATATCGATAGCAGATATTATTACTGTCGCAATATGACAGAAAAGATTGTTTGGAGCGCAAGGAAACATTCGACAATATCTAGGCATCGATCTTCACGCTTATTGAAGCATTCATAAATCTTGGTCCATGAGAAAGGGGTCCTGCCACTCAGACACTTCGGACCGGACAGCCTTCATCACAATAGTGCGACTGACGGTGTAGACAAAGGACGCACTTCCGCTCCCAACACGAAGCTTCTGCTCAACAATGTCATAGTATGGCCATGACATGGCGACCTGGACCGTGATAGCGACGCGGGTTGGTGATAAGATCTGAGCTGACCGTTGAAGAATCCGCAGGAAACACTTTTCGGTGGTAGGTGAGATATTGAGGATTGTGTTAATAGGTAAACAGCAAGCTGACCTTAGATGCTACGTATACATGTAGCAAAACACTCGACTCTCGATTATAATTTGGAGAACAAGTAAAAAAGGAGAAAATATACAAATCTCACAGTGTTACATGCCTGGCCCACTGTGACATTCCATGCTGCATCCAAAAAGCCCTTGAATTCTGTCGTCTGAACAGACAGTCTACAATTGCCGGTGCTAGTTCTCATCTCTTATCCTCTGTTCTACCCCTTCAATTTCGTTTTTGATCATTACATTTTCGCATTGAGTCTGTTGGGAGACCATGGAGACCAATATCGTGGACCAGGATTCTTCTGTGAGCATTGATACCTTCCAAGGGTCCTATATTTCTAATTTGGTGAGCTCATCGAAGTCCATACAAATTGAATATCCAACTGATGCATTCGACACTCCGAACCTACCTCTCAATACCTCCGTCGTCTGGATTCATAAGCATCATGCTCCTAGAGTCAGTAAAGTCATTGATCAGGGTGCCTCTTCTTAATGCCCTTGTCAATGATTCGAATGTCCTCAAGTATCTGAAACAACCTGAGGAGGGCAGCAAGATCCATGCAGACGCTCAAATTCTCGAGATCCTCGGGAATCATCCTCGGATTATCAGATTTCACGGTTGACCAAACATGGCCTCCTATTCGATCAGAGGCTATATTGGTGCAAGCAGGCCGTTGAAGCGGTTAATTACATCCACGTCATCCACTGCGATCTCACCGATCGAAACTTCTGCTCGATAACAACCTTGGTTTCTTGTTTGCGGACTTCCAGGGAGTCCTGAGATCAACTGACGGCAAAACATTGATTGACAGGCTATCTCGGGAGAATACCAAATACTACTGCCCTCGTATACATGGGAATTATACAGATGCGAAGACTGATATCTTTGCTCTTGGGTCTACTATCTATTCGATTATGATGGGACATCAGCTCAAGCCTCTTATTGACAAAGTGTGCGAAGAAGCTTCCATCATGAAACCTGACGCAATTCTCAGCAAAACTTGGAATTTCGGAACTCAAAAAAGTCGTAGAGAAGATGGCTATTAGTCTAATGATTCTGACAATATTGATAGGTACATGCAGATGTTCAGATTTGATGTCGTTGCTGCCGACTTGAATGTCATTCGTCAAAGATCGAATACTATTATCGAAGGATGGCCGACACAGTTGAAGCTGAAGCTGGGATAAAGTGGTGCCAAGGAAGAGTTCCGTGCTATTTTGCGATCGAACCTTTCTGGTGCTGAGCATTGTGTTGAATGCAGGAGAAAGTGATTGGGATTGTCCAATTGCAATGCATTACAATCGGATGAGGCCCACCTTGACTAGACTGTGAGTATGAGCTATGGGTTAGACACGGCAAGGTAATGGAATCTCCGAGGGTACTAGGCTTCTGAAGTTTCTCCACAGATTTCATATTCACTGGTTTTTCTCGTGTTATGTTATGGTTTCACTACTGGAGTGTTATGGAGACATAGATACAATGTTTAACTAGCCAGGTACCTTCGTAATAATTGCCTATTGCCTATTAGCTGTGGTTATTCAGATATCTATGTTCGGCATAACGTCAATATAACTTCGGAATGCGGGGAGATCACGTGGGTAGCATCGGTTAGCATCGGCGTGCGGGCAGAACACTCGATTGAATAAAGGGACTCAATGCTCTTTCCTCCTTTTCTCAACATCTTCTATGTCTCCTGTGTGTCCTATTCTACATCCTGGCCCTTTGATCATGAGCTTCCGGCGCAGTGGGGGACTCCTCCCCAGCAACTTCCGACCTTGTCTACCCCAGAATCACCTCCGCATTCGCTCCACCTTACCGCCGCTCTTATCCCGGAGGTTTCACGCCAGCTCGCTGCTATGGGGGATCAAGTCACAGGTGTTAAAGGATGTTGGTGAAGGTATGGAGCATTTGGGACCCGTCTTATGTCTCAATTTAGTTGCTTATCGTTGCTAGGTATCACCGAGGTCCAAATCATTCAATGGTATGTGGAGGAGGGAGCGCATATTGAGGAGTGGAAGCCTCTATGTCAGTATCAGTCTGATAAGGCCGTGGACGATGTGAGTTGGTTCTGTTCGAATTGTCTCAATGGGGGCTAACAAGCCCAGATCACATCGAGATATGAGGGTGTTATTAAGAAGCTTCATTTCGAAGCTGACGACACAGTACCTACGGGGAGGGTAAGTCACACATTTCCATGTTTCCCATCTATGTGGATATCTTACTAACAAACTTGATAGGCACTCTGCGATATTGAAGTCGAAGATGGAAAATACCCCGACGATAACCCTCCGCACGAGCCTAGAGCGGATCCACCTGCCCCAGACTCCATTGTGGCTGCAACACAAGCAGCCGAATCCTCTCAAATATCTCCGGCTCCTGATATCCCAAAGGTGGAGATAGCGCCCAAGTCAAAGCACGCAAGTCTCGCAGTCCCAGCGGTACGCGGGCTACTGAAAAGCCATGGCGTGGACATCGTCCAAGTAAACGGAACAGGCAAAGACGGACGAGTAATGAAACAAGACGTCCTCGACTTCGTCGCAGACAGAGATTCACCAACTGGGTCAACGCCACTCCCGACCCAAGCCTCTGTGTCACCAGACACAAGACAAACAGAGTCAATCACCAACCTGACCCCGATCCAATCACAAATGTTCAAGACAATGACCCGATCCCTGAATACCCCACACTTCCTCTACGCAGACGAACTCAAAGTCAACGACATCACGGCCATCCGCAAGAAACTCGCCAGCGACGCCCGCGACCCCAAGAAAATAACTTTCCTCCCTTTTGTCGTTAAAGCCGTCTCCTTAGCCCTAACCGACTACCCAATTCTCAATGCCAAGGTTGATGTTAGCGATCCTAACAAGCCCAAGCTAGTAATGCGCGCCAAGCACAATATCGGGATCGCGATGGATACGCCAAACGGTCTAATCGTCCCGAATATCAAGGACGTCGCCAGTCGTTCGATCTTCGATATTGCCGCTGAGATCGCGCGTCTCAGTGACCTTGGCAAGAATGGGAAATTGACACCAACTGATCTCAGTGGTGGGACTATCACCGTTTCGAATATTGGGAATATCGGCGGTACGTACGTCGCGCCGGTTATTGTGCCGACTGAGGTTGCTATCCTTGGTGTGGGTCGATCGAGGGCTGTTCCGGTCTTTGATGATGCTGGCCAGGTAACACGCGGGGATATGGTTAACTTTAGCTGGAGCGCGGATCATCGTGTTATTGATGGAGCGACTATGGCTCGGATGGGTAATCGGGTCCGTGAGCTAGTTGAGTCGCCGGAGCTTATGCTTTTGAAAATGCGGTGATTAGATCTTGGAATTGGTTAAAATACTGCATCTAGATGTTTATTTCAGGGGGTAGTCATTGTTGTGGCTGTCGCATGACTGCATGTATGGATGTAGAAATCATATGGAATGAAATGAGCATCGATACATTATCATCTATGACCCTGGTCCTTCTATAATGGAGTAAGCTCTCAGATGTGTGGACTACAATTGATGCTCATCCTTGACAAAGAAAGAAGCTGACAAGGATAATGAAATCGATACAGACAATTCAATTGAGATCGTTCGACAAGACACATGATATATCAGAAACCGACTGAAGCCCTCAAAAACGCCAAATCTAAGACAGACCGGCAACACAACCAAAGCCAGTCAACACCAAACACCTAGGAGAGGATCAACGAGACATGTCAAAACAAAACAAAACAAAAACAAAAAAAATGCTAAAAGTCCTCGTCCTCTATGCAATCATACCCCCAGACAAAAGCTCATTCATACTCAGCCAGTTTCTCCGAAACAGCCTGAATAACATTCCTTTGCACATCCTCCACAGATCCCTCAACATTGATAGTAATAGCATCCCACTCGCCCTTCGGCTCCTCCAGCGCAGCAAGCTGTGACTGCACCATACTGCTCTTCATATAGTGCGACTGGCGCTGCGTCACACGCTGCAGGAGGACCGCCTCATCGAGCTTGAGGTAGACGAAGTGGATCTGCACATTGGGCGAGCCGTAGGCGGCGACGCGCATCACGTCACGGTACTTTCGCTTTAGCGCTGAGCAGGCTACTACGACGCCAGTTGGGGGTGTGCTGTTGTTTGCTACCGAGGGGGAGAGGGCCTCGATTGCGGCTTGGCGGAGGGAGATGAGCCAGTCCCAGCGGTCTGCGTCTGTTAGGGGGATGCCTTGGCCCATTTTTTCTTTGTTGGCGGCTGGGTGGTACTATGAGGGTGTTTGTGTTAGTTCATCATTTACTTTTTTGGATTGCCTTTTGGGGTAGATGTTGTCGCAATGAATTGAGTTGGATTGGATTGCCTGTGCTGTACTTACGTCGTCGCCTTCTAGGAATGGGACGCCTAGGTGGGTGCGCAAGACGTTTCCGGCTGTGCTCTTTCCACACCCTGCTGGTCCGGTCACCACCCAGATGTGTTGCATTTGCGTATTCTTGGACTGGTCGTGCAGGGTGGAGGCTCCGTTGGTGAGATCGGGCATGATGCGCGCCTTGCTCACGGGCACTGAGGTCGAGTCTACTTTGGAAGCGTGCGGAGGCTGGGGGCGTTCCCCGGCGGAGAGCATGGTGTCAGGAGGAGGGGGAATGTCCGTGGGAAGTGATGATCTGGTATCAGTTCCAGGGAAATTCGGTTGGGCCGGTGGATGTATGACGATGTACTGATACACGGCACGGACTGGGGGTGTATATGGTGTGTACAACTATAGATTGGAAAACAGCAGAGCAAGTGAAGAAGTGAAGAAAAGTCAGAAAGGAAGAAATGAAGAAAAGGAGGCGTCGCGCGACAGGCTGAAATGCAACTTTTTAACTATGACGGTGGGTCGTGGGGAAAAAGAATCCAGCAGAAGCCGAGTGGGGGAAGATTGAGCCGATCTCTAAAGTCTTATATACACTTATATATTCCATGTTCTTATACTTCTGATATCTCTCTGCTATATCTCAGATATGTTAATTAGAATGCTCAATTGAACTATTGACTTAGTAAGAACCATCTACACCGTGCAATGTTGAATAGGAACAGGAACTGTATGATGTCACGTATTACAATACACACCCCCACGCTAAGACACCGCTGCTTTGGCTCTTCACTTTGCCATTCCCCTGCTACTCTCCCACGGAATTTGTGCCCACATTTCTTTTCCGTGTCTTGCTTCTCTCTCGCTGCTCTGTCCCGTGCCGAAACACCGATGTATTCCCCGAGTCCTCCTTGAGTCGACAACCCCCACACACTGGAATATACCATCCACCCGAGACTCATACACGGATTGCCGAGACTTAATCCCGTGGGATTCCTTGAAACAAGGGAACACAAACATTCCCGGGATTATACGCTCATCCGATAGGACAGGGAAGGGGGGCTATGCGGTTTTCCCCTCGTACAGTGACACCGACAGGGCCCCTGATTGCCGTCTGACCAGCTAGTTTGCACTCAAAATCCGGGGAAGACAGACTCCTGCGGGGTAAACGAATCAAAGCCTTGCTTGGAGAGTATCAGCCAGTTCTTGGGGAGAGTCCATGGTGCCCCTTGACGGGAAGCGGATTCCGACTCCGCCGTTTTCCTGTTTATCCGCTGTCCGGGGTATGTGGGAGAGTAATCTATGATACATCAGAGACAAGAATGGACTGCTGGTCCAATCGGTGGGAATTGCCAGTTATAGTAGGTCTCTTTATGCAGTGGATCTGACATGTCTGAAGTGCATCCCGTAGCGTTAGAGTGCAGCCTACGGGTAGTTTGTAGATCATGCATTCGTAAACCTTGGATACCAAGCCAAAGAGAAGACTACACAGGAGTATGAACAGAAAGCTACACCATTCAAATAGAATTTAGCTATATCCCAACGTATATCCCAAGTGTATACTGCCATAAGTTAACTAAGTTAGTTACTGCCACACTCTGGCCTGCAATGCAAGGCCTCAACATTTGGCTGCGGGGCGGTGTTACGTAAGCAGCCACTCCAGGCCACCGCGCTACAGCTCCAGATCATCAAGCTTCTTGATTTGTGAGCTGCATCTGGCTCAATTCTCTTTCCCCATGGCGTCACTTTTCTTCTCCACCCCTGTCGACATCGATGTCGTCCTTGAAGACCTCGATGAGCGCCAAACCGTCGACGTCAAGCTCGACAAGGGCCGCCGCGAGCGGGTCCCTCTGTACATGGACGGCGAGTCCGTAAAGGGTGCCGTGACAATCAGACCAAAGGATGGCAAGCGGTTGGAGCATACAGGCATCAAGGTGCAATTCATCGGCACGATTGGTGCGTCCGGCATTCCCCGTGGGTTTTGAATGGTGACAGCAGACTAACACGGGAATGCACAGAGATGTTCTACGACCGAGGTAACCACTACGAATTCCTTTCCCTGGTCCAGGAACTCGCCGCGCCTGGAGAGCTGCTGCACCCGCAGACTTTCCCTTTCAACTTCAAGAACGTCGAGAAGCAATACGAATCCTACAATGGCATCAACGTCAAGCTGCGCTACTTTGTTCGCGTGACTGTCTCACGGCGCATGGCGGATGTCGTCCGTGAGAAGGATCTCTGGGTTTACTCGTACCGCATGCCCCCAGAAAACAACAGCCCGATCAAGATGGATGTTGGTATCGAGGACTGTCTGCATATCGAATTCGAATACTCCAAATCCAAGTATCACCTCAAGGATGTGATTGTTGGTCGAATTTATTTCTTGCTCGTGCGGCTTAAGATCAAACATATGGAGTTGTCTATTATTCGGCGGGAGACGACTGGATCGCCGCCAAATCAATATAACGAGAGTGAGACGTTGGTTCGCTTTGAGGTATGTGTTTCTTGGACACGTTGGTATGCGGCTGCTGACTTGTATGCAGATTATGGACGGTTCGCCATCGAGAGGTTAGTGAATATCCCCCAGCTGGGACCCCAACAAGTATCAATCTGCGGCTTGCATTTCTCGAAGATTGGCCAGTGCAAGGTCTGCGTTGAACATAGCTGACTGCCCACAGGCGAAACCATTCCGATCCGGTTGTTCCTTGGCGGCTTTGATTTGACGCCCACTTTCCGAGATGTCAACAAGAAGTATTCGACGAGGTACTACCTGAGCTTGGTGTTGATCGATGAAGGTAGGTTAAACTCCATATACCCCTGCATCATCCCCACAATATTTCATGACGCCCCATGCGGGGATGAGGAGAAGCAAAGACCGAGCAAATGTATGCCTGGAATGACTGCAATAACCGACGGCAACTGAAATTGCCCAATTGATTCAAGTTGGGCCGGTCTAAGTTGCCGATTTGCCTCCGAGTCTATTCCCACCCCCACGCTAGACTGGTCTTGGCATCGGCTCCACTGCTTTACAATACACTCCCACCATACTCCATACACTGCAATGAATTCACTTGAAATATACTAACCCAACCACAGACGCCCGTCGCTACTTCAAACAGTCCGAAATTGCACTCTACCGCCAAGCCCCCGAGATCGCGCCGAATGCTCAAATCGCCCAGCAGCAACAAATCCAGCAACAGATGCTGCTCGAGCAACAGCGTCAGCAGCCTGCTCTCCCACCTGGCTCTGCTACCGCCGGTCCTGGTAGAGAAGTCTCCACGCCTCTTCGGCAGGAGGCTCAACAGGCTCAGCAGGCTCAGCCTGTCCCCGCGCCTACTGCATAGATTGTTCTCATTATCGCTTGCGTCTTCTAGTTCTTGGTACTTGGGGATCTGTTCTTCTATACCCGGCTCCGTCTCTGTTTACTTTCTTCCCTCTACTACCGCTACACTACTACTTTCTTTCTATGTATATCCAGTCCTTGGCCTCTCTCAAGACTACGTCACGATATCATTCTGTAGTCTACAGCCCCTTCTCAGCGCATCGAAATATGACCTCAACTACTGTGACAACACTCTGGATTTGAACCTCTTCAATTCTGAAGCTAATCCCTCGGAAATTCCGATCGTTCTAAAACATAGAAGAAAAATACTCTACCTAGGTACATATATCAATTACCGTGTAGACGGCACAAGTACACAGTAAACATATAGGTACAAAACAAATCCACAACAATAACCAACAATCCAATCTCCATTCGCAATCAATCCATGAAACAGAACCTAAACCTCAACCCTCCCTATTCCCTCCAAAACCCTCCCCAAAGCACCCAAAATCAACCCGTCATCCCTCTCCTTCCCAGCAACCTGCACAGCACGCACAACAAGCGGATAAACCCACTCTAAATGCTTCCGGCAATGACCACCACCACCACCATCCAACCCATCTTGAGCCCCACCAACCGAAACCGAAACCGAAACCGAAATCGTCTTCAGCGCAGGCGGGTCAGGGATAGCAGAAGGCTCACTCTCCAACTCAACCAACTTCAGTAAAAGATGCAGCAAGGCCTTACGGGCAGGTGTAGGCTGCGGCATTAGACCGCGTAATGGCTGGTCTGCGATATATGATTTGAGCGAGACTGCGCAGCGGAGGAGGAGGTATGGTGAGATAGCGCGTGCGAGAAGGGTTTCTGCTTCCGAGGTTGAGCTTGGGGTGGTGGATGTGGATGGAGCCGGATGAGCGGCTAGCTCGAAGAGTGTGTCGATCAAGACATAGGCCATGTGTGGGCGGAGGGTTGGGGGTGGATCGAAGGTCCGGCCTGGACGAACATTGTAGAAGTCTGCCAGGGGGTTTTCATTTCCGTCGATGCTGTTTTGGAAGTTTGGGTTTGGGAGGTCGAAGCGGAGGGGGCGTAGATGAAGGAGGAGTGGAAGAGAGCGTGGGCGAAGTCTCGGCGGATGGAGGCTCTTATGGCTGGGTTGCCGAGGGAGGGGAGAATGAGGGTTTTGAGTCTGGTGAAGGAGGTTATGTCGAAGGTTTCGTCGGTTGTTATTCTTTGTCTTGGAAGGTTGTGGGCTTGGAAGCCGTGGGCGGAGACGATTCCGTTTGTGATTTCGACTATGCGGTGCCAAAATTGGGCTGTTTCAGTTTCGTTGGTGGGTTTGTATTGGCTTTCCACATAGGGCACTGCCACTTGGAGGATGTTTAGGGAAGCTATTGTTGCTTTTTGCCAGAGGTAGGGCTCGCGGTCCTTTCCTTGCCAGGTGTACTTTTGTCCGATTAGAGCGCTGAGGTGCTTGAGCGCGGTTGCGAGTGCGCCGTTTGTGAAGACGTCTTGTTTGATGCCGAATTCGGCGATGTACCAGCCCATTAGGTCAATGATGTTTTTGGAGAATGCTACAAAGGCTGGTTTCCTGGTGTCGTTGCCGGGGCTCCATTTTGAGAGTGTTGAATCGGACAATTCGGCAAGACACAAGAGAATGGCTGGCTGGGAGTCCTCTTTCTCTAAGCATAGCTTTTTGATGCAATCGATGACTAGCGCTTGCACGGCCAGAGGTCGGTCAATATCCAGAGTGTAGCGGGGTGAGACTGAGTTCCACACGAGGAGGCGGAAATGTTCAAGGACCTTCTCAATATGTTCGGTGGTCAGCTGATCTTTGTAGAGATGGTAGATCTGCTGGAATGTCTGTAGGTATGCCAATGCGGCATTTTGATTAGATTGTTCCAGATCAAGGACATCTTCATCGCCAGCCGGGTGGCCGTTTGCCCAAAGAAGCCATGCACACTCGAGGGCATCGTTGCTAAGCTCGCCGGCATTTTGCACCCGGAGTAGGATTGCTGAAAGGCCAGAAAATGTGGCTTCGCTGAACTCCAAGATTTGCAAGTCAACCAAGCCTTGCAAGTACTTCAGGAATCGTTTCCAGGACTGGTCGAACTTCTCGTCCTGCACGAGCGTTTCAAAAAAGTTTGTGATCAGACTGGATGATCCCTTGATCATTACAACTGTTGTGTCAACCCATGACTTGAAATCATCTGCCTTCGTACTGCTCTGCTTATTCTTGGCCTGGATCACCGTGGTCTCAATTCTCTCAATCATCTTGAAAAGGACCATACTTAAGCAAAGACGCCACGCTTTAGGCAAGAGCTGCTGTCCGTAGGCATCGAAAATCCGCAGAAGGGTGTGCACTGCACTGTTTCGGATCTCTGGACGACTGTCTGTTGTGATATCAACGATGCGAAGCAACAACAACAGCCACAGGGAGTTCCGGGAGACAGCAGGATCCTCATCCCGGGCCAATTTGGCTAGCTGCTCTTCATTGACCGACGCATCAACATGACCAATTGAGAACTCCTCGATCTGGCCCTGCAGGAAATCTGAGACATTCCAGAAGAAAGAGGTGGTGGTGAGGGAGATGTTGAAGTCCTGGGTTTGTGACGCAAAGCTAGAGAATGCATTTACCAAGCTGAAGAGACAGGGCGCCGGAAGTAGAGAAAGGAAATCAGAGGCGACGAGATGCAAAGACTTATAGGCAGCTCGAACTAGACGAGGGCCCGCTGGAAGACCTGATGCCCTGCGCTCTAGCGGAGTGGAAGGTTGTTCACCGGCTTCAGACTGTGGAAGATTTTGGAAGACACCCGAGATCAAATCAAAGATCAGATGCCACCCATCCACGAAAGTCTCGGCATACTGTTCCAGGATGTTCCTTAACACCTCCAAGCTCTGCTCATGGATTTCGATAATCGTTATTGGCAAAGACTTGGATGTCTGCATGTCCGAGGAGTAGAGCGAGGTCACTTGGTCCTTCAATGTCTGGAGATTCCTTGTCTGAACCTGATTGTAGACATTCTCGTCGTCTTCGTCTCTCTGTTTCATCGTCAGATAGACAAGCGAATTCACAATCGCATTTGCCTGCAGGCGAAGGTTTGGGCTGATGGTAGTATTGACGGATGCAGAAATGAGACTTTGTGTCAGAAGCCACCATGCCTTGTTGTCATCTTCTTCAAGCGAGGATAGTCTTGAGAGATTTGCCCTGGCTAGTTCATTTCCTTTCTCCAGCACGAATTTCAGCTCCTCGTCTTGCATTCTTGATTTGCCCACTGTGTGCGACACACGCCGAGAACCTTGGTGCAAGCGCCCAGTTCCTTTAGATGATTGTGGCGACCCTGGGATTTGTGATACTTCCTTTGCGGTACCTTCTTGGCGACGCTGCTCTGTAAATGCCGATAGGTTCAACAGAGCAAGCAAAATATCCTCAAAGGATGCACTCGGGAAATCGCTAGTGCTTTCAAGCAGCTTACTAGAAGCAGCCTGAACCGCAATGACCTCGGTCCCAAGATTAGCAGTCGGGACGTCATTTCCTGGGACTGCCGGAGTCTCTCCACCACTGGCCGATTTAACCATTGCACTGGAAGACATCCCAATCACAAGTCCAGTGTATTGAAGTGTCTCAAAAACAATGGACCAGGCCGGCTGATCCAAGGTCGGCCCTAAAGCAATTCCGAGGTTGAGCAATGCCCGCAGGCAAAGGAGATTTCTTGTGCTCAGGGATACCGGAAGACCGTCACCAGCACCTGTTCCTGTAGAATCCAGTTGAATGGAGCTAGAGCGCGGAATATCAACACTTTTTCGTTTCTTTTGAGGCGTGTCATTTTGCTGGGATCCGGTAGCAGTGGAAGATTGTGACTTGTGGCCACCGCCACTTGCAGGCATGGCAGCCTTTCCGAGGGTGGTTAGGAAAGCATCTCGTGGCACTGATAGCCTCAGAAGACCCGCCACATGAGCCAGCTTCTGGAACGCACGAACGAGATTGTGGTAGTACTCGTCATCTAAGGATGCGCGCAAGAAAGTAGAACATGCCGCCAGGACAGCCGGCCAACAATTCTCTATGATCCCTGCACAAGTCTTGATTGCGGAGTACTGAATATGGGACTGCAAATCCAGGGGGTTGATTGGAACATGTGATTTCTTCGTAGGTGAGGTGGACTGTGCTCGCAAGGATTCTCCTGCTGTAAAGTCCTGTGAAGATCTGGCGGAGTCGGGGCCTTCTGTGGGGCTCATAAGTCGGTTCTTGCGTCTTTGCTTCAGATCCGGTACTGTAAGGGGAAGAATAAACTTGGCGAGCCCTTCGGCAAAACTGCTGATACAGTTAAGAACAAGACTGTAAATGTAAGTATCCGGAGGGGGAGGCGGATCTGTCTTATCAAGAAGCTCGATATACGGCGTCCGAACAACACTCCACTGCGTGCTGATCCCAGGCACCTTTGTCTCGCTGGGAGGAACAGTTGATCCAATGACACCAGCAACACCACCGGTTTCCAAGGTTATCTGGTCCTCAGTAGTCGATCTTGAGTGGTCTGCACGCGATGGTACTGTTGATTGGTTGCTTACTCCGATCAAAGCCGGTTTCTCCGAAGCCAGTCGGACAAGCGCGGCCATATGATCGCGGAGAATATTCTTTCTCCCTTCTTCGCCGTCGTACAGTGTATAGATGAGTCGCACAGCTCCTGGCTCAGAGTACAACCCGCGGAAGACCTCCATACACAGAAGTCTCTTCCAAGGTGCCGTCCCATCTGGCTCAAGAAGATGGGTGATGAGACTCAAAGCCATCTCACATTCTGCAGTCAAAAGCGACATGTGGCGCTTAAGAAGTATGAGAAGTATTCGGGCCACTCGAACAGTTTGGGCGAATGAGTATCTCTCAGACAGACAACGGACAGCCAATGGCAATAACCGAACACGCAGCACTTGCGAAAGTTCGGGGTGTCCTACAAAGAGGCGGCCACTGTTCAAAAGAATGCTCTCGATGAGCTCCAGTACAAATGGCGGAGATAGGGTTCTGGTACGCAAGAATTGCAGTTGCTCTCCATCGACCAAACGGCAGAGATCATCCAATACCTAGAACTTGAAGTCAGCGCTAGATGAGGCTGATGATAGGATGCAGACTTACCTGTAATGCATCGTAGGCAAAAATTCCAACATCGATCGATTGGCCATCTACTTTGATGGTTGTGGTGATCTTTGCATCATTGGGGAGCTCTGCAAGATGATTAGCCCAATCCGTGAGAGGTGTTCGGAAGTATAACTAACTGTCTTCGCTCGAGACTCTTTCAAAAGTCGATACCACTAGTTGCTGAAGGGTGGCCGCAGCAGTACTGGAAACTGCAATCGTTTTGCTTGCTTGCAGTGTGGCACAAATTTCCAATGTATTCGCGAGAAGCTCCCCGCTTAAGTCATTGGAATAGTACTGCAAGAGAGAAGGCAAAGACTGCAAAATCTTCAATTGAATATCGAGGCCTATAACTGATCAGTACTGCTTCAAGGTGTTGGGACATCGTGTCGCGTACTTAAGCTCGTTGTCTCTCTCAGCCCTCCGAGTACATCTTTGAGGCGACTTGAAGGCAACGAACGAGATGCAATGAGTCTCTGTAAGCAGATAACACCAATACCGGCAAGCTTCGCGTGCTTAGTATGGCATGCAATGATGAATGGCTCGACAAATTTAGGTTTGCGAACAAGGTCTAATAGACAATTAGCGGTGTAGAACCAAGACGGCATTTGCGATCAAAGACCAACCTGCTGCAATTTGAGCCTCAGAGGTTGATGGCAGAGCCTTGAGCTCATTCAGCGACTGTTCGGCGGCCTGTCGATTGTTCATGGTTAGTACGATGTCCAAGGATATCCTGGAGGTGAAAGACGAACATTTCGGAGATCAGTGTTCTTCCTTCGGGACTCCTGGATAAGGTTGGCAATTTCAGTTTGCAAGAATTGGGAGGACATCTCTGATGCAGGATTGATATATCAACGCATCGCCAGCATTGGCTAAAGCCCGAGGTCCCGACGTCAACAGTATAGGGAGACTTTCGGTTGTGAGTTGATAGGTCGATGTTTGCACACCAGACAAACAGCACAAGTTAGAGCTTTATACCAGGATCATATAATTAATCTGAGCTGCAATGGCTGCGATCTCTCCTATAACGACAATTCCACGATGGGAACAACAAGGCGTGGCATCTCCAACCAGCGCCAAGCTGGCGATACGGCTTATCGCACGTGATATCTCACTCACCGCCCACGCGCCATGCCCCTCTTGAAACATCCCTCTTGTGCCTCCTCCCACTTATTGTGACGTCTATAGACTCTGATCGTTGCTCTGTACTCACCATGTCTGCTAAGGTCCCACGAAACTTCAGACTCCTGGAGGAACTCGACAAAGGAGAGAAGGGTCTGAGCGCAGGTGCGATTGAATCCTACGATCTCCGAAGATGTCCGATCACGAAGTACTGATGCATGTTCCTTGTTCGCAGATGCCTGCTCCTACGGTCTCGCCGACGGCGAGGATATGATGATGAGCAACTGGAACGGTACCATTCTCGGCCCGCCTCACGTTAGTTCTTGCTTTGCCTCCACACGATCAGCCCAATGCTAATCAACAATCAGAGCGTCCACGAAAACCGCATATACAGTGTGAACATCCACTGCGGACCCGACTACCCCGATAACCCTCCCACCATCCAATTCGTCTCTCGCGTCAACATCCCCTGCGTTGACCCCAGCTCCGGCAAGGTATGATAATGCGCGCCAAGACACAAAAGCGTCATCGCTGAGTTATTATGTTGCAGGTGGACCCCACGAAGCTCCCTACTCTTGCTCAGTGGAAGCGCGACTTTACCATGGAGACTGTCTTGATTGAATTGAGACGGTAAGTACAACGTGGAGTGTGTTAATGTTGTGCCGTGTGTTGACCGTTGCCTAGGTACATGGCCTTGCCACAGCATAAGAAATTGCCGCAGCCCCCAGAAGGCTCGAATTTCTGATCCAACATCTGTTTCAGATGGTGCAGACAGATTTACGAGTATCAGGATCGGCTTCCATCTGATTCACTGGCTTTTTCTATCCTTCAATGACCCTACTAGAGCGTGTACAGTCACTGCATGAATGCATCAGGTTTCTTTGGAAATCAGCTCTCGATTCTTATCTTATGACTCGGTATTTATGGAGTGTTGTGTTTTATGAGCCCCTACATTGCGACAGGCGCTGTTTAAGTTACGAATAAACAATGATCTCCCTTTATTCATCGGCAGCTCCGGAGAGTAGGGTGGTTGATCAAGAAATATTTACACGTAGGATCATTCACTGCCAAGAGTTACATAGAGTAGTGGCGAGTGCGGTTCATTCTGAGTGGCAATGTGATCAAGGTGGAGGAGAAGGAGACTAGTCTCGTCGCGTAATCAAGGCTCTCAGCTCGACGAAGGCCCAAGCAGGATGCGCCCTAGTTAATCAAGTAGGTGAAGAACCAACAGGAGCCGTGAAAGCTCAGCCAAAGCCGTAATTACGTTAGATTTATGGGGACTACGGGAGTCCCGGTCTCAAGGAAGTCAGTTCAGGCGTCGAGATCTTCACGCGCCCTGAGCCATTCTCATGAGACGCGCGAGAGACCTCAAACCCATGAAGGGGAAGGGCACAAGCCACATCATCATGGCGTATGTCGAAACATTTGCGGGCCTCTCTTTTCATATAGGCACGAGGAAGTACAAGAGCGAGTACAGTGGGAGCGAGTACACTAGGAATGCATGATCGCACACAGAGGCGACAGCGAGGCGCCAAAGCCAGAGTCCAAATGTGGGAATGAGTCAACACACAACATTATACACAACAAAACATACAATTACGCATCATTGACTAGGAACAGCCAAAGCAGGTAGGAATAGAAAGCTTCTTCTCCAAGCGCCCGGGCAAGCCGAGACAGTTGATGAAAAAAGGTTCGCGTCGATCGGGGGTAGTGTAAGCCCGATGACACAGTGCAACAAGGCATGCGCAAGCACAGAGGCCAAGTTGCGGGATCCAAAAATGAGAATAATCAAAGTGTTTCCAAGAGGAAACTTTCAGAGATTAAACTGAAAAGAACAGATACTACACTTGATCTAAGCCAATAGGCAAAGAGAGCTAAAGAAGAAAGAAAAGAAGAGGAAGTTTGGGGGGAGCAGCGGGTATATATAGGCCTATTGTGTCACGTGACCTCACTGATTTTCCCATTTGGGAAGGTAGATCACATGTCATTTGGAACTTCAATACTCCGTCACCCGCGCATACACGCTGGAATGCATAAGGTGTTGGTTCCTAGCCATTCTAGTGCTCATCGCTTTGCCTGTAAGCTCATCCTTTGCTCTGTTCTACACCTTGACTGACGATCGGGCTTTGATAGGTTTTGCACTCTATCGAGCGCTTCTGCGGCAATGTTGTCCCACCAATACCGCATCATGGCAGGGTGAGAGCAGGTCTCTCGTGAAGAAGAATTTCCGGCGATTTCAGAAACTGCAGAGCCCATCCCAAACGACTAATGCATTGAAGGCAGGCTATGAGGTACACACATTGAATTCTGTCCGTCTCAGAGCTCCTATTAACGATCGTATCGCATACAGGCCCTAAATCTCCTCTCTTCTGCATCCGAGGGCAACAGGCACGATACGCATAAGGTTACGACCCTTCTCGCTCAACACAAGTCACAAAAAGAAAAACATGCCGCCAAGCAAAGGAAGTCTGGGTCCGCAAAGCCTGTCAAACCCATGTCACCCAAGAAAGCTCGAAAAGCAGAGTCAATACGCTTCCAGAAAGAGACTGCGCAGCGACATCCAAATGCTACATCGGTTCTATCCCGTCCTCGACCGCTAGGGTCGCTAGGGGACAAGAAACGGAAAGTCCCGGTACTTGTCAATGCACGCGGCATACCATTCCTGCGCTTTAAGAAGCCACAGCCGAGAAACCTTAGCGACACGCTACGAAAGAAACTCCTCAACCGCTGGGTTTGGATTCAGCGCCGTGAGAGGCTGCAACTTGATATATTGTTCGCCAGGGACGAAGATGATTGGGATCGCATAACCAAGACCGCAGAGCGATCTACCTGGGTTCAGCCTATTCAAGAGTCCCTAGACGATGTTTGTGACAAGGTTGCAAGTTGGGATATGAAAAACAAACAGAATGCGGAGAGTATGTGGGGCATCGTGCTGGCTGAAAGAGCTCTGGCGGAAGAAGAAGCAAGCCAAAAGCAGAAAGATGCAAGCCAACAGCAGGCAGAAGCAAACCAAAGGCAGCCGGAGCAGTGATATCAGTGGTGTGGCTCGCTATGTATCTCTACCAGGCTCCTGCTCTATTGGGACTCTCTGAATCAAGGTACCTGTGATACAGAAACATAGTCATTGTCTATCTCTTCACGTCCACTGCCTTCAGGCCACGTATCCTGTGTCCTCGGTGGTCACCCCGCAACAGACTACGATATCAGCGGTCGATCGAAACCTCAACGGCATTATACATGATGCATCTAACTTTGGACGAATCCCCATCTGTTGATCATAGCTGATCACCGGCCATTGCATGCTGGGGTCCTACCCATTTGTCTATGGTCGGGTGTCCTAGCACACATGCCATTACCTTCCCCGCGAAGCTTGAATCATGATAATGGCGCACTCTTGGGCGCTTTATCTTCTCCTGTTCAAGCATTCACATCACATGTACTATACGTCCATAGGGACTCCATCTGTATATCTCTCTTGTCATACCCATCATATGGGCTCTACAGCCTGGTCGATGTACGTAACAACAATGCAAGAAGTTGAATATTTTCATGAAGTAAAGGGAGGTCATAAACATCTGTATGGGTCGATTCATGCACCCACTTTGAGCTTATCAATCGCCGGCATAGCATCATCATCGTCCTCATCATAATCACCCTTACCAGCCAGACCTTTCTCCCAAAGTTGTCTCCCTGTGAGCTTTTTCTCCTCTTTCACTGCAGTCTTCTTCTTCTTGTCGTCTGCCTCCTTCTCCTCACGTAACCGCGTCTCCTCTTCTTCAATCTCCTTCTTGAACTTGGCACTCCACTCCAAGAACGACTCAACGGTAACAGGTGTGCCATGGAACTTGCGGTTCTCCTCCTCTTCTCTCTTGGCGGCTACCTTATCCTTCTCGGCTTGGACTGCGTTCGCCCGTTCGGTGATGAGAGTCTCGGCGTTTTCTTTGAGTGCGCTGACGAGAGTGAAGACCATTGCCATTCCTATATTCTCTTCGATAGTGGGTTCAAGGCTCTGCAGCAGCTGGTCCCGGTCTTCCTGGACGTCTAGCCGGGGGTGCTTTGGGGCATCGTGTGGAGAAGAGATATTGAGGTCTGGTGCAACATCGGGGTATGCTTCCGGGTATGAAACTTCCAGGATTATCACTGGCATTTCTGATTCATCGCCGTCATATTCGGGAACGTCGAGAGATATGGATACTCGGTATGAGGTTTCGGATATGTCTAGGTACGGGATACCAATGTCAGAAAAAATGAAGAAAAAGGTGGCTGCATGCCCTCAGCAGGCTTTACTAGTTACTAACCTGTGATTTCATCGGGGAAAATTGAGTCGAGCACCTCGCGCTCTTCGATCTGGTCTTCGCGACCCATTGCTTCTGATCCGCCCGCGGAGTGGAGGGGTAACGATTTGGGCGAGTGCGGATTTTGGAAAGAAACCAGGAGACAAGAGATATACTATCAAGCGATGGACCCAGTAGCTTGCCAATCAAGACTTTGAGAGTTTGAAATAGTATCGCAGCCAAAAGAAAGATCGGATATAATCCAAGCGTGCCAATATTGCAGTCCCACATGCAAACCCGACAAACACCAAAATTTTGGTTCAGAGCTTCAACTTTTTTACTTCCCCCAGATACTTGCAACTTACATTGCCCTATCCTTGACTTGATGATATAACATCTTTCTACCACATTACGCTATAGTCCTGCCATGGGAAAACCTAGACCGCAAAAGAAGAAGTCCTCCAAGCCCCGCGAAAAGTCCGTCCTCGGCCCTGGTGGCTCGATTTCAAAAGGCAAAATGGCCCAAGATCCCTCGGCGCTCCTCGACCAAGCGACAATCCTCCTCCAGACTGGACGGGCTGATGAGGCGCTCATCACGGCACAGCAGGCACTCGAATTGACCGCTGAAAATACACCCGCACAGCTCCCCGCCATCAACTTGCTCGGAGAAATCAACGTCGAGCTTGGCGATATCGACACAGCTAGAAACTGTTTCCTGCAAGCTGTTCAGTTGGATCAGAATGGCTCGATACCGGAATCCGAAGGAGGTGGTGCCGAGAAGTTCCTTTGGCTTGCGCAATTGAGTGAGCAGGGCGGGAAAGACAGTGTCCTGTGGTTCGAAATGGGCGTGTCGTCCCTCAGACAGACTATTCAGAGTCTCGAGGGTAAGACATCACCAGCAGAGGTTGCGGATCTTGAACAGAAGAAAGCCAAGATGTCCAACGCTCTCTGTGCTGTTGCTGAAACCTACATGACCGATCTTTCGTGAGCTTTTCTGCTTTACAATCCATGTCGACGCATCGCTAATCTTATGCTTAGTTGGGAGGAGGATGCCGAAGCTCATTGCGAGGCACTCATTACAGAAGCTCTTCTGATTACACCCGAAGCACCAGAGGTGCTACAGACTCTCGCCTCTATCCGGATATCACAGCTTCGAACTGAGGATGCGCAAGCCGCGCTTACTCGCAGTATGGCGCTATGGAAGGACCTGGCCCCGGAAGACCCCAAGGTCCCTGATTTCGCATTGCGCATCAGTCTTGCACGACTCCTCATGGAGGTTACTATGGAGTTTGAGGCTCTGGAAGTCCTCGAGCGTCTAATTCTGGAGGATGATCAGAGTGTGGAGGCGTACTACCTTGGAGGGTGGTGCCTCTTCCTGCTGGCAGAAAATCAACAGGCACCGAAGGATGCGACCCCTGAGGAACTTGCTGAGTCGCCGCGCCATGCATCGCTCGCTGCGAGTCGCGAGTGGCTTAAGCAAGCCTTGAAACTCTACGACCTACTTCAGTACGAGGACGACCGACTCCGCGACCATGCCTTGGAACTTGTACAAGAGATGAACAAGGAAATTGGTGAGGACGACGATGACAGTGAAGCCGAAGGCGAAGGAGAAGGCGAGGAGTCGGATGAGGAGATCGAAATCGACTCCGACGACGAGATGGCGGATTCTTAGATACCAAGAGTGACGACATGAAACGATGTACATGTTCTTTGATACCAGCGTTTTAGTAGTTCTCACATATTCTTTGCTTCTGAACAAATCAGATCTTGATATCGCCACCATTCGTCGGCCCGGATTAAGTTGTCTCCGGTAGTCCAGATGCCCGAATTTTTGCCAGCGCAGGATCAAAAGAGCTGACTCCGAGGCTGGCATCTCAAACTCCAAAAGATGGATTTGGTACCAGCCCCAAGCGGAGATGACTCGTTGAAAACTGCCGTGGTCGAAGTGGAGGCCGTGGATATGGACCAGTTGGCCATGAGCGCGGAAGAGCGCGCTCTGGAAGACATCCCGTCCACCTACGAGACGGACAGCGACGACTCAGAGGACTGGGACACCCTGTCTAATGCCGACGACGCCATCCAGATCCTCCGTGATGATCAGATCCGCGACGGGCTCGGTATGTAACTACATCCGCCCCTCTTACCCCAGACATCCCCGCTCAGACCAGAATGAGACACCGGCTAACGCGTTCGCCGGTCATAGTTCCCGATGCCTGTACCCTAGAAGAAGCGCTTGCATATAGAAAGCGCCTGCATGCCATCGGCAAGGCGGCGTTCGTGGAAGAGACCATCGTTCGCGAAACCGTCACGGCGAAGAAGCTATGCACGGCTTTTGGAATCGTTCCCCCGGCATTCCTGGAGGGCGCCCCAGACGAGGCTTATCATTCTCTTTTGGCAATCGCAATCTCGCGCGAGTACTCTCGGCGCCCTAAGCTTTCACAGTACAACACTATTGACGATGCTGTGCGGTTGCTTCGCGAATCCAGGAATATCATCGTTCTGACAGGCGCAGGTGTAGGTGTCCATATCCAGGCGCATAACGGAGGTTCATGACATACAAATACTGACTGGGTGATTTTCAGATCTCGACGAGTCTGGGCATCCCCGATTTCCGTTCTAAAGATACCGGTCTCTATTCAAAACTGGAACATCTGGGCCTGAGCGACCCCCAAGAAGTCTTTGATATTTCTGTCTTCCGGGAAAATCCTAAGATCTTCTTTTCCATTGCGAAGGACATCCTTCCCACTGAGAAGAAATGGTCACCTACTCATGGATTTATTCGGCTTCTGCAAGACAAGGGGAAGCTGTTGACCAACTACACGCAGAACATCGACAACATCGAAGCAAATGCAGGAGTCCTTCCGGAGAAGATTGTACAGTGTCATGGTTCCTTTGCGACTGCAACCTGTGTGAAATGCCAATTTAAGGTCACTGGCGACGAGATTTTCGGTGAGATCAAGAAAGGAAATGTTCCAGAGTGTACCGCCTGTCAGAAGAGAATCGCAGAAGAATCACTCAAATCTCAGGGACTGAAGCGCAAGCGGAGCTCCAACGGTCAACAGAAAGACCGCAAGGTCTCAGATGACAGTTCCGATGAGGACTATGAAATTCCTACTCCCGGGGTGATGAAGGTCAGTCGTGGTTTAGTTCAACCCTCGCTTTCTATTATACTGACTCGTTACGTAGCCGGACATCACTTTCTTCGGCGAGGATCTCCCTGATGAATTTGGCGAACGGTTGGTTCACCAAGACCGTGAAAAGGCCGATCTAGTCATCGTGATTGGCACCTCATTAAAGGTCGCTCCCGTCGCAGAAGTGCCCGGGATTTTGCCACGCAACGTGCCACAGATCTACATATCGCGGACTGTAAGTTATCCCCATGATTTTATATTTGTTCCGTGCTGACCTCGAACGTAGCCGGTGTCGCACACTGACTTCGATATTGATCTCTTGGGCGATTGCGATGTGGTGGTATCAGAACTTTCTCGTCGTGCTGGCTGGGATTTGAAGCATCATATGATCCCAGATGATGAGAAAGTCGAGATCACCACAGTGGAAGGGTATGAATCACGACATGTTTTTAAGGTAGCTGGTGCATAGGGCGGAGTTTCAGGCTGTCTTGCTCCTGTCTCAACGGAAGGCGTATTTGGGGTTCATGTTCACCGCTGGATGCGGTGGTTGTCTCAGCAGATTTGGTTTTTCTGTTTCTGTTCAAGTTTAAATAGATCGGTTTTTCTATCGACTATAGTGTAGTCAGTCGTTTTGTACAGATCTTGTTTCTTAAATCCTATTTTTGCACAGAATATACTTGCTTTCACTTGATTTTCATCTCAAATTCTCTACTTGCAAGAAAGTCTCCTTTGTGTTTTATTTTTTCAAAAGGTCGAGATATATATAGTGGGAGGCGCAAGACCCTGGGGCTCTCGGAGTATATTTTGGAGCCCGATAAAAAAATCTCAACCCGCAACACCCCGCCATCGTCACGAATTGCATGAACCACCACCCCAGGACGAGGAATATCTAGCATTAAAACAGGCAGATCTTCGAAGCACCCACCATGGATTACCTGGTCCGGTTCGCCCAGGCCCATGAGACCTTCCGACGGCCAGAAATCCATGCCTGTGCCACACTTGCAGGCGTCGACCTCGAGGTTCTCAGCTACTATGAATTTGTATGCACACCCTTCCATACCAGCCAAATTGGTGGTATTCGTTTCGTTTTCAATTTCGAGGGCAATACCGATCTACCATACCCCTTGCGCTTTTGCGCCACAGCCTCTACGACCAAAAAAACTCCACTGACATGACCACTAGTCACCATACTGCGTCGTGAGACTGCCAAATGAAGAAGCAGCGCGCGCTATTGCCAATCGCAGCATCCTAATCAGAGACGTCTTCGAACTCTGGGGACAAGGTGCCAACTATGAGGAGTTACATACAGACGTCCACCAACGAAGTCAGCACCGTTGGAAAGACTTCGAACACTCCGAATTCGCGTTCAAAATCGAATATTTCGGTGGAAAGCGCAACACAACCTCAAAGAGAGATATCTTGAAGTCATTCTCATACACGGGTTTTAAGGGCCCGGTCAATCTAAAGAATGCGGATCAGCAGTTCTTCGTGATGGAGGAGTACATCGATGATGTTGAACAGAGTGTATTGAAAGTTGCACCGACTGAACAGCCAAGAAAGATCTTCCTTGGACGAAAAATCTGTGACAGCTGTCGCGATACTGTCCTCAAGTACGATCTCAAAAAACGTGACTATATCAGCACAACCTCCATGGATGCGGAATTGAGTCTGATCACTGCCAACATGGCCCTTGCCGCGCCTGGAAAATTGTTCTTTGACCCATTTGTCGGAACCGGAAGCTTCATCGTTTGTGCTTCGCATTTCGGGGCTTTGACGATGGGCGCTGATATTGATGGCCGCAGTTTCCGAGGCAAAGAGGCTGGGAAGCTGGGCGTGTTTGAGAACTACAAGCAATACGGGATGCCCAGCAAATTCGTGGATTGTCTCACTTCGGATTTGGTAAATACTCCACTCCGGCGACCTCAGTTCCTCGATGGCATTGTTTGTGACCCGCCATATGGTATCCGGGAGGGCCTTCGAGTCTTGGGAAATCGCAATGGAAAGCCCGCAGTAAATGTGATTATTGATGGTGTCCCTGCTCATCTGTATGTATTGCCCTTTACTGCAGCACCGCTGGACGCCCCAGAGGATAGGATATACAAAACTGACTCTTTCACACAGTCGACCTGGGTTCGTCCCTCCCAAAAAGCCTTACGGGTTCGAAGCATTGCAGAAAGATATTCTTAACTTCGCGGTTCGAAGCTTGGTGACAGGTGGCCGCCTTGCGATGTGGATGCCAACTACCAACGAGGAGGCTGTTGAATTCCCTGTTCCTATGCACGAGAACCTGGAGGTTGTTAGTGTTTCTGTTCAGCCGTTCAATAACTGTAAGTGGCCCAACTGATAAAGTCCACTGCTTGTCTGTATGAATTTAGCTGACTTTGTGCACTGAAGGGTCTCGCCGACTTATTACATACCGCCGTCTACCCGAGGGAGAAGTGTCTGATGTCACATTGGGTCGCAGTAAGACTGATGATCAGGGGCACAGGGCGGATGACCTGAATATGTTCCGACGAGTGGTATGTGCTACATGGGAGATGACAAGCCAGTGATCGGTGGACTAACTCATGGAACCCTAGTTTATGAACAAAGGACACGTTCCCAGAGTCGAGAAAGACAACAAAACGACCCAATAAAAATCATGATTTCGCAAATGAACAGGGAAGCCGTCTCCCCTCGGCAGGCTAGAAAAGCCACACAATAGAAGACCTATATACAGCAAAAGACGCCAAGATCCCAGCAAAAGGACACAAATGCAAAACAGCCGAAGAGAAAAATAGATGTGCCACGCAGCACTTCGTCTCCATCAAGCAAAAGCAAAAAAGCTATTTCACAGTTTCCCTCTTGAGCTCGCATCCAAAACCAACCCCTGCGCCAGATCCACACCCTCCTCCCTCTGAATCCGCTTAACCTCCTCAACAAGCTCAAGTCTCAGCTCGCGAGCTAAAATCTCAGCCTCGTCATCATCCAATTCCTCTCTCTGCCCACGACCAAACATGGCAAAGCTTGTTCTCTGATTGGTCCCTGTTGCAGGGCGGGGGATGATGTGGAAGTGGACATGGGGCACGACTTGTGCTGCCCTTTCGCCTGTAGATGCGTTAGCTGGTTGATCTCATTCTGCTTCTTTTCTCTTTTCTCTTTTCGCTTTTCTTCATATCTTTTTCTTTTTGCATAGATGGATGCAACATGTATGATAGACAGCATGTGTATGAGTGTCAATCTCAATCTCAATGTCAATTTTCGTCTCAATTGACAAGAATGACACCCCCTAACAGCCCCCAACAATTTCAAATTCCAAGAATGAAGACAAGCCCCTTTTCTTGTATTGTAAAGAAAAAGAAGAAGAAATGAGGAGAAACACATACCATTATTCTGCACAACATTCCAATGCCTATCAGGATCATCCCCAAAGACAGTCTTCGTAACGACCCTTGAAAGGATCGGAAGCCACTTACCCATCTAAGCGTGGAAACCCGGACAACAATGCGTCAGTAACACAAACATGTACATGTGCATGTACCGATGCCCCAATAAGGTAAGTGGAAAGTTACGTACCTCCTGCCCAGCCAGAACACCCATATCGCTCAACATCTGATAATGATGTCTCGATGCAACGAGGACATGGCCACGGGTTAGGGGCATGATATCCAGGAAAGCAATGATATGCTCTGTTGAGAGGATGACGTGAGATGTTATTTCATCTGTTGTTGCTGTTGGGTTTGAGTCTGGGTCGGTAAATGGGGTTGGGGGGTATGTTGCGGCGATTTTGCAGAAGGGGCATGGTGGGGGTGCATTTAAGTCCATTTCTGGGACGGATTAGATTTGACGTTCTTATTCAGATGGATGCTTGGAGATCTTGCTGGGTATATAATGTGTTGAGTTGGAGATGATGTTTTGGGGGCTGGTCGCTGGAGAAGACAGATGACGGATATGGATATGCTGACTGAGGTGAAGGGATGCCAGTGTTATACTTAAATTTTGAGAGGACTGGAAAGCAATTCAAAGACAAGATGGACGTCTGAGGTGGAGGATTATCGACGGAGTTGACCAGTCCGGGAATGAGTTCCAACCTCGGCTAAGCTTAATTAGACTACAGCCACGAACAATAATTCGAACTGGTATTCCATCAGCGCCCAAGGGAAACGCCTATGTACACCTCGAGATTAAAGAAAAGAAACAAGTTGCAGCTAAGGAACCATACACGCATCCAGAAATCCAGCTATTTTGATCAAAACAGAGCCAATGCTGATTACCTCCCCACCTAGTATCCATGCCCTTTGCCTGGAAGGCCCAGCTTCCGTACACAGTTTGAATCTTCCAGCCCATGAATAAAAAACCTCCAAAACCTCCAAGAACCCCATGGACAGCATGGTTTCAAAGTTCCATCTCCAATACCAAACACGCAACAAGCCACTATGGCTTAGATGAGAAACAAAAGGATGATCCAAAGTCGATTGCGATGAAGCATCTAACCAGAATGATGGATCATAAAGTGCAACAAGATGAAATTGCGATTCGAATGAAAAGAATAGAAGCCCGACGCCTGCAACACGAATGACGAGAATGTAAAGGTATCAGGGCGGGAGACAAACGCCCATGCACGGAAAACAAGCAGGCCGAAGTCAAATGATTTAAGAAAACAAACATTAGCACAGAGAGCGCCGAACACCCCTATCACAGAAGACAAATGCGGCAGTGAACAAATTTAATATCAAGTCGTCGTAAGAATATGCAAAAGGTATTTGATACCAGCACAATGAAATGCCAACATATGTAGGAACTCGAGTTGCCTGTTCGCGTCGTCGCGAGGGCCTTGGAATATCATGAAAGACAACGACGTAGGCGAACAGGGGTGACATCACATCGTAAATAGTACAATTACTGCTCGTCCTTGGCGTAGCTGTACGATTCGGAATTGTCGACGTACAGGTGGTGATACTTCTTGGCCCATTGACGCGTCAAGATGGAAGCTAGACAAGCTGTTAGTAACATGACACGCAGGTATGAGGTCTTCTTACCCTTCAGGAACTTCTTGCTAGCATATTTCTTGAAGAAGGCTTCGTGGGAGACAGGGCGGTGGAGGTAGTCAACCATCAGCTGGAAGACAGGGTCGATCTCCTCCTCGGTATATCCGGAGTAGTGAGCAAGGGTGGCATCCTAATATGAGTTAGTTGAGATGAACAGGAGAGACCAGAACAGAGATAATTGAACATACCCAGGGTCCACGCTCCAAGATGAGACGGGCAAGGTACATGGCTGCGGCGGAGATGTGGCTTTGAGGGAATCCCATGAAACGATGGTCAAGGAGGCTGATCTCCATGAGGTACTTGCCCAGAGTACGTGTCTGAATGTCGTAGTTGTCGGCCTTGGAGATACGTCGCAGGAAGTTCATGGGGTTGGGGAAGCTCATGTTATATTCAAGGGTGGCAAGCACGTGTCGTTCGGCATCGAGGATTTCCTTATCCGAGAAAGTCTCATCGGCGACATGGCTGAAGTTGGCAACGTGAGGAGAGAGAACTTCCTCATACTTGGAGGCAATGAACATGGCGGTGACACCGACGAGCTGCAGACGGTCAAGAGCAACAACCTCGGCAGATAGGAAGCGATCGATAATGTTGACAGCGAGGAACAGGGTCTCAGGAAGGAGACGGAAGCGGGTGTGAACCTCGATCAGCCAGTCGACAAGAATACCGCGCATCTTCCATTCAAGATCTGGTTGGTGGTCGATGTAATCAGGGTTGGGCAGGGTGGTGAGCTCGAGGTCCCTAAGATAATCGAAGATCTCAACTACATATTCAGCAGCCATCAACGGGTCATCCAGGTCCTCCGTATCAAGATCCTGCACACCGGCGTTGATGAGATCCTTGACAGAAGCCTCAGGCTCGGGCTTCTTCGTTTCCACGACCTCCTCGGGCTTCTGCTCAATCTCGGGCTTCTTGCGAGGAGGTCCCTCCGGTTGCGAAGTCTCCTCCTGAGCGGGCTTGGGGTTGGGGCGCTTTTGCGGTCCAGTGACGGGAACGTTCTTGGGGTTCGGGTCGCGACGGCGAAGGGCGGCAGTTCGAGATGTGTTGCTACGGCTGAGCTTCTGGACACCGCCAGTTTGGACAGTTGTCTTCGAGGCTAGGCCCTTGGCAGCTGGCTTCTTCCCATCCTTTACCTCAACACCTTCAGTCTTGTTGACATTGCTGACGTCACCCAGAGCAGCCCGACGACGTGTCGGTCCGGTGGCGGCAGTTGTTGTAGTCTTCTTGGTCTGCAAGGCCTTCTTCGCTCCCTCGACAGAGATATCGGTGGTGAGGGCAGCTGTCTTTGCCCGTGTCACGCGTGCGGACGGCCCGTTCTCATCGTTCTCATTCATAGTACCTCTGGTACGAAGGCTGCGAGCCTAAAGTGGAGTCAGTTTGCTGTCCAGGAAACCCGCCAGATGTACCCAATTGTCGTAATTAAGTATTAAGATGCAGCAATAAAGATATAAGACGCGTGTTCCTCGGAATTAAAGACTGCTCACCTGAGGCATCGTGAAGAAGAGAAGAAAAGGACGCGGAGGGGGAAACGGAAAGGGACAGGAATATAATCTTGTCCTGTCGGGCAATCAGGTCAGCATTCCGTTCAGCAATACCACGGTGGAGTCCTCATACCAGAGACTCGAGTTCAAAGTGCACGTACCACGCGTGAAAATGCGATTAGTCCGAAAGAACTACAAGGCCAGTCGGCTGTAGCTTTTCAGATGAGGTTGTTGATGTTGTTCGACAGGTCACGTCCAATCCAAAACTATGTTGACGTGACTTGGACCCACGACGAACCCCGGTTCCGTAGGTCAAATGGCGCGCGTTTCGGGGAAAAGAGGTGTCAAACACAGCAGAATATCTTTGGCAAGCTGTACGATATGGATTCGCACGCGGTAGAATGAAGATGGGGGAGTGGGGGGAAAGTGAAAAGGGTATCTTTAACTGGAATGATGAGGGAAAAGGAAGAACTTGAGAGGGCAAGGCGATGTTTGGCCCTACTGTGCTAGCGCGAAAACAGGTACCTCAAAGACGCCCCACAGCCCAGTCGCGTGGATCACGGAATTGATATTCAAGCCCTTTCTTCAAAGAAGAAATGAGATGAGCAATGAGACAGAATAATAGACGAGGAAAAGGTGAGTTGAGATAGGTTGAAGAAAGTAGATCCAGCAATGTAGGGAGAAATAAGGCGTTGAGGGTGTAATTACGTCTGTAACGGTGGATACGCGAGGGCGCGGCCTGGCAGTGAGGGCGCGAGGGTAAACAGGTGGTTGCCGGGCAACAGCTTAGTCACCCGATGCAAGAAGAAGGCGGTGCACGAGGACAGAATTGTAGTCACATGGGCGGCCCCGGTCAGCCACTGTGGCGGAGGCGGTGCGGGAAACACCAGTCACATGACCAGCTCGAACTTTTTGATGGAGACAATACAGCGTGGAGGCGCAGCTAGGTCTTCGTCACCCTACTCCCTCACCTCAGTGTCTCCATACTCATCGTTCCCGGGATCAATTGGTTCTTCTTAATTGAAGTTCCTCCCCTGCCAGTGATGCTTCAAACCCGAATTGCCCTACGGGGCATTCGGCTGCCCTTCAGGTGTCTACCGTCTCTACCTGTACCTGCCCGTGGGTACTCGACAGTCATCAATGAAATTGAAAAGCCTGCCGACAAGCCCGCTGCATCGGTGTCCTCCTTTATCGACCCGAACACCTCTTTTGCTCCTCCCCCTAGCCGCGACGACTCTGGTGTTGTGTTGCGCACCTACACTCCGCGTACCCCCGGTGTCAGACATTTGCGACGACCAGTCAATGACCATCTATGGAAGGGCCGTCCCGTCCACAAGTTAACTTTCCCCAAGCGTGGTCAGGCTAAGGGTGGCCGAAACAACTCCGGTCAAGTTACTGTTCGCCATCACGGTGGCGGTGCGAAGCGTCGTATTCGGACTGTCGATTTCCTCCGCATGGACCCCGGACCGCAAACGGTCGAGCGAATCGAGTATGATCCTGGTCGCAGTGCACATATCGCTCTCACTCGCAGCAAGGAGACCGGCAAGTTGAGCTATATCCTGGCAGCCGACGGCATGCGGGCTGGCGATGTGGTTCAGAGTTACTTGCCTGGAATTCCCGAAGATCTGTGGAACAGCATGGGTGGTGCCGTGGATCCTGGTGTTCTTGCTGCCAGAACTGCCTGGAGAGGAAACTGTTTGCCGTTGCACATGATCCCTGTGGGAACTCTCATCTTCAACGTGGGATTGCGACCTGGAAAGGGTGGTCAACTGTGCCGCAGTGCCGGAACTTACGCTACAGTTGTGGCCAAGGGTAGTGACTCGCGTCAGCAAACTATCCAAGAGGAGGAACCATTGGCTGAAAATGCAACGGAGGAGGCCAAGGTCGAGAAGAAGGTGTCTCAGCGCGAACAGCAGAAACAGGAGCGTCTGGCCCAGCACATCACTGTCCGTCTCTCAAGTGGCGAGACTCGACTGATTCACAAGGACTGCTGCGCTACTATTGGTATCACCAGCAACCCGAACTATCACTACACCCAGCTTGGAAAGGCTGGTCGTTCCCGCTGGCGCAACGTTCGTCCCACAGTTCGTGGTTTGGCCATGAACGCCATGGACCACCCCCACGGTGGTGGTCGTGGTAAGTCCAAGGGTAACATCGACCCGAAGAGTCCTTGGGGTATTCCGGTATGTATTGTCATATTTCGCAGCACATTGCTAGACTCCAGGTGCTAACTCTATTTCTTTAGACCAAATCTGGATACAAGACTCGTCCCAAGTGGAAGATCAACAAGGCTGTTGTGCACCCCAGACCTCGCAACCAAGGCCAGCGTCGTCGTGGTTACAACTAAAGATGATTTCGAGTTATCCAGGTGATCAATCCATCATGTTCTGAGATATTTGCCCTTACTTCCTCCTATACCTCATCCTCACTGCGCAGAGGATGACTGTACGATATCTTTCCCTGCTGTTTTTTTGGACACATCGTGTGTACTACTCTTCCATCATGCGCTATATTTGAAGATTTTTGTTCTGCACATCTGTCTGGTTGAAACTTGGGCGATGGGCACTGTACAGTACGATGGCCCAATGCGATATACATTCAAAGCGAAAGAAAATAGAATTATGAACATCATTGGCATAGATTCGTATCCGTATCTGCATGTGTTCCAGTTCTGGCCTCTAAACCCTGATCGGCGCGCATAGATCCCCGGATGGCTGCCAAGCCCCCAGGCAGCTCTCTGGTGCGTGGCCCTTATGTCGATCGCTAACATCAACGTCCTCGGAGGGAAAGCCACGGAGATTAGATGCTTTCCCATAGTTTTCATTGGAACCCGATCGAAAGATAAAAAAGGGGTTGTGGCATCTGATAAAGAGTCGGGGGAGGGAACCTCAGCCTCTCCTGATACGAAGTCCCACCGTCATCCATAGAACTTTGTTCCTTCCCACCCACTCTGCCACTATTGGTAATGAACAGTTGCTAGCTCGACGTTTTGAGTTGACCATCTACGCGTCGTTTCAAATTCTCCGCGATAAACCACAGGCCGTTGGCCTCACCAACTTCGAATTACTCAGCCGCTAAATCGTGCCACCACGCCATGGCCACACTCCCGCGGTCCAATTTCGGCATCGATACTTCGCAGTACGCTACCGAATCCGGTCCGTCACAGATGGAATTCGGGTCCGCAGAGAATGGTGCTGTCGAAAACACCGGAGAAGGCAACTTTGTCCCGCGCCCGAAGCGCATCGCATGTGTCGTGTGTCGGAGGAGGAAACTGAGATGCGATGGGAGACGACCGAGCTGTGGAACATGTTCGCGGCTGGGACATGACTGCTCCTATGATGAAGTGCGCAAGAAGAGCGGTCCAAAGCGGGGATATGTGAAGCAGCTCGAAGCTCGATTAGGTGCGGACGCCGATAACAGTCGCAAATACTGCTAGTTCCCCCGGACTATACTGACTATTGTTACTCTTTTAGCTCAAGTCGAGACTCTTCTCAAAGGCCAGGACCCCGAACCGACTCAACGAACCTCCCCGCCTCAACCGTCGGAAAATTCATTTGGCGCACCCATTAACGATGAGTCCATACTGGCGTTGCCTGACCTCTCGGGGTTGGGAGGGGACTTAGACGGTCCTTTCCAAACCTCGAATGCGCCTGATCCGGTCCAGCCCAGCCAAATGATGTATCCTCCGATAGCCAACAACAACAGCGATGCCCAATGGGATTTGATCGCCTTGGGATTGGAGGAACCCCTCCCTTCACAAGATGTGATTGACGAACTGTATGTGCTATATGCCGCTCTGTACTTCAACATATGTCTAATACAGATTCACCTTCCAGGGACGCTATATTCTTCGAGAAGACCTACCCAATGATGCCGATCATCCATCGCCCCCGGTACTTCGCGAGTCTGAACCTCGCCCCTCACATGCGGCCGCCTATATGTCTGCGCTACATTATGTGGTGTCATGCTGCATCTGTCAGTGACAAATACTTCTTCCTACACAGCCATTTCTACCAGCGCGCGCGGAAGTATGCCGAAGCGGACGAAATGAAAGGGTTCGGAGAGAACATCGTTAGTCTGGCGCATTGCCAAACTTGGATTCTGATTGGCACATATGAATTCCGAATGATTTTCTTCCCACGAGCATGGTTGAGCGTTGGTAAAGCTGCACGACTGGCACTGATGCTCGGATTGAACCGGCTCGATGGTGTTGGTCTCGATGTCAAACAGTCCATTTCACCACCAAGGGATTGGACAGAGCGCGAAGAACGTAGAAGAGTGTTTTGGGGTGCTTTCGCGACAGACCGATATGCCAGTGTCGGAACAGGTTGGCCGCTTCTGATCGATGAGGACGACGTGAGTATCTCACTTTCCTTAACCATTTTCTAAGTTGGCATGTGGATGCTGATGTCGATTAGATCATGACAAACCTCCCTGCTTCTGAGGATTCGTTCTTAAAGAGCAAGCCACAACGAACGCTTCGTCTAAGTGATATCATTGCTGGCGAGGGCATTTCTACCTTGGCTCCGTTCGCCTGCGTGGTGGTTCTGACCAGTCTTTTTGGTCGTAACCTCGTCCATATTCATCGGCCTCGACCAAACGACAACGACCATGACCTCAATGGAGAGTTTTGGAAACGACACAGGAGCCATGATAATATTCTTTTGCACATTGCTCTGTCATTACCCGATCATCTTCGCCTTCCAAGTGGCATGTCAGATGTGAATGTCATCTTTGCCAACATGAGCATTCATACTTCGACTATTTGTCTCCACCAAGCTGCGATTTTCAAGGCAGAAAAGAACAAGATGCCAAATCAGATCACGATTGAGAGCAAGCGCAGATGCCTTGTGGCCGCAAATCAAATCTCGAGCATCATGAAGATGATCAGCCATGTCGATCTAACAAGCGTAAGTCTTGATCTAGCTTTCTTCACTAGAAATTGAACTAATAGATTGCTACAGCTGAACCCATTCATATCTTTCTGTCTTTACATCGCTGCGCGGGTCTTCGTGCAGTATCTCAAATCCCGACCAGAGGATTCGAGTGTTCATTCCTCATTGCAATTCCTTGTCTCCGCTTTGAACGCCATGAAAAACAAGAATCCCTTGACCGAGTCCTTCCTCGTTCAATTGGACGTTGATCTCGATGGAACTGGCATTCGCGCGTTGGACGACCGACAGAAAGAAAATGCTCGTGCTTCATACGCAATGGCAGTAAGTTATTTTGATATTGTTCCTTGTTTATGGACCAAATTAATCTCATTCCTCTAGCAAAACTACTGCAACGATGCAGTCGAATGCTCTCCCATCTATAATATCCGTCAATCACAAACGGGGGCAACGATGGAAGAGTCGCCGCAACATACTACGAGCCGTAGCAATAATCGCCAACCCACAACTGCTGGTATGACGACCTCTCTTCCTAACCGACAGAGGGATTCAATCGTCCCCTCCACCGACGAGAATATACATCACCTTTTCACCGCTGCCACCCAGACCACAAGCCAGATCACCGAGCAACCTGGATCGGGGAGCAAAGCCGATATAGACATGGACTTTTCACCAGACTTCGGCACCCTCAGCGAGAGAAATAACCCACCTTCCGACCATCCCACACCTTCAACCCTAAATTCCTCCTCCAACACCTCCTACTCAATAAACGGGGTCGACAACCCATCCCCTGACAAACAGCAACCAAAGTCAGGTCCAAACTACCTTAGCAAGGGATCAGCTCAATCATTTGATAAGCTAAATGCAATTCACATGCCTCCAGGAGATCTCAACTCACAGGCCCCTGATATGAATGCTCTGCTTGCTCGGGCTTATCAAAGCAATTCTGGCAGCCCGGCCATGCCCACGGATACATCGAACCAGTTTTCCATGCCTCCTGCATGGGACTTGCCAACCCCGAATCAAGACATGACCCCTGCGGACTTCAGCAACTTAAATGTCGGGACATTGAGTGAATCGCAATGGGCGCAAATCCTCGGTGAGAATGAGGCTGGTCCTAGCTGGGAGATTTGGCGGCAATCTTGAGAGCAGTGCATAATCGAGCATTGCTTGAGTCCTTTCCAATATAAGGATCTCGCCAGGCTCCCGCAGTGCGATGCGCCAATCACGTATACCCATGTCTTCGTCTAAACGATAAGCTACGCTCAGTATCATGACCCCGAGCTCTCACGTCTAGGTCGGACAACCGATCGCCTTCAATGTCAACATGAGTCTGTGTTTATACAAGGCTTTCCCTTCCAGTTCAGCATCGGCATCCACGAGGCATCGGTTCCCGCGTACCTTGTAATCCGACTCCCATCTCACGATGATCTCCGGGATCAGCTGAGCGCCTTCAGTCTATCCTCTTCCTAACATATACCTTACCAACCTTAAGGACCGATAAATCGACTTCTCCTTTTGCAACGAATCTCTCCTCACCGCTTTTTTTTTTGAGTTACTCTATGCTCTTGAATGATTTCATGATGAATGAATACACGGTCTAAATCTGGGCGGAACTCTCGACTCTCTACTTTTGGATATCTCATGCTATTTTACTTGGAGCACGAAACTGGCTTTTCAACCTTGGGAATTTACATCAAGGCACCATATAACCACAGTATCAAATCAAATAAACAATAAGTTATCCTACACAGCAAACTCAAATGATAGTTAATGATAATTCGTAACATCCATACATGATAATCCTAACAGTTAGTTATCGTACAATACGAACGACTTCACATGGGGGAAAAGAGAAAGTAACAAATAGCTCAACAGATGACGCTTAAGGTTCACAGCCCACCACCCGCGGCACCGACAATCTTCAAACCCCCAGAACTGGAACTACCGGGACCATCAGTAGTAGTTGAGTAAGCCAGCCAGTAACGCGAAGGATGCCACGCGACAGCCGAAACACCAGCATTAGCACCAGCAGTAGGAATAGTGTAGATACTATCCCCAGACTCAGCATGGAAGATCTCAAGACCATTGCCACCGCATCCAAGCTCATCACAAGCGCCGCAGATATAGCGGCCATCGAAACTCCAGCTCACACCGCGGATGGCACCGCCATTCTCGCTTGACAGTGTGCGCTGGCAGATCCAGTCTGTCGTATCCCAGAGGGAGATCAGAGCGTCGCTAGCACCGATTGCTAGGTACCGGCCCGTAGGCGCGAGGGCGACGGCGTTGCAGGCGGAGGTGTGGGCGTTGATTGTGTACAAGACGTTGAAGGAAGGGTAGGAGAGGATTTTGACCTTGCCTTCGCCGGTTGTGGTAAAGAAGTGTTGCTCGGGCCGTTCGGGGGTCGGCATGCACCAGGAGAAGGTTGTGGCATTTGTTTGGACGGGTTGCGGGTGTGGAGCGAGGGCTGTGTAGGTTGTTGTGCCTGGTTGGGAGGAGGGGGAGGTTTAGGGCGTTTGCGCCGTCTGGGTGGGAGGTTACTGTGGATGGGCATTCGACGGAGATGGGGATCAATGTGTCATCCTGGGTAAGGTGTGTGTTAGGGGGTTGCTTTTGCTTTCGCGATCCGGGGACGGGCATGGGCGACTGGTTGGTGTTTACCTTCGTGCCAACGATCATTGTCGTGCCATCTGCAGACCAGGAGAGAGTGAATGCTTCGCCGCCGACGTCGAGTTTGCTTACGCAGGTCTTGGAGCGTACATCCCAAAAGCGCACTGTACCGTCTGTCGAGCAACTGGCTAGCTCCGCGTCTCGGACTGGGTTGAAGAGGACTTTCTCGATGCCGGCGGTGTGGCCGCGCAATTCGGTGGAGTAGCGGACATTAGCGCGCTCGGGGTTCCAGATCCGTAGAGTGCGATCTGCTGAGCCGGTAGCTATCAGTTGGCCTGTGGGGTTCCAGGCAAGTGTTCGGATGCTATGGTTCCAGATCGCTGTCAGTCAGTGGGCCCAGCTCGAGGCGCGAGACCTCGACTTACGTGTGAGATCCCGGTCCCTTGGCAGCAGGATCATAGTAGTTTTGGGTCTTGGCACTTCCAAACACGAACGCAAAGTGGTCCTTGTGGAGGGGATCGCGACGCGGTGGAGGAGCCATTGCGGGCAGTTGGTATTGATCCTCCTTCAATTGGTTTTGGGATGTAGGTTTTGCGTGAACAATATCATAGTCAGGAGAAGAATCAGACGGGTCAAGACTTAGAATCCCAAACTGGCTACCAGGCGACTTGGGTGAATGAGAGATGGGGGTAGTTGGGTATTCGGATACCGCCTTTGTGCTCTCTGATACTGCTGGCCGATCGTCATTCTCGGGAGCTGCCATGGCACGTGGGCGGTGTGTTTGTTTGTTGTGGGTGGGCGGTGTGGCTGGGCGGAAAACTTGGGAAGAAAAGATTTGGGAACTTACGGTTGGAGTCACAGATAGCTTCACGATCCTGTTGCACCTTCTACCTGGATTGGTGTGAATTAACTACTTACCCAGATACAGTACCTAGGTAGATACTCGTACTTGAACCACAACTGGCGTGTTGCAATGTTTCCAGGTAGGTATTATCCATATAAGTTATAATCGCTTCGTAAAAAAAAAAAAAAAAAAAAAAAAAAGGGCCTTATCTAAATATGCATTTTTATAGACATATCTAAGTATTTCTGTCTATGGACACATGTTGCTTGTGAATAACGGGATTCTATGACAAACTCTTCGTTGTTTAAAGAACCCTTTTGTCGCTCCTTGCACGACAAGAAAGGATCTAGTAGAGCAAGCACTATGCAAGACTTGACACCGGGCGACGTTATAAACAAAAATACTTGTACAGTAAAGCTTTGGCCCTGTGTTGCACATATACCAGTGCAGTATGAATGTGATACTTCTACAATGGCTGGACTATATGTGTGCACCCCAAGGTGATCCTTACCCCTAGTTATATTCAAGCTCATCCCTAGATAACAACCATCACCGTAAATGCCCCAGCTGTAAGATACATATCCCACGCATCTCATGTATACATGTATAGTTGTGACTAGACCGACGAATAGGAGCTTTGATTGCTGCAGCCTTATGGGTCCGATAAGCCTCCGAGCTTAATCAAACCTCACCCGTTGGAAAAATTGTGGTGCTCAGTCTAAGCCGACACAAGGGATACAATCACAGAATATTGAACACCTTGCAAAGCAGCCGAGTACTGCAGCCATGTTCGACCAAGAAGACGACGCATCCTGTCGCGAAAAGTGCTTCACGACCATCACCCGCTTGCCAGAATTCATCGACCCGAAGCAAATCCCAAGCAAAAGAGCACCCTTCTCTACAATTCAGAATTATGCATTTGCACACTCGGTCGGTATTCATTGATCCCACGGGGAGTTGGCCGGCTGGCTGATGATCAACACAGGTTGAGGCTATCATGCCGAAGGAGGTCTACTCGCAGATCGAGTCCTCATTGAAAGCCACGCTGGATAAACCTCGATATGCGCGAGTATTTATGGCTCCTTCTGCTCTACTGGAGCATGATTTCTTCAACACCTACATCAAGTCAGGTATGTATGCCTCCAGCTCGGTCCTGGAAGCCCAAGGGTTTTCGCTCATCTTGCTTTCTCGGAAGCTGCCACCCCGGGACCTAAAACGCTGCTTAAACCTATCATATATATCTGGAGTCATGTTCTAACTTGGGCTATAGGAAATATTCTGATGATATCCGAAGGTCGTTCGGGATCTGATAATGTGTTCACGCTCCGAGACGGTTCGTCCCATTGAAGCCACCCTGAAGGCTGCTTCTTCGTCAACATGGATGTCTAACTCTGTTATAATAGGAGTTCTTCGAATGGAGTTGGGAAAGGAAATCTATGAACGAACAGGTCTTACCGGCAAACCTTTCCGCAGCGGCGGTAGGAAACATGCAAAAGAAAGATTCTGTAAGTATAGCTTGACAGATGTGCGATCATCGCTTACTAACTATGTCCTCAGTGGTGGAATTGAACCTTCGACTGCCCTCCATGCTACATGGCAAGAAAGGCTTCGAAAGAATCGTCTGGGCCTTTGCGAACGTTCTGACTCAGTCGATGGCATGGCTCTTTTACGATCTAGAAGATACCCCTGACACGGACAAAGGTATATATATATACCTGAACCAGAATAGCAGACTCAAGAGATTGACTAACATGGGACGAAATAGGGACCAGACCAATCCATCAACTTCAACCTCAGCTAATGACATGCGAGCCATCTGAGACTGAGCATCGGCAAATCCTTACCCCAGCATTTAGCGCAACTGCACAAGACCTCGATAATATGCCGGAAGGCGAACTGCAGGAGCATCTGGGCTCTCTTCTGGAATGGATTGCCTTGGTTCAGATAAAATCACCCCGTGTGTCTGGGGAAGATGACGTCGATCCGTTCCTGAGCCGTTACTCTCTTCCAGAGAACTGTGAACCTTCCGACTTGATAAGCGTGAAATGGCATGGCTACATATCATCACGCTGGGTAATGGAACTATTCTTAGCTCTACGGTGAGTTTTAACTGACGCTTATAACTTGAAATCAATGAAGTCCGGTATAAAGCTAACGTCGTCCCTGAATAGACATCATACTAAAGGCAAATCCTGGTTCTCTCTTGCAGTTTCAACGCTTGGAAAGGAAGCTGTGGAAGGCAGGGATGGGTTCACTTTGATGGTACTACCGGAAGAGAATGCTATGGCTGTATCTTGGGAATTGGTGGGAGCATCCGTGGCCGAAAACTGACATTCTAGGGCTTCATCCACGGGTTGGTTGTCTCTTGGGGCAGAAACATTGATTCTTTCGTTTCTCTTTTCCCTTCTCTTCCCTATTTCCTCCTTCCTCCTCCCATCTCTCTTCTCTCTTATCTCTCTCCACCACCACTCATCATTCTTGCTTATTGCTACCCGTTCAGCGTTATTTGTTGTGGCATCTCTATTATTTTTGTACCTACCACATCTATTTGCTCTGTGATTCAGCTTTTTATGACACGGGCAGCTGTGCATCTCTATTGTGCTCGTCACTACATCTCTCCGAAATCAATTCCTTTGCATTTGTTGCTCCTTTCATCACTCATCCCGTCATTTATCCATCATGCGTTCTTCTGACCAGACCCATGCGAAGAACATCTTCGACTTCTTCCTGAGCGACAAGCGCAGTCGAGCTGGAGCGAGGGCTGGACTCAATGCTACTCTCGTTCACAGAGCATCACTTGGGTCGCCCCTGAACGGCCATGTCAACTGGGACTGGCCATTCCCTACTCCCATCGTTCCTGCTGCCAGAAATCGGGACCCCGTTATTTCCCGACCTACCGATGGCTTCGAGCTCAGCTCCTCCATGTCTCCCACTTCTGACACCTCTTTTATCGGTCCCACTGTCCTTCCAAGCCACTTCTGCGAGAATATCCCATATCTTTGCGACCCACTCGCCGCACAGGAGTTTTACAACACCACCTTCGACCCTGAGCTCATTGCGCTCCTGAACGACACGGACGCCGCCGTGACTGCTGTCCTCGCTGCACTGGACACAGACAGCTCCTCTACAACTGCTGGTCTTACTTTCGCTGAGGCATCCATTCCAATCACAAGCACAAGCCTGGGGCCCTCTTCCACCTGCTTGGTCGGAGTCACCGACTCAATTCCAGCTTCTGATCTTCCGATCGTCGATCTGATCACCCCAACTCGAGAAATAGCCCATGATTCAGTCCCAATGACGCGCATAACCCGAGACACTGCACCTACCTCCTCCTTCCAAGCCATCAATCCGTCTATGATCATAACCGCACCCTACTCTCTCGACTCAATTGATCTAACTGACAGCCCGCCCAACCTGCCTGCTCAGATCGGCGACGTCTCTCAGGTGGGTGAGGCAAAGAGAGCAATTCTCGTACCGAATGCGAAATCGCATGCTTCGGTTGCCAGTGAGCCAGCTAATGGCACAACAAAAGGCACACAAAAGGCACCACAAAAGAGGATACCTGCTCAGTGCAAGCCTCGAGCGAAGACCCCAAAGCGATATCCCACCCCGACGAGCTCCTCGCCTCGAGTGCTTCGCAGGATCGCACCTACTCCTCCAGCATCGGTCAATGATGTTGCCTTCAAGACCCCCAAGAGGCTCCTCCGAAAGTTTCACCCAAATCCATCACACCAATGTCTATCGAGGCACAACACCAGCTATACGAGGAGAAATACTTGGGACAGCAGAACATCTACGGGAACCAACAGCAGCACTTGAAGCGTATGAACCAGAAGCTCCAAAACAACCTCCGTAAGGAACAGATCAATCGTGAGCAACACCTGAACCAGGGTCGCCAGCAGCAGCAATATCAACAGACAACCCACTTCACCCAGCTGCCCCATGCAACCCAATTGCCCCAGTTAATGCAGTCGTCCCAGTCGGCTAAGAAAGAGCCGGAGCGCGATCATTACCTACAGCATCTGCAACAGGCCCGCCAGAAACAGGCTCGCAAGCAGCTGCCTCAGTCGATGCAGACATTCCAGGCGTCTCGGCAACTGACGGAAGACGAAAGTCACCTAGAGCATTTGCGACTGGCCCGCCAACAACGGGCTCACCAGTCGATTCAGACATTCATGTCTGATCCGCGCAAGACGGAACACGAACAGCACCTATACAATATGCAATTGGCCAACCAGCAGCATCAGTACCTGGTGTCGTCACAGTCGCCACAGACACAGACACCCAAGTCGGCTCAACAGCAAATGGATCACAAGATACACCTACAACAATTGCAACTGGCCCACGAGCAACAGGCTCGCCAGGAGCATGCCCGCCGGCAGCTGTCTCGGTCGTTCCAGACACTCCACCCGGCTGAGCAACAGATGGCGCATGAGCAGCACCTACGGTATTTACAGCACCGGAACCAGGCCTGCCAGCAACAGCAATACCAGCAGTCGCCCCGCTTGTTCCAGCCGATCCAAGCACCTCAGTTGAATCAGCTGCCCCAGTCAAGCCCGTCACCCCAATTGCCTCAATTGGTCTACCCGGCCCGGCAGATACAGGTCGCTCCACCAATATGGGTCGCTCGTCAAGCCGGGCCGGCTTATGGTACCCCATATCCAAATCAGCAACTGCAGACTGTTCCTCAAGGCCAGACTGCTTATCTCACTCCCCCTACTGCACAACAGTATCAACCGGCCGTTTCTGCTTCGTTATTCCACCATGGAGCCAGCCACAATTTGCCTATCGATCGCATGCAGCTCATTTCTCCGGCACCTTCCCGCAAGAGGGGCTTTGAGTTTGTGGACAACGTCGTGCCCGAAAGCTTTGTGGCCAACCCTGATAGCCATGGCCGATGGGTCGTCCCAGACACCAAGAGAAAGGAAAAGATCTACTTGAACGGACCTCACAGCAAGAAAGCGCGACTTGCCCTCGAGGAATGAAACAGGGTGTGCTTTTGCTATCATGACGAGAATGGGACATTGATGAATGGTGTTTTTTGCTATTTTCTTATGAGGAGGATGGAACATGGTAACTTCTGCTATTATGAGGATTTGTTCTTTGAGATGCGAGGTTTAGTGCGCACGGAAAGTTTACGGGACTTTCGACCGCAGACGCGGTGTCTACATAGGATCATTAGGGACATCTGTCGCCTGTTTGCCCAATATATCTTTACCCGTTTTATATCTTCGACGTTGACTTTAAGATATTTTTTCTTTGCTCTTACGAAGGGGGTTCGTTTTTCCATTCCCTAAACTGCCAGTTTCCTTCCAGAGCCTCGCTGGTCCAATACCACCTCTGCCCCAGGCCAGATTCGACCTTCGTCTGTTCTCTCACGAGACGAAGCAAAGAGTGAGCGAGTCTCTGGACAGCACAAGTCTCCTACTAACATTCTCGCAGCCGGATGCAAAGCAGCTCTTAAAAGCAGTCCTGCCCAGTCCACCTCACAGCGCAAGTCAACAATCGGATGGGGTCAACAACAAGCTGAACTAACAGCACATATCCCTCCACTGCGGCTCTACCAGTTTAGCAATCTACATAACGGACCGAAATGCACAAAACGGCAAATTTGGAGGAACACACTAGGCCGAACATTGGGTCTGACCTCCTTGGCAATTGGTGATCTGGACCAAAACAGGGCTAAATGAGCGCTATACGCTACGGACAAACTGCCAGAGCAGTCACACACTACAGCAGAAGAAACGAAATAGAACGTGAACAATCAGATTCACATTCAAAAGCCTAAAAACCAACAGGCCGAAGTATGTCAAATGGAAAGAAAAGCCAGCAAGAAAAATATACAGGATGCCCAATAGCTTATCAGCCAATTCCAAACACCAAGATACTATGACAATAACTGCACCAGCAGATATCCAAGCTGCGCAAAATAAGAATGACCACACCCCGATTCGATTCGCATTGATGATGGCAGAAACAAATGCCGTGATAGATGATGTACAGACGCTGTGCTAGCGCTAGCCCGTGAGGTCGTTCACAATATCCTGGAGGATAGGCCGATTTCCAACAACAGCAGTCCCATTGAACAACTTAGAGCCCGTCTTCGCAGGTTTCCGTAGACCCTTGCCCTGGTGCCGGGAACCGAGTGGACTGAGTGGTTCACGCGGAGAACGAGAGGCGGGAGACTTTTTCGCATGTGTTGGGCTCGTTTTCGCTTTCTTGCTCTTTGTGGAGCCAGGAGCACCCGGGGACATGAATTGCGAGTGTGTGACGTAGGATGGGAAGACGTGCTTGTCCAGTGCTGTACTGGGTAGATTGTAGACCCAGCCCTTGCTTTCGACCAGACGGACGTATTTGCAGAGGAGGTCGTTACCGTCGCGGAGGGTGGATCTGCTGCCGACGACGAGAAGTTTGGTCTGGGCGCGGGTGAAGGCGACGTTGACGCGGCGCCAGTCACGGAGGAGCTCGCCGACGTTGTTTTCGGTGTTGCTGCGGACGCAGCTTAGGATTATGACTTCTTTGTCTCGGCCTTGGAATTTGTCTGTTGTGTGCATTTCCAGGTCGGGGATGTGTCGGCGTAGACTTTGGCGGAGGAGTGAGAGTTGACTTCGGTAGAAGGTTATGACGCCGATGTTTCGGGCGGGAATGCCACAGGCGATAAATGACTCGACGAGTTGTGCGCAGAGAAATACTTCCATGTGGTTCACGACTCGGTTGCCCTGTGCTATTTCGAGGGCTGCTGGGCCGATGGGGTCGGTGTTGACTAGGCGGGTCTTTGCTGAGGGTGAGAGGATGTCTCGTAGCCAGCAGGAGGCATGCGGGGTGCCCAGACAAATATCCTTCTGCGATGGGGAATGGCCGAAGTCCTTGGCATGGAATTGATCGAGGGCGTTGATGTTGGGTAGATCCAAGGACCGGGCAGCTACCTGGGGTGTGCCGCACTTGAGACGACCCGAGTAGATAAGTGTGTTAGAGAGCAACATGATCTCTTCACACATGCGGTACTGATGCTCAAGGTTGACGACTGAGTCTGGTTGCGCGTCTGACAGCAGTTTGAAAAGACTAACGTCCAGACCTCCTTCTTGAGCTGCCTTGTTCTGCACTAGGGGCGGCAATTGGTAGTGATCGCCGACAAGGATGAAAGTCCTTGCCATTCGAATCGGGCCTAGACAAACCGGGAGCGTGATTTGCGAAGCCTCATCGACAATGCAATAGTCAAAGATGCGCTGGTTGAAGATGTTGTGGTTGACTCCTAGGCATGTAGTGGCCACGACCTGCGGTTTCTCATATGAATCCTTCAGTTCTTCGATAGTTGATTTCGGGACTGCGGCAAGATCCGCAAAGCCTTGGACATCTGGATGAATCTTGGCGGTGGCACCGATACGCAGGACGCGGATGTTGTCATTTCGGATCTTCAGCAGAATGTTGTCGACTGCAGTATGCGTGTAAGACGTGAGAAGAACGCTCTTCCCCTGTGCAACAAGGGCTCGAATAATGTGAGAAATGGTGGTCGTCTTTCCAGTCCCGGGCATTCCCAGGACGAGAGCATAGTCTTTGGCACTCATAACTTTGTCAATAGCTTGCCTTTGGTCAACGTTGAGACTCCCAGGATCCGAGATCGGGTATGCAGATGATGTCGTCTTGAAAGCAGGGGTTTCCCCTTCAATGATGAGTCGCCGCATGTGTTTTGCTTGGAATAAGTCTTTGTCCATCATGCAGATAAGATTGTTTCGAACAATGGCCATGCCGTTGCTGAACTCGTCTTTGTCGATTCGGTAAACAACTTGCTCATCCGGATCTTCGAGAACGGCGGGTTCTTTTGCCCCGATCTCCATGATGCCCTTGAATGATTGGTTTGTAACAGCATCGAATCCAGCTGTCCGTGATCTCGCATTGTGAAGTTTCCGGTCAACTGCAACCTTTATGTGCGAGAAACTGGCTTGCACCACATATCCGTTTGCGAGAGCAAAGTGGCCCTTTTCGTCGGAAACAACAATCGGCTCACCAATAGATATTTGTGATTCCGTAAAAGAGAAACCGGGAGATGGGTGTCTTTTGTGGAATGTATAGTGGTAGCGATTGATCTTCGTACCAGTGTTTTCCTCGTAAGAAGACTTGGTATCAAGAACGACATCACCGAAACATCGACCGAGAGCTTCACGCTCGTGGCTCAACAATGTCCAAAGTTCCCGTCGGAACTTCACCAGGTTTCCTTCTTCTCTGGTAAGAAGTTCATCCCACTTCCGGAAGAAGTCACGATCACCGTTGTTCAGATGACCAACAGACGCATCAAAATCCTCCGCAAGTCCGCTGGTCACACCATCGCCATCCTCAGCGAGTTTGTGGTAGATGAGGCAAGGAGTCTTCGCATAACACCTGCTACATTGACGTGCCTTCTTCAACATCGGTGGAAGATGATCTCTTTCGCGGATATAGCCCGCTAGGTGATTTCGCACCTGGAGCATTTGGATAAGTTCATGTCGGATACCACGGATGCTGAGTGTTCTTGACACCTCAAGGTAGTAAAGCAGCCCAAAGGTAACATCGAGATCTGCAAAAGCATTTAGCAAATAGTCGAGGTCAAGTTAGTGCGCGCGTTTAATGACTTACCATATCGGTCAGACAGGAGCAGGGTGTAAAGGGCTGTCTGAGCCCTGTGTGCCTGGTTCGTATCTCTCCGTCCAGTCTTGAGTTCCAGAGGAACAACCAGGTTTTTCTCAAATCCCTGCTCACGACAAGCGACTTGCACTGTCGCATCGATATTTCCTTTGAGACCGTACATCGGAGACCAGATATGCTCCTCCACCTCAAGTAGCTTGTTGATGCTTAGGTTGAGTTTGGAGCTATTGCGGTCTTCGACCATAGAATTAGCCTGTTATTTGGGTTAGTAGGAGCTGTAGCCTATCGAGACCCTTGCGAGACATACCTGCGGCTTCAGATGAAGGAAGGCATCTGCCCAAGCAAGAACACCAGGCATTTTGCTCATGAGATATTCAACAGCTTCGGGTATACTCATCTGAATTGAGTACAGATCTTCAACGTGTCTCCCCATGACAGTTTCGACCAAAGATTTCATCGAATCCATATCCCATTGATTCAATTTCAGAGCTTCTTGGAAGATCTCGTGAAAGAACACACCGAATGCTTGCGGTCGCTCGAGTGCTGCGATGACTTTGACTCGATCCTGGAGAACAGCTCGTCGCTGGCATTCAACCGAGTCTGCCACAACTGTCGCAGAGATAAGATGATCTGGATGAAGGATAACCATATTGTTGGAGTTGTCCACTACGCACTGGCCGGTAGCGTTAAAGTCTCCGACCAAATGGATATATGAGTCCTTGGTGCAGGGAGTGTCGAACCATGTCTCTCGCAAAAAAATGACCTTGCGGTCTCGTCTTTTCTCGTCTTCAACTAGCAACACCTGTTCCTAAGGTCAGCGACGAGATCTAGACCTGGAAAAGGGCAAGGTATCAGACCTGCTCTGGCTGAGTACGTCCTTTTGGATTCACATATGTGCCCTCCGTAATATCAATGACTTGATAACGTTTGATAGATTGTCGATCTTTAAGGTTCTAATTTGTTCATGTCTTAGCATATAAATAGAAAATAAACCCACTAAGAGCGACAAACATGAGCCGGTTTACCTTCCCCTGCCTGCTTCATAGTCTGCTCGATAGCTTCCAAATCAAAGTCATCGTCGAATTCATCATCAGATGATGCCGCCTCAGCTTTGACGCCCGTAGTGGCAGGGAACTTGCCAGACGTGGCACCCACGGGAGCATTCGTCGCATCTAAGTTCTTGAGAAGTGGTTCGCCAGTGGCTGCTGTCTTAGCCGCCTTGGCCTGGTCCGGCTTTTTATCACATTTTGCAAGGATTTCCTGCAAATTGTCCGGCAGATCATCATAGTCGTCATCAAAATCATCGAATTCATCGCGTTTTGGTTCATTATTCGTAAGGTTGTGAGAGGTAGAAGGTTTGCTATCGAGTATTGAATTCTCCTTTGGCTGCCAAGAGCGTGATTTCTCAGCAGCGAGAGCGGCCCAGTCTGAGGATCCTAGAGAATCAAACTCGTTTGATGGTCGCACTGCATCAACAAATGGATCCGCTGACGCATCGGCCAAGTCAATGAGATCTTGATCAAGATCATCGTCTCCGAAATCTGAAGACGATTCTTGAAGCACGGGCCGTTGATTAGGTCTCCCTTTATCAATTGGTGCAGCACATGGGGATTCATTGGTTTCTGCAACATCTTCGAGAACTTGGCGATCCTTTGTTGGAGAAGACGAACGACACATTCGCGCATCCATGTGCTGCCGAAGAGGCGAGGAGCCAGGTGGATTTGTGTCGACGGGCGCGAGGTGTATTGATTTCTCGATCTTCTCCATAAGATAGTTAATCCTCGAGGCCTTGGGTTTTCCAGATTCCAGAACATTGCTGCTCGTTCGCTGAAATATGCCGCGATTAGCACCACCATCTTGTCTGTTGAAGCGTCGTCTCTTTGCCCGTGACGTGGGAAATTCAGCCGCACAACTGATCGAACGTCTCAGTCCCGAGGAGTCTCGACATGTCCTGCCCGAGCCAGGCGTCTGGGGTGAAGAGGAGAGAAGATTTGCGAGACGAGGCGGTGGAAGATCTTCGGCACCATCGACCATGTTTTTATCCACATAATTGTTCCACAACTCAGCTGCCATGTCGTGTTGGGGTGTTTTAAATAGCGCTTGTATTGACTGCAGATCGAGAGGCTCCTTTGGGTGCTTTTTAGAATTCTCAATTGAAGGAGAACCGGTTGGAGAAGAGCTGAGTCGTCGCTTCCTTCGACGCCCTGATGGCGTCTGTGACGAGTTATCTGGGTTTGAGCTGGCAGGGACATGCTGCCAAATGACATGCTCAACCGGGGTCACGTCTGGACCTGGAGCAGGGTCGAAAGAATCCTCAGCATTGCTGATCAAATCCGCCAGAGGTATCCTGTTTCCCGGAGTCTGAGGGCATTCCTTGATCGGTTTTGCTTCTTGGGCTTCTGACTTCGGTGCTTGTGCTTGAGGAGCCGGAGCATTGCCTTGGTCCGGTGACGTCTGCATCGGCTCTACCACCCCGTTGGACCACGATTTCTGGTTTTCCTTGTTCCCATGGACTGGTTTCGTCCCGTCTTTGCTTGTGTTGTCGTCTCCGTCTTTGTAGCGAAAGGCATTTAACTTTGTTCGTGAATTCGATGAAATTGGGTATGAATTATTTGTTGCCATTGCCTCGGTTTAGAAATATCCAATGACGCGTTCAAAAATGGTAAGGATACATTCCGCTGGAAGCTTTAGAAGAACAATGTTAGAAACGAAGACGGCACTAGGCCTGGGAAAACCATACTGATGCAGATGGTATGTACGATGCCACTTGCTTGTACACGGAGACTTTGAATCGAGTGGTGAGTGCAGCACCCTGGCAGCATGGGGTAAGATGCGATAAGCACGCGTCGCGCGTCAAGTGTCGACACCCTGCTTTTCAGGCATTTAATGCCTGAATTATCGGGTGTAAAGGCGGACAGGAAAATCGCCCAAAGCGGACTAGTGCCATGACTGAACAGCTTCCGGCCTTTTACGGCTTCAACATCAACGCCGAAACACCCCTCCACTTCCCTGCAAGAGGCACAACATCAATTGAGATTGTCCTTGCCACCCAAATTGACAAGGCGACTACACTCGCCCGTGTCTATCAGACCGATTTAATCACACACCCGTGTTTCTGCGATCGCCCCTCGACTCTCTCACCCCCGTCCTCAACATGCCTGCCCGGCCAATCACCCACATGCTCCGCGCGCGCTGCCTGCTGCGCCAGCCTCAGACGGCCCAGGCTTTCTCAACCAGATCCGCTGTCCGTGGCGGCGCAGACCATGGCGACCACTATGACCCTCCCACCGGCTATCTGTTCGGTCTGAAGCCCGGTCAGAAATACGAGAAGGAAGGCTGGGAGAACATTTGGTACTACGGATTCATTGGAAGCATCTTGGTTGCTGGTGTCGCATATGTCTTCAAGCCTGACACTTCGTAAGTACAATCTTACCGCTGCCTAGTGCGTCGGCGCAGGTAGATTCGTCTCATAGTCGGATTACTCACAATTGCCATAGCATACAAACATGGGCTCTTGAGGAGGCCCGTCGGAGACTGGAGGCCGAGGGTATTCTGGAGGACCCCGACAAGGCCAAGAAATAAATGCTGAATCTGTACGCTGTACATATAGAGATCGGAAAAGGACACTTTCGGTTTACGCCTGTACTACCTACGATGGCAGATATGATGTTCCGGTCTCGTTTTTAGACAGGTTTTTTGCATGCTCATTCATTTTCGTTTGTTCCCTACTTGGTACTTTCTCCATTGTTTTTCGTCATATTGGCATATGTGCTCTGATAACATATCTGCTTGTAATTCGCACTCGGTAAATCATGAGAACTTCTAGTTACGAACGCCATAAAAGCTTTCGGATAAAAACGTTATTCTGAGGAGCATTTCTTGAGTGACAATCGTTTGGTTGCTCATGTGAAGCTCTCAAAATTCCGGGTAGAGGTCGTTTCTTCGAAGCAACGGCATTTCTCGCCGAATCTTCGCCACAAGATCAAGGTCAACGTCGGCTGTCGCAATTCGTGGCTCCTGATGCTCATCTCCCAGCTTAGCTACAACTTCACCCCACGGATTGACAATGATCGAATGACCATAGCTTCGTCTTTTCTCATTGTGCGGGCCGGCCTGAGCAGCTGCTATCACATATGACTGGGTCTCAATAGCTCTTGCTCGTAGCAAGGGTTCCCAATGGGCCATTCCGGTCGGGACCGTAAATGCTGATGGATATGTAATGACTTCGGCATTCTGTCGCCTCAATGCTAGACTGATCTCTGGAAATCGTAACTGCAAATTCCAGGCGTGCATAATTAGAAAGCTGAACCGCCGAAGCCCGCATAATGGGTATATGCGAGGATAGTACTAACATCGAAACAAATACTTAGACCAACACGCCCGATAGGTGTATCAAATGGCTTGGGGATCTGTTGCCCCGGCTGGACATTCCTTCAGGCAATTAGCGAACTATATATCAATGATTTGATCTCTGCAAAAGAACTTACGCGCTCTCTTTGAGGGTTGGACCATCCTTAATATCGACATCAAAGAGGTGAATCTTCTGGTAGCTTTGGGTGATGGCTCCCTTGTTATCAATCCAGATCAATGAATTCTTGAGTCTGGTGTCAGAAGCTATTTCATGGATTCCGATATTGATATGCAAGTTCTGTCTCTCGGCATCCTTCTGTAAAGCTGAAACGAAGTCGGCGCACTCTCGAGACTTGGCGAGGGAATAAGATTGCTCTGGCGAAGATGCGATGTAGTCCGAGGCCTCGGGAAGAAACAGCACCTAGCAGTTGAGTCAATTGTAAGAAACGTGACAGAACAACAAATCAAAATCTACCTTAGCGCCTGCTGCTGCTGCCTTTTGAACCAGGACTTGGCATTGAGCTAGATTTGACGTTATGTTGGCAGTTGAGCAGAGCTGCCCCACGGCCTATCTCAAGATAAACTTGGTCAGCAATCTGGTCTCACACCCGACTGATGGTAAACATACTGCAAGAACCATATTTACTAGTTTGGAGGCTCCTGATATGTATCCGTATTTAAGGAAAGAAGTTTGTTGTAGCAAGCAAAATGATGTTGACAGTCGATCCAGTCACGCCTTATCGTATAAGGACCACGTGATCCGACAAGACCTCTCTTACAGGAATCCTATGACGCTTTTTAATTAATAAACATACCATAGAGAGATCTCTGGGTAGGACTTTAACTCGAATACCACCATGATCAAAGACATTCGAATTTCGAACACTTTTGCAAGCGTTATAGGGCAGGAACCTCGACGTTGATATGCGCTGACTCAGCTATCGCGTTCCACCGATAGGATAACCTTTCTTCCGCAAAGACTCTCTCACTCCAATATTTCACAAGTTTTGACTGAGCCACTGTCTCGAAAGGCAGATTTCTATCACAATGAAGAGCCTACGGAGAGACACCTCTACCAACCCGCAGGCCGCAAATGTCACCAGCAAGGTCTTTGTGAGGTCCACACGAAGTGGGAAAGTGCAAAAGATTGTTCGCGAGCTTTATTTGAGAGAAGACATTCCTTGCTCTTCGAAGCTCTGCTCGCAATGCCCCAAAATCACACCCGCTGATGCCAATGGAAACAGTAAGACTCAATGTGTATGCTGGTGGTAAATCGATTGACTAATGCGAAACAGTTGCGCCGTTCATCCTATCCGATCGCCCCGCCGGTACAAAGGCATTCCCTCGAGGCCACTACCTTCTTCCCGATACGAATGCGCTGCTCAATGGAATGGATCTTTTTGAGCACACTGGTGCTTTCTACGATGTGATCATTCTTCAGACCGTCCTCGAGGAGTTGAGAAACCGATCACTACCGCTCTACAATCGTCTTCTAGCTTTGATCAAATCAGACGAGAAGCGCTATTACCTCTTTTTCAATGAATTCCGCCGTGAGACTCATGTTCGGAGAGGCCCGGAGGAAACCATCAATGACAGGAATGATCGCGCTGTGCGCACGGTAGCCAGCTGGTATGGATACCATCTGCAACAGTCCGCAAAGAAGGCCAAGAAGGAGAAGACAATGCCAGCGATTGTGGTCATCACCGATGACAAGGAGAATCTTCGGAAGGCGAAGGAAGAGAACATTACAGCCTTGTCGCTATCGGACTACGTCACTGGTTTGGATGGTTCAGAGCTGCTTTTAGACATGATCAGTGACTCAAAGGATGCGCGGGATGCAAAGGAGGCATCTCGGGGAGACCTTTTTTATCCCGAGTACTTTTCCATGTCCAAACTCACGACTGGACTGCGCGCAGGGACATTGCATCAAGGTATTTACAACGTCTCGCCCTACAACTATCTGGAAGGCTCCGTCAAGACTACCGCTTTTGATAAACCACTTCTCATTTTGGGCCGCGACAACAGCAACCGCGCCATCTCAGGTGACTCTGTTGTGGTTGAAATTTTGCCACAAGACCAGTGGAAGAGCCCCTCGACCAAGATCATGGACGAGGAGGCTGTGACCCGGAACGACAATCCGGATAGTGAAGAAAATGAGGCTGTGGTAACAGACAAAGAACGCAAAGCTCTCCAGGAAGAGGTCAAGAAGGCCCACGGCAAGAACGCAGAAGGCAAGCCTCAACCCACTGCCAAGGTCGTTGGTGTTATCAAGCGCAGCTGGCGCCAGTACGTTGGTCACGTTGACTCGGGCTCCACCGGCTCCCAAGCTGCATCAGGTCGACGACAACAAAATGTTTTCTTACTGCCGATGGACAAGCGAATTCCAAAAATCAGAGTACGAACTAGACAAGCTGGCGATCTGCTCGGTAAGCGTATTCTCGTCACCATCGATGCTTGGGATCGGGATTCTCGATACCCCACCGGCCACTTCATTCGATCCCTGGGCGAGCTTGAAACTAAGGGCGCCGAAACCGAGGCTCTGCTGCTTGAATATGACGTGCAGTACAAGCCATTCCCCAAGTCCGTCCTGGACTGTCTTCCATCTGAAGGACACGATTGGAAGGTTCCCGCGTCGAAGGAGGACCAGGGTTGGAATGGCCGGAGAGATCTTCGTGACTTGCTGATTTGCAGCATTGATCCTCCCGGCTGTCAGGATATTGACGACGCACTCCACGCGCGTCAACTACCGAATGGAAACTTCGAAGTTGGTGTCCACATCGCAGATGTGTCCCATTTCGTCAAGCCGAACAACCCAATGGATCTTGAGGCCAGTGTTCGCGGAACTACCGTTTATCTCGTGGATAAGCGTATCGATATGCTTCCGCATCTTCTTGGTACGGACCTGTGCTCCCTCAAACCCTACGTTGAACGATACGCCTTCTCGGTTCTATGGGAGATGACTCCCGATGCCGAGATCGTGTCTTCGGACTTCACTAAATCTGTTATTCGCTCCCGGGAAGCGTTCAGTTATGAACAAGCCCAGTTGCGTATCGACGATAAGTCGCAGAAGGACGAGCTCACCGAAAGTATGCGCAATCTCTTGAAATTCTCCAAGGTTCTCCGCCAGAAGCGTATGGATGCTGGTGCTCTGAACCTTGCCTCCCCTGAAGTTCGCATCGAGACCGAAGGTGATGAAGTGGGCGACCCTTTGACAGACGTCAAGACTAAGGCTATGCTCGAAACCAACAGCTTGGTCGAAGAGTTCATGCTTCTCGCCAACATCACTGTCGGCTCTAAGATCTACGAAGCCTTCTCCCAGACTGCGTTGCTACGCCGACACGCCACTCCCCCACCGCAGAACTTCGAGGACCTCACCAACCAACTGTCGAAAAAGCGAAACATGGAACTCGATGTCTCCAGCTCAAGAGCTTTGGCTGACTCCTTGGACCGCTGTGTCGACCCCAAGAACCCCTTCTTTAATACCCTTGTCCGTATCTTGGCGACTCGTTGCATGACTTCTGCCGAGTACTTCTGCGCAGGTGCACACGCCGAATCCGAGTTCCGTCATTACGGTCTTGCCTCGCCCATCTACACTCACTTCACTTCACCCATTCGTCGTTATGCCGATCTGCTCGTCCACCGACAACTGGCTTCTGCCATTGGGTATGAAGGCGAGGATGGACACGCTGTTATCGAGGGTGTCAGCACTCGCAGCAAGCTGGAAGATATTTGCCGTAACATCAACGTTCGTCACCGCAATGCACAGTTTGCTGGCCGTGCTAGCATCGAATACTACGTTGGTCAGGCTCTTAAGGCCCGTGGCGAGAAGGTCGCTGCTGCTGGTAAAGATTCGGGTATCGAGGAAGATGGCTATGTTATGCGTGTATTCGAGAACGGTGTCGTCATCTTTGTTCCCCGCTTCGGCATTGAAGGTGTCGTTCGTCTGGAGGACTTCGTCCTACCCGGCGAATCTGGATCTCGTTCCGTCGCCGAAAGACGAGAGCTCGCACCCCACCGCACCACTGACTTCGATAGCGAGGAATACACTCTTCGCGTGGGCGAGAAGGGTCACCCAGAGAAGGAACGGGGTGTCACTGTCGAACTCTTCCAACGTGTTCGTGTCAATGTCAGCTCCGTCAAGGAAGAGGGTCGTGGTGCCGGCAAAAGAAGAGTCCGGATCATGGTTATTGAGGCGTAAGCCATGAACTACGAATTACTTATGTAGATTAAATCTTTTACCAAAATGGTGTTACACTCAAATGAATGACGGATGATTGTTTACTTTTGCATATTTTCTTTTCTCAATAAATTTGTGTATCGATATATTTTTGATATCATGCACGTTGTCATGGATCTTGGTACCTGGCTATCGCGGAGAGAATGTCAATACAGTAGAGGTAGACGCATGAGGCCCCCGGATCCTGAGAGCATCGTCATCTCGACGATCTAGACAGGCGAGACCTAGTTAGGCAGAGTCACGCAGTAGCCATCCCGATCGATCAACTAGATGGGGACGAAAAAACACCCCGCCGAGTGGTAACAGTGAAAGTTGCCAGGATCGAAGCCGGAGCTGCCTGTATAGGTACGTCCTATATAGTAACTGTCGCGTTTTACCAGTAGGTTATTCCGACGGGGTGTTGGAAAGTAAGGTAGGGCTCCACATTATATATGTCATCCATAGATGTTTCTGCGCTTTGATTATATGATTTCAAACGCGTTTGAAGGCAACCATTCTGCGCACCAAGCTAACGGGAGTCCACAGCTGGATATCTTGCACCCCTGTTTTAGAGGCCGAGGAGACAGTTGCAGGGCGGTCTTGCTTCTCACTCCGACCATCATTCTCAGTTAACGGAGTCTCGCGTGTCTGGGTATCACGTTTTTCTGCACGCTCCAACTCGCCAACCTTCCAACCACGGACAACCCACAAGCACAAGGAGGCACCGACATACATAAATCCGGTGAAGATCTGGACCCGCAGATAGGAAGTACCACCGCCGGTAACATGGCTGCGAAGTTCGAGGGCAATAGCTTCGGAGACGGTGCATGGCGGAACAAGCGTGAGCCAGGTAATGCTCAGCCCAGAGGGGAGATCTCTGATGCCGATGATCTCTGCAAGAACAGGGGAGACTGTGGCCCAGTATGTGCCTGCAACGGTGCCAACCAAGACAGCGAAGAAACAAACGACGCCCATACTATCAGCAAAGACCCAGATGACGAGACAAAACAAACCGCAGAGGAAGGTCAAGAAAGTGGCAATGTTGATTCGACCAAGTCGATCACTGAACATGCCAACAAACGGACGACCAAGACCCTGCCCAAGATTGAGCAAAGCGGAGACAATACTACCCTGATGCGAGGACAGACCAACAGAGAGAGCAAAATTAGCAACACTGAACAACAGTGCCACATACCCCAGCATACTGAAAACACCCCATCCCAAGAAAAGCAAGAACTCAGGACGGCGCAGAAGAGGTAAATGGAAAGCCGTGAATCGACTGCCAACAGCCTTATTGCGATCTCGGAGAAGATTGCAGCAAACCAGATTCACGACACAAGAAATAATGCCTAGAATACGGAAAGCCCAGCCCAGCCCGTAGCGTGGGATAATAGCACCAACTGAAAGCGAGTATATCAGACCACCAAGTCCAGACCCGGCTGCCGTGATGCCCATGGCTACACTGCGACGCTTCTCGAACCACTGCGGGGCGATGCCGACGCTGCCTACAAAGAGAAAACCCATACCCCAGCCGAAACAGACACCCTGACTGAGGAAGATGTGCCATTTCTGGGTTGCGAATGAGGAGCCGATTAGGGAGAGCGTTTCAAAGAAGACGCCTAGGTTTAGCACGAATCGTGTGCCCCATATATGGATGAAATGAGTGGCTAGTGGTGCCACTAGAAGAGCGCAAGAGATACTCAGGCCACCTGTAAAGGCGTATGATAGGGCTGATGTGTTTGGGAATACATTGTGTGAGAGGTAGTAGCTGAGGAAGACACCGTAACTCTAGATGTTGGAGTTAGCGGCTGGAGAGCGAAGAACGCGTCAGTTGACTTACGCTGTTGATACCCCAAGTATGTGCATTGATCCAGAAGACACAGGCGACACAGACCCAGCCATAGCCACCATCTGGGGGTACATCACGCTTGTATTTCTCATCTTCGTTGACCTCGGCTGGCCGTTCCGACCGAGGGTTCAGCCTTTGTTCTTGTTTTGCACTCTCTCGATCCAAATCGTCTTGGTGTGAGCGGATGATATCAATTGGCGCATTATCTGCCATAATGGCTGGGATCAAATTATGGCCTATGGATCTCCTCTATGATGGTCGAGTCTTTCTGAACATGGGCCCGAAACCAGATGTCCGCTTTCATCAAGACATGGAGGGTGTTGAGGAAAAGGAAAATATGCCAAAAATTTAAACAACGAAGAAAATGAGAATGGATTCAGTGGTAAGAGTAATTAGCGGCATCGGACTATATGCCGAATTTGAGGACGCTTTGCCTTTTCGGATCGAGGAAAGATGTCCGGGGGCCTCGTGGTTTGTCACCTGCAGGGATTCGGCGAAATTGGACCAATCAAAAGGGACATCGACCGTTGAGATATGGCAGCGGTGACTACTTTGCTTCCGAAGGGCAGGTTGCAGGGAATATCCTTTTGAAGGTGATCCCAGCGTTACTTGGCTGTGGGGTAGACTGTGCCGAGAAGCCGATGCGGAGAGCCGAGAGGGTCTTAGGATTGGAGCGATGATTGTTTAGTGGCGGATGAGTCCAGAGTTACTGTATATGCATTGTAGAGCTTATTTAGATGAGAGCTCCAATCCTTGATCTATACAAATGTCGTACACTGCCTGGGCTATCACCACGTGGTCAAGCCCTAAGCCCTAGCCCAAAGTGGATGAGTCATCGCGTTGCCTCGCGACGATGTTTGTTTGGGGAGTGGGGGAGAGATGAACAACTCATATGACGCCAACTCAGACCGTCAATCATAGATCGACTAGGCTGTTCTCATCTTAGTCCCATTTGTCCTCGATCCTGTAGCTTATTTTGTATTCCAATGCTACCTCAACACATCCTTGCAATCAATTAGACCATGCACAGACATACTACTCAACGGAAGGTCTCCCCTCCGGGTCCATCCTTCATGTCCAATGATCAAGTTGGTGAGTGGACATCCGTTCGCGTCACCGGTCGGAGCTGATACGCGTCTCAACAGCAACATACTTGAAGGAGCTGAGGGCGAACCGTCCAGCGCGTCCGACGGGATCTCGCCCATACCCAGGCAAATCGGCGGCGTCGACGACGGATATACCAGGCAGCCTTCCTGCGAGAGCAACCTCGGCCCTTTCGATGCGTTCACCAATTGAAGACGAGATCAAGGACCAACCGCGTTCCGAAAGTGCAATGTCCCATCGCCGAGCAGCCTCCCATGTTCCAGGTAGCGGCGCAATGGGCCGTCCGTTAGCCCAGGAGCCCCGCACGCATTCGATTCGAAAGAACGTGTTCCCGGCACAGATTCACACTCATACGGTCCCAGTATCTTCAGCGCCTTCATATCGTGAGAATGGCCAACGGCGGCACGAGAAGGAAGAGGCACGGTCACTACGGAATGCTTTGCAGGAAATGGATATACACGACGACGTTCATGTCCACCAAGCCGCCCAAGACGAGGCAACTGAGCTGGTATGGATGCATCAAAACCCCGGTGTCGCTTTCAAGAACCCCTACGCGCCATATCATAACCCCGATGCCAACAGGCGTAGCCAGAGTCCCGTCCGGAACGGTTCACGAGGCCGCGACTCAACCCATAGATTCAGCCAGTCGACAGGCTCGAGTGGTTCTTCAGATGGTCAACGCAGCCCCGAGTCACTCCGAAAGCGATCATCGCTGGCCGGGCCCACGAAGAAAAATCTCAAGGTTAACTTTAAATTGCCTGGCGAGGAGCCCCCAGTTCCCGAGGAAACTGCAGCCCCGAAAGGACGGACTATCAGCGGTGATTCGTCTAAGGGTATCTTTAGAAATCCCAACGACCAAATATATGAAGAGCCCGTCGGTACTCAAAAGGAAGAAGAGAAGCCCGAGTTTTCCAGATCTGACTCGTCAGCCCTGAGAAATAAACCTCGGAATGCCCTTGGACGTAACCCCAAACCCCTTCCCTGGTTGCAGAACAGAGGCAGCAGCAGCACGCCTGTGTTGGATAAGATATCGCGTTTTGAAATTCACAAGAACCCACCCAGTCAGTCACGCAATGCTGGCTACACACGAAATGACGAAGCCACTCCGCCCCCCGAAGATGCTCAACCCGTTCCGACTAAAGATGGAAGAGAGATACGGAGTGACGATATCCGCGCGGCCACTAGCAAGAGAAGAGGGGACCGCAGTGAGAAGTTGCCTATGCCTTCAGCTGTCAGTGATCGAGTTGGACGCCCGATCGTCAGCTTTGACCAAACCTGGAAGCCAAGCGACCAGCCAAAGCCAGAGCGTGCACCCGTTATTGAAGTGTCGGCACCGGCCATTGAGGTCTCGGCGCCTTCGATCGAAGTTACCGAGGCGCCTCCTATCCCCGTCATCAACGTCCCGGACATCAAAGTACCAACCATCTCTGAGATAGAAGCACCCAACAAACAGCAAAACAAGCCGACAAGGCCCGTGCCTCAGCCGACCAGAACAAGCCCGACCAAGCAGGGATTCCCCAGACAGCCGGGAACTGAAACGCAAAACCGTTGGCATTCGCCATACACACGATCGGGTGTCCCGACTGCAAGCTGTGAACTGTGCTCCCACCCGATTTCCGGCAAGATTGTGACTGCTGGTGGATGCCGATTCCACCCAGACTGCTTTACTTGCTTCCACTGCCACACTGCCCTCGAATGTGTGGCCTTTTACCAAGAGCCCGAGTCCAGCAGAGATGAAAGACTGGCAACAGAAGCCAACGACCATGAGGCCCGCGTGCCACGGTTCTACTGCCACCTCGATTTCCACGAGCTGTTCAGCCCACGCTGCAAGAGCTGCAAGACACCTATTGAAGGAGAAGTTGTTGTGGCATGCGGCGCTGAATGGCATGTTGGCCACTTCTTCTGCGCCGAGTGCGGCGATGTATGTTTTCAGATTCTTTTCTTTCACCAATCTTGGGATAACTATAACTAACTTTTCTCAACAGCCCTTTAACTCCCAAACCCCCTTTGTTGAAAAGGACGGCTTCGCTTGGTGTCTTCAATGCCACTCGCGCCGAACCGCACCCCGCTGCCTGGGCTGCAAGCAGCATGTCATGGACGAGGTTGTCATCACCGCAATTGGCGGACAATGGCACGAGCGCTGCTTCAACTGCCACGAATGTGGCAACGGGTTTGGACCCGAGGGCCGCTTCTTCGTCCGTGAAGGCGAACCAAAGCGCACGGCTAAGGGCCGTATCATTGGTGGCCCTGTGCAATTGGCTATTTGTGAGAGATGCGAAGCTATTCGTTTGAAGGCGCCTAGAATGCGTTAAGATCTCCGCGTCATCTACTGCTGGCTACGACCACCATGTTTTAACGAGACAACTGTTTTATGATAGGTTCACGCTTGATTTTGGTGTTTCCTTGTTGCATTCACTTAATTTCTTGGCGTGTATTCTACTCGACTTTTTTTACTTGAAGAGTTTTGTTCCATTTTAGCAAGCGAAGATTGTTAGCACGAAGTTGGAGTATGATTGATATATTTGCAATGCATCTTGAAATTTGGATTAAATAAAACGCCCCAAACACCGCTATTTTTGGCCATCATTGAATTGACATCAATGTTTCTAAATACAGGGACTCTCACACATACTTCCCACTCTCTGTCCCCCACTTCCTCAAGAAGAAGGCCACTCAGGATCAGCCAAGCGCCTGAAAACAGCAACAAACTTCTTGCCGTTGTTCCTCGTAACTTTCTTCGACTCCTCAGTCTCAAACTGCATAACACGCACACAAGGATCAGCCGCAAGATCCTCATCCGAGACTCGCTCCCACATATCCTTAATGCCCGGCGCATAAACCGCCTCAGTCTTATAATCCGAACCAGTCTCACCCTCACCCTTGCCTTTCGTCGCATCCTCAGGCTGTCGCTGGAAATGCCTCAGAACCCAGTGGTGGTACTCCTCCACATCGGTAATAGTGTACAACAAACCACCAGGCCGGAGGGCATAAGCATACTCGGCATTCAGGGACTCAGAAATAATGCGCGCTTTATGCTTCCGCGCTTTGAAGTGCGGATCTGGGAAACAGATGAAGATCTTGGAGAGTTGATGGCGGCCAAAGAAGTTGGGCAGGAATTTCATCGTGTTGCTACGGATTGCGGCGATGTTTTCGAAGTTTCCGGGGAAGATCTTCGTTGTGCCGATGTCGTCGTCTGTGGCGGGGGCTTTGCTGTCGGAAACTGTTTCGGCTTCTGTGGTTGATTCGGTGGATGCTTCTGTTGGGGCTGGGTTGGCGGATTTGTTCTTTAGGTTCTGTTGTTGGGCGCGTAGGGCATGGATGCGAGATGTGAGGTACTCGAGCACTTGGGTGCGGATTTCCATGCCTGTGGGTTTATTAGCTTTGATCTTGGGGGGAGTTGATTTTGTGTGCTTCTTTTGGGATGGAAGCTGTGTCATTGGGAGAGGCTTATTTGATTGCCTTGTAGTACTCACCAACCATCAGGGTATCTGGCAGCAAAGGCGCCAGTCCAACCAGCAATCCACCGAACCCACAGCCGATATCCACCACCTCGACATTTTTGGTCAATTGGCGAGCACCGCTCAGATTCGTCTTGGAGGTATCCGGGTCCACATATGCAGGGTAGTGGGAAGACCAATCCATATGCGCGGGGCTGATAGGGCTATTGAGGTCAGATTGGTTAGCTCTCAGCTCACGTCATGATCGCATGCCGGGGTGTATTGTCGCGAATAAAGCTCCGGGATCCCATGGCTATGCTTCAGCTGCAAATTTGGCATGCGAAAGAGTAGACATACTAGTCCAGGTTGTGGTCTGAGAAGGGATTCGCATGCGCGCGCTGGCGGAAGAATTTCTTCTGCGGCATCTTGACGACGGAGCCATCTTCCGTGGAATCTTGCTGGGCTTGGATACCGCGACGGTATTCCTCGCGCTTTTGGCGCTTTGTTGGGACTTGTTCGGCCATTGCGAATGTCGAGTGAAGAGTGAGTGAAGTCGAAGATGAAGAAGCAAAATTGAGAAAATCATTCCCCGCTCCGATTGGCTCCACCTTTCTCCAAGACCTCTACTGTGCCTACTCTACTGCTTTCTGTCCTCTGCAACTTGTTCTTAATTCTTTATTCTGTCTCTCTCTCTCTTCCTACTTACTCCCTTCACAATGACCCTCCCCTTCCCCTTCCCCCGCGAACACAACTGGCCCCCCTTCTTCACCCCGCAACCAAACACAACAACCCGCCAGGACCAGCTGAGAAAATGGTCCGATCTAATCCAATCCTGGTGCCGACACCACCGCCAATACCGCCTCTCCCTAATAGAAGCAGTTGAATCCCCACTCTTCCATAACGCAACTCTGCGCAAGCGTCTCGATATCCGGGAAGCCCGCGCTGTCGTGGATTGGATGACCAAGAGCGAGGAAGAAGGCGGCGGTGGCAGGCGCGCGGAGTGGATTCCTGATGCGGGCGGTGGTTCTTCTGCCGGGGTTATGGGGAGTTCTCAGGGCCAGGGACCGCGGGCTGTAGCGTGGATCTGGTGGAAGAGGCCTGAGGAGTGGGCTGATTTGTTGGTTGAGTGGGTTGAGGGGACTGGGCAGCGGGGGTCGGTTTTGACGGTTTATGAGTTGATTCAGGGTGAGGGGACGATATCGCAGGGTATAATTACCTTCTTGCTTGTGGTCGATTAAGTGCTTGTGCTAATTCAGTCTCTGTAGAGTTCCATGGCATGGATACCGATGTCATGCTACGCTCGCTGAATGTTCTTGTTAAGCGGGGCAAGGCCCAGATCTTTGGTAGTGAGGGTCAGGAGGGTGTCAAGTTCTTTTGAATGGCTCAAAATGAGTATGCTGGGATTTCTCTATTTGATAAATCGTGGCTATTCGTGACAAAAACAAAGCCCGTTCCGAGGGCTGGCTCAAAAGGCTTATAAAACTACGCCTTCGACACTCCAAACTTATACACAGAACCAATATTCTGGGCCAATGCCCTAGATGGATAGCGGATGTGAACATGATACCAAGGTGTCAGTTTACTCATCCGTGTTATCGATCATCTCCTCAGTTAACTCGTATTCGTCGGCGGGTCGTGTTTCTTGCGACATGGCCATGTCAAGCAGCCAGTCAACTCGGACGATACGTGGGGTCTTTTTGATATCGAATGCCACCTGACGGAATCGAGGCCAGATTCGGCCGTGTTTAGCCCCGGCACTGCTGAGGAGAAAGACCTCGTGGCGAGCGGGCTCGTCCTCTGCTTCGCTTTCATCGTGGCTTTCCTCCCGCCGAGAATGATTCGCTAGGGCGAGACGGCCACGGAAGAGCATGCATTCACCTCCATTCGCTTCAACAATGGACTTGAACGCATCGAACCCACCGCGGATGTCCTCCACACAGTAAATGCGATATCCGTGCAGCATTTTGTTCTTGTTCTTTTTGGCGTTCGCTGTGACAGAAGAAAGGGAGAAGTTGTACTTCTTTTCGGCCTCTGTGTCCACCAGAGGGAAATCAGAGGCGTCAAGTAGCTCGTCCTTCTTGAGGCAACTCGTAATAAAGTCTGTGCTCACAATTATCGGTGCATACGCGAGTGCGTTGACAAATTTCGTGGTTCGCAAAATCGACGGCGCTGCCAGATGGGTGCATCGTCGAGCGTCTTGTACGACCATAATACCGAGTTCTCGAAGCGTTCGCTGTCGAAGTGTTAGTGAATCTCATGCCAATTTTGTATATGCAACAACCAGCAAACCTTGTCTGCATCCTCTTTCTTCTCATTGCCCTTCCCAATCCACTTCTGGTAGCCGGTAATTAACAGGTGCATGGAAATTGGTGGCCGAGACTTCTTCTGTCGTTTGGGCTCCACTGCTTGGTCACCATCACTCTCGTCTTCAGCCTCGACGGATGCTCGCTTCTTGCTTTCCTTCTCCTTCTCCTGGCCCCGACCTTCATCTGACTTGCGTCGTCCGCCGTAGATCACACCACCCACGCGCTTCTTTTCTTTTTCGTAAAGCGCGATATCTGGAGCGATCTCGTGTAGTCGGGCAGTTGCTGCGTCCTTTGACTTGCGACTGCTAGTTGAAGATGGGGTTTCGTTTTCCTTGCCCTCGGACATGATGCGAGACCGTGCAGGAGTCTGTATGGGCCGACGTGACTTGCCAGGAGTCTGCGGGGTGCCATGTGAAGCATCTGAGGCTTGGTCGACAATCTTCCGCTTTTTCTCAGGGGGAGCTTGCACTGAAACCATGTTCTGATCCTTGCTATGCATTGCGCGCCGTGGACTTTGGGCGGTGTCCTCGGATGGGAAAAACATTCGCTCAAGAACATTGCGGTCAAGCCGTGTCTGGCCTGCAACTTCCCCAAGATTGGTTCGCAGAGGGAAGTGGCTATAGCGCGGGTCTGAAGCGGGTTGCAGCTTCCATTTGGCATAGCTGTCTTCCAACCACAAGTGATTGACGACTTCAAGACCCCACTCCTTTGCGGCGTTGCACTTCTCGCTCGTTCCATGGGCAGTAATCAAATGGGTGTTCTCCTGCTTCAAAGTTTTTGTACATTCCGCACCTGCGGCTGCAATCAAGTTTTCCAGGTAGATTCTTGCTTCACCAACATAATTGGACAGACTAATCTTCAGTCCTTGGAATCCGGGAATACCCGTACGGGATACGGGGTAATGCAGGAGTCGTCTGAGAGGTGATGTGTATGTGTTAAATGTCATGAGCCGGTAGAGCCAGGCGAGATTTCCAACGTCTAAGTTAAGCCGCGATGCCGTTCGGTAGGCAAAGCCTTCTCGGTAGCGACAGATCAACATGTCTGCAGTATCAATCCTTGATGTCACCTCAGCTCCGCCCTGCTTCATAACGGCTTCAATAGACTCTTGTAGATGCGAACCAATTCCAAGATCCGGAGATAGCATAATGGTTTTGCCCTCGAAAACACTCCGCTGACCAGTTGTATGTGCCGAGATGGACGGCGTTGGCAGCTTCGTTGGATTAGTCGTCGATGCGCCAACCAAGTCTTTATTGTCTTTCGGTGGAATCGGGGTATCAAGACCTACGTGCATGATCTCCGGGTCTGGAAGGCTGTAGGGACGCTCGTCGATGCGCCGACCAAGTTTCAGGCAGTCATCGAACCTATCGAAGATCAAATTAGCAGGGTTACTTGGAAGGCACAGCAACAGCAACAGACTCACCAATGCGGTAGAACAATCTTCACATTCAATTTCTTGGCCTGGGCAATGCGCGCCTTGTCCGAATCGGCCGTGAGATCCACCAAGTGAGTGACCATATGAGAGATTCGCGGACTGTACAGTCCACCTTTTGCCACCACACCGCCGATTATCGCATCCTTATCCCCCTCCGGTATGTCGCCGCAGGTAACCACCACGTCGTTCATAAAAAGACGAGGATCGGGACTGTATTGACGAGGATTGGCTAGCTTCCTCTTTGCCAGTGAGTTGCTGACCCATTGTGGCTTCACCACGGGGATCAGCGCATCACAGGTAGTATCATAGGCTTCAAAATCAATCGTGTTGGAGATCAAATGGCTGAACCTAGCCACATTAGGGACCTCGGCCCCGGGCTGGACAATCAAAGGCTCGCCGCCATGCTCTTCGAGTGTTGTTGCAAGCTAACGAGTCAGTCATGTTAGTTGAGTGCATCATGCGCGAGTGATACGGCCAACACATACCTGCTCCGCGGATTCTCGGGAGAGATCTTTAGAGCATACAATGCAGATGCAACACTGGTCGAAGAGCCGAGGCTGTTGGTCTTCAGGTGTCATGGCCAGAGCGGGCGCGTTGTTATGGGGTGTAAGTGATGATGTGTGGTCAGGCAGTTGTATTCAAAAGATCGAGGCAATCGGCGATTTGGGACGCGCCGCACACGCGTGGTAAAAACGCCGGGTCACGTGAGCATATGCGGGGGTCCCAGTTAAGAGTTAAGAGGGTGAAGAACTGATATTCGTATTCATTGAGATATGTGACGTTGTTTCCTTGTGATTCTCTATCATAAGTGTCACTTGAGAGAAACTACTGTAGCCATGTTGCTGTGTACACCCGAATATACTGTGGGGAACATCATCAACCACCAACTTCTTGACCTGCAAATTACTGATACTATGCTCGAAATATTATAACTAACTAGCATTTTTCCCCGGCATTTTTTAGCTATGTTACCAATAACCTTTATGCGCTTCTCTCTGCTGATGCTATACTACACCCTTTCTTTACTCGAACTATACAACCCCATACTTCTCTAGATACCATTAGGGCTTCCAATCAGGAGTCTTTCACTAGTCAAACACAACGCCACCGTATCCAGATTGGCTATTATATCTTCCAAACAGAGAACGTATCATTTCGTCTGCATCATTAATCAACCACTGTATTGCCCAAAGCTGCAGGTGTCAATTTACTTAACCAAAACCCCATCCTCAACAACCCCAGCCTTCAACCTTCTTTTTTCCATGTTTATGCAAGAAGGCCATACCCAGAGTCTATGCAAAATTGGAAACAGCTAAATATGTGCAATCTTTCTCTTCTTGGGCATCGGTCCAAAGCCCCGCCCACATCCAAGGGGTCGCCTGGCAGATGCAAACCAGCAGAAATGTCCGAAACGACATCAAAAGGTCATTCGTCCAGGATTTTGATATCACTGTCGTCCTCAGTAACCGCCTTAGGCTCAGGCAGCTGCTCGGTGCGACTACGGACCGACTTGCCCTTGCCGTGCGCGTAGCCGTAAACCGGGTGTGGCTTCATTGCGTTTAGCACGTCGGGGTTGACAAAGTCGCTTTTGGAGAACTGAATCATGGTTGTCATGATGATGAGGATGGATCATGTATGAAGAAGAAGAAGAAGAAGAGGAGGAGGAGGAGGAGGAGGAAGAAGAGGAAGAATAGGAACAAATGGGCTGCGTGGAGGGGTACTTCTATACCTGACGCTCAGAGCGGCGGCAAACATAAAGTAGCAATCGAGAATTGCTTCAGAGTATAGTCGTCAGTGGGCTAAATGAGAAGGCCTTGCGTAATAAGCACCAACCTAGAGAAGCTATTCGAGATAGTACAGAACCGACAGATTCAACAGACTATAATCTATCAAAGCTATGACCAATAAAAACAAAGCCATACAGTGCACTGGTTCTTTTCATAGGCCCCTAGAGCTTTATGGAGGAAAGGAAACCTATTCAAGCTCAGAAGTTCCACAGGCGCTGTTCCTGGATTTCAACCATTTTGATGGACATTTGGTAATTTCAGACCTGTTAATATGAAGCTCATGAGACTTTAAGTAGATTGTGCTGCGAAACATGAACCCTAATTTTTCTTTATACTTCACCTATGCCAGCTCACACCTATCAATTAAGGCGATAAGGACAAAGCCAAATTCGATGGTTGCTGAGCCTTAAGAATTGGTTGGTGTGATAGGGATTAGCTTGTTGATGTGTATTTTTAATTTACACCTGTAGACTGGATCATGTGCACTTGGTCGGATCATCCTAGAAATTCACTAGGGCAAATTGAGTATCTCCAACTGCATAAAAATATGCTGTCCTTAGTATCTTCACTAAGTAAATTAGAAAAAAAGCCTCTATGATGTGTCTTATGTTCCTGGTGTGTATGACCCTTAGCCATGGAAACGTTAACGATAAGTTCATATAGCACATATTATAGTAGACTATTCGTGCCAAGTAGACCTCTAAGACCTTCATTCTTATAAAATTATTATAAGCTCATCCTACGGTTTATTATCACAAAATTGCTACAAGACATCGCTTTGTTCCTTCCAATATATGAGTTACGACGTAAAATTGCGCCGTGGTTGGATAAGTCATAAGCTCAGGATTACGATGTTTCCTTCAATTCAGCTTCCTTAGCACAATGGTAGTGCGTCCGGCTTGTCAGTAACCCCCGTACCATGACCATTAAAGAATCCCTTACTAACATCAGAACAGTTAACCGGAAGGTTGCGGGTTCGACCCCCGTGGGTAGCGCTTATCTTTTTGTATTTTTTTGTATGCCCTGCAACTTGTCGGCGTAATTGGTTTAGTCAGTTTTGTATATTTTTATCTTTTTTATACCTAGATATTAGTGATAGACCAGGAGGTGTGAGGATTTCTGTCGACGGGAGTAGGAGTCTGACAACCAGCTGAATTTCATGTACACGTATCGCTTCGCTCTATAGGGTACAAAGAAGGCTGCATAACAAATTAGTTAAAGACAACCCTTAGAGATCTCTACTAGAGAGAAATAAGACCCTATCGAAGCTAGGTTTTAAATTAAACTAGTCAACATCAAAAGGAAGGTGCCGGCCCCTACCTTTTAAATCCGCAGATATACAACACCTTGCTAAGGACGAAGTTTCCCGGCTTTTTTTTGTCCACCAACATAGCAAAAGTTAAGTCAGTCCTATTGTTAACGTACACAGACTCTCTAGACAAGTTAAAGGGCATTACTCTAATCCTTCTGCATAATAAAGCACCCCAGAAGAGAACTACGATAGTGCCCCTTCACATATTGTTCTCGCGATAGTCTATCGCTTTTAATTAAGCGCCGCAAAATACCCCGGGAAAGGTCCTTCATACCTATACGTAGGTGATAATACGCGTTCAATCATTATCTAGGGAAGCCAATATGACAAAATATTGTCACAACTATTCTTCTCATAGTTCGGCAAACTATATTGAAGGTATGCTCGATTTTCAATATCTCTCAACTTCCGTACGGTAGAGCATTTATTATTTCCCCGAGATAATAGACGCGTCGCAGGGTGTATATGTAGCACTGAAGTTAGAGCATTGACAACATATATTGGCTAGCGGCTAGCACAGAGACAGTCGAATCAGGTATCCTAGGACATTTCTGGCTGTTTGTCGAGCTGCACAACAGAATTCCTCCAGGTTTCTATCATAAATAAATACTCACTGAGTCTACTAGTACACAACTTATGTCGGAATACAAAACGAAAGTTTGCTTTACTGCTTCTAGGGTTATATTCTTATTCAAGCATGATTACTTAATATCAGCTTCCTTAGCACAATGGTAGTGCGTCCGGCTTGTCAGTAATCCCGAAGTACCCTTGCTAAAAGTTCCCCTCACTAACATCGTAACAGTTAACCGGAAGGTTGCGGGTTCGACCCCCGTGGGTAGCGTTCATTTTTCATTTTTTATAATTTTATATTTCTTGATAGTAGTCCAGTATATACGCTCTGGTTATCATACCTTTTTTTTTTTTTTTTTTAAAAAAAAAATTATATATATATAGTTATATCTATATGCTAGTTATAGTGTTGATGAACGGGTTCCTGTCGAGAACACCAGTCCGACAACACTCAGAATCCGATATACAGTCATTCTCGAAATCGCCTTGACTAACATTCACTGAGAAACTCTTTCCTGGCCCCATCGCCTAGACCTTAGCGTGGATCATTTATTGAGCTGGGCGCATTAAACTGAGGGGTTCAGTAAAATGCGCCGTGTATATTACAGTAGGATTTACTGTGGATAGTAGCTTGACCCCATGTGCGACCGGAAATTTGCACAACAGATGTAGGCTTGGCGAAGGATCGGATGCCTGGTGCTGCCTGCCGGCCGATGTCTAAAATCTTTCCTTAACCAACCATAAACGCCATGTTCACTATGCTTTAACTCAGAAACCGCCCCCTTCCAGAAAGAAACATGCTCTCTACGTTACCAGCAGAGCTGCTGCTCTCAATAGCAAGCTATCTTGATAGCCACATGGATACTCTGCGGCTCGCCTCCTGTTGCCGTGCCTTCTATCCACTTTTGTTACCCAAAGTCTTTACATCGCTCGACCTGACAGAGCACCGCAATGGCCACTTGAGTCATCTGGTGCACACATTCGCATTCAAGCCGGCATTAGCGCAAGAAGTGCGCACTATCCGTGTCTCCCATGGCTGGCGGCGGATTTCCGGCGTGCGATATGAACAGGAGGTTATCCTGCCAGTTCTGAAATCAACCCTGGGGCCCGACGACAACCTATCCACATGGGACTGGGAACTACAGAGTCGAGGGAACAATGACGCATGGACTGTCCTGCTTCTGGCCCTCTTGCCTAATCTGGAGGATCTGGTCCTGCAGGTTCATGAATTTTCAAACTACACTCTCGAGTGGATGGTCAAGATTGCCGAAAAAGAAAGCTCTGCCTTGTCTAAATTAAGACACTTCACAGTCGTGTGTTCTGATGTAGATGGTGGCCTCAGCTCATCGCACTTTCTCCCAATACTTCGACTTCCCTCGTTACGAAGCTTTTGTGGCCATATGATATGTGATGGTGGTAGCTCTGATGAGGAATATGCCGAAGATCAAGCGTTCGATGCGGCTAGCTACGTGCCTGACAATGTTCGGTACTCCAATATCACTCATATCCACCTTAAGTCCAGTTGTTCTCGAAGAGGCTTTGCGAATTTGATCGGCGCACCTAAGAGCCTCGAATCTTTCATCTTTGAACATTCCGATAACCCGAATTACGTGGATGATGAGGGGATGTACGCGTCGAGATACTACCCACCATTGCAGAGACATCGGGAGAACTTGCAAACGTTAACACTGACCGACGAGTGCACCAACAATTATACCGCTTACCAGATTCACGACTATGATTACGTCGGATCATTCGCGGGATTCAGTGCGCTGAAGGAACTTCGGCTGCAGATATCTCATATACTAGACTGGGACCGAGACTGGAGTGACCTAAACGAGACATCAAGGAAAAGATTCAGTGATGTTTTGCCTCTATCGCTGGAAAGCCTTATCCTTGATGGTCTAGAGAAAGGGCATACAACTGAACTAGCTGAGGCGTTTAAAGACCTGCTCTTAGGAGGGAAGTATCGCTGCCCAAACCTGACTTATTTAGAGGTCAAGGGAAACTGGATGCATGTCCAGCAGTCAACTGAGGAGTCTAACGCCAAACCTCGTCCTATACCTGCCATGTTAGAGGAGTTTGCGGACTTCAAGGTGGAACTTGAGTTGTTATGTTCGGCTGCGGGAGTTGGGTTTCGTCTACGTGATTTGCATGTTGAGGATATTATCAAGCGGAATGGTTTGTATGGCTTTTGGAGTGATGCTCTATGACTGGGTAGTTAGTCACTATCCGCCCACTAGCAGGAAGAGGTACCATGCTTCGAAAACTCATAAACGCTGACGGAAGTCCTCTACGGCTAACGAAAGTTAATTATTAGAGGTCTATGTTTGGGTGCGCTTTAGTTATATTCAGTCTGGGAGCATAGGGCAACAGCATAATAATAATGGCCGCTGAAACACAACCTAATTGGCCGTGGATGTGATGGATGAGATCGTCTAAACGGCGGCCCACCTATGTAAATGCTTATAGACTGACGACGCCAATCGAATAGGCATATCTGTGCCTTGGCGGATAATAGGGAGGCACTTCGTCGGTCTACGATCTCGACAAGCCCACTAAAAGGTGGCCCAATTATGGATAATAGGATATTGGTTGCTTGTCGTCTGAAATAGCAAGTTGCAAATAGGCTCGCATAATAAAATCTGCTCTTAAGGGCAAGTCTCTTATCGGCAACAATTTCACTCCGGTATCTCTCCATATGAAATAGTTCTGGTCGAGACCTGAGGGCTCCCAAGGTAATAGAAAATGCACGGACCTACGCTTGATGTGGAGAAGGCCTCTTGGCTAGGAGTGATCGAGTGTGTATGGGTCAAGCCGATTTCGAGAATGACTGTATCGCTTGATTCGACAATTATCACTTCCTAACAAGTTAACACATTTTGACATATATGATCCTGCATAGCCTTATGATCAAGGCTTAATGCTTTCGAGCAAATAGGCTAGGAAAAGCTTTGTACTAGACAGCACGTATTAATAAAGTACGTATTTCCTACTAGAAAAACAGCATCCGTTATATGGGCTGGGGATCTCGAGGCAATGGAAAATACTGTAATAAGAGATAGTAATTAGAACTACATATGAGTCCTGACACTGTAAACTGTACAAATATTACTATTCCCGTATCTTCTCCGCGCCCTTCTACCGTTGGAGGACGTGGTGGAGAGAAGATTGCATATGCAGCGTAAATGAATAAGAATACCCAGACACCTGTACAGTAGTATCCATGACTTGGATCGTTTCTTGCATACCTAGAACTTCGAGAAAAATGATACAAAGCCATCAAGACCAGCCTGAATACTGCATATATGCATTCTGTACATCATGTACGCATAAGATGCTATGTACCAAAAGAATAGCTATGTAAACAATAGATTAAGACAGGAAATCCATAAACAAAAAGAAATCCGGGGGATATCAACACTACAGAACTGACTCTCTCAGATAGCCACCAAGCCAGATTGATGCAAAAAATGGAGCAGCGAAAGTAAAAAGCAAATGAACAGCGAGGAGTTAGAGTTGGAGATCAAGCTGCCATAGTAAGGACATAACTGTTAAGCACACCGAGTTAGCAACTAAGATCAGGGCAATAAAGGTGAGTGACAAGGATAAACTCACGAGGTAATAGAATCCATCCGCTCAGTAGTCAACTTCAAACTAACAGTCAACAACTCTCTCGCAATTCGCGGTTCCTTCTCCTGCAAGGCCTTCCACTGCCCACCTGTCAAGCACCAAACCACACAATCCCGCTCAGCCTTAACAGTCGCCGTGCGACGGGTATCACTAAAGAAAGGCAACTCGCCACACGGTCGACCCGCGACAATGAGCTCGAAATAGCGGCCCTGGGGGAGATCATAGCCCGCGCGTAACATGCCCGATTCGAGGAGGTAGAAGGCGCGTGGGGCGTCGCCTTCGTAGTAGAGGACTTCACCCGCTGGGTAGGATTCGCGGGTGAAGTAGGAGCAGGCTGGGAACCAGAAGTCTTCATTTTGGGTTGAGAGGCCTTGGAAGGTTTGGAGGAGAAGGGGGAGGGGTTGGCGCATTGCTGACCAGGCTGGGGAGGCCATAATTGCTGTTTCGTGCTCGCGGATTGTGGTAGTTGCTACGCGTTGGAGGTATTGGCCGCGTGGGGAGTTGACGATTGTGTCGGATAGGGGTTGGGATTCGGGGACTGGGACGGGGACTTGGACGATGGTCGCGGGTGTTGAGGGTTCGGTGGGGGTTAGGAGGGCTTCTTGGCGGCTGTAGAAGACTTTGAGGTAATCGTTTTCGCAGAATTCGAGGGCTGAGTTTAGGTCTTCGAAGATTGGCACGCCAGATTCGGGTTCGAAGAGTCCGACGTTTTGGAGACTCTTGCCTACGTCGCCTTCGACGTTCAGGCCTGAGATGGTTGTTTGCACATTGCGCTTTTTGAGAATGCGGTTGATACGAGTGAATGCTTCTGCGGCTGAGAAGTCGAGACCGTAGACTCGGGAGAAGTCGAGAATAAGGAAGCGAATGGGACGTCGATCAAATGCTTCTTCCTCGATGAGGCCGCGCATGGTATTCTCCACATTGACGATGGTTCCAAAGAAGAGGTAGCCACCAAGCTTGATGATCAGTGTCTGCTGTCCGGCTTCGTGCAAGAATTGCTGCTGAATGGGAGGCCGTCGGACTGTCGACCCTGCGGTCTCACCGGAAAAGGTGGCTCGGATGGCGGATTTGCGAGAAGTCTGGACGACGAAGTTCACACATGCCAGAAGAATTCCAACGAATATTCCAGCTACGAAGTCCCAAGCACCCATAGTGACAACAATAATCACAACAGTCAGATATTCAAGCCGGGTGAGCTTTCCCCAGGTGTCCACCAAGGCTTCCTGCAATAGCTCAATGCCCAGCAAGAAGATCAAGGCACCCACAACCATCACAGGAATGTATCCAATGATAACAGGGCCAATGACCATAACACCTGCCGTGGCTCCAGCCAACATCAACCCCGCCAAGCGAGATTCTCCACCGCTAGCAATGAAGAGTAGACTGTTGGTGTAAACAAGGTAGTTCTGAATACTTCCTGCGAATCCAGAAAGAGCATTTGTCACCCCGTGCGCCACAAGTTCTCTATCAACGTTGACGTTGTCCTCGCCGGTGGAGATTCCCAAAGCGGGGACGTTTATGGGCACATGAAGCACACCAAAGAAGGTCAGCGCAAACATGGCCGGGATTGTCTCGCCAAAAGCAGTCCAACTGACCGCAGAGATATCTAGACTAATCAGCATGGCGTTCTCGAAGGGGAGACCAAATTTGACGCACCATAAAGCGTGTAGAAATGATACCAAGGGTTGTTGGAAGACGGGGCATCAAAGACCCATCCGTTCTGATGCAAGGAGCTCATAGAGATCCTAGCACTCAAAATGACAATGTAAAACACAGCCGCAACTGCAATGAAGTAGCCCCCAACCAAAAAGTTCGAGCGAACGAACCGTTTCAAGAGAAGGAGGCCAATTGCAAGAGACAGGGGAATGATCCAAAGAGGGAAAGTATCAAGATGGAACAGTTTCTGAAGTGTCTCGAGATTATACTCCAGAGACCCAGGAAGCCGGGCTGAGACCTCGACTCCAGTTACCAGAAGAAAGTAGCCAACGCCACCGATACAGCCGATCAGAATGTGACGGGGAAGAAACCAATGAGCGAACCCAGCCCGCACACACCCATCAAGAAGAACACCAAGCCGGTCAAGATTGAACTGACTGAGAAGGCTAGGATCGTTGTTGCAATGACAGATTTGGGGTTGTCTTTACCAATCGAGTTCATGATAGTGAAAGCCATCTGGTGGAAGAAAGGTACCACTTCGATCATCTCGCTTCCAATTCCTCCTTTGAAAATTGACCCTCCACAGGAGAAGACGACTTGGGAAATAATGGTACTGACGTAGAACATCGAGATACCATCGTTTCCTAGGTGGGAGAACAGCGGTTCTCCAAGAGGGAACAAGATCATTCCATAAGATAAGGCATCCAGAATGTTCAATAGAAGACCTAGCAGTACTGCAGGTACCAGACTAGCTGGACGGACCACAGCTTCCTGCCATAGAATGCGCCTATCCCAAGTCTTCGGGTTAGCCAGAGCCCTCGAGTATTTGGCCACCGATGAAACCCCCTTTGTCAAAAAGTTAGGAGACCGAGCGAAAGCCCCCTGGTTCTCGACATCACCAGCACTTCCATAATTCTGTATAGATTTAGACCGTGACTTTGATAATAGCGACGTATGCTCGGTATCTCGCTCGGGTGCTTCGTAGATAGTAGGTGGGGGAGGGAACGACACATCCTCAGTAGCTGATGGCGCGATCTGATCATCGACCACAGTCGAAGGACGGCGAATCATCTCTGTGAGAGCCGAAGAGGCCGATACAGGGTCAACAGAAGCAGAACCGGGATCAAGCGCTTCCCCCATGGCAGTGTGGGAGCTGGAGGCTTCATCCTGGGAGAAACTGCTAGATTTCTGACTGCCGTGGAATATATCCAGACCAGGTGGGAGGCCTGGGCCGTCCCGCAAGACAGACTTTTTGTTCAGTGACAGGCCGTAGGTTGCGAGTTCAGCGGTCTGGTCCCGGAGACCATCTGAGGCATAGTGTGCCGGATCTAAGTATGTACTGTCAGTAGTCCGTCGCGCGGTCAGAAAGCAAAGCTGCACAGTGACCCACCCATATTGCTGTTAAATGAACGGTGATAGAATGATCGACTGGGGGTTCGCCTCGACCCATTGTAACTGGATGATTCGGCGCCTATTGGGCCAGGCGAGCTGGCCAGGTTTGCATGTTCCACCAGTGACTCTGGTGACAGTGCCATACCCTGGTCACGGTCGAACGTCAGGTTGCGGACGGATGCGGGAGAGTCGCGACGTCGGGGTTGCAGCACGCCCATCGCGCAATTGTCCAACGGGGGAGAACCTTTCGGAGGATAACCCGATTAGTTAAATGACGCCACGGACATGGTTAGGGGATGTCCTAGATATAAAAGAGAACAAGGGAACGAGGAACAAGAGACCCTCTGTTATCAACTCCAATTAGCAAACATAAAAAGGATTCGGAGTTTTGACTAAAGCTCTTATCTGCGGGGCTAACCATATCCGGCTTGGCTGGCTGGACCGTGCGGATAGAACAATCTACCTAAACATCCATGCGACTTCTCTAACTGCCTATTGGTACTTTTGTTAACTTACTTATAACTAACTCTGCTTCTGGCCTTAGTAATATTAGCATGCAGCAAATAGCTGCTCCGTTGTCGGACACGCTACCTAGACGTGCATGGATCGGCAGTTGCATATGCATAAGCGTTGATGTCCTACAGCTTAACTGGCTAAAAGTACCGACGCTCAATGGCGCCATGATCTTCATAGATTCCACCCTGTCGTCTTACGCAACACATCCAACCTTGGGGGCATATAGGTATATATCTCGAGTCATGTCATACACACTACTGAACTCGTTCCACCTATTACAGTAAATGCAGAAATCAATTGGGGCCGTTAGCTCAAGACGCTAACGGCGGGGTATCTCAATGTACATGCTCCCCATAGCCAACGCCATAAGCCATCCTCATAACCCCATACGGAGTACATTCAACATTCAGCTCAATCGCTCCAGGAATCCCTGAGAAATCAACCTCTCCACATCTCCCTGTCGAACATAGAGTTGACTATTCTTTGTCAAGTTGATCACACTAAAAAGAACGAAGAAACAGAGAAACAGAGTTAGCAAAGCAAAGCACACCATAAACCTAAACCACCAATCATCCCCCAGAAAAAGGAACATGAAAAACCAATAGAAATAACATACCCATACTCCGTCTGAATCTCTCCAGCATCCTTTAAAACCCGCACATCAATAAAAAGATCCCTAGGCGGCTCCAATGTCCCCGTCAAATCAATATCCGTCCACTGGCCCTTATATGCAGCAAGCATATCCCCATATAACCGGAAATACTCCTCCTCCTCAGGACTGAGGGAGCTATGTCCACCCCCACCCCCCAAAGCCGTAGACGTAGCATTCTGCCCGCCAACACCAGCGCCGCCCTGCTCAGCGTGCTGTTGCTGCTGCTGCTCGAGAATATCAACACCAAGCCAACACAACTCCTCCAGTTTCTCCGTGCGCACGCGGTGGTAGGCGAGCAGGCAGCGCTTATTACGGCGCATGCAGAGATGGTCGACTAGCAGGGCGCAGGCGACTGCTGGGTCGGTGGAGGGGTTGAAGGCGCCTTCGAAGGGGGCTAGGAGGCGTGTGACATCTCGGTCTAGATCGCGGACTTCGCGGGTTACGGCGCGCACTATTTCTGTTTGGTAGGCGGGGAGGTGGGCGAGGGATTGGGTGCGTTTGGCGTGTTGGACCTATTTGGGTTGGTCAGCCATTTTTGGTTTGGTGGTGGATGCGGTGGCGGTGGTGGTTTGGGGAGGAGTGTAGAGCGGGATGTTTGAGAGCGTTGATCTGGTTGGATTAGGCTTACCAGTTTGTTGCCGAGTTCGCCGTACATCGTGGCTACGCGGTCGGGGTCCAGGTGAGAGACGCGACTTGGGTGATCCATTTCGGTGCCAAGACATTTCTTAGTCAGTGATCGGCGCTTGGCGATATCCATGGAGTTTGTAGATTGGATAGAAAGCTGAATATCAATGATTGTGATTTATTCAGCAAAGTTGAATCTGAGATATTCGAGCGAAAGCCAATTTGAGAGGAGGTGGAAAGAGCAAACTTCTGCCTAAAGTCTAGGTCAACCCATTTCGAATCTACAACCACAACAGGACGTTAATCTCATTGCATACCAGGATGAACATGATAAAACTAATACTGCATAGAAGCCCGCATCTGGTTATACCCAGCCTGCGTAACAGGCTCATACTTCGCAGGCAAGTCATCCCTCATACAAGACGGGATACACTCAATGACCGAATCAGGATCCGGAGCCATAAAGTACGGAATGGAAAACCGACCCCGAGTCATACGCCGAGGACCCTCAAACCTATCCTCAAGAGGGGGCAAAGTAACCCGATGGTTCGTAGACCGAAGAATATCTACCCCGAGTCAGCATTCACTACCAAAAAGAGAACTTACACATGTGAGCGAAAACAAACCATTACTCCACATCTGCAGCAAATCCCCCACATTCATCACAATTGCGTTCTTGATAGGTGTTGCGGGTATATATGATCCCGGTGAGGTGATATCCTCCACTTCCAGGCCGCCACAGTCATCTTGGAATAACATGGTGATCGAGCTCCAGTCCGTATGCGCGGGACATCGAGCTGCGCGGTTTGATTCGATGGTCTCAGCGGGGATGGGTGGGTAATGTAGTAGACGGAGCTGGTTGTTGTGGCCTGAGTGTTTCTCTAATAGGTGGTTCTCATCCAGATCGAGGCCGATGGCGAGTACTTGCAGGATCTCGCCTCCAACGCGAAAACATTCCCAGTAGAAGCGTAGCATAAAGTCTCGGAATCCGGGGAGGCTTTCTTCGGGTAGCCATTGATTTGGCTGGGATTGGTTTTCATCGCTGCCTATATCATAACTTTCCTGTTGCAAGTTAGTTGTGCTATCAGATGGAGAAAGATATCGACTATCATGCACACAGAGAACAAAGACAGCGAAAATAGACAGGCTCACTTTAATATCCGGTATCTCCCTCAACTGCTCAGTCACCTCTTCATCAACCCCGGTACTCATGGTCTGTGATACCTTCTCCAGTCCAGGCCACGAGTATCCTCGATGTACAGCCCAACCTGGTGGATGAGGCGCCTTGAGTTTTTCATCCTGTGCCAGCTTGAAAAATCGCTCTGACCAGTGGAATGCTTCGCCTAATATCGTCTCTGGCAGTGAATGGTTGGTGATGTACACAAACCCCACCTCCTTGCAAGCGGTGACGATCTCTTGCGCGACTCGCTGGCGGCTTGTCTCGTTTGTGTTCCAGTTGGAAAAGTCCACGATAGGGATGCTGGGTTTGGGTTTTGGGGATGTCATGGTCTATGGCTCTTGATGCGGTTTGATATTGGGATGGTTGTGGGTCGGATTAAGCGTATCTAAAGAGAATGATTGGGAGGGTACTGTAGATCTCCGGTGAGACACCCTCAGATCTTAGATGTTCGGGGTTTGTTCGTCCAATGGTGCTCCTCGTGTAACTGGACACTTGAATCTAAAATGTCTAGATTATGTGTCCGGAAAAGTTTAAGAATGGAAAAGTTTGTTGCCTTCGATGTAACATACTTTTAAGTCAAGTTTAGATCTATATCTATAGGTTCTCGCTTTCTAGCAAAACAGCTTAAATAAAGGATCTCCACCCACAAGAAATTACTCGGAGTACAGTAATCATACTGTTGGAAATAGAAACGCCTCTCTTTCCTACGGGTTGTGGGGTTGAATGGGCTGGGCAAGCAAGCCATAGCTGGTAAGGGACACTAGGTTTGGCAGGGCGAGAACATATTCTGGATTGCATAGCTGGAGGGATCAATTTTTTTTTCCTTAAAAAGAATATTGTACGGAGTAGATAATTAATTAAAACCAGCCATTCGGATTTCCGAGACATGGAGTATGCGGTGAAGCGTTGGGCTAAAGAAAGGCCATTGTGCCCAGGTGGACACGGGTCGGGCTGCGGTTGCTAGGGCAGTCCCGGTGGAGGGAGATCGTGAGACGACATCATTTCTCTCTTGATTTCAGGTTAACTTGAGGATCATATTTCATATTCTGCACAAACCGTAAGTTCCAGCTCTTTTTTTCCTATCGATCTTTCAATCTCGCACTCAGGGGCTCAACGCTAATCTTACTCCTTTGAGTAGTCTGTTGACACCCGAGTCCAACCTCCCCATAACGTTAACTCTCATAACGACGAAACGAACATTAAAACAAAACCCCTCGAGACACTTAAACCAACCAACCCCAAATCGACCATTCCAACCCCGCCATCACAAGAATGCGGGCTCCCCAGTGGCTCTGGATAACAGCCGCATTCCTCCCATCAATCGCCCACACCACACCAACAGAACCCTTCACACCAGCCACAAACGCCGAAGCGAACAAACGAGCCTTCGAGGTCCTCCGAATTCTAAGACGAGCAGACAACAACTGCCCTTCAGGCTACAATCCCTGCACAGACCTTGGCAACTCCAACGCATGCTGTAAACAAGGCACGAACTGCTCGCGCGATGCAGCCAACAATATCGCCTGCTGCGCAACCGGCGCAAGTTGCACAGGCAGTCTAACCGGATCAACAACGACAACGGGGACCGGGACAGGGACCAGCTTCATGTTCCCGCAGACCGCATCCGCGACCGCGACGAGCGGGGACTCCGCTTCTACTTCTTCGATTACCGGGTCGACGATTGACGGCGCCTACCCGTTTGTTGCTGTGCCAACTGCCTTTTCCAATCCGCAGTCTTGCTCGTCGTACTATTCGCTCTGTCAGTCGGAGTATACGCAGTGTACGGGGGCGTTGATGGGGCGGTATGCGGTTACGATTGGGGGTGCTGATGGGGCGGGCAAGACTGTTCAGGCTGTTACGGCTGTGTCGCAGGCTACTTCTATTTGTTCGAGTTTGAGCGTTGAGGCGTGTCATGGGCTTAATCTCGGGTATTGTAGTTCTGTTGCTACGCAGACTGGGGGTTCTGAGGCTAGCGGTAATGCTGCGCCGGTAAGGAATTCTAGTCTTCAAGATTTGGTGCTGGGGCTGGCTGTTGGGTTTGCGGGGATGTTTATATGATGCTATGATGGATATGGATGAAGGGTTTTTGTGTTATATATTTCTTTTTTCATGTTCATTTTTTGTCTTATGGAGTCATGGGCCCATGTCTGGACGTTTGGAATTTGGCTGCAGGTACAGAGTACTCGATCGGATCGTCGGGGCTTGAGTACCATTGGGCCAAACGGAATTGTCCATAGAGGAATGAAATTGGCCCAAATTATGAGACTGAGTCATTGGGTCAGAATATTGGGCATTGTGTTTCGAACATACGCTAGAATCGCAATGTAGAATGGCGGTGTTGATCTGATTGCTGTGCAGTGGGGGAATCTTTGCATCTAATCCGTCGATCGGCGTTGAGATGATGCAGGAGAGACACGTTCAGGGCTTGTTTTCCAGAGTAAAAATAGTATTGAACGAATGAGAGTAATCAGTTAACCGGGTTGGACACGTTAAATCCGAAACCCCAGCCTCCGGTAAAAAAAGACGGTCGGGTCTTAGGGTGAAGCGTTAGCAGGAAATCGGGTGGTTGGGTAGAGGCTGGGGAGCACAACTACTCTGTGACTGTGATTCTGTTACTCACACTTCTCTTTTCTTCTTCCATTCTTTGTCCGCATTCCATCTTTAACATTCAAGATCTCCCCGTTGGCTTGAAGTGTGGATCTACAGAAGACCGCTCAAGTACTGTATACCGGGTGAGATAAGACCGCTAGTGCTGAGCACCTCCGCTCTCCAGCACAAACGCCAAACGACAAACCCCTCGAGATTGAACATATTCACTGGGCCTATACCGACTCTCTGCGAGCACTGCTTCGCTCTTTGTTCGCAATGCGCTCTTTATCCGCCCTCCCCGCGCTCTCAACGCTAGCCCTACTTCTCACCTACTCGCTATTTACTACCGCAACCCCGCTTGCACTGGAGGAAAACGTCCTTGAAAAGCGCTGTGCAAACCCCTGTGGTTACAACGACTGGCTTTGCTGTGAAGCCGGGCAAACATGCACAACCAACAGTGAGAACCAGGCCGTCTGTGCAAACAGCGGCAGCGGCGGTGGAAGCTACCAATATTTCACCACCATCTACACGCTCACCGAAACCGACAAATCCACCATCACCTCAGTATGGAGTAGTCAAATCGCCGCAGCTACCAGCACAGGCACCTGCAGAGTCGACCTCGGCGAGACGAAATGTGGCACGAGATGTTGCGAGGCCGCGCAGGAGTGTGATAACGGTGAATGTGTTGCAGAGAGTTCTTCCGTTGCAATCACTGCCACAGAATCAGGCGCAGAGGCTACACCCGGAGTGCGACAGACGAGTAATGGCGCCAGCACCGTCACGCAGACATCGGCACCCACCACGACCGAGGGATTCACCGCGCCTGTGGGAACGGACGGGGCAGACTTGATCGGAGTCAAGGCTGCAAGCAGTGGCGGAGGATTGAGCGGTGGTGCAATTGCAGGAATCGTCATCGGCACGATTGCCGGTGTTATCTTGTTGCTGCTCCTTTGCGCCTGCCTGTGCTTCAAGGGTGCCATCGATGGCCTGCTTGCTGCCCTCGGATTCGGCAAGCGCCGCAAGAGAGAAACGACTTATGTTGAAGAACGACACTCGCACCATTCGCACGGCAGTCGACCTCCTCCTGCGGGCCGGACGTGGTTCGGAAGCAGACCTCATGCGGGAGGAAGTGAAGTCAGCGAGAAGAAGTCCACCTTCGGCTGGGGAACCATCGCCATTGTTCTGGGTGCCCTTGCTCTCTGTCTAGGATTGAAGAGGCGCAAGGATAGAGACCACGATGACGATAAGACGGAATCTTCATACCCGAGCTCGTACTATTACTATTCCGATTATTACACGAATAGTACGTCTGACCTCCATTCTGATCAACGAAAGATCTTTGCTGACGATCCTCACAGGTAGCGCTAGTTCGGACAGACGAACTCGCGATACGCGACGATCCCGACGATCGCGCACTCGCTCGGGCCGTTGATGATGGATATCTCCATCTGAGATGAACAGGGACCCCTGTCTCTTTCGCCTACTTTTCTCTTGCTATGCCGATATTTCGGCCTGATTATGCATTTATGGCGCTGATGTTAAAACGTGACATGTATCACCACGACTTACCTGATGTTTTTGTCTCTTCTTTTTGGTTTTGATTTGGGATGGATGATATGATTGCTTTTTCAATGTCGATATGAGGCAGTTCGATATGAGATTTTCATCCCTGTCGAGGGCACGTTGCGATGTACATATGACATTACGAGCACAAACTGGACATGATAATATGATTGAATCTTTGAATGAGATGAGATGAGTTGGGCATTGGTCGGTGTATTAGTAAGGTACTCTTTTCGAATGTTGAAGATCGAGTAGGACATCGGCATTAGATATCAGTCGGAAAAAGTTAGCTTGCACATGGAAATCGGAATGGCTGCAGAGAGCAAGCAGCTGCAGAGATCAGGACTGGCCTTGCAGGTACAATGTGCTCTGTTCGCAAGAATATGACCGGCAATCTGCATTGGTACGGAGCCCTAGAGGATCTCTTCCAAGTCGATAATCTCAGATAATTAAATCGCTATTGCAGTACTGTAGAGCTGTAAAGCAAATGGCCAGACAGTCTTCGGATTGGGGAGATCTCCAAAAAGCGGCCACACAAAGCGTTAGGGAGACACTTCTCCCCGCCTTCACTTCCGAACTTCTCTTCCTTTCCCTCCCTCTCTACCTTATTTCTCTCTTCAGCCTCGCATCATCAATGATTTTAGTTTCGGGATTAAACTCCTGACGCTATATCTCTACTTCGTCCTATACCCTTAGAGCCTATTTTGCCCTTTGCCGCTTTTGAGTCCGATCCTTCGGATTATTACGAGTCCCCGACTCATCACCGACCACCATGCTCCAAGCGCAGAGCCAGCAACACGTTTTCTCCCACCAGCATCAGTATCCCCAGGCTGATCCCTCGTGGCTTCAGCACCAACAACAGCAGCAACAGCACCATCAGGCCCAGCCGCACCCACACCAGTCGCAGCAGCAGCACGCTTCCTTAGTCGCCCAGCAGCACGCCCAGGTGCAGGCTGCTGCCGCCGCGGCGCAGCAACAACACTATGGACGCCTTGCCATGAACGGCAACGGCGCTGGTAATCCCGCGCAGGGAGCCGGCGGCGCCGGCAGTATGGGTGGAGAGGGTCTGTCGAATGCGGTCTCCGTCATGGATGGCGGAATCAGCGAGGAGAATCGCAAGGTCTTCATTTGGGTCGCCGAACTGTTGGATCCAACTCGCAGAGAAGCCGCTTTGATGGAACTGAGCAAGAAGCGTGAACAAGTCCCCGAACTGGCCCTTGTCATCTGGCACTCTTTTGGTATGCCTCCGATTTCACCTTGGCCTACGTCTATCCACCCTTGTCGATGGAAACTAACGGTCGGCAATTTGCAGGTGTCATGACTGCGCTCCTTCAGGAAATTATCTCAGTCTATCCGCTTTTAAACCCTTCTCAGCTGACGGCTGCCGCTTCAAATCGAGTCTGCAATGCGCTGGCGCTTTTGCAATGTGTCGCATCCCACAACGAGACCCGTACCCTTTTTCTGAATGGTGGGCGATATCTCTTATGTTTAACGCGAGTGCTTTGGCTAATCGTTTTCTCGTACAGCTCACATCCCTCTCTTCCTCTACCCCTTCCTCAACACCACCTCCAAGTCCCGCCCTTTCGAATATCTCCGACTAACATCGCTGGGCGTTATCGGCGCATTGGTGAAGAATGACTCATCCGATGTGATCAACTTCCTTCTCACAACCGAGATCATCCCTCTTTGCCTTCGTATCATGGAGACTGGATCGGAGCTGAGTAAGACTGTCGCAATTTTCATTGTACAGAAAATCCTCCTCGACGATGTGGGATTGGGCTACATCTGCGCCACATATGAGAGATTCTACGCAGTGGGCACTGTTCTCAGCAACATGGTCACCCAGCTTGTCGAGCAACAGACCGTCCGCCTACTCAAGCATGTTGTGCGCTGTTTCCTTCGGTATGTCCTTCTACTCTCCTCTCACGACACTTTCTAACGCAGACATAGTTTGAGCGACAACAGCCGGGCCCGAGAGGCTTTGCGGCAATGTCTCCCCGAGCCTCTTCGGGATGCCACGTTCTCTTCGGTCCTCCGCGACGACGCAGCCACCAAGCGCTGCCTGGCTCAGCTCCTCATCAACCTGTCCGACAACATCTCAGAGGGAGCTCCGCCAGCCATGTAAAATACGAAAAGCATCTGTTTCTTTCTCCCCGAAATATTCCACCTTATGATATGCATGGGAAAGGCTACTGGCGATTAACGGTCACAAGGCGCAAAGTGTGGGTGAAGAACTGGATGGGTCCAACGCGTGAGATATGTCGTCGATTGAGGGCATCGGGTCCACCATCTGTTTTCTCTTCATTCCTGGTTGTTTCTCTCTTTTCACCGCATTTATATTGGGTCACTTAAGGGTTCGGTGATATGTATGCGTGATCGTGGTTCTAATGTATTCTTGTGTCTTCTTTTTTCTTTTTTCTATCTTTGCTTCTTTTTCTTTGCATCTTGCTTTTGGGAAATATGCTACCTTTCTTTCATTCTTTCTTTCATTCTCTCTTCACTGTTTTTCCTTTCCGACGCTGTTGCTGTCGGGTGGCGCGAATTCTGGTCGGCGCTGTCGTCTGTGTGCATTTTCTCCTTGTCTTTGACAAGGTTCAACTGCTCTGTGTGAGATAGACCTTTGAGCGAGAGATACCAAAGATCCAGGCGTCTGCTTCTCTTTTCTGTCTTGTCTGTGTATACGCGAGTGTTTTTAAAAGCATGAATGAATTTATCTTCAATGAGTATTCTCGGTCTTTTAAGAACAAGTCTACGATTGACTTCCTGTATCGGCTATTGGATGATTAGCGCGCAGGATTTAGCTATGTCCACGTCTACTGAGATGTACTTGTCACCATTGCAGCTAAAGGGATAGCAGTAAGATGTTAGAACTGCGCTCGAAGTTAAATACTTCGATATAGAAGATAAAACTGCATTAGATATAAAACCAAAGCTATTATCTCAGGTAGTCTGCTTGACCTATTAACCATCAATTAGCATAATATAGTCCAATATCCCCGAGAATCCATCATGAACAGCCACCAATTTTCAAACGCGACCATCACGTGACTCCGTTCTCAACGCGCCTTGCCCATCCGCATCGCCTCCCAAAAAAAAGCCCTTAACTATCCGCCCTACTTAGTGATCATTTTGGCATTTCGCACGCCTACCCATTTTATGACTGTCATCTACTCCGTGTGTTCCATATCCACCCAAATTCCACCTCAGTGGACCCCCCAGTCGACCACCTAAGAACCCCGGCCCTACGGCTGTCCCGCCGCGATGGGATCGCGAAAGCGCACCCGCTCCGAGGCCATCCCCATGGACCAAGACGCCCCGGAAGAGCAAGGCCTGCTCACCCAAATACGGAATACCTGGGAATTTGCAAGTCTCATGCAGTACATCGCCATCTTTGGCCAGGTGATGAAGATAGACGAGGAGTTTGAAATCGAGGTATGTTCTACGGCGCCAGCCCATCGCATGCGGTAGAATCTATGCAGCGCACTGTTGTCGCATTTGATATATCGACCTACAGCGACCTCCCTCGTCCGGTCGGAATCAAGCTGACAACCTGCCCTTTTGCTCATTTCCAGGATCTGGAGACCGAATGCCTCAAACCTGAACCCTCTCATAAACTTTTGGAAATTGGATTGTGTCTGCTCAAGTGGATCTCGTCGCATCGCGGCCTCACGTATGTTACATATATCTTTTTGCGAGACTGAGACTGGGACTGGGACTGACTGCGGCCTTGTTGGCAGGTATGAGAATTTCGACGAGTACACCCGCCGCCAATACAATGCGAAAGCTCCCAATACTACCAACCCCTTTGGATATGATGAGGAGCCGAAGAAGTTTATGGATTTTGATGTTTTCCTTAAGCTTCGTGTTCTTCATACGTTGACAACTTGGACTTTTTGGAACGCGGACCGTATTCGCGACAAGATGCCTGAGAAGAGGGAAACTGATCAGCTGGAATGGGTGAGTCGATTGTCTCCTGGAATTGAAGTTTGATTATCGCTTGCTGACATCTGCTAGCGCATTGAAGAGTTTGGTTGGGATCGCGAAGGGCGTTCATACTACGTTCTAGATGACAACCGTTTGTACCGTCGCACAGATCGTCCTGCCCCTCCCCCCTTCAGCGACCAAAGAAGAAGGCGAAGGGTAAATCTTCTCGATCCTCTCGAGCGTCGAAGCGTGCTTCCACGGCAGCTGCGGAAGATGGATCCGACGAGGAGAACAAGGATGCGAACAATGAAGATCCCGCTGTGGCCTTCGCTGAGGACCCTTTCAAGTGGGAGTGTCTTGCCGTCACTCTCGAGGAATACCAGGCTTTCTTGGAACCGCTCCAGAAAACCAAAGATGCGGACGAGAAGGCCCTCCGGTCTAGCATTGAGGAGCACATCTTGCCTATCCTAGAGAAGGCCGAGGAGGCGTTGCAGCGCAAGCGTGCCAAGCGTGACAAGGAACTTCTGAGCTTGCAGCTTGTCGCGGGTGCCAAGCGGTCAAGCCGACTTGCTGCTAAACAGGAACACGAGCGACTTGAACGAGAGACTATCGAGGCCGCTCGGAAACATGAACATGATTTGGCCGAGGCTCGCCGGGAACAGGCCAAGCATAGCCAGCTCGAGGATGACCGCCAATCTCGTATGATGACTCGCGAGCAGCGCATCAAGGACCGTGAGCAGAAGCGCATTCTGCACGAGGCAGAGCTTGAGCGCATCGCCGAGGAGCAGGAGAGGCTGGAAAAGGGCGAGAGCAGGGCCTCTGCTCGGAACCTCAAGGCTGAGCTAGAAAAGTCGCAGAGGAACTTAGCGCAGCTTTCTCAGGATGACCAGTGGATCTTTGATTGCTCTGGTTGTGGGGTGCACGGGGAGAATTTGGTGAGTTCAGCTCCTTGACATGTATACCTAGGTAGTGTATCTGGGGCTGACTGTTTCACAGGATGATGGGAGCCACAGCGTTGCCTGCGAGAAATGCAATGTGTGGCAGCATAGCAAGTGCCTCGGTATTTCGCAACAGGCGGCTGAAAAAGACGACTTTCAGTTTGTCTGCCTTGATTGCAAGCAGAAGGAGCAAGATGCCAACAAGCCCAAGCTTCCACCTCTGAAATTCCGTGTCAGCGCTTCGGCGTCTCCATCAGCTTCTCCGTCTGTCGGCAAGAAGCGTAAGCTGGAGGATGAAGATGATCAGATGCCGCCTTCGCCTGTGAAGAAATCCCATACAGCTCTATCCAACATCCAGAACAATCCCCCAAGGACGCAGCCTTCTCTTCTGCCCACCCATAGCCACGGCCACTTCTACCCTCCACCCTCGCCTCAGCGCCCTGCCCATCACACAAATCAGACACCCTTGCCGTCTTCAAGCCCTCCCCGTCCACCATTTTCTCCTCCCAAGGGCATGAATGGTCTGCTACATTCTATGGAACAGAACCCCCGACCTAGCTCTGCTCAGCACCCTCTGCCGCCTATGAATACGGCCCCTCACCTTCCTCCCATCGGATCTTTCCAATCCGTGCGACCCTCATCCTCTCACTCTAACCAGAGCCCCGTTCAGAACCAGCCGTCCATGTCGCCTACGCAGGGTAATCCTGATGTTGGCCCTCTCGCAGGCTTCCCTTCTGTCGCTCCGCGTCACGCCTCGTCCCCGTGGAGCTCCTATGATACCCATGCGACTCCGCGCCCCCAGTCTGGCCATGGAGCCACCAACTTCTCGGCGATGTCTCACAACTACCCATCTTTCTCTGCCGCCACTCCCAACGGCAACCACTCCTCACCTCCCCAGAGCTCGCACGGCCTGATGTCAGGAATCAGCCCGACCAAGCAGTCTCCTCGCCCGGTGACTTCTGGTAGCATGGCAGGCGCTCCAGTGCTGCCGCCCATCCGCCGATTGGAGCCGAGCCCTAAGCTCATGGGCCGCAGCTCCCCGGATGCTCCTATTCCTCCCCCAGTGAAATGCATGACTCCTGAGCAGGAAGAACGCCGCCAGAGAGAGAATGCCTCGAGGCTACACCACGCCCATGGCTATTCCAATGGCCAGCATCTGATGTCGTCGCCATCCCTGAACCGCCTTCCTCCCTTGGGTTCTGGCGCTGTGTCTCAGTACCCTGACCCATCGCCTCAGCGTGGAAGCAACGGCCATGATCAATAAAATCCCTGTACAACTGTGAGGATCAGAGTGTTCCCTGCTACTGATCCTACAATTCTGTCCTTCGGGATCTGCACATCTGGATATGATTTTGATGCTCAATATTCCTCAATGCGACTCGGAATGCAGTCAATTCAATAATAAAAAAAGAAAACAAAAAAAGAGGCCTGTGCTTTCCAATTGTTTTTTTGACGTCTATACTAGCTTTTTCACAAACCGGTTGTGGGCGCGAATGGTATCCACGCGGAGTTGTTTTCCTTAACGTTCATCCGGATATTATATCCACTGGACGACACCTCAACAACCCAACCTCGCCAATACTTGAAACGAACCATTTGGCTTTGATCTACAGGCAATTGTGCTCTGTTCTGTCTTCTCAAAAGTTCTTTCTATTGCAGAAGGCTTCTCGATGTACCTGTGTTTGATAACAAGTTTCCTCCTTCGTTGGTGTCTGGACCCCCGTCTTGGGATTAAATTTGAATTCTTTCTCTGCATTCTCTTGGGGTATCTGGGCTCTGTTATGAGCTGTTGATGGTTTGGCGTTTACATTTATTTTCTATCTGGTTTCTTTTCTTCTTTTTCACAATGCATTAAGATGGATGGGGACTCGAACGGCGTTTTTTGAGATGGTCTGGCCCTGGGTGCCAGGTGATTTGGTGGGCTAGGGCATGTGTATTCTAATAGACGATTTATTTGATTACAGTCTTAATTGTTTATTTTATAGGGAGTGTGTGGAATGTAGTCAAGATATATATTGTGACAGTATACTTGTGGTTCCAGGGAGGAGTCGATAGCAAACCAAAATCAACGCTACTTTTCTAGTTTCACATCTAGTATATTTTGAATCATACAAACACATAGAATAATCATATTATGCCAACCCCGGTTAAAGGAAATGCTACCTACCAACAGCATATACTGCACCTCTCTCCCAGAACGTACAATGCCCAGCCCCGATGTAAATCAGCCGACAACATGACCGACATGTATCTCCACCTGCAATGCCCAACGCAGTCCTGCCCAGCCTAACAACGCCATACAACGCCTACTCCAACGCGGTAGCCGAGCACAGCTCTAACCCACGCCCATTCCTGCACCCCGATTCCTTTTACCTAAAGGCAATGATAAATACAACAATCAGGGGAAACAACCATCTAGCTCCAGACTAAAACACGGACGAAATTAAGAACCTTCCCTTCCTGTATTAGGCCGTCTCCAGAAGGGATACGCAAGTTAGCGCTATGCAGATGCCCGAGACGTTTGTAAATCAAATCAGGCGCGCTAAAATCGTAAAATCCTTCCTCGAGACAAAAATACGCCCCTAGCCCTGTTTTGTCCGCTCCGACATGCGGCGCAGTCAGCTTTCTTGGCGCTAATTCGATGCGGTCGATGTAGATCACGCACTAACTGGCGCGGTGTTGGCTGCTGTACATGTTATGTGTACCTGTAGCCCCCTTGTCTGACAGCAAGTCCGTCAGTGAAGGGTTAAGCCGGGGCGTATCTTGATAGTGGTCAATATACCTATCTAAAAAGAATAAAATATGAATGAATAAATAGATTAAATGAGATTAAAACTGAAAAAAAGAAAGAAAAGAAAAAACGAAGCAAAAAAAGACAAAAGAAAACGAGAGCAAGACAGGTCTTCGACCCGTTTCGATCCTCGTTACGAGCTCTGAGTTCAACAGTCGATAGTTCCCCCACTTTGACCACAGTCTCTCCAGAAGTAGATCTGTGGATCGAAGGAGTCGAATCATGAGGCAAAAATATAATCGCTTGACAGGTACAAGGACCGTTGGCTGATCCCCGAACTGGCGCGGATCATTACTGATCTTACAGTGGAGAAAACAGTCGAGGCTCGCGCGCGGATGAAATCCGAAGGTGGAAATGGGAAAAGGGAAATGAAGCTCCACTACCCTGGGAGAATAGATATGCTACGCTCGAAGGATAAAATAAACAGCGGCATCGGCCTTTTCGGTGTCTAGAGAAGGATTTGTAAAAGAAGCTAAACTTGTTGGATCTGCAATCTCCGATGCAATTACGATCAGATGCGTCTCCACATATGCAGCTCATCAACTTAGTAGTGCTCTTCAATTTTATAAGTTCATAAAGCCGGCAAGTCACGATATGTGGCGTTCCGGAACTTGGCCCGGCCAGTCGTGGGGTGTCCGCTTCCCGCATATCCGTGGATTTTTCAATAGTTTGATAATATTAGCAGTTGAATGCCTGTCTGTATATAGTATACGTCACGATTATCTTAGAACATCGAGACATGGTGGCCAAAAGTTTCGCGGCAATTCCGAAGCATTTGTCACGGTCAAAAATTCAATCTCAGACACGCAGCCGACTGAAGCTAACTGTTAGATCAAGACAATTGCATTCGCGTTTAAGATAGTCTTTTTTACTCTTGATGGGCCCTACATAGCAAAGGAGCGCTTATACCCGGGGTATAGATTGAACGTCTAGCAATCCTATATCGAACATACCAACTACATCTATATCTCAGACCACTATACGCTGCCCAGTGCCTCAGCAAGTCTCCCGCCTGAGCTCCAACTCAACTCTAATCACCCCGGACATAACCGGCTTAAGCGGAAATGGAGAAGAAGCCTCCAATCCGATCAAGAGAGCTCACTAGGATTTGCGTGATGAACCCAGTCATTTTCTTTTCGTGGCGCATACAGAGATCGTATCCGTTTCCACCGCAGAAGTAAGAGGGCACACACTCTACGCGTCTAGACCACAGGTAATACCCGTACAGTACCTCATCTTAGCGCCAAAAGATGTGGATCTAGCCAAAAGGCGCCGTTAAATGTGATGACTATCACATACCCAGCCACGATCTCCCATTGCCGCCACCGGTCTCCGATCTTCTAAGGCCGAGTGACCTCCGGGGGCCCCTGAATCTGTGAAGCTCGGACCCTTTGCCCGTTATTTGCCTGGTTCGAGTAACTCTATCTGCAGATCCGGCTTGTTCTGTTTTCTGTGTTCTGTAGGGCTAACTGTTCAATACAGTATGCCCCTCTTCTGTCGGACTACCGTTGAGCTCCAGATTTCAGGTGACCGTCCTCTCATGCGATTGATGCAGCGTCTAGCGCACTGACTGCAGGGGTCTCGCTGGACTTGGCCAATCTTCCGACGAGCTCGGCCGAAGCGGCCGATGCCCCCGTGTCAGGTTGCCTTCGCCTCTCGGCTAATGGTAAGTAGATCAATGGTCACTGTGTAGTTTGCAATCTGGTTAAGCGGTCATTAGGTTAGGTTTGGACTCATTTGAGATCTCCGAGCTCAGAACTCCGGACTCCTTCCGGAAGTGGCACATCCAGATTAGCTGAAGCTGCATTTAGCTTTCCACCCGATATTCAACTTCTGCCTCTACCTCTCGGCGCCGAAAAAGATATACGAATGGATTCTCATAAGACTATCCGAAAGCTGCCAATATAGGCGAGTGAAAGCCTAAAAAGAAACATAATATCATGATTCGTGCCAAATGTTATGATATTCAGGTCTGACACGGATTCCAGCCGCGACGGGGCGTAATTAGAGTCACAACAACCAAAAATGTGAACACGACTCCCCCTTCGAGACACAAAAGCCAGATTGAGAAAAACACATTGGAGCATCAACGATATGAAGATCGACACCCGTTACTGACGCTATTCACAGCTAGTGGCCACCGGCACAAAAGAAAACATACAAACATTTTACATACATGTACATGTAGACCAGAAACAGCATAGTTCATAATTACAAGCGAATATGGCGTCTGGACAAGAAATCCGATTAATGAGAAGCATCCACGCTAACCCCAACTCCGGCACTGCAGCTGCTCTGCGCAGTATGGTAGAAAACCGTTGATCGCCTAGCCAGTCGTGGGCTATGATGGTTGTTGGATGATAATACTGACGTGTGCCTACTGGCCATACTGTAGATTCTCGCCGGCAGTTTCCTCTTTCGAGCTTAGAAGCGTCTGCCACCCCTGCTGCTTTACCTTTAGAGACCGTGGCTGCGCAGCTGGTTTGCTTTGCAATAGCGGTCTGAACATGTCCATGGCTTTGATAGCCGATGATGACTCTTGCTTCTTTACCGCTGTCTACTGAGCAGGGATCTGATAGGGTAGTTTGGGGTCAATAGGGCTTGAAGGCATCACTGTGATGTCGAATGGCGATCCTGATTTGCGTGAATTTTCTGGTAGGCATGTCAACCCCATGTCTTCCCCTCTCCACCTCTCTCCATTTAACTGGCCACACAGGGCAGAGCGCGGCATACTGGGGTGCTACAGATGGGCTTGTGGTGGCATGGCATCGATGGCCAAGAACAGCCGCTTGCTCCACCAACTGAGAAAGGAGACCGCTCTTTTGGTTTTATTTTCCTATCTTCTTTTATTTGTGTTGGGGATATCGCGGCGAATCACGACATAATTCATCCTGTTTTTGCCGGACCAGCCGGGACCCCTGCAGAGAAGGCGTTCAACGAAGGGGTTTATTGGAGACGAGAAGAGACAGGCAATACAGTAAACGAATGAAGCCTATTTGGCTTGTCTGGCTGGACTCGCGTGAACAGGTGATTGATTCATATCTCCTCAGTCTATTCCTATTCTTTGATGCTATCTAGCGTCTGGATCGTTCCCATTATAGGGAGCCTTGCTCACTTTAACCCTCCCCTCGGGACGATGAGGATAGCATCAACAATGAACAACACGAAACAAGATGCAACGTGGCTATCTTAAGACCTGCCGGAACTGGCGATCAGGAGAAGGGGGTGTTTTCATGAAACACAGTTGTTTGAGACTGCGGAGATCACAAAGGACTCGAGTCAGAAGACCTGATGGCTTAATTTAGCGGAGCCTTTTCTCGTCTGCTCTGCACTCTTATTCGGCAGGGTGCTGAACCTCCAGACCTTCTAGAAGGACGCCGAAGGGGGCTGAGCGGAGATCCTTGCTGTCAATCGTGTTTCCACTTTTGTGAAAGCATGCAAGGGCTGTTATGGCGGTTTCGCCAACCCTAGATGAGAGGTCTGAGCACCTGGTTGAATGCACTTCAATACGAAGATCACTATTATTGAGTTTGGGATGAGTTACTGCTTGACTGTCATATCCGCAGGTGACATTCGTCCGTTCTCGGCGGACGAGCGTATTATACTTTCGGGTTGAGGTCACCGACCTCTGGGTGGCGCTCGTTTGTGATCCGCCCAGAACATCGATTTCCATAAGGGGAAATCCGTACAAGTAGGCAAATTTGACAGCTCAATATTCGGGAACGGGTATATTAATTTGGAATATAGACATTTGAAGTTGGCTATCCACCGAGTCGGCAGAGAGTGAGATATTCCCTTTTTTAGTTTTGATATTACCAAAACTAGAGTTATGTGCATTACATGTTGACCCCTAGACTCGTAGATAACCACCAATCTAACAGAGTGCTGACAGGAACGTTTGGGTCGACCCAGAAAAAGAAAAGAAAAGAAAAGGAAAGATAAGCTCAATGACCGGGCCTGAATGAAATCCTTCCTTTGACAGAACGGTCAAACACATGGACCTGCAGATGCAAGCCGTATCCTGTCAGTCCTCGATGCCTCGACAGGGTATTGTCACAACCTTAGTTTAGCACATGGCACTTGGGACGCCCTTCACGTTTTCGGCAATTGACTGTCATTCTGTATGGTCCGGGGTCCTCAAGAGTTTTCCGACCAGGGCAACGTGCAGGGCCAAACAAAGGAAAATTACATGGCCAAGCCCAACGAGGGTAGAAAACGTGGTCGATCGTACCTGCGTAGGACAGGGTAAGGTGGCATGGGCATTGAGAGAACTACGGTTCATCGGAGGAAATGCAGGGGTTAGATGGACTCTCACTACATTGTCGGGGAGACAAAACCCTGCAAGTGTCATCCTCGAACCGCTTGATCCCCCGATCATGTCCCCGTCAAAGAAGATGCATGCCTTAGGTTTTGAATCTGATCTGCGGAGGCGTTCAGTCTCCACGGGGCCCCCTTTCCATAGACAGTAGACGTTAAACCTGGGTGGCGTAAGCGCGAACCGCTTGTATCGGCTTGTGTAGACAGAATTGGTCGGGGAAATGCTCCAAATGATTCATGCATTCATAGTGGCAAGGAGACACCGGAACAATCCATATAGATCGGCACTCCCGAGGCCAAAGTCAAAATGCGAACCCTTACTAAGGGTAACCCGTTAGATCGAGGGATAAAATATAGGGTACCGTGAGGTCACGCTCCCAGCCAAAGTAGCTTAGCCCCGCCAAGACACCAACCAAACTCAACCGGATACATCAACCGGGCCCCCCGCCAATCACTCAGGTGGCGCTACCGTCTGAACCGACACTTCTTGAGATCTACTCCACTAGAGCCGAGATAGACGGGCGACTCTAGGGGAGCCAGATGTCTCCGTCCCCGGCATTAGTGTGTGTCTCCGAGCTAATTCAAAATAAATCCCTGAACCACCCCCAAAGCTCCCCGAACCCCCGGCTCTCGGATCTCGACTGTTTCCTATTTCTCCATACCATTCCATGGTTGGAATAAGCGCCCTATCTCGGAGATCGTGAGATGAACTTACATTTGAACCACCGGATACTCGGCGGAGAAGTTGATCATAGTTAAGCATGCTCGTGTAGGTATCAGACCACCTTAGGAACCAGTGAGAGGTTTTGGTTTTGTCATACACTTAGTATCTAGCTAGCTTAACCGTTAACATGTCTTGCAGGGATGAGCCTAAGCCCCCAAGTTACCTAAAAACCTCCACCTCAATACATTGATGTTCTACCGCATAACTGTTGAACGCCGGAACCTCTTTTTGAGCTTGAATTCCAAATGCAAATGCAGGCGTGCTTCTTTCTGGACACTTGCATCGTATTCCATACATATTCATAATTGCTTTTGCTGCACTGTGACAGTTGGATATGCACAAAAATAAGAAGAAAAGGGAAAAAGGAAATCCAAAAAGGGAATACGGTAGTGAACCAACCAACATTTTTATACCGGAGCTAGGATAGCAACCCCGACTCATCTAGCAACCCTTACCCCGGTATTATCTCCTTTCCATTTCCATCTGTCCCAGGGCATCCCCGGGTATCATGCGGCTGGAAAGTTTTTACAGTGCCATGGTCTGCGGGCTACCAGTGACATGGCCCAGAGCATACCATGCCATGTGGGCTCCAGGATGTTCAGTGCTCTGTCTCTTCTTTCATCTATTCTTGTAATCAGGCCCTGTGTCCTTTAAATTTGGCACAAAGACAGACGTTTGAGATACTGCTGCGCACTGCACAGATGTAGCCCGGGGATCTATAGATGAACTATGACCCATAGAAGGCGAATGGAAATACAGCATCTCAAGCCAATCAGAAAAGAAAGATCCAACCAGAACAAAGGAGGTAATCTGCGACAAGAACGCCCTAGGTTTAGAGTAGAGAGAAAGAAATTTGAAAAAGAAAAAGAGAAATAAAAATAAAAATAAAAATAAAATCAGTTAAAAAAGAATAAAGTAGAATAAATCCAAAATACACTAACCAGCGACCAGGCGAAATAGATCGACGCCAGGCATATTGTATTCCAGGCCTTCTTCTTGAGTCAGTTTCAGTCTCTGGTTCGCTGTTTGCGTATCTGCCTCTCCCTCTCCATGCTCTCTTCTCTTATTTAGTTCGAGACCCGCCCGTCTTCCAATCTTCCAATCTTCCAATCTTCAAGTCTACGGCTTTTTGTCATCTACTTCTTTGACACTAATCCATTGATCTCCTTCGCCCTTCACCTTGTTTATACATTCACACACCTTTGACAATCCAATTGGGTTGCGCTGCTTGTCTCACTTCCCGGCTTCACTGCAGTCCTGTTTGAGACCCGCTCTTTCAGGAGTACCACAAATGCAAAACCGCCCATCGTCAGGGTAGTACAGCAGCATATCTTTATTCTACTTCTCTTCCACTTCTTTCCTCTTTCTGGAAAATTTCCTGGCTTTCTCTTGTCGCTGGAGTATTCTTGCAATCCAGTCTGCAACTGCTTTTTCTCAATCTAGGGTCTAATTGACCTCCACAACAATGAATCTGATGACACCTATTCCCCCTTCGCCTCCCCAGTCAACAGACGGGAGCTCCCTCCAGGAAGATTTCTTCGAAGGCCGTCAAGTCTACCCAACTGTGTACAGGGTCATGAATATGTCTCCTAATGAGATCGACGGAAACACAGCCCATGGGATAGTAAGTCGATTATTATGGATGTTGTTTGCAAACATGCTAACCTCCCACAGCCGTATGGCTCTCCTCCATCTTTTATCGCCAACAGTTTCCCTCACACTATCCCTCCTCAAATGGTAAGCCTGTTCCCAGCAATATGTGACTTGCGAGACTGATCAGATATTGTAAACAGATGATGATGCCTGGTCCTCAGGTGAATACGCCTCCTACAGGAGCAGATGAAGCCTTTATGGGATTGCCCACCCCACCTCGTCGCCGTGCACCAGCAGGCAAGGCAAAACAGCAACGGCGCAACCGCAACCGAAGCACCCTCTCAGAGCCTGGTTTGAAGATTGAAGAGCCCATTAGCAAACTCACCAAAGACTACGACGTTCCAATCAAGGATATGGATGCCTGGGTTGCCCGACCCGCTGAAATCCGCAGGAAAGAGGCCAAGACCAAGGGAAGAATCTCCCGGCCTATGAACTCTTTCATGCTCTACCGCTCTGCATACTCAGAGCGAACCAAGAAGCTCGTTGGAGTGACCAACCACCAAGTTGTCTCAAGAATTGCGGGTCAAGGCTGGAAATTGGAGCCATATGACATCCGCAAGAAGTATGAAGACTTGGCCAAGCTTGAGCGCGACGCTCATGCCGCAACCCACCCAGAATACAAGTTCTCGCCAAACAAGCAAGGCCAAAGCGTTGTCAACCGGCGAGATGAGGGATCTCCTGCTTTACAATCACATGGCCTTGAGGAGGGATTCTGCTCGGACTTTGAGAGTGAAGTGGGCTCAACAGTTTCCAGAATGACACCAGCGCCATCGTACGCACACTCCCGCACCCAGAGCTTTGAAGAGAGCTACTTCGACAGCAGTCGGGATCCCTCACCTTACGGCACCCCCGAGTACGGCATGTCCATGCCTAACTACGTCAGCCCCTCCTGGCCCAACACAAGTTACCCCACTGGCCTGCCAATGCAGTCCAACTCATTTCATGGCTTGAGCCACATGGAGCATGAGCACTTCTGTACTACCAGCCCGTCTCTCCAAAAGGGCATCCAGTACGGCTCCTCGCTCGCTGGTCTCCCTGGTGCCTCGCACCACGAGCTGCTCCAGCCCCAATCTACCCCCACGTGCCATCACATGGACCCCCAGCTGCTCGTGTATCCCAACAGCAGCGATGCTACCGGGCTCCCCAACATAACCGGAGCCGCTTTCGGCCCTGGTACCTCATCCTACTCAACCTGGGATGAGGATCCCACCACAGGATACTTCCCTGGCACATCGGCTGCGGCCATGACTGCCAATCCTGCCCCATACCAGAACCCTCACATGGCTGCTGCCTGCCTCCCCGGTATGCACAACACCGATACTCAGGACCCGTCATGGGACCTGCAGTGCGGGCACTCTGGTACGGGCGATGCTGGCCCTGGCGAGGTTGACCTTTGGTGCCCCGAGGCCCCGGCCCAGAACTACTAAGCCACATACATTGCCATGAAATCGACTCGCTCACTCCCTCTTTGGACATGAGCTTTGTATACGTCTTCTCGTTCAATGGGTTAAGGCTGACCACCTCTGGCTGCTGCACTCCTGGCCGAGAAGAGCAGAAGAGCTGGCCATGCTGATGGGCTTTACAACAAAAGCTCAGGGGGAAATGGAGTTGGGCGTTTGAGCCTCAGGGAGGCTTTCTTTGCTTGGTCTTTTTCACTTTCCTGTTGCCACTTTGTGCCATGTCACCTTGTTTGTTTTTCCTTGGGAGGTATCATGTTTATTTCTTTTTGTTGATCGCTGATCAAGTACGAAATTGGAGGCCTGTCTGATTTAGATTTCTGATGTCGAAGAATGACGGGGTGGTAATCTGTTTATTATTGCGAATTTATTTACTTATCGAATACCCACTCCATATTATTCCAAGAAAGCCAAAGTAGAACCAAATACTCAAATAGATTGTGAAATTAACAGTTAAATCCTTGTATACTTCGAGCCCTAAGGCCGTTGCTCACCGCCCTCTCCGCCACCGCCTTCATCAGACCCCAAAGCACAAGTTCACTGACTGTTGATCAAGATATTGCGTGGTGACAACTGAGTGAAACAGTCTCTCATAACACGAACCCGATCCCGGTCCATCGCCATTTATTCCAATACAATCTCCACCTTCGCCATCAATTAAACAATCTCGCTTCGATCCTCCGCACCCCTCCACCGTACCCCTCAACCACATCCAAGCTCCAAAAGCAACACCCACACAGCCAAGATGTCGATCCCCAATGAAGCTCTCCAGAAGGTGCGTGCTCAAACAAATACTCCCGGCGTCGAACAAGACAAGGCCCAGGGATTGAATCAGGGGCGCCGAGAATCGGTCTCACTCAGCCTCTAATCCCAATCTCGGAGACACGCCAAAAGTCCAGCTCAAAATGGTGCATCCGTATACAGAGACGCTAACTAATCTCATAACAGCTCCTCTCGGAGATTGAAACCCGCGCCATCGCCTCGCAGCAGCAAATCGGAATCACCAAGGCCCACATGACAGCCAAGCAGCGCGATATCCGTATGTTGCAGCTGACATCGAAGGAGTTGTCCGAGTTGCCATCTGAGACAAGAGTTTATGAGGGTGTTGGCAAGATGTAAGCTCCTGCCATTTCTGTTCTGTTCTGTTTTGCTTTGGTTTTGCTGTCCTGTGACTTGTTTTTCCTATCTTGCGGTGTTCTTTTTCGATTTTGGGATATGAAACATTTGTCCAGTTGCGTCGCCTTTATTGGTTATTTATATGAAACTGATTCTGATTTGTATCCCCTGCTCTAGGTTCGTTAACGTTCCCATCGATACCGTTAACAAGCGCCTTACACGCGAGAGCGGCGAGGCCAGCTCTGAGATCACGAACTTAGAGAAGAAGCTTCATTACCATGAGACGACGCATAAGAACTCCCGGGAGAACCTTGAGCAGATTCTCAAGTCTGGAGGTAGGGCGTGAAGTGATATGATTGGATGATAAGAGACGAAAAAAGGTGATGCGCTGGATGGGAGCGCATATTTTTAAGGGTGTTTATACCAAAGGCTCGCCGATTACAATGGCTTCAAATTGAAGAACAGTTGACGCAAGTCCCTGTTTTTCCTTCTTGTGAGCCTGCGACACAAAAAGCGGATTAAGATGTCATCATATGGATGAAGACCCGGAGAGATCCAGGGTACAGATGGTCGCCCTTCTATATCCGGCTGGTCTGGTTCTACACATGTATACTTGAGTTGCCGACTGTGACTTAGATACCCAGGAGTTCGTTGTTTGCTGGAATGTGTTTGATGAGAGAGGAGAGGTGTGCTTGATAGCCTAACTCTTTCACATATTTAGATGGAGTATCTAACGAATATGTTCTCTATACTTGTTCTATCGATGCCGACCTGATATCATGATCGTATCGACATATCGTAGAGTGGTATGGTAGACACGTTGAATGCTTCATCTATGTAGCCACCCACAATATTTGAATACATTTGATTTGGCCATAGACGTACTAGTTGGAATATATCCTCGAGTCTACATCCTAGAGTCTAGAGACTATCCCAAAGATACCAACAAAATAACCTCACATTTGACGTCTACTAGCTGCATCTTAAAAGCAACACAGTGGGGCCGATAAGGCCTTATCAAAATGCAGTAGCATCTGTCAATGCATGAAGAAACACATCGAAGTTATTCTCAAAATAATAGAAAATATCTTCGACATCAAACAACATACAGTAAGACCTCGATATCTAAGCCCGCCAAGACAGCCCGATCACAAATCTACACGCGTCCACAAGCAGAACAAAAAGACAACCCAAATAACAAAACATTATACCCTACCAAAAACTAGACGCACTCACGCGTAAGCAAATCCCTGCTCCCAACGCCATCGGCGTCATCCCCAAAGTACAAAGTAGGGCTGCGGCACCCGTCACCAATGCGGGCCAAAAAAAGAGTCCCACAACCCGTGGACGATATATTAAAAATGACGTACATTACACCACACACCTTCACTAGAAATCCGGGAATCAGCACTGACGACACACACTGAGGTGCGGTGTAACAAAATAGTTTGTATTGATTGTGGCGAGTGCCATGCATGCATGTATAGTGCATGTAATGGCGGGCAAACGGACTGGTAGGTAAGAGTGTCTCTACCGTAGGAGAGGGTCTGATTTAGGGCTAGATATGATATGAATGTGGCGTGGTACTTTGTTTCGTCATGTTGGTACATGCACTGTATCAGTTACTGCAGATATGATAGCGGGGGTGTGGCTGACCTGTTGTTAGTATAAGGTGTGGATGTGGTGCAGTTTGTTTTAGGAGTGAGACTTTTAGTGTGAGATCTATGTCTGGTCTAGTTATTCTATGTCAAACCCTGATATATATACCAGGGTTAGACTTGAAAGTGTTCTTCTGTATACACCGTGACATCAATCATGTGCCCCATGGGTCTGCTCACGGGAACACCCGACTAATCCACGGGTTCACATTCACATTCCGCATTTCACATTCCAGATCTATAAGTCATACATCACCCGGGTAGAGTATGTATTCCATGACATGAAACACCCCCTTGGTGCCCGATCCAATATCCAATACTGTATCTAATTATTAGGCGCTTACTGCGTATCGGGAATTAGACTAGGTGCCAGAGTAGGAGCCGGGGCCAGGGCTTGGGTAGGAAAGAAACAACGGAAAACACGAAACAAACCTAGGTTTCCAGATCGTCGAGACTGAATTCAAAGACGCGCGCGACAAATCCATACTTCGCTGAGGATGCAGGTGTAGGTATTAACACGCATCAGCGTTTGGAGGGTCTGATCGGGCCTATTTTTGTAGGTGGGGTTTCATGTAATTTGCGGTCTAGAAGGAGTGATAGGGCGTTAAAAATGGGCTTTTAGTGGGCCTCGATGATGATATGCCGTGTGAGAAACCCTGGGAGAAAGTGTGTGGGAGAGAGAAGGGTAATAGAGGGAATCGAGAGGATGGGAGGCAATATAGGGTAGAATATTGTTGAGTCGATACGAATAGTAGAACAGAAGAGACTAGAAAGTTGAGTCAAATAGGGCATGTAAGATGAATCCCTGAGGCTGAAATGCTTATAGACTCAGCTGAATAAATACCTGTTCTGACTATTTCTCTTCTTTCCTTCTCCCAGCCCCTCCCCCGCCCAGCGATCGTCGATAAGACAGCCTCGTCTCTCGTATTGACGCACTTTTTTGGCCCCCTCTCGCCTATTCTAATTTGAATTTGTGCTATTTTGATCTTCTCTCCTTTTTCTCTCCGGTTTCCCGTTTTACTCTACATCGGATACACTCAACCCCAAGGCCCCTCTATCGGGCCCAATCTACACCCCAATCTACACCCTAAACGTCACCATCACCACCACCCAAAATGCCTATGGGAGTCTGGGAGGACGATTACACCTCTGAGGACTCAGAGTTCTCAGAGACAGACGTCTCCCTCCGCCGACCGGGAGGACGCACCCACATCCGCCAGCGCTCAACCTCGCGGCACCATCATGCCCGCCCAGAAGTGAAGACCTTCCTGGCACCAGCCCAACCAACTCGACTGCACCGGTCGGCCTCAACAGGCGGACGGCGGCGCGAGCGTGACCAACCCCAAACCCCAACAGTAATGATCTTCAACGACCAAGCCCAGCGCAGCGAGAACAAACCTTCGTCGCGGCGAGTCCAGCACCGCGTCAGCGAGCACAACGGCAACCACTTCCACGACGAAGACATCGTCCAAGTGCCTCCTGCCCCGCCAGCGCCAGCCGTGCCCGCCATCCAAGTGCCCGGGCGCTCGCACCGCTCACGCGAGCGCCGCTACAGCAGCGTCTCACGCGATGCCTCGCCGTATCACTTCCACCGTGACCAAGAGCTAGCTGCCAACCAACACATGCTGGAGCGCAACGATATCCGGCAGGATCTGGATATCTGGAAACACCAGCAGGAGATTGAGCGGCTGGAGCGGGAGCTTGCGCGGACGCATGAGAAGGCTAAGAAGGTAGCTGCGCAGCCGCCTGCTCAGGTTGACCCGAGGGAGTCGTGGCGGTTGCATGATGAGGAGGAGGCTTATGAGGCTGAGTTGCGGGATCGGTTGCGGAAGCTTGAGCGGTATGAGCGGAAGTACCGACATGAGGAGAGTCAGCGGGAGGCGGAGGAGAGGCTTAAATTAAAGAAGTTTGAGGAGGCACAGAGGGCTGCTGCTGAGGAGGAGGAGGTCAAGCATAAGTTGAAGGAGGAGAGGTTGAAGGAGATTGCGCGGTTGCAGGAGGAGAAGGAGGAGAGGAGTCGGCTTGTGCGGGAGGAGAAGCTGAAGGAGATTGCGCGGTTGCAGGAGGAGAAGGAGGAGAGGGATGAGCTTGTGAGGCAGATTAAGGAGGAGGAGGCGAGGAAGGCGAGGGAGGATGCTGAGAGGAGGGCTAAGGAGATGGCTATGAAGGCTGCTGCTGTCGAGGAGTGGAAGCTTGAGCAGGAGAGGATTAAGCAGAGGCAGAAGGAGGAGGCTGAGCGAAAGGACAAAGAGTTCCGTGATCGCCTGCGCATTGAGTTTGGGTATACTGAAGAGGAGATCGAGGCTATTCTCAAGAAGAAGAACAAAGAGGAGAAGAAGGAGAAGAAGGAAGAGAAGAAAGAAAAGAAGGAAGAAAAGGAGGAGAAGGAGAAGACTACATGGATCAAGGTATGCATCTTCCTTTCTCTACTTGGTGATTTGACTAATTCTCTATCAGGTACATCGCAAACACTTGCTGCCAGAGACCTTGATCGCCTACAGTCTTCCCTGGGACTGGGACGAGGTAAGAGAAAATCCAGTATATCGTCACAGTATATTAACACTCCGCAGCACGACACCGAATATATCATCATCAAAAAATGGATCACCGAGGATCTCCAAGAGGAGCTCTTCGCCCACACTCAACGCATCCGTCATCAGAAGGAGCACCAGAGGGTCATTGCCCAGACCTCCCACTCGATGACTGAATTGAGAGTCAACGACCGCAACAAGGACAAGATGTACTTAGTTCGGAAGAAGAGCCCTAAGGGCCGACTGCGCATCTTCGCATAAGCTTCCGCTTAGGGTTTGATACGATTGATGCTTGGAAGTTGATTTACGCACTGTTTTTGCCGATATTTTGTTTTGCTGGGATTTCTTTTATGAGCTCAGAATTGGTATGATTGCTTCCCGTTGAAATTGTGTTGAGTTGCGATTTTTTTCTTTCTGTTTCTTTTCTTTTATCACAGAACATGTGGTAGTACAGTAACGCGACATGAGCTGATGACCTATTTTCTTCTCTTTTCTCTGCCAATCTCATTTATCACTACTCAATTCTATATATCCAGTCAACCTCGCCTGTCAATATACAGTTCGGTGACGATCTTGGGTGTTATAGAAGTAGGTTCTCAGCATAGTGGCAAATTTGGAATAAATCCCCAAGATAGATTCAAACTTGAAGTCTTCAGTTGAAGTCGGAGAGTTGATAAACAACATGCACAGCAGTCTATCAATCGCCATCTTAAAACTCCAATTGGACCATGCTTAATGCAAGGTATGCACATGCGCGTCCGGGCACGGATGCAGACCAGAGGTCTCGATTTTCGGGCTATTATACAAAAAGTGGAATGGGTAAGTATATAGGAAAAGGGACCATAATGGTAGACAAAATACAAGCCTAAAGGCCCATCTGATGATTCCTCTCTAGACGCTTCTCAGCGCGCAGGATAAGCTCCTCATAGACGGTCCAAGCAAGCGCCGAGCTAATCGCTTTGCGGGCCATGCGGAGACCGAGTCCACCAAAGAGACTGCGTATGCCATCTTCCTGCAGCATCAGCCGCGTGGCATGCACCATGTTCCCATATTTGGCTGGCATTAACTGCAGGCGGGTCTTGACGGCGTCAAAGGGGTTGGTGATGGCGGTTGCCATACCGGCTGCTGCTGCGCCGGAAGCAAAGTTGATTGAGGATGAGGAGGATACGGTTGTGGCTGGTGTCTCGTTGTTGGTGGATTTGTTGGCCATCAGGGAAAAGCGGCGCTTGAGTTGTTCGTAGAATAGGACGTAGAGGCCTGCGTAGGGAGCATCGCGGGCGGCTGTGGCACCAAATCCTGCGAATAGCCCCCGTAGACCTTCAGTTCGGACGATATCCCGTCCTGCGCCTAGTAAACTCCGGTATGCGTAGTAGTCGGATTCGTAGCGGACTTTGAGTACGGTCACGGGCATCATTACGAAGCCGGCGGCGACTCTTGCGACAGCACCGGTGGCTAGATTGGCTGTATTTGAGAGTTTGGGAAGGACAGAGGAGGATTTGGCGGCGTTTATTGGGCTGGCTAGTGCCATTGGGTTGGTCTGCGCAACTGCCTGGCGTAGTGCATTGAGACTAGTGAAGTAGAGGGCGGACCCGAAGCCTGTGCGGAGGGCTGAAGGGAGTGTGCCACGCCATAGTCCACGGATTGGGTTTGGAGAGGAGATGATTGCTTTTAAGGTTGGGAGGAGGGAGGCACCCTGGGATTGCTGGACTCGAGTTTTGAGCAGATCGGCAGGTTGGAGGAGGATGGAAGATGTGAGGCCGGAGCATAGACCTGCGGCAAAGTGAAACGGGGTTTTGGAGGCTGCAACAAATAAACAGTTAGCAGGAGAAATCATTAAGGTTCGACAGAGGCATACTTGTTGAGGAGCCAGTTTTCACCTGCGGCACTGCTACCGCGCCGTTGTTCGACATTGTGCTGGTTCCACAGTCGATCTGGATTGCAGTATGACAGCAGGAGTGATTAGGCTGAGGAGAGAGAGGATTCGATGCCAGATCGAGAGTGAGAGTCGCGTGTGCGAGGCGGGACGGTGGTAGCCGGATGCGTAAAAAACTGCAAAACTGCAAAGCCGCAAAATAGCAATAGCAAAATAGTGAAGAATCCCCCAGACCACAACCGTCACAGTTAAAGTTGAACAGTTTGCATTCCACCAGGGATGAACTCGGTTCAACTAAAAATGTGATGCGATTGGTGTGAACCTCGGAAGAAAGAGGGAAGTGAAGTCATCGGGATCTGCAACTGATAAGCCTCACCGCATTCACATATACATTCTACATGACGCTAACTATGCAGAGATGCTCTAATGCACTTGTAAATGCATTGAATTGCATTGCACAACTATACAATTGCATAAATTAACATACATATAACATACGACTAATAATACTGACTTCCTAAGTTAGGCTCCAACGTTCATACATCTACATGCAACTGCGTATTAACGATATCTATATCTATGTCTGTGTCTGTGTCTATAGTCTTGCATAGATAGCACAGTAAATAGTAAATGCTAAATACTAAATACTAAATACTAAAATACAAATAAATACAAATGCAAATAGTAAATAGTAAATATAACTAAGAAAACAAAAATACGCCGCAAACAGCCCGGCATGGCGCGGACTCGGGCAACCAATCAGTTATCGCCAATTGGGGGGGTGATAATCGACGTCATCTCTTGTTTTCTCTTCTTCCTCACTTCCTCCCCCCAGAGCTCTCGAGAAGGCCTTATCTCTGATGGATTGGTATCTGCCTCATTTCCCCTATCCGCCTGCAAAGGATGGGTACTGGGAGCCTGTCACTTCCACCTTGAACTGGTGCGAAGAGGTATGCGATCCATGGTGGGACACTACGAAGAATAGCTAACAAATGCTCTCCAGGACTACTATGCCACCGAATACTCCGCTGAAATCGTCAACACCCTCACAAATCTGATGTTCATGTGGCTTGGGCTCAGGGGCATCCTCAGCTGCATTCGCAATCAACATGACCAGATCTTCGTCGTCGCCCTGCTAGGCTACCTAGTAGTCGGAACAGGAAGCTTCCTCTTCCACTCAACATTGAAATGCAAGTCCTACCTCCAACCCATACCAAGTCAAATCGCGAGAACCACAAGGCAGATCATACATCACAAGGATCAAGCTGACCAACCCCCACCAGACCCTATGCAGCTAGTCGACGAGCTCTCCATGATATACACGACCTGTCTAATGGTCTACGCTTCATTCTCCTACTCGCGCTCAGTGACCCTCCGGATCTGGCTCGCCCTATCTCTAACTGGCCTAGCCGTCTTCATCACTCTATACTACCACTACCTCCAAGACCCGGTCTTCCATCAGAACGCCTATGCCCTATTAACGGTCATCGTGGTATTCCGGAGTATGCACACCATGGAAGTAACTCTGCGACCAAAGTGGCGCCATTCAACCGAGGAAGACCGCCTAGAGCGTCAGAGGAAGGGTCTCCCTGTGCCAACCAAGGAGCGCCAGCACTACGAGAACGTGCGCGATCTGAAGACCCTCAAAACCATGTGGTTTATGGTTACTTATGGATTGATCATGTTCCTGGGCGGGTTCTTTATTTGGAATTTGGATAATGTGTTCTGCTCTCAGGTCCGACAGCTGCGTCGCAAGGTTGGCTTGCCTTGGGGTCTTGTTTTGGAAGGCCATGGTTGGTGGTATGTTTCAGCCCACATCTTTATTATTCTACGAAGTTGGCATTGGTCATCTCGCTAACAAATTCCATGCAGGCACGTCATGACTGGACTTGGCGCATACCTCTATATCATCTGGGGCATCTGGCTCCGTCACTGCCTCAATAACCGCCAGGACGAGTACCACCTGCGCTGGGCGCGCTTCTGGCATATCCCCGAAGTGGTCCGCACCGCTGACAATGTCACCCAAGACAAAAAGTCAACCTGAAAAGACCCTTCCAGGCTTTTCTTCAATGTCTTTCCTCTCTCCCACTTTCTCCGTCGGTGTGTTTGACTCACTTCAGCGCTTATGCCTGGGAGCGATACACCACGACTTTGCAAATGAATATGAACTAGATACCACGCTCCTTCCTGTCTATCATTTTTGCTGTGAGACTCGGGGCACTTGTTGATCTTTTCAATTGTTGGCGTTATTGTTGCTTTCACACGGCACACTTTCGATTCGTCCCTGAGACGAAGATTCATTGTTGTTTGGCTTTGGTGCATACATATACCTTTTTAGCTGAGGCGTGGGGGTGGTTGCTATAGATAGGAGTCGGGTTGGATTGGATTTTGCATTCAGTGTCATTCGTAGGATATGAAATGCAATAGAAAATATCTCGCGATGCAAGAGTTGGTTTATGTTCTAGATGAGGTATGTGCTAGTGTAGATGCAGTATAACTCCGCTGTATCCCTCTCAAAGCTTCGACTCAACCTTCCTAGCCGTCCTCACTGGAGGAGGAACCCTATCCAGCCACTCCTTATCAACAGTAACCTTCTCCAGCCTAGACTTCTTCCCCCAAACAGCCCGGAACCCCTCCTCCTCATCCCTCCACCGTCCCAACTCAGGCGCCAGCCAAGCAACAGCGGCATCAGCACACTCATCCACAGCCTCCTGAGCAAGCAAATGCCCGAATTCCTCGAGGAAAACATCCCTCACCCGTCCCGCCGCAACACCCCCACTCCCTCCCAGCCCAGTTCCCGTGTTCGCAAGCTTATCCGCGCGCATAGACGGCAGACACATATCTGACTTCCCAGCAAAGATGTAAAGCACACTCGGACGCAAATGTGGGAGCTGCGCGAATATACGCGCTGGCTCCGGTCTGTAGAATGGGTATGTGTCTGGATGGTCGGCGTCTAGGTCTGGGTGTGTGACGCGGTTGACGGGGTCGGGACTGCCGGGGATGTGGGTATAGTTTGGACGGGAGAAGGTGAAGACTTCTTGATGCAGGGTTGTGCGGAGGGTTACTGGGGGATTGGCTTTGTCTGCTGTTGGTGGGAGCGGGTGGATAGCTGTTGGGAGGTCGCGGAGGCCGTGTTCGACCCAGCGCGAGAGCACGCGTGGGTTCCAGGTTTTGTAGAAGGGGCTTCGTTGGAAGCTTTCAAGTGCTGCTTGGCGCGAGGGCCAGATGTCGCGCCGGTGTGTCGATAGTTGGGTTGTTTTGGCGATTTCGCGCTTGTTCTTTAGGAGGCTTAGGCCGTCTAGTTGGGTTGTTTGGCGTTGGATCACTGGATCTAGGAGGACTAGGGTGTGGATGAGACGGGGGTGCATGAGGCATAGTTGGGTGCTGGGGGTTTGTTAGTTATGTGTAGAGCTTGGTTTGTATGTTGGGTTGGACTTACAGATGGGCGCCGCCCATGCTGTGTCCGATGCCGACGATGGGCCGGGGCATCTCTGCCCGCTTGACATTGACCAGGTGGAGGAGATCGCGCGGGTGATCGAACCAGCTAGCTGTGGCATAGTTAGTACGAATGCATTCGTTCCATGGAGTCAAGTCACATACGATCATTTCCCAGCGAGTCTTCATTGATCACACTGCTCTGGCCTTCTTGCGCGACATCAGCCATCCAGATACTGCGAATGCGGAAACCATTCTGCTTAGATCGCGCGTAGATTTCCTCCCAGAGTGGCTCATACAGCTCCTGAGAGAGGGGTTAGGACATTGTCATTTGCGCATGGTATCACAATGCGACTCGCAGCTCCGGGAGCGGGTCGGAGCTGGACCTCGGCAATTTGTTACACACCTTGGGGAAGCCATTGGCGTGTGCAGCGAGGATAGTCACGTCGCCTGGTTGCGGTTTGGGGTTGTCGAGAGGGATGTATTGTTTCACGGCTAGTTGCAGGGGCTCTTCCTGTTCGTTGGCTGTGGCGCCAGGGTATTCCCTGATGTGCTGGCTTGGTACGACATGTTCGACGATGCGGAAGGGAGAGGACATGGTGGGCAGTGTACAAGAATAAAAAGAGAGACGGAGGACTGTATACTCCCTGAGTTCGTGCCCAGAAGTATGGGGATTTGGTCCAATAAATTTCCGAGAGAGACCGCGGTCTTTGCGGGGAGCCGAGGATCTTGGGAGTTTGCGCTGTCCAACTGCCGATTGTCCACACTGGAGAACTTCAGTAATCATCTTTCAATACAGAACTATTTGTATTTGTATTTGCCGCAGCGGATTCATTGTCCTCCTTTATTGACTGGGTTTTAATTTTAATTTTTCTTCTCTCTCTCTAAAAAAAGCCCGTGGTATCGGAGTATCGGAGACATCTACATCGACTACTTTGGCAGTACAAGTTGAAATATGATCAGTTATGAAAAGCCATTACTTATTCGCGCTACGCTAATTCATCTAAACCTGAAAACAGATACTGCCACTGTTCTTGCGATGATTTCCCGAAGCAAAAGATGCAAGAATCTATATACTACTCTGCGCTGAGAGCGAGACATGCATCCACAGCGAGACCGACCCTGTCAATAGTAAGCTGAGGTTCAATAGACTGTTCATAAGTTGGACATAGAGCACTAACCTGCCCTCTTTAATCTTAACGACATCATCAATGACGTCCTTGTCCAGATTGGGAAACATGTTTGACAGCGTCTCGACAACATTATTATGTTCTTTGCGTTGGATGCGGCGCGCCTCGGCATCTTCAGCGCTAGCCTGGCGGGCCGCCGCGTCCTGGGCATCGAGCACACGGGTCAAGTTCTTTTTGGCGGAGGCTCCGCTGCCATGGCGGATAGGGCCGGAGCGCTCATCGCCAGAGCGACGTCTTTCCTCGCTACTTGCACGCGGGGGTTGGTAGACGTTCGGGGTGAGACGGGCTGGAGCGATGCCAGGTTGAGGTGTGGGGACGGGTTGGGGGCGGTCTTGGGAAGCTGAAGAACCAGCGTCACCATCGTCGGAGAAGATGCGACCAATAGTGGAGAGAGGTTTTTGGATGGTGCGAAGTAATCCTGCGACGGGGGCGGCAGCATCGTCGTCGCTGGACTGGGGTGCTTCTTTGCGGCTTGGGCCGGCTTGTGGTTGGGAGGGGGCGGGTTGGGTTGATGGTTTTTCTTGGAAGGTTTCCGATTCACGATTCTGTTCTGCGATGGCGGAAACGGCAGCCTCGACGTTTGACTCGAATTCTTCGTCGCTGACGGTTAGACTGGTGCGGTCGAGGGTTTCGATGAATTGGATTGCTCCAGACTAAGATAGATCAGCTTGATAGGCCGTATAAAACTGACCAATGTGGTCTATATCGGATGAAAACATACCAAAGACGACAGGTAGTATCCTGCTTCCCCGCCGAGTTTGTCTTGGTTGCGGAATCGTAGAATGTATTGAATGTTGGAGACAAGATGATCTGGGTTTGCATGCAAAACAACATAGATCAGGAGAGGGATGAAGGAGTCCGCGGACGTATCGGCCTTTTTGGTATTCTTCAAAAGACCAAAGATAACCTTGCAGCAATTGAGGATGCAGATCACCTTATCTCGTGGAGCCCGGTAGCCATTAATTTTGGATAATTCTATAGAGCAAGTCAGACTAGTCAGAAGTCGTCAAGATGTGTGCATACCTTGCTGCGCTAAATTCAAGAACCGACGTCCACCGCCGCTCACCGGTGGAATATCGAGATGTGCTTCATTGACCCAGCCATATATGCGAATCTTCTGGGCCAGGATGTCGTCTCGTTCAATATCCTCTTGGTGCTGACCTCGTCGCCAAGGCCCATGAAGCCTCTCGAGCTCTCTCCGTCGGCTCCGACTTGCACTCCTGGGTATTGTTGGAGGAGCCGGGATGGCCGGTGCGAAAGTCTGGGAGTACAAGCGGTTCATGACAAGCTTCTCCATGCCTTCTTTGGCATTATCGAATTCGCTATCTGAAACATCGCGCCAGATTTCGCATACCGCCATTTTATTCGTAATAAACGTCAGGAAATCACTGATAATTTTGACTTGTTCATGGACCATCCATTGCTTCTTTCCAAACTCCATAAGAAATGAGCGCAAGAACTTAGCCACCGGGTCTGCAGTACGGTGGCGCAGTTGTTCGAGAAACCGGTGGAAGTCAAAGGGCTGCTCTGATTCGGGTTCTGGCATTGGTGGAACCGTTGAGGTAGACGACCGCCGGGTTGACATCGACTCATCATGGGCAACAGACTTGTGGGGTACTTTGGGTAATGTCTGACTCTCTGGCGATGTGCCTACCGGAGAAGCTGGAGATTCAGCCGGAGGCGCAGGATCAAGACTCGACTTGCGCGGCGGGAAATAGTTGGGACCGCGGAACTGATCAGCAAGCTCGAGTCGGGGAGACATGATTTCTTGTTGGTCGGTGCTCCGCGCGGGGTCCTGGAATTGTCCCATGATGCTTTGAATCTCTGGCTGCGAATCATTCTCTTCTCGAGCTTCTTCGCTTTGAGCAGCTCGTTTTGTCTCTGTGTCATTCTGGCTGGGCACGTCTGGGAGCTCTTTCTCGGGGTTGGCGGAGCTTGTATCAATAGGTGGGACTGTTCGCGCGGGGGCCGTGGAGGTTGAGTTGAGGTAGACATCATCCTTTTCGGGAGGAGTAGGAGGAGGAGGGGCGTTTGCGCTAGGTGACTGGTCTGGTATGGTATTTCCTGAGACTGACAGGCTTTCCATCCGCCCCGCAAGTGGCTCTTGACCAAGTAGTGATGCGGGTTGGGGAGCTATTGTCGAGGGTTTCAAAGCGGAATCCGAGGCAGCAACCGACTCCAGAGGCTCTTTCACCTCTTCTTGGCCCATCTCGCCGGTTTGGTTGTTATCTGGTTTCGAGGTTTCCTTCTGTGTTTGAGTGGAGAGATCGGTTGGAGTAGCGGTTACGGACGTCTCAGCATCTTCATTATGGAGGTCCCTCGTCTCGGGAGCCTGAGGCGTCGAGGGTTCTGAGACCGGCATCTGTGGTCTTCATGTGCGCTAGGGCAAAAAAGGGGGATGTTTCAGGGGCTCTTAAAGACCACGAACATGTGCTATCATGAGGCTCATGTTGATGCGCGGATCATCGTTCAACCGATTTGCGCCTCAGATGTCAGGTGTCAACTCTACACTTGAATAACGTTATGTAGAAGATAGCAATGTAGGTTTCTTTTTGAAGTGCATAGCTCGAGGCGATGCTCTTCATCCTGTATACCGCCTAAACAAACAAGTTCTATGCGATTTTAGAGGAGCCCCAGGGGACTTTATTCATGACTAAGCGGCCTGAGGCAACATTCAAGCCATAAAAAGCTGCCCATCTCCAACCCCAAACGACAAACCTCCCTCGCCCTGTCACCATCATGTGTGGGATTTTCTTCTCATTGAGTTCATCAAACATGATACCACCAACGCAGGAGACTTGCAATCTGCTTAAACAGCGAGGGCCAGACAGCTGCAAAACTCACGCGTTTCAAAAAGATATCAAGGGACAGGATGGGTCAACTTCACTACTGTCTTATTATCTCACCTTCACGTCGACAGTTCTTTCATTGAGAGGTGACCATGTGTACACGCAGCCACTTGTAGACCCCGCAACCCAGTCTGTGCTCTGCTGGAACGGAGAAGCCTGGAAGATCGGCGGGGAGCGCGTCCAGGGCAACGATACTGAGGATGTGTTCAACTTATTTCTGCAGGCTGTCCAGTTTGAATCTAAAGATGCTACCGAAAGATTGGTTAAAGCTATTGGGAGTCTCTCTGGGCCATTCGCCTTTGTGTTCTATGATGCGGTTCACTCAAGAGTCTTCTACAGCAGAGATTGCCTTGGGAGAAGATCTCTCCTGGAAGGATTCGATGAGAATGGCAACCTGAAGATTTGCAGCATTTGCGATAGCTCATCGATTTCTTGCTTCAGGGAGGTGGGCACAGAGGGCGTTTATACGATTGATCTTGAACGTCCTCAGGATCCTACGGTTTATCCCAGAGAATTATGCCAGATCCAGACCTTGCCTTGGAGCTCGGATCCTTCACCATCGGCAGGTCATATTGTACGTCTTCACCGTTGGGCCAAAGGAACATTGACTGATATCCTATAGAGAAAACCAATTCCTCCAATGAACACATCATTACCAACAGAGCAGCCCCCTGCACTGACAACAGACTCTCCATTTGTCAAGGAGCTTGAGTCAATGCTACGACAGTCACTAGAATTGAGGATACAGAACGTACCAGAGCCACCAAACTACCTTCCAGGCAAGACAGCAAAAACTGCTGTTCTCTTCTCTGGTGGCCTAGACTGCACACTCCTCGCAAGACTCTCTCACGACATCATTCCTCTCGATGAACCAATTGATCTCCTTAATGTGGCCTTTGAAAACCCAAGGGTGGCAGCTGCTGCAAAAGCCAACCAGCAAAACTCATCATCTCCATCAATCTCAATCTACGAAAATTGTCCAGACCGAATGACTGGCCGTTCCGCACATAGCGAACTACAAAAAACATGCGCAGGGCGTACCTGGCGATTCATCGCCATCGACATCCCCTATTCTGAAACTCTCGCACACCGCGAGCAGGTAAAACGTCTAATGAGGCCACACAACACCGAAATGGATCAATCCATCGCATGTGCCTTATACTTCGCATCTCGCGGACAAGGGACAATCCAAAGCAGCGCAACTGATCCACATTCGCACCCACCATCTTACACAACGTCCGCCCGTGTTCTCCTTTCGGGCCTAGGTGCAGACGAGCTCTTCGCCGGCTACGGCCGCCACGGTGTTGCTTTCAACCGCGGCGGATTCCAAGACCTCATCTCCGAGATCAACCTCGACGTCAGCCGTCTTGGCTCGCGAAATCTTGGTCGGGATGACCGCGTCCTCTCTCACTGGGGCCGGGAGACTCGATTCCCGTACCTAGACGAAGAATTCGTGGCTTGGGTGTCGCGGGCGCCGGTGTGGGTGAAATGCGGTTTTGGGCTTCCTGAGACAGAAGCTACGGCTGATATCGATTCCGAGAAACTGGCGTTGCGGCTTGTTGCCCTTCGGCTGGGCTTGTCGAAAGTTTCTCGTGAGAAGAAGAGGGCCATTCAGTTTGGGGCGAGGACTGCGAAAATGGAGACGGGCAGGTCGAAGGGGACGGATGCTTTGAGCTGATTTGGGCTTGCCATGGCCATCCTCTCCCTACCCCACCCTCTCACTCCCTCTTACCCTTCCACCTCCCTAGCTATATCCTATACAACCGCTTCCTTTCTTTTTCCTCTATTCGCCTTCTCTTCTCCCTGTCTCCCTCTCCTTCTCTTCTTCTCTTCTTCTCTTCTTCTCTTCTTCTCTTCTTCTCTTCTTCTCTTCTTCTCTTCTTCTCTTCTTCTCTTCTTCTCTTCTTCTCTTCTTCTCTTCTTCTCTTCTTCTCTTCTTCTCTTCTTCTCTCCCTCTCTCTTTTTCCATGTCCCTCTTCCCTTCTGGGACCATCAACGCCCATGAACCACCAGTGATGATGACACAAACATAGAAACAGATACTTCCGAAACGAACCCATCAACCCTACCCGCAACACTCCAATCCAAAAGAAGTCCGCAAAAGCCCACATCCCCATCTCGCAAACCACAAAACATGCCATATCAGAAACACAAACGCCTCATGTCCCCCTCTTTCTGCTCTCTCTGTCCCCTTTCATTCAGTCATAGAGCAACAGCCGTCTTCGGACAGCGCGGGGCCCATGCTGAAAGGAATCGGGCAGGGTACGGTAGAGAGAAGTATGAGTGCTGTATGTGTTCTTCTGTGGTAGCTTTGTGGATCTTGTGAGGAGGGTTCTTTGTGGGTGTGGATGGATGGTTTGGGGACGTTGTGGACTGGGGAAGATAGGGGAGTTGATGAGGTCTATAAAGGCAAGTCTGAGCTGGGTTTGGTTATGCACCGCTATACACATACTCATACACCTGTTTTGATAGATTGGAGCATACTGTGACACTGTCTCGCATGTCTGAAGGAGCTACCCTCGTCCAAGTAGGTTTCAGTCAAGTGTAGGATACTAACTCCGAGCTCGGTTCGTAGGTCTGCACTACTTAGTACTTAGAAGCCTCCTATTATCATAAGGTAATGTCATGCTTAGTCTTTTGTCATGTAATCCTGGACATTCGCATTACCCACAATGAGCTGTTCGTCCATCACATGCACAGTGAAGAGACCATCGTGGTCATCCCGGAGTCCCTGGGACATAAAGCAGGGAAACAGGGTAGCTCGACGCCTGTCCCAGGTGGCTGGCTTCATTACTTGGCTTGCATGGGAGATTGTTCCCGAGGTTCAGCTTAATGATACTACTATGCCTCTACATTCTACACTCTGGATTCCACCTAGCGAGAAATCCATGCAGCTTTACTAAAGGCTATTTCGTAAATTCAGTAAATCTTCCTCCTTGGTCTGTCTAGTCCTAGGGTTGCAAGCAATACAATTAACACTAGAAATTCGGGAACATTCCCATTTCGCATAAATTGCAATGTAGAGTTTTCCGAAGCTCATCGTTCTTCTCGCCCTTCTCCAGCCTCTCAAGCGTGTCTCCTTCACGCGTAACTTGACTTGAGAACTTCTTCATCTCTGCCATTCCTTGTTCTTCGGTTGGAGCCACAGAACCCGTCGTCTGGGACGTAGTAAAGGCGTTCAGAGATCTTAGGTTCGTTTGCTTCCTTGTAGCCGCCTTCGCTGGCTTTTGGGGGCAGGGGTGGGGAGTGTTTGGAGCGTCTTCTTAGATTTGCTGACGACTCTTGTGAATGTGCAGTCTGAAAAGTGAATAGAAGTGAGGGGCAAATGGCCAACTAACATTCCCAACCAAAGTCTTTCTTTCAGATCTGGACGAAGTATTCTAAGCATTCTACACCGCTCATTTAAGCAAGGCAACGGATGTAGAATGCCATTCAGTCTGAATTGCCTACCGATGGCACTACACTATGAACGGGATAATGCAGCCCATACATGACATTCACGGACAGGCGAGCATTGATGCAACAGACGAACTCAAATATCATTCTTGGACGCACAAAATGGTAATCTCCTTTGCGGAACGAGCCGTCAAAGACCCTTTGAGGCGGATTCCACCTTTGACGGTCCGTGTCGTGTTGGTTCACGCATATGCGGAGGGGTGTGATCGAAGTCAGCCAGCCACAAGGCACTTGGCGCAGCATAAAATGTCGGCTTGCATTTTGCTCACTGATCTGAGCACGGCCCTCAGCGCCCTGATCCGCTCACTAATCATAGTCTAAGCGCCCTAGTTCGCTCACTAAGTCTGAGCTAAACCTAGGGGTGAGCGGCCCGAGTAAACTATCATTGTCAATGTGATCTTTAACCCTAATAAACTAGTTGCAACCAATCGCGCCACAATAGAGCTCTCTACTTAGCCACTGTTAGGACCCTGCGAGTAGACTGCGCCACAACCCACGAATGAGTATAATCCTTAGCCTCTTTCAGTTCGGCGTTTTCGACACCCTTTGACCCCTCTAATGCCGCCTCATGTCATGCAGAGATTTGTGCTACATCGGATTCTCGTATCGTGAAAAAAGGGGCAGGTGACTACTTTCCCAGAATCTAGCCCGCCTGTCTCACAAGTTTGGGTTAGTTATATGCGGGCTTTCTATAGCGCAGGCAGGCAGTGACCTGCTGTAGATCTGCAGAAATTTGTGGCGATGGTTCCCCAGCGCTTATGGCATGCGTCTGCTTTTTCACGGTCTACTGAGCCTGTCTCACAACATTGAATTACTTACTTGCACGCTATCCTGAGAAGGCAGGACCCCGGCAGTAGATCTGCCACTAGATGGCGGAGCTTCTATTGCCTCAAATTCCATTACATTGTAGGATCTGACAGGTCGCCAATGAGCAATGTTAGTAGTATTCACAAATTGATGTCTAAAACGACGCTTATACAGGCATCGTGGTCCATCCCAAATCCCAAATGGGCGGTGAAATGTGACAGCGAGATGATTAAGTCCTCCCGTATATTCGAACGTCTAGTCTAGGCTTCTCTTGTCTAAACTTTTGGAGCTTAAGAATCTGATTTCCTCTTAGGTGATAGCTTCTTACACGGCTGTGTCGATTACCCCATTTTTCGCACAACTATGCATGAACTGCTGTTTTAATCTATCTATCCAGCGCCTTGCAGTTTCCCAATGGCTTACGGCCGGTTCTACTTTGGAAAATGACATGTCTATTAAACTTGATGCAGTAATTATGCATAGTCATTACATCCTCGCAGTCGCAGCAGACTAGCAGGGTTTGAATAATAGTAAGTGCAAAAGCAATATCCTTTCAAGTCTGATTGCTTGGTATATAAATAAGCGCTCCCATTTTGGGGGACTCTGCTATTCTCCTTGCAAACACCTTGCTCTGCTATTCAGAAATCAGCATTATCACGCTATGATGAATTATCTTATTGCTATTGTTCTGACTTCTCTGGTGTCTGGGGCCCTTGCCGCTGGTCCTGGTCTCTCCACTGATCAGAGCTACTGTCCCTCTTGTGTCGGTGGGTAGTATCCACACTCGTTTTCTTGGTATCCCCGACATAAGATAAACTGACATAAAGTATAGGAAACCGCTATACCGATATAACAACTGGACAATCAGGCTGCTGTCCTATCGGAACTGTCTATCAACCAGCAGCCTGTGCCCCGGGAACTCCCACTACCGACAACCCGACCTGCCCAGCCGATAACGGGAAGAACTATATTAAGAATGGCTTCACGTACAAAGTGTACTGCGATGTGACAACCAATCTAAACCCAGATGGCACGTTGTTTCCCCTCTATATATAATTTCCTGTTTGCTAATATTCTGATCAGTTGGTTCCGCTACTTTGCCTGACGCTAAGGCATGTGCGGATCTATGTGCCTCCAGACCGGCGTGTGGAGATGCAACATATCGCTCATCTGATAAAGGGTGCTTCATGTCGGTATGTTCACTAATTATAGCAACCCCAAACTAGGTTGGAAGTTTGTTGACTAAAACTTTATGCAGTCAAACCTCCTGGGGCCGAATTACCAAGGTACTCCTTTGGCCGGAGCCATTGTACTTGCTAAGCAGTAATTTGAAGATGTTTCATTGACCTCAACGTCAAAGATCGAATGGGAAAATACGACCCGGCTTCTACTCAGATGTGAATCAATCAACTTGTTTTCCTTCTACTATACTGGTGCTACTGTTCGTCAGTATAGAGTCACTCTTTATAAATCTCCGTTATTGCAATAAAATCTATTTCTCATAATTAGTGCTATGGATTACATGAATAGCTATCTTGCACGTTTAAAAGACCGCACAATTTTACGTCGACCCTGCAGACCCTCTAGATTTAATTGACCTGGTAAATGTGATAGCTGTCCGAAATGGCAATGTTGTTTGCGAGAAAAAGAAAAAAAAAAAAAAAAAAAAAAAGCCAAAGGCACCTTTATAAAGGGAACTCTCAACGTAGAGAAAAGAGTACGCAACGGTCCAATCATATACTTCTACACTTCGACGTAGCAAGGCACAAATAGAGTGGCCAGAAAGACGAATTTTGGACGTTTTGAGGGCCGAGGATCTGTGGAGTGGACTACTATAAAAGAATAACTAGTCGCAGTAGACACTACTATTGCAATCTTTCCTTGAATAACCAAGATGAACGGGAAATGTTATCCGTGAGCCAAAGTTCCTATACAGTTATGGCACTCCAAAGTAGAGAAAGAGTAACGATAACTAAATAACTAGTTAGATCAATCACATTGATGTTCCAGGCAACGAACGGCAACGTAACAAAGCAAACAGTTAGGTGGCCGAGGAGACGAATTATGGTGTCTCTCTAAGGTGGCCTGCCTAAGCCTAAGCCGTACTGGCGTCCTGTCGATATACAGCCGTCGACGAAAATTACTCTAAAGGCGGTTGCCTATTTACTCTAATATGGCTCGACTGAACGCGCTATCATACTGTGGCACCATAACTCGAGTTTTTAAAGCAGAGTGATGTGATCTGGGCTTTTACAAAATATAATCCAACCCGCAATATTACATATGGAAGGATGTCACTTAATACTGAATACTGAATAGAAACCCAGCTTCCGCTCCAGCTGAAAGCTGGCTCTAGTGTGTCTTGCGAATATCATATTGTTCTAAACCAATGGTATCTACGGAGTGAAATTGTTGGTATGAAATGAGAGTCTTGGATGATCGAGGAACTTCGAAGAGTGTAGGCACTCGGGTATACTTTCTGGGCAGCTACAGCGGCAAAGCTGCCGAGGGCAAAGGTTATACACAGACGCAATACTGAACACTTTCTTTACAAAATCTGTATCAGCCTTGCATTATGCTGTACTTCTGGTTGGGTACCACTCTCTTCTGAGCCTTGGATGAGTGAAGAACAACATCAGAAGTACCTACATTAGCCTATTCTGAATCCCTCCCCCCGTATCGTGACATGACTATGGAGCAAAGAACATTTCCACTGATCATACGTAAGGTACCATCAACAAAGCGCCACTCCTCTGCTGTTAAGGCATTTTCAGAGATCAGCCGCTCAATTTCGGCATCAATTTCAGTCTCGATGTGTAGCTGGAGAGCCTGTGTTATAGCCACAGCTGCCTGGGTAGTGTGCCGGGAAACCAGTTTGTTCATCACATCAACCGCATTGATCATATACAAAACCTTTCCTGAATCAAAGGCCTGTTTCTCCTTCTTCCATGATCCCAGATCATTTGCAATAGACACATGATCCTTTACCAAGTGGATATATCTCTCCAGGCGAGCACTGGTGAGATCAACGGGGCAGTTGAGACTAAATTTGGCGCAGCTCAAAACATATCTGTAGAGGCATCAGCCAGATCCGTCCATTTAGGTCGGTTTATAAAAAGTACATATTTGTTGAACCAAGGGAATCCTTACGGGAGCGCAGCATCCACATGCCGGTATAGCAGGAATTCTTCCATGTTCTTATATTCCTTTGGTGGGGGTGGCCTCAGAAAGAATTCTACCATCTGTTCGATCATCTCCTGGCCGACGTTGTTACCGGAGGCAGCGTCGACCTCCCTGATCTCCAACATTGTTTGATCAATCATTGATTGAAAAGTAGACGTATGTTTGCCGGTAGCTATAAATCCTGGCTGCATGCGAGATATAAAGACATCTTTCACACTCGTAAACTAGATAATCTCATGCCGTAATTAGAAACTTATCATTTGACAAAGTATTCTGGATTGACCTACCGAGTCGGCTCCGTGCATCTCCCAGAAGTCTGGTGAATTACGTACAGTCAGCTAGATACAATTTAGCAGTATTTGAATCGTTGGATAGCTTCGGGTGAATCTCGCAGAAGGACATTACCGTCAAACACAAAGATGAACACATTGACCACTGCTAGGAGCCGCGTGCGTTGTCTATCGCCCTCCGCAAACATATATGCTGTAAACTTGGTCCAACCCTCATCCATCTGGGTGCCAAGTTCCTTACGCGCGATTTCGGCGATTGACTGTCCAGACTTGAGGATCCGCTGGACAGATTCATCAGCAGCAAGATGCGCTAGGAACGCTCTCGTCGTATCAATAGTCAGTTGCCAGTATTTGCTTTGGCGGCATGGTTGGATCCCAGATGCCCATGGAAGGCCTGCCTGGATGGGAAAGATATCAATTGCGTGGCTACTTCGGTGAATGTCTTCTCGATCATCCTGGCTACTCATTCGCAGGAACTTCCCAGACCGCAAGTGATCATTGAGGTTTAAATCGGGCAGCGAGAGGTAGCTAGTTCCTTTTAAGTAGTCGTAGGCGTAATTGACAGGAAACTGGTTTTCCCGATCTTCTAGCGAGGATAGACCCTCTGTTTGGTTGTAAATCTAAGACCACAGAAAGCATGGAGAATATTTACCTTTCACAGATGACGCAGTTCTTATGCCGTTAGTGGACATTTTCAAACTCGTGGCTTGTGTCTATAGGAAGTTGTGAGTTAGGTAAATGAAGAAAATGTTTCAACAGACAGGGGCGTGGTAGAGGGGTGGTTATAAACGAGGAGGTTAATCTCAGCCTGCAGCGTGTATGTCTACAGACCACACTTCAACATTAGATTGGAGACCTAGAACATGAATACTACATTATGGCGTAGCAAAAGGCCTACCGGGGTCAGTTCTAGTTCTCTATTGGGGGGCCACTACAGCCTTCTATTGGATGTCATGCGAGTGTAGGCGAAGGCTGCGGCTGACGAGAAGGCCAAGGCACGAGAGTGGAAGAATGTTACGCTTCTCTTTTGGTCTTCTGGGTTTGCATGAAACATCCCACGAGATTCTACGGCAAATTACGGTACTTTAACAAAGACTCTTTCATCATTACTAACTAGTCAATACTCGTTCCTGGTCATCAGTCGTGACGGATAACCCCATCACAACATGGACTCCGCAAAAGACAGTATACCCACTAGATCTACTGTAAGGACGCTTACGACGGACTGACGATACCAGAAAGTATAGAAATAGAGCAGAGAATTGATTGAATCAAAGCAAATACCATATTAAGATAGCCACGAGTCAATCCCAGCACCACAGGCGAGGGAGACAATCAGAACCGGCCAGAACAAGAAACCGAGAGCGGTTTAAAAATAATAATAGCAAAAGATAGTCAGACTGAATAAGAAAGGGAAAACACGGAAGACGTGTATGATCAAACGTCTCAAACTTTTATAGAGATCCAGATTGAAGCAAACTGGTATCTCGGTGAGACATCGAGGCTAGGCTTAACCCATCACCCGCGCCCACCACAGAACCCTAAACGGGTCGGCATGAACCAAAGCCGAAAAGACAGGAAACAGGGAAACATATTATGGAAAGGAAAGCAAGCATCATGATCACTGGAAGGTGTTTTGGATTTGGAGTTGAGCCTTGAGTTTGGCAATCTCTTCGTCGCGAGCGGCAATGATGTCCTCGAGCTCCTCGATGCGGCGCTCGGAAACGGCCTGGCGCTCCATCTTCTTGGCACGAGACTTGCGAGCGGCCTCGGTGTTACGGGCACGCTTGGCAGCGACGGGGTCGTTGGGGTCGAACTCAACGGGAGAGAGATTCTTGCGCGAGCGGGCGCAGACTCCAGCGATGCTCGAGTGCTTGACACCGCCAGAGGCAGGGACAGGCGACGACCGAGTGGGAGAAGAACGCTTGAGGGCAGGCGAGGCAGGAGACGAAGGAGCGACAGACACGCGTAGAGATGGCTTCTTGGGCTGCTCCGCAGCAAGAACGGCTGCGACGTCAAGGGAGGCAACGTCGAAGGCGTTCATGTGTTCCGAGCCGTCAAAGAGAGACGGCCATTCCTCGTGGCCTACCAGGTCCATGTCGGTGAACATGGGCGAGGTATTCTGGGAGAAATTGCCGGGCGACTCGAATGAGGGGGTGCTCAGGTCGGTGAATGTGCCAGAGGGAGGAACGGAGCTGTCCATCATGAGGTCCTTGGGGGAGATGGTACCAGGAGGACCAGAGAACAGCTCGTCATCGCCCATATGAATAGAGTCAAAAGCGAGAGGAGAATCCATGCCGTTGAAACCGGCAGAGGGAAGACCGAAAAGGTCGTCGTGAGGGGCTTGGGTAGAGTTAGCGATAAATTCGGTTGAATAAGGTGAGACGTATGGTAAATTACCTTCCAGGAAGTTGGGAGTAGACATGATGCGACGATATGTTTGAGTGTTTTGTTGTTGGTTCGAGGCCTGACCGTTGAAAAGCGGTATCGGCGGACGGTTGGTGTGTGGAGAATTGGAAGGCACAGAAGCCGCGTGATGACGGGTGTGCTTGAACGTAGGGTGGGACCAATAAGAGGGGGACCGGGCAAGCTGGGTCACTCTGGGGTCTGGAACAGGAGAGCCAGAGAGCTGCTGCTGAAGGTGTCGGTGCAACTGCAGATTGAAGGAGTTTCGTCGAGAATTATTCTGCGCCAAGAATGGCTGGAGAGCAGACGGTCTAAGGGTTGTGTTCACGGTCGGAGCACGCGAGTCTCTGCGAGGCTGCGGTCTGGGAGCGGAGGGATAGAGCACAAAGTCCTCTCGGGAACTGTTGTTGTTGCTGTTGTTGTTGTTCTGATTGGAAGCCAAGGGCTGGGTGTGCGGGGGCGAAGGAAGCCATGGTTGCTGTTGGTAATCCGTGGTGAACGACGAAAAGTCGAACGGGGAAAGGTTGTTGTGAGAAGAACTTGAGCTACGCGAAGCGATGCTGAAGTTCAGAGATCCTGGGACAGGAGACTCTGAAGGGGTAACAGTTGAGGAAGAAGGGTGGGTTCCGGTTGGAAAAATGATGTCGTTCTCTGTTGAGAAAGACTGGCTAGTGCGAGACGGGGAGCTTAGAAGACACCCATTGTGGCTGTATGTATTTCGAGTGTAGTTGTGGTCAGGTAGCAATTTGGCGGTTGAGATGTAAATGTGGGATGAAATAAAAGGGTGAAACAGGTATGAGAAAGAAAGAAAAAATCAGGCACTCGCGGGGACTCAGGCACTACTTAAGCGTTTCGGGCTCAGTGTGCGGTGCTGACCAATCGGGGCCCAGAGCCGCACGGGGCTGAGTGATGGGCAGGTCACGGGGTGTGAGTCACAGGCATATACGCGATGCTGATTGGCCCACTGGCGAAGATTCCCAGGCATCCGTCCTGGATACATCTGGATACCTGCGCGTCCTGCATTTCTTACATGCACTAAAGGTATCTTCCAGGTACCGACTCCACTCGTCCAACCCTATAATCTCTTTTCCATGGATGTTTGATTTAGTATACTCTCAATTCACCTCTATTCAAAACAGTCTATATTCAACTAGGCATTGTCTCATTGTTACCCCTCTATATCATGTGCGCTTACTTGGAGAATCAGGGAAGCCTACGGGGCTTACCCTCGTGTATCGGAATGACGCTCTTTAGATAGTGCAGGCTCCACCGATCTTTTCCCAATTTTGTCCCCGCGGTGGGCTGTGTCCATGGCCCGTGTCCTATGAAGAGTCCGCTTTTCTCTTAGCCTTGCCGAAGGGCGTAAAATTGACTTTGACATTCTCCATCGGATCCGGAGTTGATGTTATTAACTCCGGTTCTACAGCGATTTTGAAAGGTTGCTACACGTATGTGCTAGGGGAACCTCGGTGGCTTTAAATGGCATGAGCAATTTCATGTTTCCAAGAAATATCGGCTACGGTTACTACTACAGGACTCGTTCCTGGGACTAAGGTCCTTGGCGGGACAAGCCCTCGCGGTTTAGGCCCCAATTTAGCGGTTTCTTTTTCCACCATTCTCGTGTTTCGTTTTGTGTGCTCAGGATCCGACCCGGTCCCGAATCGGGAGCCCGCTATCGACAGGATTTTTGATTGGCATGACTATGCATGTGCCTTGTTCTGTAGATTCACCCGACCAAGAGATACAATTGAATTTCAATATTCGCAAGCCACTTTTCTACACAGCACTGATATTATGGTTTTAGAAACTACTGTGGTGCACAGTGGATCCACAAGCTTTCTTGATTCTGTGCGAACTATTCCTCGCTTACATGGCTTCTAGAAAATTGGTATTGACGGCAAATACGTCAATCTCATACCGTATACTATCTATAAGAGTCCAGACCCGCTTCCTATGTTGTGAAATCAGGCTTTTGTTTCGTAAACCTAGACCAATTCAGTAGCTGGTGTTCATGGACTGGCGGTATAGGTAGGTAAGGCACTTGAATAGTTGAATTGATGGCAGTTGTACGTGCCGACCTCAAAATAACCATGGCTTTGGAAATCTAATTTACATCGTTTGTCCAGGGGGTCAGGTTTATTGGACAGTTCAGATTTGACAATCAGCGTGATGATAGTCGATCTACATAGAACTGCAACTGTATAATCTACAAAAAACAAGGCAACCCATCCATCCCCCTTCATACGTCTCAAGAATGGCTATAATATTACCCCTTGCATTTTGCATATACGGTACTGCTCTGACTCCAGGCTACCAAGAACTTACAACCAAGAACGAGGCGACTAACATTGTGGATGCTGATACCAGAGTTCGAGCTCATTCCTAGAGGTAAGCGACCACGGCACCTTGTGGCGTGTACAGAGTCATGTACATGTGGCATTAGCAATGGCATTGACACGAGGCCCCTATTCGCTGGTGAGCTCTCGTAGACAGAATGTACATACAGTGGGGTCACTTAAATCTGTTGATAGCCTGTCGGGGTACAATTAGCAATCTCGGAGTTACCACTGGACAACGGCCAAAGGAGAGGTGAAAAGAGAGATGCACAACAGAGCGAAAATAAAAAATTAAACGGCATGCTCGCTTCGGGGCATCCGGATGTATGAAAGTACTTCACTGTATACGCAATTGTGACACTCGTTGTACAATATACAGCAGTTCGCATGCAAGACCCCTAAGCTTCAAGATTACATGTAACGCATCTCGATGGAGTCACTAAAGGATCGACTGCCGCATTGCTTGCATTGGGCCCTGCAGCGGGTTCCCACCGACGTCGCATCGGACCCATATAAGATCAACGGGTATATCGGTCGACCGCGACGCCAACACTACGGTGTACGACCAATGTCATGTACAGAACAGCACACGGCTACGGAGAACTTGATTACGTGGCAAATATAAAACAAAAACTGAGTGATTCTATTAAGTATTACCTATCGCAAGGCGTGTCACCTTCACGGGAGGAAAATAAACCAGCCGCAGGGAACAGGTACAACGGTAGACAACATTAGAGGGACAATTTGGAGGTCGCAGGAAAAGAAGCAAGTCAAAGACGAGATCAAAATCCAAGCAACAAAGCCAAAAAATATCACCCATCCTCCCCACAGGGTATCGAACACGAAAGCAAGTAACCAAAAACGGCAGTGGTATCAATCTAGTCGGGCGACACACCACGTAACGCATAAGCACATCGCGAGTTAAAGTCAAGACGTGGTTTGCAGGTCGTAAAAGGAATGAACAGCAGTCACGGAGGGCTGCTGGCGTCGTTTGCGCCGATGGTATTATTTTTTAGAGAAAAAGAGATTAAAAATCGACAGCGGGTATCTCATTGTCATCATCTCAGATCCCAGGTCGAAATATGAAACCGTGGAGTGTTGGGATGATGACAGTGGCGAGCAAAAACAGAACAAAACAGCAACGGAGCGAAACGGTGTCAAATCTGCACCTTCAAGTCTCAACGGATGAGGCCGTCAGGGATATCGTGGGCCATGGGTGGGTAGGACATGTCCCACCATCTTTCAAACTCCACGACACGTCTCCGAGAAGTATCAGTTCATGCAGCAGCCTGGACAGGGGTGGAGGCGGGCACGTTGACGTTCTTGGCCTCCTCGGTGACCTCCTCGACGGGCTTGGGGGCCTCCTCGACAGCAGCGGGGGTCTCCTCGGTATCCTTGGCGGGAACGGCGGGGGTCTCCTCAGCCTTGTCGGCCTTTGCCTCAGTCTCAGCGGCAGCAACCTCCTCCTTGTCGAGCTTAACAGCCTTGGAGGGCTTACGGAAAAGACCGCCGAGCTTGTTGGACTTGGCCTTGGTCTCGCCGTCAGTGGCCTCATTATCGGAGTCGGCCTTCTTCTCCTTCTTGATACCGAGGTTACCGAAGAAAGAAGTACGGCGCTTCTCCTTGGGGGTGGAGGCCTCGGCGACGGGGGCCTCAGTAGCAGCCTCCTTGGGCGCCTCAGCCTCGGCGGGAGCAGTCACGCTCTCGGGCTCGATGGGCTTGACAGCTGCCTCCTCAACGGGGTTCTCCAGCTGGGGGGCAGTGCTAGCGACAGCAGTCTCCTCGGTAGCGGGAGCAGTAGCCTCCTTCTCAGTCTTCTCCTGGGAGGGGCTAGCGACCTTCTGGAAGAAGTTTCCAAAGATAGAAGCGCGCTTGGACTTCTTTTCCTCCTTCTTCTCCTCCTTGGGCTCCTCCTTGGCGGCCTCAGTGGCCTCAGCGGGGGCAGCAGCCTCGGTGGTCTCAGTAGCCTCAGCAGGAGTCTCGGTGGTTTCAGTGGCAGCGGGGGTCTCAGCAGCAACCTCAGTGGCGGGCTCCTCGGCCTTGGCCTCCTCAGCAACAGCGGGAGTCTCCTCCTTCTTGTCCTCGACCTTCTCTTCCTTCTTCTCCTCGGCGTCCTTCTTACCGAGGAAGGAACCGAAGATGCTGGTGCGCTTGCGAGACTGGGAGCGGCTCTTGGCAGCCGCCTTCTCCTCCTTCTTCTCTTCCTTAGGCTCCTCCTTGGCGGGCTCAGCGGCCTCGGCGGGGGTCTCCTCCTTCTTGTCCTCAGTCTTCTTCTCCTCGGGCTTCTTGGCGGCGGCAACGGCGACAGCGGGCTTGGTCAGCTTCTCGAGCTCAGCCTTGTACCCCTCGCTGGAGGTGATGGTCTCCTTCTCAGCTTTGGCCTCAGTGGACTTGGCCTCGATGGCGGCAACCCAGCTGTCACGCTCAGCGGCGCTGGAGGCCTGGAAGGTGTGCTTCTGGCCACCAACCTTGAAGAGGAACTCGCTGGATCCTTCCTTGGTCACATCAGAGACATCAGCCTGTCCAGTTGTCAGTCTTTGTCGCATCATATCCGAGTCGCGTGTGTACTCACAAGGTTGAAAATGCCAGCGGGGGTGGCCTTGTCCTCAGCGCGCTTGGTGAAGAAAAGGAGACCCTTACCAGTCTGGCTGGCCCAGGCAGCGATGGGGTTGGCGACGGCGGGCTTCTCGTTCTGGTGGAAAATGGAGAGTTGCTTGCTCTCAACAGCCTCCTCGCTGAAGTAGAAGTGGCGCTTGGAGAAACGGAAACCCCTAAACGAACAAACTCGTTAGCTTGCGATATCTCTGCAATCGCCATCACAGGTGCAACTTACTTAACGAGACCGGGGGCCTTGTAGCCGAGAGTGCCCTCGCTGGCGGGCTTCACCTCCTCCTTGGCAGGCTCAGCAGCCTCGGTGGTCTCCTCAACGGCGGGAGTAGCAGTGGCCTCAGTAGCCTCAGTGGCAGTCTCCTTGGGAGCCTCGGTGGTCTCAGCGGGAGCCTCGACGGCGGTCTCAACAGCAGGGACGGCCGCGGGGGTCTCCTCAACAGTCTTCTGAACTTCAGACATGATTATAAGTATTAAACCGAAGTTGGCTGGGGTATTAATTAAAGAAGCAGAGCTTCGTAGAAAAAGCGGTTTGGGGTATTGGGTATCTCAAAGGAAAGCAAAAGAAATAAGAGCTACAAGAAGAGCTCGGGTATCACGAAGTCAGAAAGGGGGGTATGAGAAAGGGAAGAAGAAGGAGAGAAAAGGGAGAAAAAGAAGAGAGGGCGCTTGCGCCTCCCAAAGAGGAAAAGACCTGCAGGGAGCCCAGACGGTGGGGCTGATTATGTAACTCTCAGGGGTTAATTTCTTTTCTTTTCTTTTTTCTTATTTTTACTTATTTTTTACATTATTTTCTTGTTGTTCTAGTTTTTGGATCTTGTTTCTACTATCTTCCATTTTACAATATCCTCTCTACAGTACTTCGTACTCTGTAATCTGCACAGTTAAGATCTAACTTTTCTGTGCTTGTGAAACATAAGCCATTTATACAGACGAATCCGATATTCTTTGTCTAGTATGACGCTAGAACACATGGTCTAACTGAATCTAGCTCGATATTGATTGGGATGAAAACTCTTCTCAATCTTGGCTAAAGGTTCATGAAACCAGTATCACACCATAGATCGACCATGCAGGTTGAACGGCTCTGGTATGGTCGCCCCTAATTTACCCGTGCAGCTCGGATCCTCTTACCGATATGACAGCAAATTAAGAGCTTTTCGACACGCGACAAGGTGTCTCTCGTGGTGCTTTCTAGCATATTCATCAATCTGCTGCGCCGACTGAAAAAATATATACATCTAATCGTCATGGCGGGGTTCTCGGCGGCAGGTCATCTGGCCGCCGCTATGGATGTATATGAGTGGACGATTTCATACTTCCTGGCCCGTAAGGAGGTTTCTACGATTCGATGGACCGCCGCCTCCGTTGGGCATCCATTCCACATCGCCTTTCTAGTTGTCCGTTACACGGGTCAAGGGGGCCGTTGAAACCACCATTCGTATTTCTAAATCAAATGGGGGCGTTTGGGACTTTCGTTTTACTCCGCATTCAAACTTGCCGGGCTCTCCCTCGGAAGGGCTATCAGGACTTTGTATCCCTTTGAAAGTCCTACTGTAAGGCCATCCCTGTACACACCCCCACCACAAACTAGCCTGTCATTTTCGTGTTTCATGATGATCCTGGGACGAACTCAGTGGTATTGGCCGGGTGTGTACCCATCTTTCGGTTCTGCAGAATGGTTGGTTATCACGATTGCAATCTTGAGACCCCATGACCCTCTGATATCGGACTCTATGAGTGGCGTGCCATCCCTCGTGGACAACCAACCAGCAGTAGTACAACCCCTCCTTTCTGCGCATTTTGGAATCTGATGTGCCCTATCACTGGCGTGTCAACAATCATGCAACGATCCCGTGATACTTAAAGAAACTTTTTGGATCGCCTCTTTTTACGTGATACTCGCATCATTCCATAGAATGTTCAACTTCTAACCGGAATACGAATCATACTGTACACTATAACTCCAAATGCCCCTAATTAAGCCCCTTTCCTCTTTTATAGTCCTGGGTCAAACACTCAAAAAAGTACGAAGTCTCCACTTCACTAATGACGCCAGTTCCATGTCTCAACGAATAGGGGGCTGGCCAGCCCTACCTAGAACCTCTGGATCAAAGAACTTTGTGCTGTGTTTTAGGTGACTCATTTTATCCACATTTACCTGCAAGCTCTCAGGCAGAAAGAAACCGTCGACCTCAACCTATACATGTTGTATTCTACGGAGTAACACCGTGAGGGAAAGACCGTTCTGCCGCCTCCTACTGGCACTATGTCTCTGATCTACAACGACTATCAGACCGATCAACACGCGGTCCCGACACACTCTGCCAGACTACCACCTTCGGAGCATTTCCAGTAATGATAGCCACACGGGTGATCCACTCCCCTGCTCAGAGACACATCACACCCTATCATAAGCCCCTTTTCCACCCGTTACGGCCAAGACTAACCATTTGCCAATCCTGCCGTTTCCGTCCTTTTTTTGCGGTCGCGAGGCACCAGTCTGGGCCCTGATTCTGCTGGCACTGCTGACTGGCTACAGGCACGCTGGCCATCGTCGATCCTACAGGCTCTTCCTTGGTGATCTTTCTCTTTCTTGACGCCGCAAACTTTGACACCATGCAAGTGCCATGCGTGTAGTTAGCGGCGATTAGGGATTCTCTTTCCCGCTTTTCGGGATGTACATGTACTGTAACTGTACATGTACCCTCTCTTCCATCGTGATATACTGGTACATGCATGTACATGGACTTGCGGACTACACTACTGTCTTTAGACATGCAGGATATAGGATGCATCCCACCAAAGACACACAAAAAGAAGCAAAAGACTAGCGACGCAACACTAGCAAGAAAACCCAAAAAAAAAAAAAAGGAAAAAAAAGATATCGTCCAGGCGAATCCCGTAAATTAATCTGCGAAGCACGGACTCGACATGCGGTGAACAGGGAGTCGCATTTCCCGAGCATCAAGCTCTCCGAAGCACACCGTTCCCTCTAGCGTGCTACTAGACCAGGCTTCAGGAGGTCCTTAACCATGGCACACTTTGATGAGGATGCGCGCCTGATTGATATTAGCTTGAGATTAAGAGTGGGTTTCAGCCATATGGCTACTGTGTCCTCTTGCAAAGGGATCTTTTTCTGAACAGAGCAAAACTTCCGACGGACGATATCCCAATTAGTTCTGGATACGAAATTCTCATGGTTCTGGTTTTTAATGCTACGGAGGACCACAATACAAAGTTGTGGAATAGGGGTGTGGATCCACATAAGCTTGGTGATGGAGCCTGGCTTTTTGAGGCGTCGAGTGGTTTACGAGAAGGATCAATTATTGACTATTTTCGCAACTGTGCTCAAGGTCCTGTAGACACTATTTCCAAACATGTGCCCTGGGCGGTTATGTACAGTAGGAGAATGACATGCAAGGCACGGGCCGACAGGTACAGACCTAGCTATAATAGGCCTGTAGGTAGCTGGAGGCGCCCAAGTAACAAGCAAGGGATGAGTCCCCCCCCGTCGCTCGGTTACGAACCAATGATATCCCGGACTCGTTTCTCGCTTAGCTTCGGATCTGTCTACTTTCGGACTAGCGCTTTTTTCGACTAACATATATACTCCCTCCTCTCGCCATTCTTCCTCTCCTTCTTCTTTCTTCTTCATACTTACCTTGTTTGGGTGGCTGCGATCATGAAGGCGGCTCACCACAGATTGGTCCCTGCATTGCACAGCGCGGCGGAACAGTTTGTTCAACGGCTTTCGGGTCATTGACAGGCGTATTCTTTGGCACTCTCCATTCGTGGACTCTTTTCTTTTCATCAACCTTCGGGCCAGTGGCTCGAGATTGGAGAAGAGGATTCGTAGCTTGTAATGTAAATAAATGTTCCTTTAGTGTGTTGAACTCTTCTGCATGTCGGAAGTTCGCGGTGTCGCGTGGATCCCCGCTGTCGCGGAGTTCTGTCAACACTCGCGCAAGATGCGACAAGACTAGGCCAGTGTCAACACGAACTTGTCTCCGATTTGTCTTTCTTGACCAGACAGCTTCTCTGCTGCTCGTGTTCCTGATTCTACGATGTAGCCCATCTCCCACTCCACCGGGCAGTGCCTGTGTTGATATGACGTCTGACTCAAAAGCCGCCTCGCCACACCTGTGGCGAGAGCTCCAAATCCACTCTGCTATAATTGAAGCAGCAACCTACTCTCACAAGCCACAGCTCACACAAGACTGATCACCAGGATCTACCGTGCACATTCAAGAACCTCGTCTTAACAACTCTTTCATCCTCCATCCCCCAGACCACCGACTATCCCGTCGCATCCGCAAATCCGGCGCCCAACATGCCCGTCCCAACCGCCGAGCTCTTCGACAAGCAGAACAAAGCAAATGGCACAAACTCCACGACAAATGGGCACTCCAATTCCAGTACAGAGCAAAATTCCAACGAAAGCTACTTCACATCTACTGGCGGCGCGCCCGCTGCGTCCGGTTCGTCGGCGCAGAATGGGGAGAGTGGTCGCGCTCTGACCCGTGAGGAGGCGGATCGCTTGTATGAGGAGCGGATGGAGGAAGAATATGCTAAGAGAGATGGTGGCGCTTGAACGCGATCTCGAGGATATTCATTCTCCTGTCGTGCTGCTGGGTGCCATCCCCGGGTGAATATGACTTGACCCGCGCGTACTTGGAGTTGGGCTTCTTCTTTCTTTCATGGATATGCTATACATTCTTGATCTTTACTCTCCAGTCGATATTCGATTATTTTTGTGGCTTGGTTATGATTTATTGAAGTACAGGTAGTATTTCTGGGTTGTGTAGAAAATATATAACTTATAGTATAAGTGTCGACATAGCCTCAAGCGATTTAAAGCTTTAAATCGCTCTATTGGTTCGAATTTATTTATTTATCACAGAGATAACCATTTACGCAACCAAGTGCCCGAGTGTATAGTATCTAGGCTTGGAATTAAAAGACCACTAGACATGACTCATGGGTGGTCGTCTCGAAATTGCGTCGACACCAACATAAACAGCACACTCAACTACATAGCGACACTTTATTTGGTAATAACACGATTGATAGTTTTCAGTTGGTTACAGGCTAACATTGGAAATTCAGAAATTGAGAATTGTACAGGTTCAAGCCTAATACCAGCCCGAATATAAACACCCGCCAACATGAGTTTCTACCCCGACCAAGTCACCACGGTGATTGTCCCCAGCAATGCAGAACCCATATACACGAAAAGATTGTATCTACGACCCATAACCATGGCAGACGCCGCTGCAGTCTTCGATTTTAGACGTCGGCAAGAGGTGGCAGACTGGCTGTAAGACAAGATCCCAACGTAAAGATCGCAAAAGACCAAGAAAAAGACAGAATACCTGACCAATCTATAGCCGACAAAAGATTCCTCACCAGCATATATCAGAATCGGAAGCTCTAATCGCCCAAAAGACATTCACAACGCCAGATGCAGCAGGCACATTCGGACGACAGTTCTTCTTTGCCATAATCCGCTTGAATGATCCATTAAAAAGGGTCATCCGTGCTGCGGGAGTCAATTCTCTTGTGCCGGCACCGTCTATTGGATATACTCTCCATCCTGACTTCTGGGGGAATGGCTATGCCACTGAGGCTGTTACTGCTATTGTGGATCAGTGGTGTAAGCTTCCAAGAAGGAATCCAGGAGAGCTGGAATTGGAATTGCCGAAAGAGAGGCTGTTTGCGGCTTGCAATAAGAAGAATGTTGGTAGTGTCAAGGTGTTGCAAAGAACTGGATTTGTCATGTATGATGAACTGGTCCTTGAGGACGAAGTGGCTGCTCTTTTTGAATTAGAGATACCACTGAGTTGAGTTGCAGAGACAGGTAAATTACGGTATAGACTCAGAGTATCGTGATTGCAGTGATATTGTGTCCTGTTGTAAACAGCAAGTGACTTCCGGGACATTTGTGCTGTGCAGTCATTTCTAGCCATGTATAAGCCATGAAAGAACCACTATTTCTTCTTTCTCTTTCTTTCTGCATCAACACATCTCACCTTACAGACATTTTCCATCACTAGTACCTACAATTAAGACTGCCTTTTCAACAATCCAACACAACAACCATGTGGGTCAAAACCCATGAAATACCCCTGGGACGACGGTAAATTTACCAGCCCACTCGTCATCTTTGCTGTCTTCAGTCGCTTTCTCATACAATCAACGCCGCCAAGGTGATGCCGCAGCTTTACCGCCGCGCCTCATAAAGAACTGCATTCTTATTGCCGGCACGATCTTTACAATGTGTTCTAATAGCGCTACTAATGTGCTGGAGTATTATCTACCCAGCTATTATGTACGTGAGCACTCTCCTATTATAAGAGGTTATTTGATGATCCCAATAGTGGTTGTCGCCATTGTTGGAATGCTCCTCTGCGGATCCGGAACTAGCACAATCGGTTACAATACGCCATTCAGGATCTTTTCTTCTCTGCTGACTCCCATTTTTGCGAGCCTTATAGCAGCCTTTGGAGCTGGCACGAGCTTTGTACGACTGATCCTATACCCTGGCGCATCCGGCTTCGCCAGCGGAATATACTTCAACGCACTAATCACTGCCGTACAGGCAGCACTACTAACCGACGATGTCTCACTAGGCCTGTCTGTTGTGCTCTTTGCGCAGCACCTCGGCCCCGCTGTGTCCGTTGCTATAGCACTCACTTTCTACAAATAAAGTTTCGACTAACCTAGCCCAAGTAGTCCCGGGCTTGCATCCTGAGACTATTGAATCCGACTGACTATCGGATGTCGCGGGGCGTGCGTCGTCGGCTCAACATTGGGAGGTATTTGAGGTTATTAATAGGGATTTTTGCGAAACTTGGTATCTGGCCGTTGGACTGGCGTGTGCAAATTTGATTGGCAGGAGCTGTCGCCGAAGGACTTAAGCTTACAGGCACTACTGAGGCTGCTCAGGGCCAGCAGACTCAGAGCCAGATTCAGACTCGGGCGGGCAAGCTTTGAGATCGTTTTGGTAGTTGGGTGTACTGGTTCAAAGGCGCGTTTGGCCGTCTCCAAGTCAACTTCTTGATGGATCTCGTAGACGATACCTTTTCCGAATTTCTTGTCGACAATAAGGTAGCGGCCTGGCGTTTGCAGCGAGGTCTGAGGTGTATTCGCTGAGGATGATATCGATGTTGGTACGATTGAGGATCTTGATGGGCATGATTTTGAGTAGTGAATCTGGGGGAAATCAAGAGGTATTTATATTCTGGAAAATGGTGCTGGCTAATCTGTGCTGGTGGTATAATAGTTGAAGTAGATAAGTAATGAGTTGAGATATTTGGGGGGTTGGAACTTGGTGGGGGGGGCAGGTGGAAGGGCTTTGGTAAGGCTAACTACATCCTTTTCAGCTAGGGGGCCATATAGGTCACGCTTATTGAATTCTAAAACGTATAGAAAAAGCTCCATATCCGGTTTATATCCATGCATTAGATTCGATATCCTGCCTGTACGAATTCTTTGTCATCAATCTGTGTTATGTCATCAATTGACGGTTCAAGGTCACGTGTGACCAAAGCGGCCAGCTTGACCGAGCCACATCGAGAACAAGCAGCATCTAAGGAGAGCCGTCAGGACTCTTGCAACAACCCACATCGAGATCTGTGTCTCTCTTTGGATTTATTGCCCTAACTGGGTCTCTCATTTATTTCCCTCCTGCCCTTGGTGAGACGACACGGCTCTTGGTAGCCTCCTTTCCATCATGGCTCCGCAGGACACCTTCTTCCGCTCGGCTGATATGAGCTTGACACAGCTCTATATTGCCAACGAAATCGGAAGAGAGGTTGTGAGTGCTTTGGGCGAAGTTGGCGAGGTTCAGTTCCGTGATGTAAGTTGCGCAGAAGGCTTTGCTCTGATGACCCCCGCTGATCTGTTTCTAGCTGAACCCGGACACGAACGCTTTCCAACGTACATTTACCAAGGAGATTCGTCGCCTAGACAATGTTGAGAGACAGCTCCGTAAGTTTTCCCCCGCTAGTCAAGTCGACAATGTCCTAATTTGGCAGGTTATTTCCATTCGCAAATGGACAAGGCCGCCATTCCTATGAGATCTTCTTCCGAATTTTCCGATACTCTGGCTGCTCCCCTGGCCTCCGAGATTGATGAGTTGGCTGATCGCAGTGAGAGCCTCGAGCAGCGAATCGTCTCCCTGAACGACAGCTACGAGACCCTGAAGAAGCGCGAAGTCGAGCTGAGCGAATGGCGGTGGGTGCTGAGAGAGGCCGGTGGTTTCTTCGATCGAGCCCATACCCAAACGGAAGATATCCGCCAATCCTTCGATAACGACGAAGCTCCTTTGCTTCGCGACGTTGAGCAACATGCCCCCGGTCAGAACGGCGACACCCACGGCCAGCAGAGCTTCTCGGAGATGAACATTGGCTTTGTGGCTGGTGTCATCCCCCGAGACCGTATCGGAGCCTTTGAGCGTATCCTCTGGCGTACTCTCCGCGGTAACCTTTACATGAACCAGTCTGAGATCCCGGAGCCTATCATCGACCCGGTCACCAATGAGGAAATCCACAAGAATGTCTTTGTTATCTTTGCCCACGGCAAGAACATCCTTGCTAAGATTCGCAAGATCTCGGAGTCGCTCAACGCATCCTTGTACGGTGTTGACGAGAACAGCGAACTGCGCAGGGACCAGATCCATGAAGTGAACACCCGTTTGGGAGACGTTGGCAACGTGTTGAACAACACCAAGAACACCCTTGATGCGGAACTTAGACAGATTGCCCGTTCCCTCGCCGCGTGGATGATTATCGTCAAGAAAGAGAAGGCTGTCTATGATACGTTGAACAAGTTCTCGTACGACCAAGCGCGGAAGACGCTGATCGCCGAGGCATGGTGCCCGACAAACTCTCTTGCTTTGATCAAGTCCACTCTTCAGGATGTCAATGACCGTGCCGGGCTCACCGTCCCCACAATTGTCAACCAGATTCGGACCAACAAGACTCCTCCGACTTATGTCAGAACCAACAAGTTCACTGAGGGATTCCAGACTATCATGAATGCTTATGGTATTCCCAAGTACAAGGAGGTCAACCCTGGCTTGTATGCCGTCGTCACTTTTCCCTTCATGTTTGCCGTCATGTTCGGTGACTGCGGTCACGGTGCACTGATGACCATGGCCGCCTCTGCTATGATTTTCTGGGAAAAGAAGTTGCAGCGGACCAAGCTGGATGAGCTGACATATATGGCCTTCTATGGACGATATGTCATGTTGATGATGGGTCTCTTCTCGATTTATACCGGATTTATCTACAACGATATCTTTTCGAAATCCTTTACCGTCTTCCCCAGTCAGTGGCAGTGGCCAGAGGAAATCAAGGCCGGGCAAATGGTCGAGGCGACCTTGAAAGAAGGCTATCGCTTCCCCTTCGGTTTGGACTGGAACTGGCATGAGGCGGACAACTCCTTGCTCTTCTCGAACAGTATGAAGATGAAGATGAGTGTTCTCCTCGGTTGGTGCCACATGACCTACGCACTTTGCCTGCAGTACGTCAACGGACGGCACTTCAAGTCCAAGGTTGACATTTGGGGCAACTTTGTTCCCGGAATGCTCTTCTTCCAGTCTATCTTTGGTTACCTCGTCCTGACCGTGCTCTACAAGTGGTCTGTCAACTGGGGAGAGAAAGGAGAAAACCCCCCAGGTCTCCTCAACATGCTAATCTTCATGTTCCTGAGCCCCGGTACTGTTGAAGAACAGCTCTACCCGGGACAAGGAACGGTACAGGTCCTCTTACTTCTTCTTGCCTTGGTCCAGGTGCCTATCATGCTCTTCCTCAAGCCCTTCTGGCTCCGCTGGGAGCACAACCGGTCTCGTGCCCTTGGTTACCGTGGCCTCGGCGAGCAATCCCGGGTTAGTGCTCTTGAAGACGATGATTTGGACGGTGGCCCGGGCAACCGTGACAGTCTTGCCAGTGACGGAGAGGCTGTCGCCATGATCGCCCAGGATATCCACGAGGGCGAAGAGCATGAGGAATTCGAGTTTGGTGAAGTCATGATCCACCAGGTCATCCACACCATCGAATTCTGTCTCAACTGTATCTCCCACACGGCCTCTTACCTCCGTCTGTGGGCACTGTCACTCGCGCACCAGCAGTTATCAATCGTTCTCTGGACCATGACTATTGGTAGTGCCTTCGACCAGGAGAGCCCCGTCACCCGAGTTATCATGATTGTCGTCAGCTTCTACCTTTGGTTTGTGCTGACAATTGCCATTCTCTGTGTGATGGAGGGAACCAGTGCCATGTTGCACTCGCTCCGTCTGCACTGGGTCGAGTCTATGAGTAAGCACTTTGTCGGCGAGGGTATTCCTTTCACGCCGTTCAGCTTCAAGACTCTTTTGGAGGATGACCCTGTCGACTAGAGAGCTTTTCTTTTCTTTTTCACATGGGATTTCTTCCCACTTTTCTTTGTAATGTAAAGGGTCTAGAATATACATTATTAAGTTCCACCTGATATTGCTCCGTAGATCCCCTGGACTATTATTTTTAGCTCTAGATAGCCTCAATATTGTCGACCGCATTACCTAAATCTGAATCTTTTTCAAGTCCGCATGACTATAAGTGGGGAACAGGGAATTCATTCTTCCGTTGCTGATCCCGAGGCCGAGTCGGGCAAGGGAGAGATCGGAAGAATCTAGACCGTCAACTTGGGTATACTTGCAGGTGTATGTTCAAGATGTAGCTCGGAAAAATTGCTAAGCTATGGGCTATTATAGGATATGAAAATCTGTGATCAGCAATCAAATTTGGCTACTTTTCATTAAATTTATATAGATAGAGCACGGGCATTCCCGGCTTAGGTAGGGGGGAAACCGGGCGAGGGGGTCGGAGGGTCACGCGGGGCAGAATGACGAAAACGAGAGGGCGGCAGTCGGGACTGAGGTCACTCCTCCCCCAGACTACTTCTACCTTGATTCCCCTCTGACGTTACGGTCCACTTACAACTTTTTGTTTCTAAGATTCTTGTTTGGAGCTTGTCACAGTGCTACTTAAGCTTTGCTCAATTCAATTTACCTCAATTGCATCTTTACTTACAATTCCCCTTCTACCCCTCTACAAACCCCCCATCTATATCCCTCAAAATGGCCTCAGGCGCACCCCCCGTCGGACAGGAGAAAATTAACACCGACATTGTCACACTCTCGCGCTTCTTCACGGAAGAGCAGATCAAGTACCCCGAAGCCTCCGGTGACTTCACTCTTCTGTGCCATGCCCTCCAATTCTCCTTCAAGTCCATCGCCTACTACATCCGTCGTGCCTCTCTGATCAACCTGACCGGTCTGGCCGGTTCATCTAACACAACCGGCGACGACCAGAAGAAGCTAGATGTGATCGGCAATGACATCTTCATCTCCGCCATGCGCGGCTCCGGCAAGTGTCGCATCGTTGTCTCAGAAGAAGAGGAAGAGGTGATCAAGTTCGACGAGCACCCCAACGCCCGCTACGCCGTCGTCTGCGATCCCATCGACGGTTCCTCCAATCTGGACGCCGGTGTCTCCGTCGGCACCATCTTCGGTATCTTCCAGCTTCCCGACGAAGTCCTCGGCCCCAACAAGTCCGTCGGCCCCGAGCACCTCCTGCACCCAGGTACCAGCCTCGTCGCCTCTGGCTTCACCATGTACGGTGCCTCCGCCCAGCTGGTCATCACTATGCGCGGTGGCGGCGTCAACGGCTTCACCCTCGAGAACTCCCTCGGCGAGTTCATCCTCACCCACCCCAACATGCAGATGCCCTCCTCGCGCTCCATCTACTCCGTCAACGAGGGTAACAGCATGTACTGGGACGAGTGGTGCAACGCCTACTTCAACAGCCTTAAGTACCCCGGCGAGGACAAGAAACCTTACAGCGCCCGTTACATTGGTAGCATGGTTGCTGATGCCTACCGGACTTTGCTCTACGGTGGTTTGTTCGCCTATCCCGCCGACTCCAAGAGCCCCAAGGGCAAGCTCCGTATCTTGTACGAATGTGCGCCCATGGCTATGCTTTTTGAGAATGCTGGTGGCTTGGCTGTCAACTCTCGCATGGAGCGTTTGATGGAGGTTGTTCCTGAGCACATTCACGATAAGAGTGGTGTCTTCCTTGGCTCCAAGGACGAAGTCCAGAAGGTCATCGATATGTACAACAAGTACCATAAATAAGCGTCTCATCTAGATGTTCTTTGATTCTTTGGATGCCGGGGTACTTGGACTTTTTCCCTCTTACGGTTTTATTCATCGACCTTATTTCAGGATCGATGAGTTAGCTGGTCGGAGTTTGTGGTTTGGTGTCTTGGCATCTGTCTTGCCGTCTTGTTGTTTTAAGCGTTTTATGATACTTCTCGGAAATAAAGGAATTACATTAAATTATTCAAATACTTTTCTCGTCTTGGAAACTGACTTCCACAATTAAAAGCAGGCTAAGCACCATAGAGTACTAGGGCATCATCCCAAGCCATACAGAGTTTGTTCCTCTGGAGCTTTGACAGCGCCCTCATGACTAAGATACTCTGCTTACAGGTATAGCAGTTTAAGCATTCAAAAGTACCCAGATCATGCAAAATATAACCACTCCACGAGTTCCTAGAGCGCCATCTCGGCAATCTAACCTCCCTAACGAATCACGTCCGGACTTGGCAATAGCTTGATGCGATATTGGGATAGCGTCGCCTTCGCCCGTGTCACTCACGATTTGCCGCGATGGCGTGCTCCGGAAATTCCAGATTTAAAGTAACCATGAAGGCCGAGAAGAAAAGCTCACTCGATCTGCAGTGTTCCCCCCATCGCATATTGTATAATCCTATTATCAACAATGGCATCTCATGCTATTGAGAAAGCGCCACACACAACAGAAGCAGAAGACAACCCAGTCATCAAGAAAGAAACCCCACGTGGCTCCGAACCACGCCGCCAGAAATGGTACGAATGGTTTGCACCGACTGATACACCCGCCGAGCGAAAGCTGGTCCTCAAGCTCGATGGGTTGATCATTGTCTTCGTCTTCCTGGCTTATTGGGCTAAGGTCCTTGATTCGTCCGCAACGAGTACCGCCTATGTGAGCGGAATGAAGGAGGATTTGAGGCTATATGGGAATCAGCTGAATTACCTACAGACGGTATACATGTATGCGATCTCTATACTTTCTCTGATATGTGATCTATGGCGCTGATGAGGTTAGGGTTGGATTTATTACTATGCAGATTCCTTTGACGCTGGTGGTTCGTATCTACTTACCATTCGAGCTATGGATGGGGCTCAAAATTGCTAACTGGAAAATACAAATAGATGACCCGCTGCCCAGTCAACTATTTCCTCCCAGCAGCTGATCTATTATGGGGCGTTTTCACTCTGGCACAATACAAAGCCAGCAACGTCACTCAACTCTACGCCTTGCGCTTCTTCGTGGGAGCACTTGGCGGCTTCTTCTTCCCAGCCGTGCAATGGTACCTAGGAAGCTGGTACAAACGCTCAGAACTATCGCGTCGAGGCGCCATCTTCTTCATTGCCAGCCAAGTTGGCAGCATGAGTTCCGGATATATCCAAGCAGGCGCCTATGCCAGACTAGATGGTCGATATGGGATTGAAGGATGGAGATGGCTATACATCATCTGTGAGTGGTTACACATATGCGCAGGCACCTCTCTGTCTACTAGACAGTAACTAACACTCGGACAAAAGGCTTCGCCTGCACAATCCCGATTGCATTCCTCGGCCTTTGTCTCCTGCCCAGCACACCAGATAAATGCACCTCCAGATTCCTGAGCGCAGACGAGATCCGTCTTGCACAAGAGCGCATGGCATCTGAAAACCGCGAGGCTCGCCAACCGTTTACCAAATCGAAGGTCATTCAGATCCTCAAAGGCTGGAGGCTGTGGGTCCTAGTCGCGTTTGCGTTTTTCTTTTCTCAGGCCGACGGCGTATCCTCGAATAGTGGTCTTTCGCTATGGCTCAAAGCAGAGGGATACTCAGTCGAGAATATCAACACGATCACTACGGTCTCGCCGGCTGTTACTATCGTGGCGTCTGTGATCTGTGCGGTCTTCTCGGATATCTATGATGCAAAGGCTAGCTTGATCGCTACAACAGCTGTGCTAAATATCTTCGCTTGCATCGTTCTTGCGATCTGGAATGTCCCCGTTGGCTTGAAATTCTTTGCGTTTTTCTTGTCTGGGACTGCGGATGGTATTGCTGCTATTATCTATGCTTGGGCTAATGAGATTTGTGCTCATAGTGCTGAGGAGCGCGCTATTGTTATTAGTGCCATGAATACTATTGGGAATACTTTTGGGGCTTGGATTCCGCTTTTGTGAGTTCTGGTTTTTGAAGATGTCTGTTATCGGAGCTTGCTGACTTTTTCTTTTTCTTTATATAGTGTCTGGAAGACTGTTGACGCACCTAGGTATCTCATTGGGTATAATTGGACCATTGCACTTGATGTGTGCATGGTTGTTATGTTGGTAGTTTTGCAGCAGTTCTGGGCCCGTGAGCAGAAGCGGTCTCGATCATAGAGTACTATAGGACGTCAAGTCGTTTTACTTAGAGCAAAATACGCCTAATTGGATTTATCAAAGCAATGGATGAATCTTATAGACCAAATTTTACTATGTCTTCCTATATATGTTAGGGGTTGAGTGTAGCCTCCAGCAAAGATATAATGGACGAGAGTCAATCTACAACATCATGAACGGGTTGCGAATTAAACGATTAACTAAAACAAGTGGGGCATAATATTTACATCCTTCTTTATGACCATCTTCAGCATCTTTTATACCTTGTCTCATGGCTGGGAGATATTCCATATTCCATCCATTTCGTGGAAGTTGGGGCACATGACGTAAGCGAAACTCGCCTGGAAGGACACTAGTCCCAATGCAGCCTAAGCTCGGCTGTACGTGGTTCCGCGCCGGAGGAGCTTGAAAAAAGTTCAAATTTGTGTTTTCACTTCTTCTCTTTCCTCCATCCTATGCTCATCCTTCAGCATGATCAATGCTTCTGCAGAAGGGTGACCCAAGTCGATCCTTGGCCTTTGGCCAACCATAAAAACGTTGCAATATGTTTTCCCGCTAACTGGCAGTGGCTCAACAGGATTTGCGAAAATGGTTCGTTCATTTCCCCTTTCCTCTCCTCGACCCCAACCGAACACCCAACATGATGATACCTATAACCAAATACAAACTAGAGTCTTTGATCCTACGGGAAGTGAAACTCATGTTATTGCACGTCAGGCTGATATCACATCACTGCTTTGAATTATCACACAAGCCTTGATTGGACTGAGCTAACTCGCCTTTCCAGGATTTCTTTTTGAAACAAATCTCATCGCAGATTGCAATTTTACAACGAGCACAGATGGTGAGCACTACCCTTCTCTTCCCTCTATCCACCTTTTTACCATGATGAACGCACACGTATTATATACGCTGGAAATTACCGTCTCAGACCTTCGGGTCGTTGATGATAACTAATGGCTATTACTGAACCTTACCTTGACTCCACATTTGCATCCTGCAGAATTTTTCGACCGTATGCTAATGTTTCAAAAGCCCTCTAGGCTTCTGCGCTGTTGGCTCAAATGGTAAGCCTCAGACATTTCACCTACCCTACCATATGTCCGAAGATGAAACGGCACTGGGCTCCGACGGCATTAAAAAAATGTTCGGTCATGATGGATATGCCCATTTTGCGGCAGGCCTAGAAAACCTCGCCCACTGAGACATGTCATATATTCATCGACTTATGAGATGATTTCGTGACACAGTCACTAATCATTTGAATAGAAGCGCATTCTTCCTTTCCGATTGGGAACAACCTGTAATTGTAGAAGGTAGGCGAACCAGTCTTTTATCTCCATCACCCACCTTCTATGATGATACCCTTTTAGATGACGAGTCTGATTCGAGTTTTCGATGCTGACACATCTTTTAAAATAACCATTCATGCCTTTCTGACATTCACCTCTACACATTGTTCACTCATCAAAATTTGTTGGCTTGTGCTAATGATTTTTTAAAGACAGATTTTTCTTTCCATCATGGACTCATCGAGTGCTTGGTCAGATTTTAGGTGTATGTACACCTCGTCTCTTTCCCTCTTCAACCTTTCATGATGAAACGACACAAACAAAGACAAGCATATGTCCGAGCCAGCTTACTGGCGAAGACGAGAACCGTCACGCCTGATTCGTCTCAAGCCTTTTTGACTGCTGCCATGTCCAGTCAGTACAAGATGCTGATGTATCTCGTACAGAACAGAAACAGACTTTGAGAAAACTAATCCCACAGACGCCAATGGCGGCCTGATCCCTATTCGGTAAGCTATTTCTGCTTTCTCCTTCCCTTCCCCATCTTTTAATGATGAATCATTACAACATTATCACGACGGTCAACATAAGGAATTTATATTGATGACCATCGCCTGTGACAAGGCATTGATCTGAAACCCCTCTACACAATCTCTCTCTTGCCATCGTTGTTAGCTGTGATACTAATATCGATTAGTGAACAGGTTCATACCAATGTCGCATCCGACGGTCTTTTGTCGGCCGAGGCACGTGGCCGATCATATCCAAGACTTATTTATAAGTCTGCAGTAGCTAGGAGTTTATGCTCAAGAATACCAATAAGAATGATTTGAGAAACTCCCGAACCTTATTCCCAACATATCAGTCTCTTGATTAGCTCGAAACAAACGCTGGCCCCAGGCAGTCTTTGTTTTTTTGGACACCCCTGCATCTCCAGTAGCTGATAAATCCCGTGTTCTCAGATCTCTTGGCTGTGGTTTGCTAGAGGTGGTGCGGAGACACCAGCCTCAGCCTGTCACAAACAACTATAAGCGCCGAGCACGGGCCATATGTGATGAGAATCTCCAAGCTGCATAACAATCCCCAAGCCTCTCATCCACCCTGGAAAATCCTTCTGCTTCTGTTCCAAATATAGATTCTTTTAGCCCATAGCGCACCACACGACTGGGTCTTCATTCATTGGCCCTATGACGCCGTAAGGATGAATTTCTCCTGCCTAGGCAAGCCAGCCCTCCGCCTAGCTGTAGCAAAGAATAGAAACATTTTAGCGTCTCGCCTGACCAGTGGCCAATAGCTTTCCCTTCTCACATCCTGTTGGGCTTGCGATTTCCTCTCTTCCATCCAGGCGCGCGGTGACCATGGCTTCGGATCGGGTCGCTTCCTAGAAGGCTGCACAGCCCAGTATGAATAGGTTCGCATACACCCATTTGCCTGTGTTTCTTCTGAAACCCCCCTTCTGCCCTTGCTGCGCGCGGATACGATACAATACTGATTGTCCATATCTAGTTGGTTGGGTTCAAATCATGCAGCCGACGAGCAGCCGTTGAGCAATCACTACCCCGGCTGGTCGTCGACAGCTGCTAGTCCGAGTAATCAGCAATCTCCAGGCCGTCGAGAGCATGCCGTCCAGCCGCCTTTGTTGACTACGGCTTTGAGTGGTCCTCAGTATCAGGGCCTCGGCGCTGGTCTGGGGCTTACACCGACGCCTTTATCATCTACTTCGCTTTCGAGCCCTTTTACCCACGGCCAGTCGCCTTGTGTTCCTTCACCCATCAACGGAAGGTCGGCCTCGTCTTCTTCGATGGCGTCGAGGAATGCATACAATGTACCGTACAACCCACAGGACTGGGGGCCCCCCGGTAGGCCTTCGGCGCAGGGCTATCTTCAGCCGGGAAGTATGCATAGGGTGACGCCGCAGAGGAATAATAACCCAGGTTCGTCTAACCCATAGCCCATATATTATATTGGGTTATGCTTGAGAGGCATGAACGTTATTAATGCTTGGTAGATGTGCCGGTATCTCCACCACCTCCACCATATTCACCCCCCAGCAACCAAAATCGAGTACCGCAGGACTTTGCTGGCCCGGCAAACCCTCACTATGCTGCAAATCCTTCTCCACCTAACACGAGAGAAGGTGATTTCGATATGCCTGTTCAATATCAAAGGCGTTCAAACCGACCTCGGCCTCTATCTATGGTATACCCATCTAACGCGGATGCTCACCGTCAGTCTTTGCCTCCTCCGCCTCCACCGCAGGGACACCCAGCGAGTAGATCTGTTTCTCAAAACCGATCTGAGTATCAGGGTGTGCCTTACAATGCCACACCGAATCATAGACCCAGACTGTCTCAGTATGATCAGGGTTATAACGAGCAAATATCTGTGACACCCGCTCACCTAGAGACACCGTCCCGACCCCCTGCATCACGAAGAGCCGCGTCGGCTGGGGCAGTGCCGAGCAGTGCAGGCTCATCGAGGGCGGGAAGTCAAACGAGGAATCGATCACCATCAACAAATAATAATTGGGAACCTGGTATGCCGCTCCCGCCGCCACCTCCAGGACCTCCTCCCACCACAAGGTCCGTCAGCGTAAGCGGCTCATCAGAATCATCCATGAGAACACCTCAAGGGTCTGTTGGCCGGACAAGGAGAGCACCACCTGTGCTAGGAACAGGACTCGGAAGTATCCCGCCCACACCAGCAGACTGGATTGATGAGGGATATCTGAACAGCCGACCAACGGAGCCCTTATACGTCGATACGGCAAAAGCAGCCAAAGCACCAGAGCCGTCAGAAACCGATCCCTATAACACAGCCAACCAAAGAACACCTGGGAGTGGAGGACTTTTCCGCAGCCCAGCAGTTCGCGACCCTAGTGCCAAGGGTATCCGTGAAAGACGAATCGAACGACGTAACCGCCAAAGCCAGGTTTATGAAGATGTCGCCAGCGCAGTATCCACGAGTGGCAACCCATGGGCCGATGCACTCGAGCAGATCAAACCTTCGAATCTCATCCTTCCAGACCAAAACACCAACCCGGATCAGATTCAGCATCCGAAGTCCTCCAGGTACACTCCTCGCAGCACACGCAGTATTGGATCGGAGGATCAGCGGACTGCCTCGCGGTCCCGAGCAGGTTCCACTGGTCTCTTTTCGGACCAATCGTCCTATGGTACCCCCAGACAAGAACCTAGCTCCGCTGGTATTGGTCCCTCTGCGGCATTTGCGCACACGCCTCCGTTCTCACCCAATGGAGAGGGCTCTTCTGGATACCCCAAAGAAGCAAGCCAAGTAATTCCGCCGAAGGCTCTGCCAACTCCACCTCTTAACTCCGGCAAGGAGGTTAGACCACGCTCTCGTGCTCCGTCACGAGGAGCGGAAGACCGTCCTATCTCGCACATTCTTCACATGCCCAACGACGCTTTGTCGATGATGAAGCCATTATCACCGCGTCGGACTCCTGGGCAGCAAACACAGCAGGCATCGATGGAAGCGGTTATCAAACAAGACCCTACATTTTTGCAGGATGCCATGGAACGGCACAAGGCTTTCATCGAGAAAGAATCCAGTGCTGTAGATGAGACTGAAGCGCTCAAGACTTTTGCGGACTATATCCTGGCCGAGTCTCAAATCCGGCGCCAACGATATGCGAAGGTCTGGGAATCCTTTCAAGTTGATGATGTGCGTCGAAACCTCTTCGAGATGCCGGTCATCCAGCCATCGAAGACTAAGCCCCAGCCAAAGTTGGACATACCCTCAAACCGAGCTGGTCGGCCTGAGTCTGCGTGGTGGAATAACTACCAACCATGTCTGTCGCCGATTGCTAGTCTCAATATGAGCAATGATGAGATGAGCTCTCGGGGTCGCGCACCAAGCCGCTGGTGGGAGTCAAAAACTGGTTCTAGCAGTGAGGGTGGGGAGAGGAGGGTTCAACGTTCCAAGCGAGAATCAAAGTATATGGGCTTGCCTCGGGAGGCGATGCAGTGGGACCAGGAGTTGACGCCTTCTCAACCCAAAGACGTCAGTATGAATTACGGGCCCACGGAATATGGCCCTGACGAGTACCCACCTGAGAAAGTCGGATGGCATGAAAACTCTCCTGCGAATCCTACCAGTAGTGGACATCAGTATTCGGAAAACCGCAGACTGGATGTTTCGCGCTTGATCACATTGCCTCCGCCTTATCCTCGACATCACCCTGCCGTGAATAACAGCCACCCAGACCTCGTCACCCATCGAACTACAGTCCGTTCCATTACGGATCTGACTGAAATAAAGACCACCAGGCATCGGTACAAGGCTGATGTGGAACGGATGCTCCAGGAACATCAAGTACAAGTCGACGAGGGTCACCGCCACTTCAAATCTAATATCCAAAGCCAGATCCAGGAAGGAAGTCTCACATTCGCTGAGGCGGCAGAAGCGGAGGCAGCGATGATCGTCGAGGAGAACGAGCGTGAAAGGGCAATGGTAAAACGTCAGCTTGATACGTACCAAGAGATCGTGTTGAAGCCCATACATGTCATACTAGCCGACAGGATTAGCAGAGCAACAGCTTGCATCGACAATTTGAGCAGCATGCTATTCGACGATGCACAGCGTGACACACCAGACTCAACACAGGAAGAGGGCGATGAAAAGCCCGAACTCCTAGAGAAACTGACACAGCTGAAATGGCTCTTCGAAGCCCGCGAGCTGCTTCATCGCGAATTGTTCGACCTCGTCAGTGACCGTGACGACAAGTACAAAGCCGTCGCGCTCCTCCCATACAAGCAGAACAAGAATGAAGACAAGCTGCGGGAGACACAAGCGTTCTTTTCTCAGGATGCACTGGACAGACGCGTAGAGTATGAGAACGAGGCGGTTTCCCGACTTGAATCGTTCCTGAATGTCATTGAGCAGAACGTCGTGCGAGGCGTGGAGGTGCAATTATCCGCTTTCTGGGATATTGCCCCATCGCTCTTGGCGCTTGTGCAGCAGGTGCCTGAGGATCTGCGTGGTTTCCAGGTGCAGATTCCTGCAGATGAATACGAAGAGAATCCGAGCTACCACTCTCACCCGCTGCAGTATCTATACACGCTGCTATCACACGCCGAGAAGTCGAGTTACCAGTTCATCGAGTCGCAGACGAATCTGCTTTGTCTGTTGCATGAAGTGCGGTCTGCTGTTATGCGAGCGAATCGCAATCTCCTGGAAGCGGAGCGCATTAAAAGAGGGGAGACGGAGGTGGATGTGCGTCGTGAGATGGAGATGACTCGTGCTGATGAAGAGCTGGCTCTTACGACGGATCTCAAAGACAAGGTTGCTACTGTTGAGGGTCAATGGACCGAGGCGCTGGGGAGTCAGATTGAAGGGCTCAGGGAACGGGTGAAAGAGCAGCTTGTGAGTGAGGATGGTTGGGAGGAATTGGAGCAATTGGAGGAATAGAGTGTTTTTTATGTTATTGGTTTATGTGATATCCCCATTCGTTCGTTACAGATCTGGTGTTTCTGGCAGTGCCGCGACACTTGGTTTTCTGGCCTTGGACTGGGCTTCAGGGATTGGATCTAGATATACAATATTGAATCTTGACCATTTCATTTATGGATGTTGATGAGAGAAGCTGATAGATGACGATGGTGAATAATTCAGACCCACAGTCACGTGCACCTTCTAGAGTCTTCCGCGCTCAAATAGCTTCTTCCCCCTCAACTCTTCATCTTCCTTTCTCTTTCTTCTCATTCCCCAAGTCTTTGATTCTGGACTTAAAACATTGTCAACTGTAAGTGTACACTGCATTGTTTTCTGCGTTTCCTTTCACCAGAGCGAGAGGTGGCAAAAAGTTCAACCTGCCCCTCGAGCTCGAAATTTTCCAATTGGCCTCATATGAAGAGACATCAGCTGGCACCAGTCTGAGATAGGTGGTTAAAACCATCTTATTTGCGGACAACGCTTTTTCGTCCGGGAACATACGCCCCGGTCCTGACAATGGCTTCCTCGCATGCAATTTTTCTCATGGAAAAAATTATGTTCATGACTAACATGGAATTCCAACAGAACCCACCCTATACGCGATAAAGCTTGCACACAGAATTAAGGAGGAGGAACTTGCCTCTTACCCCCAAATCAGATCTTTTCTTTTCCCCTAGCTTCAATTCATCATCATGGTTCTTCACAACCCCAACAACTGGCACTGGGTCAACAAGGATGCCTCTGGCTGGGCCAAGGAATACTTGCAGCAGAACCTGGTCGGCATCAGTGTCGAGGAAGGGGGCGTGTCAGCCAAAGTAGACAAGCTGTTGTCCATGGATGGCGACGTAGATGTCAGCCAGCGCAAGGGCAAGGTCATCACTCTTTTCGATGTCAAGGTGTCGCTAGAATACTCAGGTTTGTAGTCCAATATCAAGTTATTTTCCTGGACCTGGCAGGCTGAGACGCTCCCACAGGTAAGACCAAGGACGCTGAGGATGTCAGCGGTACTATTCGCATCCCCGAGGTAGCCCACGACACCGAGGAAGATGAGTACGTCGTACGTTCATTGTCCCCGTCTCCCAAGGCAAACCCCCCAGTAACACTAACCCGTAAAATAGTTTGAGATCGAGAACCACGCCGACTCCAACTCCAAGCAGCCCGTAAAGGACCTGGTGCGCACAAAGCTCGTCGCGCAAATCCGTTCCGCCCTCAGCGGGTTCGCCAACGCCCTCATCACCGAGCACGGCAAGGACCTCCAGCACGCACCCGGCGTGAACCCCTCCAGCGGCTTCCCCAAAGCCAGCGTCCACCCTCAAACCAAGTCCACCGAGGCCTCCAGCACGCAGACTACCACTACCTCCAAGACCGGCAAGGTCGCCGTCAACACCACCACCGTGACAGCCTCCGATGAGTTCCGTACCACAGCCGGCGAGCTCTACAACACTTTCACCGACCCGCAGCGCATTGCTGCCTTCACACGTGGCCCTCCTCGCCAGTTTGACGGCGCCCAGGTTGGCGGCAAGTTCGCCATCTTCGACGGCAATGTCACTGGCGAGTTCGTGACTCTCAACGAGCCCAAGCAGATTGTCCAGAAGTGGCGTCTGGCTCAGTGGCCCGAGGGTCACTTCAGTTCACTGGAGATCAACTTCGACCAAAATGATATCGACGGTGTTACTCAGATGCGTGTTACTTGGTCTGGCGTTCCTGTTGGCCAGGAGGATGTCACCAAGCAGAACTGGGACATGTACTATGTTCGCAGCATTAAGCAGACTTTCGGGTATGTAATTTTTTCCCTTTTCTTTGCCTCTCTTTTTCCCTGGACCATTGGGATCTCTCTACGTTTCTTTCCTGGACATCTTTGCCAATTCGCGGCCCTGTCTACAGATCCAATCCTCCCTCCAAATCATCTTCGCCATGGAGCCAGTTACTAACGTTTCTTGTTCTTCTCTTTGCTATAGGTTTGGCACTATTCTCTGATCGACTGCATGACATATTACCGGTGGCATGAAACACACAAAACAATGCATTCGAAGACTTCTTATTTATGGTTACATGAATTGGCTACAGGTAAAACCGCAAGACCGTCAGACGTTTAGATTTGCCTTGTTTGTTTTCAATTCGTGTTTCTCTTTTTCTTTTTTTTTTTTTTTTCACCCGTGGCCCGGTTGCAATCTTGTTGGGTCTGGGCACTATGATGCTACGATAGATGGTGTTATGTCTATGATAATGAAGATAAGATTATGTTTGATCTAGCCATTTCCTTGAGTGCCGCGTTGCCTTGAGCCCTTCCTCCCTGCGTAGGTACTCGACCACTCTTGAAAACAGGAATACAGTCTGTCTAGGAAGAAGACTTGTACATAACCCTAAGGACGAGATCCCCTGCATGTCCATTATCCTCTGTATGCTTTCCCTGCCCTTTGAAGCATATTCTCAGAAGCTCCAACCCCTCACCAGACGCGTCACTTGTCAAAGTTGGTCTCTTGAGCTTTGTATCCAGAAGGATCTCAAGATCTTCGGGGTTGAAAGATATCTGATAAGGGGGCGACCCGTCACAACGCTGAACCGTATGGGCAAGTCCACTACAAATAGTGTGTTCATTGAGCCATATGCAATCTTTTATATCGTAGCCATAGTAACTTGCCCGTTGCATGTAACTGGCGAAGATATGCTGCTCAAGCTAGATGCGAATTAGCACACTCCAATGGCCCATGACACCAAAGGATGAGCTTACTGTTTGGATCTTGAGTCTGAGATCCCGCTTTCCGATGTTGGGGTCTTCATCACCGCATCCCTTGAAGAGGTATTCCTTTTCGACCTGGACCTTGCCCTTGAATTTGAGTTCGTGGATTATGATCTTTTCCTGCCCACACCGAAACACCCGCTGCTCGACGTATATACTGGGATCGCATTGTTCTTCGTCAAGTTTGGCTATGAATACCGTAATTGGGGCATAAGTCGCATTGGCATCCAGAATATTCGGATCGTCTGTCCGTCAATTATTAGTCATCTCTCTCTCCTTCCGACGAATAAAGGACATACCAGAGACGAATACCTTTCTGAATTTATAACCCGGCACTTCATTGCGCTCCGGACTGGTGTCCTGACTTCGAGTGAAGATAGTAAGGGGAATACCGGCATCTTGACCGCGGCATTCCACTAATTCTGCGATCGAACCTCTATAGATCGACTCGCCGATAATGCAATCTGGGATATTCTCATGGATTTGCTTGGTCTGTTTTCGAAATGACTTGGATGACTTTTTTCTGTCGATTATCTTTGCAGATTTCCTCGTATGCAGAATAGGGTTATCGCCGGCATCTAGGTCGTGTACTGTTGCAGGGAGTGGTTTCGATCTCATGTTGGTTTTGTATGTTTAACCGAATGATCGCGGATGGCATGGCGTCTTAAACGTTTGGTGGCCTTCTGCAATGCAGGCATATGAGACGCTGGTGTACATTAGTAGGGCGACTACTGCACATTGACTGCGAGATAGTACTTTGTGCATGGATCTGCCCAATCAGAATGCCCTTATGCATCTAGGATTACAATCCAGAGCCCCTTAATTTACGAAGACAGCGAACAGGAGACAAAATGGTCGATAGCGCTTACAATGAAGTTCCGCTGAGCAGTTCGGGCTGACCAAGTGAGATCCACCCTCCCTTTCCCCAAGCGCTTCCCCAATTTTGCTCCCTAGTCATTCCGATTGTGTAGCCCTAATGTTCTGGTACCACGCTATCGGCTTTCAATTTCCTTGTTTAGGAACGCGCTGGAGTTTCGTACTCCAACCAAGGAGCCAACCATTCCATTTTTGTGCTTCGTAACTCAATCCTCAATCCTTGATCCTTGGCATACATGTCGTCCATAAAGGCCAGCGGACGACTCTCTAGATTCTATATTTTCATAACCCTATTTGATTGCATTCTTACCTTGTCCTATAATACCAATATGCCATCCCTCAAAGCCTCCTCCTCCCAACAATTCTTTCGCCGCTACCACAACGACGAGCGATTGTCCTCAAAGCTGGTACAAAAATTCATCTAAAAACCAAACCAACTGCTGCTATGGTCATATGATGATCGAGACCACAGATGCTTACTGCTGTGTTTACGATTTGATCCCCAGAACGGAAAGCCCATCTACTTCCACGAAGACTGTAACGTCATTTGACGACGAATGGGCCGGGGCAGATTATTGCTTCAAAAAGATTCCTTTCACAGCCAGTGATTATTCGAGTCAGGTCTCTTTGGCATCGGCGCAGGCTGTCGCAACCAACACAGGACCTTCGACCAATGAGGCGACTTCTATGAGCACAAGCTCAGGCTCGAGCTCCACTACGGCATCGGCATCTGTGACTCCGACTACGAACGCGGCTATGTCGCTTGCTACGGCTAAAAAGGTGGTGCTTGGTGGTGCCGGAGTTGCTGCAGCTCTTTTTGCTTTGTGATCTGAAATTGTTAATGTACATCAATTGATATGCGTGCATGAAGACTTGCTGTATTGTACATCTTTTCATTGGTTGACGTTGATTATCATACCATCCTTCTACTATGGATATAGTCTGAAGGGACTACAAATTAGCAATAGGCACATAAACGAAGATTGACTTCTCCGTTCCTGGAGGCTTCAGCAAGTTAGACCGTGAGGGCCCCTCTCATACCTCAAGGCTTTCCTATGCATCGGGGCCCACGGCAACTTTTCATCGTAACTTCTGCCGACTCAATACCAGAGGAAATTGGACCAATATTGTATACGTTGTCAAGAAGATATGCATTACGTCCATCGTCTTTCCGCGGCTTTTGAATTGATTCACTGCATAGCACGTGTGAAGTGCTGATCCAAAAGACCTCAAAAACTACTTCCTAGTCCCCTATAAATCTAGGTAGACAAATAGTTTCTTTATACAGTGGTTATTGACAGTATAGAGTCCACATCCGTAAGTATATGTCATACTTTCGGCATATTATTTCGTCTGGGGTGGTATTTGTTAAGTTGAGACTTTCTACTAGCGGAGAGAAATTGACACAAGCAATTCCATGGATAGCTACAGGATACCGGACTCGCTCTCAATATTAGATGATATAATAGTGACATTTCCATCAATCTAGGGAGCTTTATATGCTAAATTTAGCACCTGATCCGATTTGGGTCGCAAGCACGCGAAATGACTGGTGTCTAGGATGACGAACCGTGGGTCGAACTCAGAGGAGCCAAGTTAAAGCCTATCTACCTGCCAAGACAGCTATTTTAAAGGGCTAAACAACGCCAAATTAAAGGTCTCGAAGTGCCTGGACTTGATCTCAAGACCAAATAATGTAGTTAAGCTAGCGATAGTGATGTGCTTATAAAAGTAAATGTCTCGGACAAAACTGGTTTGCGGAAAGTCAAACTCGACACGACATGGGAAACACGCGACTTCATTACAACACGTCACATGCAAACCGTGGAGACTTTTTCCCTTTGGGGAAATCGCTTGTCCAGTCCCAAGAATACTAAGCGGCAGTGAATAGTTCCAAGAAACTAAATTATGTTGAACAAGGAGCGGCGTTCTTTGCCAATTGGGCTCAACAGCGAGGCAGAGGACGAATAAAGAACCAAGCTGACCCAGAATAGCATTTTTAGTTCTGGTTAAACGATGATATATGCCAAGTAAAATCACAGAATCAGAGCTGCGTTGATCATGGACTCGTTCAGATCTGACCTGTATTGTGAAAATGCATCTTTCACTTCCTTGACGCCGATAAATGTGGTCATGTTGCCTCCAGAGTTAATTAATGATCATGTTATTATCAATCGCTTATGTATGGACATATATGCATGCACGCTGTCCCCATGTCTTGAAAGTTGAGCTGTACCTATTCGAACCTTGAGATATCGAGTTACGCATCTAGAGCAGGTTATTATAGCTGTGTTAGGCTTTACTTCCCATTTATCCTTCATCAATCTGGACAGCAAATGCCGAGCAGGCAAGCTAGCTAGATTGAGACCGTTGAGTGTTGAGCCAATGCGACAAATCCGGGGAAAATAGAAAATAAAAAGGAAGTATCTAAATAAAGAGAGAAAGCCTCTACCATGGTTGGGCCCGAAAGCGTGACGTCACGTATGCTGCTGCAGGACCCTGCATGAGAGGTCCAGACGAACCCCAGATTTCAACTCTTGCTTTCTAAATCTAGTTTCCGTTCCTCTTTCACCCTTTCACTGGGAGATCCCGACCAATCTGTTTGAATGCGGGTCTCTCATCCCCTCCCCCCACCCACCCCCGAAAATACACCAAGTATAGAAGAATACCTAAAGAATCACTAATTGAAAGCAAAAATATACCTTTCTTCCACCTTCTACCCAATCGTGTTGATTTCAAATGATGAATGGCTACGTTCCATGCATCAATATTGTTTTTTACATAATGAGCCTTGGGCAGCTTCAGCTCCATTACTGTGTTCCAAAGGGAGCGTGAACCTCTCATAGCCAGGAGACCTCAATACGAGACCACTTGCTTTAACAAGATTTCGGCTCCCCAAGACAAAATAAAAGATACTCTAAAGAGGCTTCTCAATATTGTTCCTAAAACCTAATAACTTTCACACTAGAAGGAGCTTGCTTGAACTCGGAACTTCGTGGCGAACACTCATGCAACATGTCAACTTGCATGGACTATGCCAGTATCCAAAGGCACTAAAGCGTTGTTACCGACTAAAATGAGCTTCGTTGGACTTTTCCGAGTAACTAATCATTATCTTGCGTGACTTGTTTTCAAATCACCGTATGCCTTTCATGGGCTTGCAGGTGACAGTATTTTCGGAGGCATTAGCTAGCTTAAAATATTCATATATTTAATAATAAATTTCCACAAAGTATATACGTGCTAGGCCCCGAATGTTCTGAATACGAAGTGATCGACTTCTGGGGCGTGACAAGGATTCCCCCAGAGTGGGTTCGTTCCGCGGTGGGCTTGGCATCGGCCGCGCTCTTGGCATCGCCCCAAAGCTCCAGGTGTCTCAACGACATCCACGGGACCACCATTGCTCACTATCTAGCCCTAGATCTTTCTGAATCCACAGCAAGAAATTTACTTTGACTCACGGTGCCCTCAATTTTGATAGCTGCATCTCAGCTGGAATGAGAAGAGAACCTCGTATCTCGGATGGCGGCCAACAGTAGGTCTTCTTAGATCATGATGTGAGATTCATCTCATTGACTCATCTAGATCTATGAACCACAAAGAAGCCAGAGCATAGACTTTGAGAAGTGTTGTTCCAAACGGAGCGATCCTCGCTCGGTAACATACGCTGGTCTATTAGTGGTAGGAAGAAAGGAGCGTATATCTCTGGATAGGTTCGCATAGCCGGTTGGACCGCTTTACATCATGATTTTCAGGTAATAGCTTTCAGGTCCATGATACTATATAGATAATTTGCGAATGAGGAGCCACGCCACTTAAGGTCTAGAATGAACTCTGCCTTGGACAGTGATTCTTCGCTCGAATTGTACAGGTTTGTTTATTTTGGGATACGAAGGATAAACTTTTAAAATGATTGAGTAATTTGGGTATAAAATTGCCTTGTGCCGTCGACCTATTTCGATTCCAGACCATAGCTCATTGTCAATCGAGAAACTCTCAGCACTGCGCTATACTCTATCTCCCCAGGCTTCTTTTAGGAACAACTTGGTTGAACTTGGCTGCCAGCCACCACACTCTCTATCATGAAGATTCAAGGCTTCGTTGCAAGCGCGTTTCTTCTGCTTCTGTCGGTGACTGATGTCTTCGCCGCACCGGCCGACGCAAATTCCCTCGAAGGTGTGTGTTCCGCGGAGAAAAACACAACATCCACTGACCTATACAGCTCGAACTTCCCATTGCGATCGAAAGGATTGGAATTGCAAGAACTGGGACTGGAACAAGTGTGTCTGTAACGATAAACATTGCCAGAAGGATTTGAAATGCAAAGATTGGAACTGGGACAAGTGCATTTGCAACGACAAGCGATGTGATCGAAAGGATTGGAAGTGTAAGGACTGGGACTGGAACAAATGTGTCTGCAACGACAAGCATTGTCATCGAAAGGATTGGAAGTGCAAGGATTGGGACTGGAACAAATGTGTCTGCAACGACAAGCGTTGTGATCGAAAGGATTGGAAGTGCAAGGACTGGGATTGGAACAAATGTGTCTGCAACGATAAGCGTTGTCATCGAAAGGATTGGAAGTGCAAGGACTGGGATTGGAATAAGTGTGTTTGCAATGACAAGCATTGTGATCGGAAGGATTGGAAATGCAAGGACTGGGACTGGAACAAATGTGTCTGCAACGACAAGCGATGTGATCGGAAGGATTGGAAGTGCAAGGACTGGGATTGGAATAAGTGTGTCTGCAACGACAAGCGATGTGATCGGAAGGATTGGAAGTGCAAGGACTGGGATTGGAATAAGTGTGTCTGCAACGACAAGCGATGTGATCGGAAGGATTGGAATTGCAAGGACTGGGATTGGAACAAATGCGTTTGCAATGACAAGCCCTGCCAGAAGGATCCTAAGTGCAAGGACTGGGATTGGAATAAGTGTGTCTGCAACGACAAGCGATGTGATCGGAAGGATTGGAAATGCAAGGACCGGGACTGGAACAAATGTGTCTGCAACGACAAGCGATGTGATCGGAAGGATTGGAAGTGCAAGGACTGGGATTGGAATAAGTGTGTCTGCAACGACAAGCGATGTGATCGGAAGGATTGGAAGTGCAAGGACTGGGATTGGAATAAGTGTGTCTGCAACGACAAGCGATGTGATCGGAAGGATTGGAATTGCAAGGACTGGGATTGGAACAAATGCGTTTGCAATGACAAGCCCTGCCAGAAGGATCCTAAGTGCAAGGACTGGGACTGGAACAAGTGCGTCTGCAATGACAAGCCCTGCCAGAAGGATCCTAAGTGCAAGGATTGGGATTGGAACAAATGTGTTTGCAACGATAAGCACTGAATAATCTTCTGATCATGGCAATTCAACATTGTCAAAACTCTGGTCGAAGCATTCAACACAAGCGACAGTTTATAGGAAAAGAGCCGGGTCATTGGATAATGAAGATAATTTGTGAAGTTTATGCCATTTGGGCTTCTGAATGTACCTAGTGTTGATGACAATCAAGTAATCTGTCTTCAGCGTTTTATTCTCATAGCTAATAGGCTGAAAGTCCTTACCATTGTTTCCTCGGTATACTGCCTGTGGTTATATTTTGTTATAGACCTCGTAATGAAAAGGGTTGTTCGCCAACCGTTTCAATCCCGTAGACCCCAAAGTCCTTCTATCTAGATACCTTCGTTGAAGAAAGCTTCCAGTTCCTTGAGTTTCTTCTGCAGGTACTGCAGCAGCCCAGCGACGTGAATGCTCTTCTCCACCATCCCCATCTCTATCGCATCTTCTCAGTGCAGGTGCGAATATTCAATGGGATGAGACGTTACCAGTGTTTACAACACGAATAGCAGAGCAAAAACAAGCCAGCGCCAAGAAACACCGGATATCCTCTGCAGCAATCAAATTGTGGCCAAATTGATTGAGATTGGGTCGACATTGATTATAAAATCCCACTGGTGGGAGTCGGCTCTCGCTCTTGGCTAACGGGAAACATTTTGCGCTCGTCCAGATTTTTATCTCCACAGGGCTGATCTGTTATCCCTTGAGGTTGACCAACTGCATCGGATGGGACATCCGGCGATTCATGGCTACCAAGAGGGTGAGGATTGCTTATTTCGCATGACAGGCAAGCTCGTTGATAAAGATAATCCTGTCAAGAGCTTTCTCATTAAACGACACCTCCACAGGATGCTGAGATGCGTGACAGAGACCGGTGACGAGGATCGAATTCAATCCCTCCCGACGAAAAAGAGAATTGATGTCAATAATGTACCTCTCTGCGAAGCTTAACCCCCACCAGTCGGCTCCCTTCAGTCTGTTACATGGGGAAGTTACACACCCATGGTTGGCACACTTCAGTCTGCCCAGAGAATCTGTTGGAAAATGCAACTGATCCCAATATTATAACCCCAATTAGAGACTCTTCCTCTATCGGCGCACGTGTGGGAATATATGAAAATCCTGTTTCCGTTGCTATTGGGAAATATCGAAGTTACAGTCTCATTGAGGGGCTCCTTGAGTATGATCTAAATCAATCAAACTCCGAGATGACTATGGATCAAAGCGATGCATATAAAGAACACCGATGAATTCAGACTTCTAGTGGAAATGGAGGATACCAGACCCAGGAGCTCTCAACAAGGCCGAGCGTTCCGTAATCACGCGACTCAGGGTAAGAATCACCCTGTCTACTCTATATAACGCGCTCGCACTTATAACCTTATCAACTAAACCTTTTTCGCTCAATCCCTATAGAACTCTGTCAATGCCAGACCAAGTACATACGACCACAGGGTGTGGAGAACAGGGCTTCCCGTCCGCTCAGCCGTACTTAAGCCACACGCCGGTAAGTTAGTAGTTAGGTGGGTGACCACTAGCGAATCCTTACTGTTGTATGTCGGTGTTCACCCACTCTTTTTGATTCGTGGGGGAAATTGCCCTTGCCGCCCTACCCTTTCAGTCCCTTCTTCACCTGAATGCCATGAACAACACCTCTATTTTGCAGCTGAAGGTCCTGTACGGCCCTGAAGCGCTGACGTGGCTTTCCCTCGTATGTTGATTTTTTCTTTCTACTTAGATGTGGTGTCGATTGATGAGGAAGGGAATTAGGGGTGAAGCTGCGGCGCTGATCTACATAGGGCACGTGAACTATACATGTGACCGTAGCATTTTCGCTAAGATGACGGGACGTTGACCTTATCTTTACTGTACCCTATTATCAAAGGCCTTCTTTGCCTATGGAAGACTGCACTATAATATTGACCTTGAATACATGATTTTATAGCCTCCATACCGCCTTCCTATTGACAATCCTAGTATCCCGTGCGCCGCGTGTCTGAGGAGTTTCACTCACTTATAGCTAGAATCCGAAAATTAGCCTCGGAAACCTTAGCGGAATAATTTTATGTTTATGAAACTGGCAAAAAGCTGATGTGGTGGCCTGAAAGTATCTTCTAGAGGATCGTTGATAGAAGCTTGAACCAAAGATTATGCTCCTATTGAAACTTGGATCATTTCAATATTTGCATTCCTTAATTCTCTTGGGATTATATTTTAGTTCTCACTTAAATTTGGACAGTCTTGAATTTATTTATGCTATAATTTTAAAGCTCTTCGGTGTTAACTGGACTTAAGATGGGGTTCGCAGAGTGTAACTTTCGAGAGACCCACTCGTGGGCGTGTCGCTGAGGGTGCAAAGGCGACGATCAAAGATTGAGTACAGAATGGATATCTTCAAATTTTGATTGAACTATAATTTTACATTTTTGTTAGACTTCTTCCCCCCAAACAACCCAATTTTTTTTTCCCTTGGTTCGGCACGAAGATAAGGCGGGATTTAGTTTCTGATATTACAAATTATCGGCGAAGCGTCGTTTATGATGCATTTCTGATGAATTTTATTAAATCAACGCCTTATCTAACTAGCGTATTTCATAAGCGAGTGGGCCAACTCAAAACACTACAGTAAATGCAATATTTTACAACTTTATATCTTAGCAACCACGTTGTTGTTTGATTTTATTGTCATTTGATAGCTATCGATAGGGCTTTTAAACGCTATATAAGTTTCAAGAAAATTGAAAAGCTGCATTATCATAGTATTGAGAATTTCGTTGCTCAAACCCAAAAATATATGTTTCAATCATAGAGTGGTAAATTTTTTCCAAAGTCCTTAGAGGAGCTAGATGTCACCTAAAAAGCCTTAAGCTATAGGGAAACTCCTATATAGAATACCGTCGTTGAGATATCAAGTTGTAGAATATCGCATTTACTATGGTGTTTTGAGGTGGCGTACTCGCTTGTTACTCTAGTAGCCCGTCGCTTGTATGAATAAATGATAGAGATCTGCCTATACGATAATATATGGGTCAACCAGTAAAATATATTAACCTCTAACTGAATATAACAAAATCCGCTATTTCAACAATCTGTCCGCGGGTACAGACATGGATAACTAACTGTAATATACACTTTTGTATGGTAAGCTTCGTACTAGTGGTTAGCTGATATTCGCGCACGAATGCTATAATCCTGCCGGGACGGCAGGTTTACTTAACTAAATAACTAGTTAACGTATTTCACTACCGAACCGCCCACACCACCGAGCCGCCCACCCCCAAAACACATAGTAAATGTGATAAATTACAACTTGATATTTCAACAATAGTAGTCTATACAGAGTCTACCTAGTAACTTTATACCTTTTTGGTGATATCTGGCCTCTCTATAGAGTTTAGAAAATATTAATGAGTTGATGGTTGTAATCTATATATTTCTAGCTTTGAGCATCGTAATTTTCAATACCACGATAATGCAACTCTTCGATTTTCTTGCTATCGACATATAGTGTTTAACATCCTTATCGATAGCTATCGAATGACCATGAAATCAAAAAATAACGTGGTTGTTGCGATATGAGGTTCTAAAATATCGCATTTACTATGTGTTTTGGGGGTGGGCGGCTCGGTGGTGTGGGCGGTTCGGTAGTGAAATCAGGATGGGCCGCTAAGTTACACCTAAATGATTACATAAGATACTTTTCCCCACTCGGCCAAAAGATTATAGGGACAATCGGAACCTCCGATTGTCACTGTAGCGGTATATATACTAGGCCTAGACTCTGCTCGGGACCACAATGCCCTATATTAACTAGGTATTGCAACCTGGTTCTTCACTATAGAGAATGGAGTGCTAGGTGACAACCTCTCGTGTAAGCACCGCACTAACCTTCTCCACTAAATATTTACGGTATAACACTACACTGGGTCACCACCCTGGTTTAAGTAAAACCATCGATTTCTTGGTATCTGCGAACAGCTATACACAATTGAGGTATGGTCTCCCAATATAGTTTAGTCTATATGCACTGCTCCTGGTTTTCTTTCCTAGCGCCTAACGGGTAGGGTTTATCTTACTGGTGTTTTCCCGCTCTAATCTCTTAAAACTCTTTATTGTATATCTCGTTAGTTTCTTCTGTTGTTGGCCTTTAAAAATTTCCTGACTTACTCCTATTCTTTCTATTTTACAGCTAACAATGTTAGCTGCCATAGCTATATAAGTCGACGTAGGAGGCATCTCCTTGGCTAGTCTTAGGGCATTCTCTACTATCTTAACGGCACTCTCTGCTGATGACGTCTAACCTATTGCAATGCTTTAGCTGCAAAATCTTAGCGCTGCTTTTCCTATAAGCGGGCTATTGGGTGTCAAAGTTCCGGAATACCTTTAGCGCTTTTAGAGTACACGGCTCGAACGTCTTAGGATAATCGTGGGCTGGCGGAAAGGCGACTCCGCATCACTTATGGCGCAAACAATAGGTAGCTAGGCAATTGCCTTACTATCAGCCTATCTATGCAATATATATAGGAACTCCGTTAGAAATATTCTCTATTCACTTTCTAAAGGCTTGCTGCCACGATCCGCTTGCGTAAGCAGTCCCTTGCTCTTAGAGCGAGCTATATAGGTTATTGCCGACAAACTTGCGGTAATTGGATTCGGGACCATTATCGCGAACTAAGTTTGTCGCATCTATGAAGCATATCGCTAGCTACAATAAGATATACCAATCAACATTTTGGAAGAGCTTAATGAAGATTGGATGGCAGAAATTCTTGTGAGTATATCCCGTGCCCTACGAGAAGACAACCGTATAGTTCGAATCCGCGGATGTTGTGGTATAGGGTATATCTTGACCCTTGTGGTCACCTTATTCGTAAGTGACTGTATAATAACAATTAAAGGTCTTGTTATCCACTAAGGTGGCCACTCACCTTTAATTATCGTGGAGATCGTGGCATCGCTTTAAGACCAGCCCCTATAGGTCCACGATATACACAAAGCGGATTCTTTTGTTGAGTTGATTAACTCCTCCCGGCCCTCGGATGCCAAGAGGAGTTGGCAAAGCTTAGCCGAAACTCTGCCGATAGGTGCGGATTTTGCATAGCAAGGATTGATTGCTACACTGCTGCGTACTAACTTTCAGAAATGGGATTTGGTTTGCCCTTTAGAAATTATCAAAGCGGTGGGCGTGTGTGCTCTCTCCGCTGCCGACCTCACTAAGATTTACATTAACGACTCTCTGCACTTTCTAGCTATATATCTCTTAGGTGAGCAATACCGTACAATTATGTATAAGCGCTATGAGGCTGTTATAGGGGTCTAACTACCATAGACCTAGCCTCTATATCTAGAGGCATTCAATTAACTTGACAAAGCGATAAGAGAACTTATACCTACGAGACCCGAAGATTCCTTACGTTTCACTAGGTAGGGAGAGGATTAGGAAAGAGAAATTAAGAATGTAGAAGGTTTCTCCTGCTAGATTCTCGATACTATATGGTTAGTATTTACCACCTTTTTCGTGAATGCCCATGATAAAGCCACGTGGAGATATGTTAATTTTGGCGATAACGGAGTGAGCACTCGCCCCGACTATCCTATCTTCTAGGGAGATCTAAAATCACCTCGTTTTGAAATTGATCCCTATAGGGCTTAGAAACAAATATGCCCGCAATAGGGAAGCGAATTAGTGACAGTATCGGATAGGAAAAATACAATGGTTCCCTCGCCGTTTTTAAAACTGGGCTATAAGAGTCTATGTCATTTTCGTGGCATAGAGCTCCTAGATAGGCCGCTTATATATAATAACCGGTACTATAAAAAGCTTGCCGCAGATTCGCCGCCAAAACTATAGACACGGTATTATTCCTCGTAGCCGTCAAAACTTGCTTCTTCAATAATCCCGAATGCAGAAGGGGTTTATTCTGATCTTTCACTAGCAATATCAGAGAAATCAGATGGGCTGACGCTCTAAGCTATGGTTACTTTACCGGGCTACTAGTTTGGCGTATGTTTTGCGACGTGCCTGCATACTCTATTTAAGCTTCTCCGAACCACTTCATATGAACATTCTCGAAATACTCCCTTAAAGGAGAGCTATGCTCGATCAGCGTTGAAAACCTCCGTTCGAGCTCTAGATCTTACTGAATTCGACAATTCTACAATTTCTATTGTCTAGACTGCTAGGAATTCTGTTGCCTAGTTTCTATCTTTGTCCCTATCTCCAGCTATTCTCTGCCACTATTGCTGCCTAAATTGTGCCTATCAATAGGCATTGTCTCAGAAAGTGAGGAAGATCATTGTAGCGTGAGTTTAAAATAAATAAATACAAAATAGGAAAAGAATAGAAACAGGGGAAGAGAAAAGAAGAGAAAAGAACAGGAAAAAATTAAATAATTTGCCCATATGCTGCAAGACATAATGCTGATACTAGCCTTTAGTTTGCCGTGAGTAGAGAGATATTAAACGCCCATTGCCTTTTTACCTAAGTATTGATAAATAAACTCCAAAGAACTTTGAAGAATCGATAAGGGAAAGAGCTTCAAAAGCAACTCGAACTGCACTAGCCAACAACGTGTGATATGCGTGGTAACCGCCAGATTATTGAACGCAATATTCGATGCTTTGACTTCAAATCTCAACTAATTTAACAGACCTCTATTTCTCTATTCAATGAGTGCAATCGCAGTACAAACAAGAACTAAAAATATAAGTATGATGCTGTAGAATATGTGAAATGTTTCTCTAAAATATCAAATGGTAGATAAAGAACTCCGAAAAATCATTAAAAAGCACAAGAAGCGTATAAATGTAGCTTATAAAGGCTAAAATTCCACTCAAAAAGCTGCCCTTCTATAGCCTAAAGCGGGTATTAAGATGAAGAATCAGGTCCGCCCGGATTGCCCTGAAGATGGCTGAATAGGGCGGCGAGCCGCCCAACCCCGAACCGTGGGCGCTAGGTGACCACGGTCATACAAATGCTGTTGTATGTTTTTGTTTTTTTCTGTCTCTACCTATAGATAGAGACAGAGATGTTTTTTATACCCGTAGCAGGCATGTATGTAGGGACGAGGCTTTGCCTTTTCCTGCCAGGCACACATAGTATCTTTTGTTGTATAAAGACCGTACATGGACCCATTCACTGCTATGGTAATCCTTGTACATAGCAAGGACTTGTGGTATACCATTTGGTGGTATAGTGGAAAAGCTCAATCGACATTAACATAAATCAAGTAGGTGGTCATTATAGATATGGTAGGCGCATTAAGTGGCCAGTTGGCTCACAAAAATTGTCCATCCCGAATCCTGCAGAGGTAGATGTAAAAATGATGCAGTGAGAACAGGGGTAGAGCCCGTCCAGGTTACCATACGTTACGAAAAAGCGGGGTCCGCTGATCTGTCTTCTGCAGCATATAGATTTGCCTGCATGTTTGTGCTGGCATAAAGTATACTTGTTTTTTTATAGCATTTTTCAGCTAAGCCAGACCGCGTCCAGCTCCACTACACTCCACTGCTTATTTTAACCGTTTTTCCCTTTTTACCGTCTTAGTATCCTCGACATCATTTGGCGTGCTTTGACCTTTGTTCATTCTTTTGGTCAAAATCAAGGCTTGTCACTGGTTCCTAATGGAAGATCAGAGAGAACTAGATGAACTGCGTCAAAGGCAGTCAGGCTCTAATTGTGCCCGTGCCAAGGACGCGGAAGCAAAATAAATTGTCCTCCTTTCCCGTCAACTATGCAATAAATTCGAACATTGAAATTCTACACATTCCCTCTAGGAGACACCATACCTCCTTCGCCATCTTTATTATTGACCCTGTCATTCAACAAGACAAGCCAGCACAAATCATAATGGCCGTTACTCAGGACAAATATGTCTTTGGTAGAGACAAAAAGGAATCAGAGCGGTAGGCAGGAAATCATAACTCGAACCCAGTGGCAAGATGTCTAACCAAAGTCGTCATTCAACCCTGTAGGCTCGATGCACAGCACAACTTGCTATCGAAGGTGACCGAGAACACCCTGATCCACCCATCAATTCCTAAAGAAAGCGTGCTTTCTGTTGCAGATGTCGGGACTGGAACTGGGTGAGTCTGCTGTCGACTTCATACAAACCTAGAAGACTAATCCATGCACACTTGACAAGCATCTGGCTAAAGGATGTTTCAAAAATTTTGGAGAAAACAAACCCCAACTGTTACTACCATGGATTTGACATCTCTGCGGATCAATTTCCGCAAAATACAGGGAACCTCGAATTTTCTGTCCAGGATATAACATTGCCGTTTCCCCAAGGACATTGGAGCCGGTATGACGTGGTCCATGTGAGACTACTTGTTGCTGCAATCGCAGAGTCCGACTATAAAACTGCAATCTCGAATCTTTCTGCCATCTTGAGTATGTACCTCCCAATACGCCCTTCTTCCTCGGGCCAACACTAACCAGTTTTATTTACTCATGAAGAGCCCGGTGGGTTTCTTCAATGGGAAGAAATCGACGAGGAAACATACATATCAGCCGACAACCCGGTAATCTGGGAGATTCGACGGTGCTTCGACTTTTCATTGAGAGCCGAGGGTAAATGTTTTGCTGCATCGGCCAAGGTCTACGAGGAGTGTGCAGCAGCCGGTTTCCTGGATGTTGTGCGGCTTCATTATCTCTCAAGCTGGGATAGTGACCTCCGCCTTGACACAGAAAGCAGACTCGCAGCAATCATTGAAACGTTGTATGCAAATCTTTTGTTGCGGTCTGGGCAGGTTGCTGACAGAGAGACGGCGTCGAAACGGGCTGGGGAGTTGATCGAGCAGCATCGGAGTCTTTGTGCGGATGGAAACTCCCCGCCTTTGAAACTGATGAGAGTTGTTGCCCAGAAGCCACATGATCCACGCCAATAATAGTAGTATTCGTATTCAATCATCAGTGATCATTTCTATAACTGCTATCGAGATAGAAAATGATAACCAGTGCTTCTTAAAGGAACCAGTATAAACGGCATGCTTAATGCAATGCAGTTTGGTTTATTGAGCTAAGGTAAAGGTAGACAGTGATGGCCAAAGGTATTGCGCGATAAATCTCTTCCTACGTAGCTATGATCGAGCTAAATTGCCGTGTTTATATATGGGATTCTTTGAACGATTGATGACATACGACGTACTAGTGCGGACTACCGAGGCATAACTTGGACAACGCGGAAATTTCACGCTGATTCGAAACTGCATTCTCCATAGATCGTCACGTATAGTCGATATCCACAACTATCTAGGATGCTACTAATCTATAGTAAGCCTAACAGGCTTGAATCATACTCGATTATAGTAAAATAGGTAAATTCTTCTATAGTTTATATGCCACGGGTCCTTCTACACCCCACCTTTATATAGTCTAGATGATAAACCCGAGACGCTCGAAAATGGGTAAAAAAGAGGCGAAAAAGGAGAGACTAAAGTAGTGCTTATACTTGCCTCGAGGCTTTCTATAGAGACTGTCCACTATATACACATTTATGATCCCTATTATAGTCGATATTCTCGAATCATCCGAAGCTGGCGTACTCTCAAGTGAAAATGTGACGCTAGTATACTTGGCTGCACTGAGTTCGCTCTTGTTCTTCCAGAAGAGAATAGTGGTGTTAAAGTGTTGACACAGCAAGGAATTTGGTGCATACTGCGCTTCACCTCGCAATCAAAAAGCGTATCAATATATTTTGGATGTATATGGGAGCTGGGCATTCAAAAACCAGACCTCGGGCATCTATCATATATTTCACAAGGTTCTCAAGTATATGCTCAGTGCATGTCTCCCTTTACTCAGTGGATATGTGCTGCCCAGGTGCGACATGCTAGTCTCCCGGCTAGTAGCTACAACATGCTTTAATCCTACGGAGATCAACTGGTTTAGAAGTGCAAGGAAATTGCATTGTCATTCATCGTCTATGTCATTCCTAAACAATTTTTACTAGCCAGGTATCTTCCAAAATCCGACTACACTCTTACAGAGTGCGCTCAATGAGCTCAATACCGTAGTCCTCCTTCAGGGTCTTGATGAGAGGAGCACAGATCTCCATGTTCATAGGAGCAAGGACACCAGTCTGGCTGATGGTGCCATCAAGAACCTGCTTAACAGCGACACCGCAGGGAACACCGACAAGCTTGGCCATGGCGGAGTAACCAGCGGGGTTACCGTACTCGCAGAGAGTAGAGGTACGGGTCTCCTTGGAGCCGTCCTTGTTCTCAATCTCGAACTTGTGCTGGAGCATGACAAGATCCCGCTCGCCAGGACCGTACTGCATCTTCTTCTCGAGGGTAGCGCAGAGAGTGTCGAGGGCATTGCCGCGGGGAATGATCTGCTCGTCGGAGAAGAGACCGATCCAGCGGAGACCGGAGAGGAGGCGGTCACGCTCGTCATTGTTGGGGAAGCTGGTCTTGGAGGAGACGGCGGCCTGGAGGTCGTGCTCGGAGGAAGAGGTGGCGCCGAGGACCTGCTTGGTAGCCTCCTTCCAGGAGGTGGCAGTCTCGAAGACGCTGTTGGGGGCGTCGCTGAGGAAGCCGGTGTCGACGAGAACCTTGATCATTTCGGGGAAGCCCTGGTAACGGAGGGTACCGCGAATGACGGTCTGGGCCTCGGGGATCTCGTAGCGCTCACGGAAGGGAGTGGAGTCACGGTTGGGGTATCCGACGAAGGCGAAGCCGGGGTAGATGAAGAAGGGCTTGGCGGCGGCCATCAGGTCGGGGCCGTCAATGCTTACAACCTTACCACCCTGGTAGATCTTGGCGGCGTTGCGGAGAGCGAGGAGGACACCACGGCTGGACCAGGAGAACTTGTAACCCAGAGGGTTGTTGGAGCACTCGGGGGCGGGGAGACCACCACAGAAGGAGACAAAGCCGGTGACCTTGCCGCCAGCGGCGTGGACCTCGTGGATAGCCTTAACAGCGTACAAGTGATCACTAGGAAATGTTAGCATCTATCAAAATCATATTCATATGATTGTGTTCTTACAGGCCCTGGAATTCGTTAGCAATATCTCAAATATATCGGGGTACGGATATGTGCTTACAGGGTCAAGACCAATCTCGTTCATGACAGTGATTCCGGCCTTCTTGCACTCCTCGTCGAGCTCCATCATGGCGGGGGAGACGTAGGATGTGGTAACGACGTTGGTCTTGGTGCGGATGGCGGACTTGATGACCAGGGCGTGGAAGGTGTAGGGGATCAGGGAGATGGCGACATCGGCCTGCTCGAGGGCCTTGTCAAGGGCAGCATCATCGCTGACATCGAGAGCAATGGCCTTGGCGTTCTTGAAGCCAGAGGCGAGCTCCTTAGCGCTCTCGAGGGTACGGCAAGCTATTTACGGCGTGGTCAGTGATTGTTCTTCCATTGATGCCACAGCTGTTCTCTGAATTACTTACCAACAGTAACCTCGACATCAGCCTTGCTGAGAACTTCAACAGTAGGCTTAGTAACTATGCAAAGTCAACGGTTAGCGACCTCTTCTCGATAGATGGCCGATGCGGGGCACTGCGGCCATTGCGCATTGGACGTAGAAGTAGGAATGAGAGGCGTACCGAAGCCCGAACCCAGAAGAAGGGCCTTGGAACCGGCGATTTGCTTGACCATTTTGACTCAATTGATTATAATAGAGGTGATTGGAGAATTCACATCATGAGCCACCCCTCCTTCTCTTCCCCGATGTGCGGGTGACTCATCTGTCACGTGCCCCGATATCGGGTGAGTGGCCGTGCGCTGGTGGGTCTGCATCTATACATTCGAACTTCATAGAACTACTCAATCTGTGAGTTCGGAAGATAGCACTCAGATGACTATTACTTGAAGCCTCTTTATTGTCAATTAGCAGTTACTATCTTGCCCATCAGATTCAGTCAGCAACCTAGAACCCGGGCAATGAAGACTATCAATTCTTACAAGCAACTGCATTGTAGCAAGAAAGGTAGCGGAGAAGGGAGATGCTAGATTCGTCTGAATAACTAGAGCTCACTAACGGTGCATGGGTACGAGACCCGTTATAGGCGCTTCTCCCAAAGAAAGGAGTTCAGTGAATAAAATGAGAGGTACAAAATACAAAGATAATCGTAGGTGAGCACAAATTAAAACGACTTGGTTGCAACGAAACAGAGGCAACCCTCCTTGACAAGTCGTAAGTATGCAATGATTAAACAATTTTGTTGTAGTGATCATGCTTGGAAAGAACAGCATCTGACTTGGCAAGCTAGCAATGTAGGCAAAATAGATTTGGCAAAGCCGGGGCTCAGAAAAGACCGCTGGGCGCACTGTTATAATTGCTAGGAAAGCTAATTGGTAACCGCATCCCTAACTTGCAGAATCGTCGTTGGTAGTAATAGGGTCAATGTCGTCCGAAGTGTCTTGAATATCTTGAGCGACATGGGAATGGGTGATCAAATGCTATCTTATTATATTAGAGGAGCTATATAAAACCTCTCAGTCCAACTCTGTAATCTGTCCTGCGCATGCATGCCAACTCTAATCTCTCTAGAAAGTGGTCAAAGATGCGAGGTGACAAAGCGAAGCCGATATAGCTCCTACAATTGAATCATCACGGCGTGAAATTGAAAAGGATGGAGAACGCTGCACCATGCACCGGTAGTCGTTCTTGTGTGCGACCTGAGTCTGTGGAGCTGCATATCTCGCGTTTGAACTCAGCGATGCGAATCGCTATTTGAGTCTGCAGTGGGATTCTCTGTTCATCAGATAGTACACGACCCCAGACTTGTTTACTCCTTTGACGCACATGCGCCTGTTGGATTTGCTGTATTCTCAAATCTTGCATTCTTGTGGGACCATCTCACAGTACGCGAAATCATGTATAGCGGCTGGTTCCAGCACAGGCTAAGTAGGTATTGATTGATCTCCTTTGGGTAGCACGGCAATCTCCACGGTCGTCCGTCACAGTGCTGCTTTTTGTTTTGAAGCTAAGTGGCGGCCTGCAGTGTTCCACCCTCCTGCACGTGTAGACTCCCATCTATAACGGTGACACACCGGGAACGGCGCGATAGAGTGGACCAGATCGACTTTCAAGGCTTTCCAGAATGCTTGGACGAATTTTGGGTCCCGATCGGAGATTAAAACCAGTGGCAGGCCCTAGTTAGCGGTCCACAGGTAAATGATTGCTTTTTCTTCCCACTGTTCGCCTGTCTAATCCACACGGCCTGGGAGATTCGCAAAAATCAGGTGAATTTGTCGGTCAAGTTCAGCATTGCGTTGTGGCCTTTAACGGTAGTAGGCAAGCCAACGACAAACTCGAGGGTGGTCATACGGAATTGTGTCGGTAGTGTCAGTATTGGTTGTAGCGAACCGTATAGCTTGTGCCTTAGGACTGCGTTGTCCCGACATGTTGGGCAGTGCTGGATATACTTCTTCAGCAGTTTTGCTTCCCTGTAGAAGGTAGGACACTGGAGAGCTTGTTGGTCATTAACAAGCTGGAAACTCCACTAGACATAAATTTGGGGAGCAAAGGGTCTCCCCGGCTGGCGTTGCGGAAGAATATTTTGTCGTCAAGACGATAAGGGAGCTTCGTTTTCATCGGGTCATTTGACTTCTCCTTCTCCATATCTTGGGCCATTGATGTTCTCAGGCACAAAGAAGACATCTCAGCCAATTAAGGCAAGCAAGGCATAACCTTCGCTGTGCACGAACCGGGCAAATGGCCGGTCTCTTGCTGGAAAAGGCCGCTAGGAAACGCCCTCACTCGGAGTGCCTATATGCCGTACGAGAGCTTGACAATTTTCGGTATTCAAACCACAGTAAGGTAGAGTGAAGCTCGCTTGCGGCATCTGTGTAAGAAAATTCTTGATCCTGGTTGACTCGTTATCCACCGACTTTCCACTCGCGATTAGGAGGAAGATTCCCTTGTCGACGAAGA